CATCTCATTTGGAAGGTGAAAAAGGTAGGCAGTCAAGCTGTCTACCTGACACAGGTGTTCTCACCTTGTCTGTCGCCCCCCCTCCCCTCTCCAGGCACCAACTCAGAGCAGATGTGGCTTCAGACGGAGAAGGTGGAGCCTGACCCTTACAGCGAGACCCTGCAGAAGACCATTGACGGCCTGAACCCGGGCACCAGGTACCAGCTACGGGTCGTCGCATCCAACAACTTCGGGAAGGCCTTCACCGACATCCAGGAGACCACAACGGAGGGAGAATGTAAGTTTTAAATTCTTTTGTTTTGTTCTTTAGCTGCAGCATCACATGCATGTTCAAATGTACTGCCATTACCCAACTGCATGAAAAATTAACTCTCGAAAGCTAAGCAGGTACCCTAAGGCTGCCACATTAAAACGGTGAGATTTTCTAAATCATGTGTAGTACCATTAATTCCTCAAGTATGCACACTTCAGATTTTGTTTGCTTTCTTTGAAATACCTTGTTTGTAGCACTAGTATGTAGTCAGAGTTTGTCTAAAGAGCTTGAATTTTACAGCTGTTGATAAATACTTGAATGCTTTGTTAGTTTGCATTATAAAGAAGAGTTGTTCAGTAGCAAGACATTTTCCTATGCATTATGGTGTCTATGTGCGGAACATTGTGAGCTGTCATGAATTCATCTTGTTCATCAACAGGCATTCCTTCTAACAGGCATCCATTGCTCCATTTACTAATGGTTATTTTTATCATTTGTGCTGTTGCAGTCACTGTGGTGATTGATGTGCATCATCCACATGCCGTTGTGTCATAGTTATAGCAATATTTGGTTTTTCAATCTCCAGTGTATTTCCGGTTTTCAAGTGACAAGTGTTATGTCTAATGTTGCCATCTCTGTTATGAGTATAACATTTGCTTGATTTCCCAAAGAATGAATGTTTTGGGACCGAGCATCATGATGAATGGATGCATGTCATGTAAGGTGGAAGGAGTCAGACAAGTGAGCATCACCATGAGCTAACCACTAGTACTTTGAAGCGAAAGAGTTCAAGCAGTTACCATGCAATTACATGTACCATCCAAAACTGCAAAAGATGCAGTCAAATGGACACTTAATCGTCCATAGAAAAAAATCATCGAGAGCAATGTAATGGTCTCTACTGTTTCAACTCTTTCCTACATGCTGTTATAACTGTCATTTCAGATTTAATCATTTAACGTCACATCAGCATGGCTTCAACGTGTTGTTTGTGGAGACCAATCCTACAAACAGGACCCAAGGCTCCATAGGCTATGTACATCAACAGTCATTTCAGATTTGTCATGTGCATCGGCATGGCTTCCAGCTCCTGCTGTCTGTGGAGACCCTATCCTGTAAACAGGGCACCAAGGCCCCCTAGGTTCTAACAATTGAAACCAAATTTCTCTTCCAGCTCCTTTGGCACAGGCAGCAACTCCAGTGGGCCGCCAGGGCTGGTTCATCGGACTGATGTGCGCCATCGCTTTGCTCATCCTGATCCTCCTGATAATCTGCTTTATCAAGAAGAACAGGGGTGGAAAGTACAAGGGTCAGTCTCTATTTTTCTTTACTTATTCCCGGCATCTTGTGTGACTTTTCTTTCCCCTGCAAGCTCCTCCGGCTGCGAGGATGACCCCGGTGGTCAGCAGGGCTGGTTTATTGGACTGATGTGCGCCATCGCGTTCCTCATCCTTATCCTCTTGATCATCTGCTTTATCAAGAGAGCAGGGGTGGAAAGTACTCGGGTCAGTCATTTCTTGGGGATGCATTGCCATGGCAACCGCATCTCCATCTATGTGTGCCCCTTCCTCCCGCTGAACCTGTCACCTGTCCTGCTGTTAGTTTACCTGTCCTGGAGAGGACAGCCTCACTGAAGTTACTCTGAAGAATCAGTTCCTATATCTTTAGCTAATACGGTCTATTGCATGAAACACTAAGGCTACATATACATGTATGTATACAGGTATATGTGTATTGTACATGTACTTAGCATCCTTACTGCTAACAATATGGCAAGATCTTTTGTATCAGACAAAGCCTCTGAAGTTAACAAAAAAGTAACAACTAATTAGATCTTGCAGTCTGTGTTAGTAAGAAAATTTCAGTCCAAAAAATGTCTAGACATGTCTGTCTCATCTAGCTAGCTTCTATCAAAACAAATAGATACTACATGTAGGAACTGAAATAGGAGCGTCTACTGTTCCTTTTATCTGTTGTACATGTACATGCATGTTGTAAAATGTGACGTCAGTAGCTATCTGTCAGTAGCTTTTTAAAAACTTTTTGGCATGAAGGATCTAGATTATGAATTGCCTGACAGGTGTAAAAACAGTTCTATATAGCTGAGCAAACTTCTGTTTTCATCTTTGTCTTCAGAATTTTTACCCATCGAAAAAGACATTTCCTGAAAGACATTATAAATGTTCAAAACTTTTTTTAAAGTATTTCATCCCCCCCCCCTGTATTACCAGCTATCTGATATTGCAAACAAGGGGGCTAAAATGTGACTGCTGCACACCACATTGAAAGTTTTCTCAAATCACTGGACCTGGACGTGATGTCCCTTGTGGGATTTTGTCCAGTACTGTATAAGATAAGAAGATCACTCCCTCATTTTCTTGGAAAGAAAAAGGCTATTCGTGTGTATGTGGTACTCTCTGTTGGTCCCTTAAAAGGCAAGAAAACTCAGTAGACCAATACAATTCCAAATTTCAGGAGGGTCTAAGATCATCCTTCTTACATTCCTGTTTCCTCTTTTGCAGTGTCTGAGAAGGAGGATGCACTAAAGGGAGACCCAGAGACGCAGCCGATCAAAGATGATGCAGGGTTTGGTGAATACCGTCCAAGGTATGAGGAACAAGATTATGTAGAGTTGTAGGTCTGTTGCATATACAAATGTATGTGTAAAATATGGCCAAGGAATTGAACTGAGACACACAAACTCACGAAGTAGGCCTTGGGAAATGAAGGCTAGAAGGTAAAGAGTTTGAATCTTGGCTTTTGTTGCTTGCTACTTGCTCCCTACAAGATAGGGTTACTGTTCCTGGGACAGAACATTGTACTCGGTGAAGAGAGCAAAGATGATTCCCCTAGTATTTGCATTTGCATTGTGTTTATTGTTTGTCCTTCTTGTAACACACACTACCAAACCAATAGCTTTCACCCAGACACAACTTGATTGAGGAGTGCTCTGACAGAAATGTTGTGATGTTACAGAGAATCTCCTGATGAGGTGATGGCCAAGCCTCCCACCGGCAGCATCCCCTCCCTGACTGGCAGCGACAAGGAGCCAGGCAGCGAGACGGACAGCATGGCGGAGTACGGGGACGCTGACCCCGGAATGTTCAACGAGGACGGATCCTTCATAGGTCGTTAGCCTGGACTTTGTGGCTTCACCCTCCCCATTCCCTTGCACAGCTTTGCAGCTACCCAATATAAGGGCAAGGCTAGGCTAAGAGTAGTCTATTTGAATGTAGAACAACAAAACGTATTGCATAGTCCATTAGACTATGCTGCTTCCCTCCCCTCTCCATTCCCATTGAGCATAATGCTTAGCAGTCCCGCAACCAAAAGATAGTCTTGGCAAACCATTACAATGTGGCAAAGGTAGAATTAACCTCTGCAGCACTGCATAGAACACCTTCCCCACTCCCTTAGGCAGCTTTGGCTAACCTGTGAAATATGGCAAGCTAGAATTAAACACTTAAGAACAAAAAGATGGGTTTTCCATCATATAACGTTACACGCTGTTTGCTAGTTCAGCCTTTGTTCCTCTTCTCTCCTCAAACAGCTTGCCTCACAGCTTTCACAGAATTTAAACACTAGCTTAGTGTAGCGACCCTCACCGAACGTTAGATTGGTCTATGTACCAAATTGCTAACCCTAGTGATGTAGCAAGACTAGAACCTAATCCTATAGTGCAGCACAGCTAATAATCCCCTATTAGTGACTAATACAACCAGATGCAAGAGAGCATCTTCGATCTTCCTTTTACCTTAAGTTGAGATATAGATAGATTTTAACTTGATTTTTCCCCTGATGATGTATTTGTTTTACCTCTTACATTGATCATATAATGCTCTTTAATTCAGCTCCATTACTTTGAGTTGAGATTTTGTGTTCTTGTTGCTGAACAAGCACAGTGTCCAAAGTACCACTAGGGCTTGGGTTCAGCACTTTCCTTCTATGTTTCCTTCCCCTCCTGATTTTTAAAGACTAAGTTTTGTAACTGCTTTTCTTTGTGCTGAACTGGACACTAAAAAGACTTCTCTGCCTGGTTCTGTTGTAGGTCAATATGGAGCCGACAAGAAACAGCGGCCCCCAGAGGAGCCCACGTCACCGGCGGCATTCTCAACGTTTGTCTAGTTCCAAAAAACAGACAAAATTGTCCACTAGTTCATAATGCTAGAATCGTGTAATATAGGAATTAATTGAGACAATGGTTTGTGGAGTGAATCGTCCGGGGATGGACGGCAATGCTTGGCCTGGCTGTTCCGATGCAATTCAGGGAACTTCACCTCATGTATTATCTATCTACACACCTGGGAGCCCTGTCAGGCACTGGAGTGTCCTGGACCAGACACCCCCTATTAAAACAGGCACAAGCCCAGCATGCCATGGACATCCACACGAACACGACTCAATTTGATTGGTGGAGACTTCTCCTATGCGGAGCCGCAAACAGGAGGTTTTGCAGCTACTCGTTACCAAGGAAACGTGTAAATGTACTGTCGTCAGAGTCGGCTGTGTAAAGTAGTCTCCAAAACAGGCCCCAGACAACATTTTGATATTGATGTTTTTACTTTCTGCTGACAGACTGTTTTTTGCAAAAACAGCAATTAAGAGAACACATCAGCAATTAGGAAATAGCACATATTTAGCAAAAGGGAAAATGGCAATATTAAAATGTTGCCAGGAGCCTATTTTGGGGACTATGACTCTTGCAACATTTATATTGTTGGTAGAGGTCTACACAGCATATTTGGAACTACACCTGCCTTGTATGCAAGATATACATGTATGATATGGATATCTTTTTATGTTTGTGATATGGTACTAATGTACCTGTGAAAAAATGTGCAAGACTAAGATACTACCACAGTTCTATTATTGACTCACAAGCGTGCATGCTCAGTCTTGTGACACAGCAAAAGGTAGTGTGAAATTTGTGCCTTGACGATGTGAATTTTGGACCAGGTGCTATACTCTCATACTTCTAGTTATGTGTGACTCGGGGGTTAAGTGTAAAAGAAACAAACAATGGAAAAAAACAGAGATGACTGTCTGGCGTAAAACCATCGTGTATAGGATGTCGCAAACCTGAATAGAGTTAACAAGACCATATGTACCATTCTCGGTAGATAAGTTTGCATGAAGTAACACACTGAGACCAGGAAATTCAGCTGCCTTACTGTACAACCTCGGGACTTTGGGGCCAGTATAGGAACATTACGTCCCCACCTCAAAAGGCTGAACACTTCTGCGTCTTGAATTTCATTATGTTACAGTTTTATTGATAACTTTTTTAATTGCTTTACAGAGATGAAGATGACCTAGACATTTGTGCTTGAAAAATCTTTTTTTAAGGCCACATTTTAATAACACTAGCATTTGTTTATTAAAACCTAGTCCAAAATTTATAGACATGCTAGAACAAGGCCTTATTGTTTGTTTGTTTTTAACTGTCAAATGAAGATTGAGAAAGATGTTTCTATATTTTTGGCCGATGTTGATGTTTTGTAATATATTGCTTGCCTGTCTTTACATTATAAGACTATCATTGTGTGTGGAGACGTTTTTATTATGCAAAGCCAAAGCTTGATGCTTTAATTACTTTAGAAGATAGCTGCCTTACTCATCATGTTTATAACACTTTTTAAAGTGCAAATTAAGATAGATAATTGTAATTTGAAAAAAGTTGTGTTAGATTTTGGTTGATGCTACTACTAACCATCCAGGAACAACTGAAGAAGATGTAAGACACATAATGATTTCTTAAGAAGTCTTGAGAGATTGTTTTTTTTGTTGCAAGACGTTTGATTATCTTGTAAAGAATTGATGTAGAGTGTGTACAGTGTAGTTTTAACTTAAAGGTTTGTTCTCTGTTCTTGATGTTATTTTGGAATATGTCATCCATGTAAATGTAGGACTGGTACCTAGCTTTCATACAAATCTTGTCAAATTCATTTCATTTGCCACTTGGGAACATAGAAACTGTACCAAAAATACACCCTGCACTGTTTGGCAACATTCAAATCATGCCGAAAATGTACAAATCACCTAGTATGAGATCTCTCATTCTGTTGTTGCTATTGGTAAAGATTGAGATTGTACCTTTTCTGCAATTTGTATGCATGTTTCCTAATAGTAAATCATGTTCTCAGCAGGATTTGTATGTATTTATCAAGATGTGTGGAATTTCCAGGAATCAGCAAGAATGTCTCTGAAAAAGTTAACAAAATGTACAGGCCTGTAGGCAGTGACAAGGTTTTGTTGATACTATTAAAGTTTCAGTAACTTCTCACACATGTAGAGCTCAAAGGCATGGCAAAAATTGTAATTGGCTTGCCACTTGAAGCTCACGAATCCTGTATACCAGTGCTGGTACATGTATTCTCTATATAACTAAAAAGGTCCAGTTTTGCCTTTTATCTAATCTGCTATTCACTTGCCTACAAGCCTGACTTTGGAAGCAAACTAATTTGTGCTAGTATATGTATACAATATAGGAGCAAAGCATCTGCTAAATTCTGTTACATACATGACTTTTATGTTCAAGGATTTGTTGCTTGATCTTAGTTCACTTGGAAAATAAGTAGAAATCTTCTCAAAGAAGGCAAAGTAAACCAGGCTATACTGTGTATGAACCATCCCACTAGCAAAGAGGCGTTGTAACTATACAAACAGATTTTCAACAGTCATAGCAGAAGTAAACAGTTACATGATTTTGTACAGGCTCAAGGACAACTTGCTAGCTTCAGTGAGTTCATCGTATCCTTTCATCTCTTGAGTTCACATCAGGTGGAGTTTCTATTGATAACTGTAATTAGAGTTAACGAATGTAGCTATATTTTTACTTGTTGCTGATGTAGTGTGAAGCGCAATGATTGCCAGTATCTGTAGATGGACTCAAGATTAAATGATAAGGAGGGCAAACAGCAGTTCAGAGCATTAGGGAAGTAAGTGTATTTAATGAGTGCACAGCCATACATGTTGGATAATGAGGCGCCATTGTTGTATAAGTGCAAGTCTGCTATCTGTCACCAATGAGAAAAATACATGTTCATGTGTGGAAATTCTGGGCTTTGTCTCTTTCTTCTTTCACCCTAGCAGGGTTCCCAATAAGGTGGGAAAGGCACTTTATCATATTTCCTCACTTGGCTTACATGTAGATGGAGATGAAGCTCCAGTAAGGGAAGTCCTCTGGGATTGGATGGGAGGTATAAAAGATAGGTGATAATCAATGATGAAAGGCAGAGCTAGGTCAAGCATGTTCAAGCACCACAATTACAAAAACGTAGGGGTCCATAGTTATAGTTAACGTCAACGGGCCCGATAGACCACATTAAAAGAAGATAATTTTGACCTGTCAATACTAGAAGATGTTGTCAACATTCCCTCGATCTGTAGCGATGCTCTAGTGTTGTCAAATGATAAAAGACTAGAATGAACAATGCATATGTCACCATCATGTCAGTTTGATGACAGTTCAGGTGCCACGCCCACCTCCGCTGACCACCTGTCATGATGACGTCACGATTGTGACCCCTGACACATATTACCCATCAAACACCGCGCGTAATAACACTACGATTCGAAATTCTATGGCAACGGGAGAGGACTTTCTCTCCCAGGAATCCACACTTTTACTGCAATTATGTGTATGTTAGGATAATTTAACCGAATTCAGACGTCAGGGGACAACATGAAGAAGCTAACGAGGAAAGTGTCCAAGGTTCTGGGCCGCACCAGCACGACTTCGATCGGCAGCGGCCCGAGCGTCGGTGGGGAGGGGGCGCACGGCTCGCGTCTGTCCCTGACCGGGTCGCTGTCCGCGTACGATGTCCGCGAGAAGGACATGGGGAAGGTGCACAAGGCGGCCTGGACGGGCGACATGAAGAAACTGCAACAGGCTCTGAAGAAGGGAGACATCAACGCCTTGGACAAGGAAAACAGGTAGTCTCTCTTCTCAAGGAATGTTGACATAATTTTTTTTAAAACGACATCAGCTGATCGATCAAATCATGGAGGTACAAAATCACAAGGTGATCACGTATTGCGCATCTGGTTTTGTTTTGACAATAATCCTTTTAAAATAATCATCCAAGAACCTAGTACCCTGCTTTTCGTTGATAGATACAGCCCTCCCCCACAAGTCGCTTGTGACATCACAATATCACGGTAGCTGACGCTTCGCAGCACGATTCAGGAATGTCAGGAATCCAACGCTTTGTCACAGATTGACATAACGTCACTAGACGTTCAAAGTTCACATTTATTATTAGCACATCCTGCAATGAACGGTTTATCTAAACATCCTTTGCATATAGATAACTGTAAAAAGAGTGAAAGCTACACATAAAACAATGGGCATTTGCATGTAAAAGACTGTTTCAGTAGTTCGTTTTTTCAACCCCATAGATAACTTAATTATTTTGAAATCCCTCCCAGGTTGGTTTCCTGATCTCCAACTCCAAGTCGTTTCCCAGGTGTAAACTGTGAGGGAAATGTCCCAGGGGTGGGGGACTGGGGGTCTTGGTTAATTTGGTGGATTGTCTGAATGCCACAGTCCCTCCACACTTAACCAAATTTATGCTATTAGCATAGATAAAATTGCAAAAACATTGACTTTCCCTACAGTGTCTATATCAGTATATGAGATATGAGACCTTTTGTTATTGTAAGATTAGAGAAGTCAAATACGGATGCATGGCGTGTCACTATGCTATCAGTGTGCAAGCTGTTGAAATACTGTAAATATACATGTATAATCATGGAGGTTGACGTTCAATGATGAAAACCTCCTTGGTATAATGGAGTTTAGAATTTAAAATAGAAAGCAGAGAAATATGAGTAAGAAAATTACAAAAGAAGAAGAATGCTTTTAGTAAATTTTACTGTCATAAGAAAAATCTACCAGTCTCAGAAATAAGTAACATGCTTTGTGACACCTTATGATCGATGTGCTTCACAAGCCCTGGAGGTGACTTCACCAGCCCCCACCTGCTTGTTTTGTAACCTGATACACCTGTCCGTAGTACAGGTGCACATACACACCTTTCATTCTCCCACCTTCAAGTTGCCATGGTTCATGTAATATGTGAAGAGTCCATGCAAAAATGCAGCTTTTCCCCCTGAGAAATCTAAATGTGGGACATTTCTCCCCAAAGATACCAGGTCCAGACTGGTGGGAAAAGATACAAAATTCAAAGCATTGCCTTGACCTTTAACCTCTAAAGCCTTGTGGAATTGAAAGTAGTTGTTTGTAGAGCCACATAAGTGGATGTGATGGTATCATTTGCAAGTAACAATAGTGCAGAGGACTTGAATGGTTTACCAAACACAGGTTTCATTGGATCTTATGTTGTGACTTTTAGACACCTGACTTTCCTTTTCTTGCATTTCTATTTCATTAAAGGAAATGTATCAGATTCTGTTCTGATAAATTTTCTACATTTGAAAGAACACTTTGAATAAAAGTAGATGAATAGTACTAGTATATTGTAACATAAGGGTTTTGATGAATCGTTACCTGCAAAGGTTGGATGTTATAGTTTAAAGAATATGATTTCAATCAAAACATTGTAATGCAGAGATTTTTTCAAGGTAGACAGTTTTGTATTGATCAATTATATGATGTACATTTCCAGGACTCCCCTACATCTAGCGTGTGCACGAGGCAACGTGGAAACTGTGCAATTCTTGTGTGAGAACAATGCCAAGCTGAACGTGTGTGATGATGATATGAGGTCGCCCCTCATGAAGGTACCAGCACATTCTCAATAATTCATGTGGTCCCCCGGGTTAATTCATTGTGTTTTAGACAGGTGTGCAGCGTAAACAATTGTTTGACAGTTATCAGGGCTCAGTACATGTATATCACGTACATAAATTTTCTTTTAACGAAATAATAAAAAGTACTTCTCAATTTCATATCATGGGTAGTGTGACTTGATACATTCCCTTTTTTCCTTACCAACTAACCTAAATTATGGCCATGGGGAGCCATAAGATATGACATAAGATTTGAATGGTGCAACTGTATCTGGATCTCTAAGTCCAAGGCCAAGATTTTGCAGTGATTAATAGTCAGTACTACATGACTGCTAAGGCTGTGAAAGCACCTGGTTATCCAGTTGACATTTAGCGTGATACAGTCCACAGATGTGGCACACATCATGATAAACAAAAGGTCAACAAAGGATACCACAGTTACATGTACATTAGTCTTCAGACTCAGCTGGTTTTTGCTTTACAAAATCACATTTCAGATTTAACCAATCACAATATTTCAGTTGAGAAAAGCATTGTTAAAGCCAAAGAAAATAACTGCTGTAAAGGTACATTGAACCTGGATGTCTAACCTTCACTGACGTACATTAAACCTATAAGAACTGTACCTCTCCTTGGCTTGGCCAGTGGAAAATGAGCTTTGAACAAGGATAATTGGACATCAGACACTAATTCTGTTTTCTGCTCCCCCAGGCTGTCCAGAGTCAGTTTGACGACTGCACGGCCATCCTGCTTGAACACGAGGCCGACACAAACCTGGTGGATAAAGACGGGAACACGGCCCTGCACCTGTCTGCTCTCATCCCCAGCCTCCCGGCTGCCGAGGCGCTGCTCAATCACGATGCAAGGATTGATACTCAGAACAAGGTGTGTGCGCATACTAGTGTCTTATTAATATTATTTGTGTCCGCATTACTTGATCTTGTACTAAGCTGCTTTTCTTGTGATATTTTTCCCTTTCCATAAGTACTAAATGTATATACTAGGGTACAGGAAAACCCTGTTTTACCTAGAAGACCACAACTTGCATATCAAAACTTCCCCAAAGCGTACTTCTAGGACTGAGCACGTTTTATTTTTTTCTCCCTCTCCAGTCTGGCAGCACCCCCCTCCATTTGGCCACCTACCAGGGTTATGACGACTTCTGTGAATTTCTGCTCAAGGAAGGGACAAATATTGATGCTCAGGATAACAAACAAAGGTTGGTTAATCATGACCGTATACAGCTGTATTATATATGTCAGTGTTGTATATTTCTTATATATATATTATTATATGCCTGGTCTTTGAAGCAACTATGTTGTACCAGCCATTCCTGTTTCGGCACTACAGGAATGTAGGTTTGAATCCTGTCCGACCAGGTTCTAAATCCCGAGTTACATGCCACTGTAGAGCTTTCCGTCCTTCTGATTATGGCAAGTTGCCTGGCTCATGATACTCTGTAAAAGCTTTAGGGTAATTGAATAGACCTGGCTGTATATACATGTACTTCTAATGTTGTAGACAAATAAACAATAAGTGATAACCCCCTACAGGACACCCCTGATGCTGGCCGGTATGCTGGGTCATGTCGGTCTGGTCAAACTGCTGCTGGAGAACAACGCTGATGTCAACATCCGCGACAACCGTGGCTGGACTGCGGAGGACTGTGCCAGCACGGCAGGACAGCACGCGTGAGTTCTCAGTGTACTGTGTTCTGTTGTGTACCTTTCACTTTCCTTCATACAAACTTATAGAGCATTTAGAAATTAGAATGTGGAATGTCAGTTTTCTTGTCTTGGTCATGATTATTTACTGTTCTTTGCTAAGGCAATTGGTTTTAAGACCACATTTCACTGTGGCTAAAATGTCACCATTAGTTTTATTACACACCACAAGTTATGATGTTTAAGAGACAATTTCAGTAGCATACAACTGAAATTATTTCTCTTTCTTTCATATATTACCAGGGCTGCCCACCTGATAGTAGACCACTCCCTGAAGACTTCCAGGGGGAGGGGAGCCACAGGAAGAAAGAGCCACTCCCCCTCCATGTTCAACCCACCGAGTCCGTCCAACGTTGACCCCCTCGGATTTGCAATCGGGGGACCAGCAGGTGATGAAATGGATGGTAAGTTTTGTCCTTTTCTTCATAATGGCTAGTACATTGTACTTTGGAAAGATAAGTGAAGAGAGAGTATTTAATGATCTACATGTAATATAATGATGCAGTAAAGTTAACAATTGCTCCTGACCAGTGTTTTTCCAAATCATTCATATTCCAGACTCATTTTTTCTAATTCAGGCATTTGCCATCTTGTACTTACTAGTACATGTATCATCCCAACAAAGTCTTCAGGTCATGAGACATCCTTTCAGCTTGTAGTTGTAGAATTTTGAATTTAACAATATCACAACATATCGAATGCAGTGATGATTTTTGTACAGCTGTAATTACCGTAACTCCTAACGCAGAGAGTACTTACGATATAGATCTGTGATTGTGCAACAAAGTCTATTCATACATCATGTGACTGTGGGTTTGAAACTTCACTCCTCAACTTCACTCTTCAGCTTTGCATGTGATTGCTGGTCTAAAATGCACCACTTCCCTGAATTTTTGTAAATTCATTTTACAAGAATATCTATAACATGCCTGGCACATTTCCCTTTGTGGTGCTTTCTTAACATCACCAGGCAGACACAAGAGGAGTTTTCTTTGCCATGCAGTAACCGCAGTTGTATCTGTTTGCCCGCTCTAGACTTTGCTGTTTTTCTTTCCCTCACACAGTGATAATGCCTGGCACAATTGTACTAGATACAGAAGATACATGTAGGAAGCTTAAGGGTAACGCTTACTTTAATATCTGTGTCACATGTCATTCGTAACGATGTGACGTGATGTGTACATGGATATTAGATACCTCTCACCATTTACATTAGAGATGTACGTGCACCTTTTCTTGAAAATTTGTTTTTATGTCTGTCAAAGAATGTAAATATTTCTACTTAGATGAAATTGGTTATGTCTGAACTCAAAAAATTTGTACTTTCAAATTTACACAATTTTTTGAGTTGCTGATTTTGTTTGCAATGTTTTGGGGTACATATGCAACTTGGTTGCAGAATTGTCAGAAAACTTATTTTTGTGTTGGCATTTCCTTTATTGTGCTTAACCCAGTGCTCTGACTACCACTGCTGCTACCACTCGGATACACGTAGAGTAATGTAATTCCATATTTTTCTTGCTTTTCAGTTCTAACTGCAAACCCGCTCTAGACTTTGCTGTTTATTTTCTTTCCCCCACGCAGTGGTAATGCCTGGCACAATTGTAGATAAAGGAGATAGAAGTTCACTTAAGAAGCTTAAGGGTAATGCTTCCGTCAACATCTTTGTCACATGTCATCTGTGAAAATGTGATGTAGTGATATGACATTGGTACTACTGACATTGTCGTTCATAGTTTATTTGTTGTTAGAATGTTTGTACTTTGTACATGACATGGCAATATTTGTGTTATGTGATCATATAGATCATGTTGGGATATTTGAGGAATGCAGTAGTAGGAAGGTTGGAAATTTCGCATACAGATCCTTGTGATGTCTTGACTTTGCATTAGAGAGTCCAGAGGCAGCAGATCTAAGACATGAGAGAAGAAGGTTGTCCTTTGAGACAAACCATAACAGGAAAGGTCGGAAGAAAACAGAAAGCCAGGATGTACCAAAAGGTGGTCCTAAGCGTAGGGAGTCAGATGGTAAAGGCAAAAGCCAGTCAGACGTTAAGCAGAAGAGACTTCGATTTTCGAGCTCAGATAGTGATGAGGACAGTAAGGAGAGCGAGAAAAAGCGTAGAAGACAGGTCCGCTCTGCTCCCAAACTTGAAGAAGCCAAGGCAAGCACAGATGAAAAATCTGTCAATCAGGGCAAGATGGCAGAAGCTAGCCAGGCAGTTGTCAGCAAGAGATCCAGAGACATGGTCCGTAGGAAAGAGACAGTTAACACACAGTCAGACAGCGTCATAAAAAAGAAGCCAGGAAAAGCTGTCAGAAGAGGCTCTCCCTCTGCTGAGATGTGCAGGCTCGTATTTGTAAGCGAGGCATCAAGCGGTCTGAGCGAGTCTTCCCCAGAACAGAATGCAAACATAGGCAGGCAGGAAGACGTGGATGTCTATAGTCTGACCACAGTTACTGACGTGGAGATAAAGGTTAGCAGTGACACCAGCCCCTGCAGTGATGTAGGCCTGGGCAGAGCTGCACTAGGTCAGAGGGCAGAGGCCATAGAAGAGTCAAAGGTCAGCTGTGAGGTCAGGAGTGATGTAGGACAGGTCCCCATGCCAAGAGCTGAGGCCAGGCCCTCTAGTGAGACAGTTGAAGGCAGGCTGATAGAAAATAAGAACAATCTGTTCTCAGTTATGTTCAGTAAAACAAAGTTGTGCAAATGAGTTGTAATTTTGCACAGGGTTTACCAGTGTCCTCTGTTTTTGTTTGCCGTCAATGACAATCATTTTGTTGATGTTGTGGCTGTTGTAACAGTTGTTAATGTTGGTCCACCTTGTTTACCAGTATGAGGAATGTCTTGTTGTCCGTCCATCTTGTCCTACTGTTGTAGTGACTCATTTCTCAAAGTTACATCATGAATTTGAGTTAACGTCTTAAGCCTGATTTCCAGAGGTTTGGCCATCTGTCTATTGTTGACTAGAGTGTTTCTAAGGAAATTTACACATTCAACATTCGTGTTTCCTTGACCGTCTCTAACCATGTTGGTTGTGAACCTGATCCGACTGACTACATTTCTGAAAATCTAAACGTTCTTGTGAAACATTTCTCTGTGATATGAAAAAAAAAAGTGATTTTATGCCTGACAGTTGTTTTGACTCCTACTACAGATGATGATGACCACCAATATGAGGAGGTGCCGTACAGAGGAAGAGGAAGAGATTCACCACAGTCCAGGTAGGAGGGTTATTCATTTGATAGTACAACAGATGAGTGACATGAGGTTTGGCTAGAGGACATGGGATTGAGATGCTGTTCCTGGGAGGATATTATGTCCTTGGAAAAGCATTTTAAACAGTTACCTACATTCTGTACCTCACAGTCCTCACTCCACCCAGGTGTAAATGGGTACCTGACTTTGGTAAGGTGAACTTGGTGGAAGGTGAGGGATGGGCTGTACCTTCCAAGACCAATAGCTTAATAAGAAACATTGGATTAACCACCCAGTGCCCCCAGAGTCTCAAAAGGCTATGGGACCTCTACCTCTGATGAAGTTAGATTATGATTTTCAAATGCAGACCGTTTTCTAATTTGTTGTTTTCATTCTGTGTTTACCCCATAGGTCTGATGCAGAAGACTCCTGGGCTGCATCAGAGCCCAGTGCTGCAGAACCAAAGCCTGCTCAAGTAAGTACTCTAAAACAAAAATGCTACACTTTGAGTTGTTAGATCACAATATCCTGAAATTATAGAGTAAAGCAGGTCAAGCTCAAAGCATAATAACAGACAAAACGTAATGCTTTTCGACGATGTGTAATATAGTAAATGTACATGTAGTAATGGGATGTGGGTAATTTGTGCTAAGTAATGAGAATCTAGAAAAAACAAACAACTGTTTCCTGTTTTCCAGAAGCCGAAGGCTGCGCCCAAACTGACCAGGTACCTCAGCAGATCTGACGAGTCCTTACCAGAAGGTTAGTAACTTGGAGATTAAAGTGTAAGTTAAACGTTCTCTGTTTTCATCTTGAGTTTTTACAAAAGATGTCAGAGCACCAAATAACAGCTTGTTGCAACTTTTAAGATGCACATGCATGTGTATAAGCTGATCACATATTATGTTCATGTAGAGAGGGAGTCTGGCTCACAGAAGGGCCGTGGCCGGGAGTCGCGGTCCCCGCGCAGTCCCCGGGACGGTGGTGACTCCTGGGCCGCCTCAGACGGAGACAGGAGCCCCTCTCCTGCCGCAGACTCCTGGGGACCTTCTGAACCTGAGAGCATCGGGGAAAAGGTCTGTTGTGTCATGTTTGAAAACAGTTGAAAATTTTGAATGTACAAAATATCATTAACTGACCAAAATTAATTTGAACTTTCTGTCACATACCTGGTGTTACAGAATCACTGGGAATTCTCATGGTCAGTTCTTCACTTTGTCTTACATAGATGACAAAATGGAGTTGTATGTTGAATCCGGTATATGGCAACGCTATGTTGCTGTAGGACAGCTAAAATATGAAATTAAGAACTATTTTGTTTTGTTTTGCAGAAGCCTGGTAAGAAAGTGAACCTGGCCAAGCTCCTGAAGTTGGACAAAGATGACAACTCCCAGAAGAGTGGAGGGAAAGGTGAGAGCTACTAGAAACTATAACACTAACATTCCATGAACTGATTACCACTGTGTTTAATGCTACCTGCAAAAAAAATGAGAGCTCAGTAAAAATCACACCTCTAACACTGCCTTACCAAAAATCCAGAAATAGGCGATGACTCCTCTTCAGACAGTCCAACATCTCCCCACCGTAAGGAGGCCCCTGGGAGCCCAACATCTCCCAGTACTAAGGACCCCCCTGGGATAGAGTCTGTGAAAGACTCTGGCATCTCTACTGGTAAAAGTCACTAATTCCCACTGGGATTTTTCATTATGTAGTCCCAATTGCACTTTTCATTCATTTTTTTCTCTTTATTTTTGACACCAGGTTTGCACCTACCAATCCAGTGAAGCCACCCGCATCTTCTAAATGCAGTTTTTCTCATTTTACTTTTATTTTCAGCAAACATTTGATTTGAAGTTACATGCTTGCCTGGAAAGATAGTGCACTGTATAGTGCTGTGTAATGATGATAAAGTACTACAGATATACTGGTATGTGTACCTGTAGCGGCAATGGTAAATGCTGACTTCCAGATCTCACACCAATGTTCTGCAACTCTTGACTTGCAGGTCTCACACCAGATTGTCAATGATACTTTCTAATAGTATGTAGACTCTTCAAATAGTATGTATCCGTAATCTTGTCATCAGATGGTACGTCAATGACACCAAGAGGGGAAATGTCACCACGAACGCAGGACTCCCAGAATTCCCCTCCCCTGTCCCCAACATCACCCAGGGGAGACGCGACGTTTGAGCCACAGCAGCACCAGGAGGAGGTCTCCCACCAGGATACCCAGAATTCCCCTCCCCTCTCCCCCACCACGCCTAAAGAACAACGAGAGTCTGAATCTCAGTGGGACTCCTCACCGGCTGCCTCCCCCTCCCCCAAACACGGAGCAAGTTCGGAGTCATCTGACAGTGATGGTGAACCTGCAAACTTTTTTTCTGTACCACCAAAACAACGATCTGACACAACCCCTTCTCTCTGGTCGTCACCCCTTATAAGGATAGGAGTCACACTTTGATAAAGCACCAAGATATTTCATAAACTTAAGGAACAGTCATTTAAGATTGTTTTCTCACAGATTTCACATTTTCATGGGGCACCTGACTATCAGTAACAGGATTTCAGTCAACATTTCTTTGCACCTTAACACATGTGTGACCATCATATTTTGCGCACTAACTGTGGAGGAGAGTATAGCATGTAAAATGCTGTGACTAAACTCACTATACACTAACTCACTAACACAATTATACATGTATTGTGAACCTAACCTTTTTCCACTTGACTAATCCCACTACTGTTGCCAATTCATTGTGAGAAAACAGAGATAATGTACTAGTAGTGAAGAACAGCGTCAATGGTACATGTACTTCCAGCAATAACTCAGACCATACTGTGATATAGATCATGCTTTTTTCATGCTGTTATATTCTTCCAGCATCATAGTATTATCTTCCAGCATCATAGATCACTCATTAACAATGTCTCTTGTACTTTCTATCTCATTGAAGACCATCTCAGAAGAAAGATCTCTCCTCGTAATCGTGTGTCCCCACACAACGACTCTCCTGTAAAAGAACCAGGAGTGAACAGTTACCCTAGTTCAGGGGTAGACTCAGGGTCTGACTCCAGCCACGTTGCTGTAACAACGCTCCAGGATGAGCTGGAAGAGGCGATGGCCAGGGGTACTAGTGTTTCACCTGCTCTGTTGGTCGTAGTGTGCAGTTTAGGGGATGGTGCAGGAAACTTGACAGTGGTGGGGAACTGGAGAACTTAAACCTGCACAGGAGGAGTCTTAAACCTGTTATCATGGAGACCTCAGACTCTATTTGGTGTAACTTGTATTATAGTGAAACTGCACCGGGATCTACATGTAGCATAAGTTATATTAGAGGTGAGGTTGAGGTTGGTGAGGTCCATTTTCTGGACACAATCATGTACTAAAGAGCACAACAGTGATCTGGTATGATATTTTTTAAATCACAGTAACACTAATGTACTTGACAAGCACTAACCATACAGGTTTGATGGATTTGATCCAAGCTCGGAGCCTCCCCCGAATCCAGCACAAAAATGGTGATGGGACGGAGAGAGTCAAAAGTATAAGTTATTGAAAATAATACATGTTTTTGTTTCTGGTTCTGTAGAGATGTCCCCCACCTCTCCCAGGGGCCCGTCTCCCATTGTCCAGGGCCCGGTCAGGTCTCCCCCGCTGGTGCCGAGGTTACCTGATTTAGAGGACTCCGTGTCGGAGTGGGACTCCAGCGCCCCTCCCACCCCTGTACACCAGAATGGTAGCATCTATGACATGCTGGATAAGTCTGGCTCCCCTAGTAGGACTCCCAGATCAGAGAAGAAAAGGAACTTCAGCTCTACAGCACCACCAAAGCAGCAACGGGGTAAACTTCATGGAAAACCTTGCTTTACACATGACATCTGCTTTCTAAAACAGTCACTCTCCTGCTGTCTAAAAATATTTCACAGGTGGAGGCGGATGCATGTATCAGGATAACTAACAATTAAATGCACTTTTTTGGAAACGTGTACTAAACTTAATGTAAAGTACAGAAAACTAACCTCAACAATCTCAAAAGGAACACCGTTTAACACATCTGTTTGTCTACAGGTGGATCTTCACATTTTGTTGAACTACCCAATGTGCTAACAATAAGATTCAACAGTATCCAACAGAAGACTTTGTTGTTTTGACATTTTCTGGTTCCCACCATCCAGATGGGTCACCAGTCTCCCCCAGGGACAAGCTGTCCCCTCGAGCCCGAGGCTCCCCACCCCTCACCCCCAACCCCCGGGACAGACAGGGCTCTGACTCTCAGTGGGACACCACACCCCCGGCCACCCCCACCCCCAGGCAGAATGGCAGGGACAACAAGGTAGGAACTGTTTGTGTTTTCTTTTACATGGTTGTGGCAGACATGACTATATTAGTATATACAGAGGCTATAATTACAAACATCTAGCCTTGCTGACAAAGATTGCAAACTATGTAAGCACAAAGAAAAGGATGTTAAAAACAAACTTCAGATCATCTGCTTAGTACTTCATCATGAACTCCTTATATGTAATAGAAAATGTTCAAAGCCGAATGCTTCTATCACTGTGTACATGTTGAGCTCATGTACCTTGGGTTTAACAGGATGATGACGATGACTGGGACACCACACCTCCGGCCACGCCCACCCCTCGTCATGGCAACATACGGGAGGAGGTAACCATGGAAACCAGTACCATCTCCTCCTGTCCATCACAGCTTTCCTGTACACTGTCCACAATCAAACACTGAACTCTTGCTTTACCTTCATACCTGTTGACTATTGGCAGTTTTCTCTCTGTGCTAGGGCAAAGGAATTCACTCTCAAAGTTTCTATCTTTTCTAGCAGAGTGATTTCTTTTCCAGCCTGCAGATATCAAGTAGAATAACTATCATCATCAATTAGCCATGACAAACAACAAGATTGATTGATAAATGTATATAAAAATGAATTATACTGTGTACTTTACTCTGCAGGAATAAACCCAGTATATATAGTAACTGCTGTAGGATTTTTAATGTGTGGATCACTGATCACTCCTTTGCTAGCAAAGTTTACATGTGGTGAACTCACTGAACTCACAATCAAACCAACACACATATCATGTAGGATGTGATTTTTGGAAAGTACTAGTATGATGCAAAATGCTGTCTGACCAACTTTTGTTTATTATTGTTTGGTTCAGGGTGAGTATGAGGATGTGATACCGACAGGGAAAAGCAAGTCCAGCCCACGAGCTAAGGCCAAGGCTCCAGCGTCTGCTGACCTCCCTGAGGATGAAGATGACAGGAAAAGAGGTGAAACACTCTTTGGTATAAGGAGAGATAGGAAGTTTCAATGTTGTCCCTTTTCATTTGAAAAAGTTGGTGAGGTTATGGCACATTTATGGCAATATACTTTATATGTATGGAACTGCCCAATTGATAGCAAGAATTTGTATTAAATCTTTTTAGAGAATCAAGAAAATCCATGCCTCATCATATTACTTGTCCCTTTCAGATTCCTTTAACCAGGTTTTTACACATGTATATCTGTGATCTGTCCCAGACTTGAAAAGGGTTCAAAATCTGAATGTTGTTGCTTTTCCCCTTGATAACATGTTAATGGTCTTTGTCTTGTAATCCCCAGTACTGGCAGAGCTTGGCCTGTCTGATGTGTCAGAGGTCTCCAGTGTCAACTTTGACACCGAGAACGAGACAGACCAGGATGCTCCATCACCTTTGACCCCAAGGTAATTTACACTGTATCATCAGGGCACAAAGCTAAAGCAAATGTATTGAAGTCAAACCTGTACAAGTGACTGCCTCAGCAAAATGACCACCTGCCATTGCAGGCCATTGTGGACACTTTTTGGTGGCTTCTTTGGGTATTTTCTTATTGACCCAAACAATAAGAACCCTGACTGTAGTGGCCACCTGTCCAGCGTGACCATTTTCTTCAAGTCTCTTGAGTGCTCACGTTGGACCATGAAAATGACACTGAGTAAAAACAATTCCTTTATCTTGTCCTTCACAGGAACCGACCTTCCCCATCAGCCACAAGGTCAGGTCCCAAGGTCAACCAGACAGCATCCTTACCTGAGTTAGGAAGAGCTCAGCAGGTGAGACCAATTGTATAGGAAAACTTTAAGAAATGTTCTGAGGAAGGTGCAAACATTGACATGGTGAGGTTAGGAAGACAATGTTTATGATAATTCTCTGCACAATTCATAATGTTAGAATGTGCCATTATGAATGTATGTTTCCACTCATTTATCATATGCCCCCCTCTTCCTTAGAATGCTGAAAAGAAGGAGACACCAAGAAGAAGAAGTGAGAGCCAAGATGAGTCAGGTTAGTTGCTGTCTTTAGTGATGATCTTTAGAATACACAAAACTAGTTTATGAAAATAGGACACCCCACAGCTCTTACTATCAAGAGATTGTGATGTCATTGCTGTTCATGCTTGAGCAAAGGCAGATTATAATTGGCCGGCCTAAGCACTTCTTTTCCCATTTTCAGTGCACATTCAAAATTAAGTTCAACTTGATGTTTCAACAGAATACTTTGAGCAGGAAATTCAGAGGATTTAAGTGGAAGACTGCATTGTCAACTTGTTCCCTATTTTGTCCAGATTCTGACTGGGATTCAGACGAGGTGCTTCCCCCCTCAGACTACAGCGCAGGGAAGGCGGCAGGCAAGTCCCCGTCTGCACCAGCTGTCATGCAGAAGAGACCTCGTAAGTCCTGGTGGTGGGGAGGGGGGCAGGCTTGTCTCAGCAATGACATTCAGGTCATGGCTTTTGCAAAACACATTAAAGACAGGCTTATCTGGGACTACATACATGTATGCTGCATGTCGTTTTTAAATGTAGCAGTCTTAGGTTAGCCTGGGTGCCTTCTGATTTGTAACAGCAACCTCAAAAATCAGATGGCACCCAGGCTAGTTTTACGTACCTCATGATAAAAATCAGTTCCGATATCCTTATCCCTGATGCACAACGGCTCTCAGAGTCTTCTGTCAGGTATGTCAGAATCCTCCTCCTTCTGTACAACTAACTTTGTAGTAATCCTCACCCACCAACTTCCAATGTATATAACATTTTGCACAATTTTTGTTTTTTATTAACACCTTATGTTAAGTTTCAGTTATTTTGCACTTTTTTATTTTTATTTTTGTTTTGTATTTTGTGTTTTAATCTCTAACAAAGCCTCGGCCCAAGAGTCTGAACAAGACACGTCCACATTCGGTGATGATGAGGTCATCAGACCTGAGGATGAGGACTTCACTCAGTCTGTGTCTAAAACTCCTTCCCTCCAGGAGTCAGGGCATAGAGGTAGGTTACTCCCCAGCATGCCTCCCCTCCCCCTAAAAAATAAAGCTGTTTTCCCCTCACCAACAAGAAAAGGATGGCCAAAAATCATGTAACCTTACATGTCTTTAGATGTCAAACTGTACTAGTATATCAAAGCCCATTTCATTTCAATGTTTTGGACAACCCTAGCCTTCTGAAAGAAACCTGCCATCTTCCACTTCATGTACATGTATATGCCCATTGCTTTGCAAAAAGTTGCTGTCCACCGTCCTGTTCTTCACTGTGTTGTAGATTTGTTCTGTTTTGTTTTGGTGTTCACTAATGTAATTGGTGGTGTGTATTTGTTTTTTTGTCATTTTGTTTTGTGTTGTTTTGTTTTGGTGTTCACTAATGTTGTAGGTGGTGTGCATTTGTTTTGTTTTGTTTTGTATTTTTGTTTTGTTTTGGTGTTGACTAAAGCTGTAGTAAGTGGTGTGCATGTTGCATGGTGGTTACAGTCGGTGATGAGGATTCCGAAACCTCGTCTGACTTTGGCGATGACGAGGTGCTTCCTCCCCAGGATTATTACTCCCCGCCGTACGGTAGTGGGAGGCCGCGTACGTATTGTACTGTGTTGTGCTTTGTAGTAGAGAGCAATGTTTAGGTGTGGTGTTGTAGTTTCTCATTGCTTCTTGCTTCCCTTCTTTTCATGAATGCTGTGTCAAACTGTCTTTGCTGCTTTTGGAAAATTACATTTTACAATGAGAATAGTGTTTTTTATTCAGTCATTCATTCATTGTTTCATTCATTCATCATTTCATTCATTTAATTAATATCCTAATTCATATGTGCCCACATTTGATTATAATTTATTCAATTCTTCCAAGGAGGTTAAGCTGATATTGAACAAGAAGGTCAGATTAGCCACCTTGGATTATAGGACTGTTACTGTAACAGTAACAGTTATGTCAGAAGGTCAGAGAATCATCAGTGTTTCCCTCCCCAGCCCTGTACCGCGGCGTCTCCCAGACAATCGAGGAGGAAGACGAGGACCAGGCCTCGCAGCTCGGCAGCGCCCGCTCCCGCCAGTCTGAGGTCACGGAGGAGGAGAGCGAATCCGAGTGGGAGAGAGAGAAGAAGCTGGATCGCCAGAAACGAGAGCAGGAAGAACGGGAGGAAGAAGACAGAAGGAGACAGCAGGAGAAGGAGAGACAAGAACAAGAAGAACAAGAGAGAAGGGAAAGACAAGAACGTGAGAAGCGAGAACAAGAGGAGAAGGAACGCCAGGCCGAGAAGGTTAGCCATCTCAAATGCTTTTTGCTGACTGTCAGATTGCAGGTACTGCAGTACTTCTCAGTCCCATCAGGGGGCTCTTTGTCTGCTCCATTCCCAACTAATCTGCCCAACTATAGGTTCACCAAATTTTCAGTTCATTGAAAGAGCATGTTGTCTCCTATGATATAGCTTCTTGATGGCATTTTCTGGTGAAAAGTATTTTTCAAGTTGTCCCAATGTCCTTTTCTAATTAGTTTCTGTGCATTGTGTTGTCTGCTTGGCTATTTTTGGTAGTGCTGTATTCCTTTTCCACAGCACACTGAGTTGTTAGGCTTTATTTATTTATTTATTTATTTATTGCTCTTAAAAACAGTTGGGTGGTACCTTCAGTCTCTGAAAGACTGATTTCCAAGGTAGCCCAACAGAACATACACATTGGACAACATGGAATACAATAAGATTAAACAAAATAAAACAGATTAATCAAATGATCAATCGTGGCAAATGACAATAAATAATATAAACAGAGGGTACAAATAATCAATCATACAAACACAACGGAACAACCAAAACAAATAGTCAAAATCGTTAAGCATAGTCGTATTGTCAAATAATGACAGTCGGTTGTCCGTGAGGTCAGGGTCAGAGGTCGTATGTTCTTAGCGCTACTTTAAAAGCATTTATTGTTGATGCCTGTTTAGTTACCGTGTTAAGCGAGTTATAGGCTGAAGCTGCTCTGTACTTAAATGTTCTCTGTCCAGTTCTGTTTGTGTATTTGGGTTTACGCAGTAGGTTTGCTTGTCTTGTGTTGTACTGATGTGTTTGGTGGTTGTAGCTGAAACAGTGTAGCAGGTAATCAGGTGCAAGTCCATGTAGACACTTGTAGACCATTGTGCAGGTATGGTGGGTTCTCCTTTCCTCTAGTGGTCTCCAACCCAGTGTCTGGTGTAGTTCGCTTACACTCGAGCGCAGTTCCCTTCTCAGGATTATCCTGGCAGCCCTGTTCTGGAGGAGTTGAAGTTGCTGTTTGGAGGTAACATTGCAACTATTCCAAACCACATCACAATATTCAAGAATGGGTAGAACTAGACTTTTATACAACAGACATGCAATATCAGTGGTTAAGTACGGCCTTAAACGTCTCAGCAGGCCGAGACGTTGGGCCACTTTGTTACAGGTAGTCTGAATGTGGTCATTGTAACTTAGGTTTGAGTCTAGTACTACACCAAGATATTTGTAGTATTCAACCTTTTCCAGCTCATTGCCCCCAATACTAATAACTAGTTCAGGGGCTGACCTTGTTCTTACAGGTGTTCCCATTAACATCCACTTGGACTTACTGGCGTTAAGGGTAAGCCGGTTAGTCTTGAACCAGATTGCTATCCGGTCAAGTTCTGAGTTGAGACTCTCCTCGATGTATTTAGGATCCGTACTTACACTGAATAAGGCGGTGTCATCAGCATAAAGTGAAATTTTACTACTTGATACAGCTGCTGTCAAGTCATTAATAAACAGATTAAACAGGAGTGGTCCCAGGATAGATCCTTGGGGAACACCAATGTTGACAACGGCTGGATCAGATGTACATCCATTCATTGAGACAGTGTGTAATCGATTGGCTAGGTAGTTCGTAAACCAGGCAAGCTCCCTGCCATGAAGGCCGATCCATTCGAGTTTCTTAATCAAAATTTGATTTTCAAGCCTTGACCATAAGGATTGACCTATCACACTAAGACTCATAAACAAGACTAACAACAGTAAGTAAATGTTGACAAAATCCAAGGGAATCAACAGTAGTGGTTATCAAACGCCAATAAATTAGACAGAGCTGTATCCAGCACTAACATTACCTCACCTTCACATTCTCCAGTCTAAGAAATGGTACATGTATCTCTAAAAGCTTTATGTTTGGCAACTCACAGAAAATGTTAATCTTAGTGTAAAAATTATTTGTATGGTCCATTTGTTATGGCTTAACTTCATCTTAACGTTTACTTAGTGAGATTTGAAGTTGATAACTTTCCCAGCCGTTAACGGTCATGTTTACACATACCACTCAGTAAATTCTGTGTCAAACTTCACAAAGCATTTTATACAGTCCTGTCAGCATGTTATTGACTTTCAAAAGACTCCCTCACACCAGAGCGTACTTTCTCTCTGGCCGCACTACACGATTTGTGTACAGACCTCAAAATCGCCTCTTTCATATGCTAATGACGCTACTCTGAAACCCGAGTCCTGTCTGTTGTTACCGGGTAACCCGACACTTCAGACCCCGGCTGCAGGGTGGGGGGGTTATTATGGATTAGTGTAACTTATCCGCAGTTGTTAGTTTTAGTGACAGGCAACAGTAGACTACACAGTTATGTCAGGCGTCCTGCGCTGAACATTTGTCATCTGTTACACACTGCTGAGTTTGTGACAAATCTCTGTATTACCAAGTCCTCATCAGTGTATAGGGCTTTAGGGTAAGTTGGCTTTTCTATTATATAGAAATAGTATAATTTAGAATGTGTTTTAAACTGGTAGCTGCATCAGAATAGTAGAGCGGCAAACATTAGAACAAGTGTTGGCGTGGGTCCAGTCTGTCCCTCATTATTTACGTAGTAACAGAGATAGCCACAACTCCTGCCTTGCACAGACCTATGTATACAGAGAAAGCCAAAACATACTTCAAGTGGTATTGATTCCTTTGCACCTCGGCAATTTTTGCCAACCATCTACTGTAAGTATGTAGGATTTGTATTCCTGCTTGAGAAAAGCTCTGTCTTTTTACTAATATTTTAGTGTCTAAAGTCTGAAGCTTTCAGCATCTTGGTATTTTTTCTTGTGACCCTCTTGAGAAGCCTAGAAGGTGTAAACACTGTGCTACAGAATCAGTTACATTAATTTTGTTGAAGCAATGTCGTGCATTTCTTATTGTGAGCTACGTCCAAGTTTCTACATGTAGTTATTCTTTATCATAACTATCATACATGTATACGGTAGGTCTAAAATAATTAAGTCTGTTGTGAACAGGATGGATAATTCCATACTGATAAGCATTGATTTGAAAGCACAATTCATGGAGGCATGTAAACTCAAGTAAAATGGTGTACATTGCAGTCACGTATGTAAACTCTTCTGTCTTGTGTTTGGTCACCCATGGTATGGTCTGGTCAAGGACAAGTTAACTTGTTTGTCCCTCGTCTGGTGTCAGGACATCAATATTGACAGATGTTGCAGAAAGTAGGTTATGTGGTCACCAGGGCCACAGTTCAGATATCAGTAGCCTGCTCATTCTGAAAGAACAGTTGAGTGTTACTAGGACTGGCATCAGAGTTATTATTCTGATCAAGTACATTGGTGACCCATTATTTCTTACTTTGCAATTTTATCTTTGGCAACCTCTTGTTAGGTTTCAAAAATAATGTTAGACTTTGAAGATCTTCAATAATTATTTTTTCTATATCATAGAAACGCAAGGAAGAGGAAGAAGCCAGAAGAAAGGAGAAACAAAGAAAGGAGGAAGAAGAAAGAAGGAAAGAAGAAGAGAAACAGCGCAAGGAGGAGGAGAAAAGAAGAAAAGAGCTAGAGAGACAGGAGGAGGAGAGACGTCAGAAAGAAGAAGACCTCAGGCAGGCCAGAGAACGGAAACAAAGGGAAGAGCAAAAGAGACGTGAAGAAGAGGAGAGAAAGGCACAGGAAAGAAGAAGGCGGGAAGAGGAAGAGAAGGAAAGATTGAGGAAAGAGGAAGAGAGAAGACTAGAAAATGAAAGGGAACAGCAGGAAATAAAGAGAAGAGAGGAAGAAAGGAAGAGAAGAGACGAGTTGGCTCGACAGCGCGAGGAAGAAGAACTAAGGCTTGAACAAGAACAAAGGGAAAAGGAGAGAAGACGAAGAGAAGAAGAAAAGGAAAGGAAAAGACTAGAGGAAGAACGAATCAGGAAAGAAAAGGCTGAAACCAGAAAGAAGGAGGAAGAACGTAGGGCTCAGCAAAGACGAGAAGAGGAAGAAAGACTTGCTGAGGAGGAAAGAAAGGAAGAGGAAAGGCAGAGGGAGAGAAAGAAGGAGGAAGAGCGCAGACAAGAGGAGAAAAAGAGACAAGAAGAAGCCAGAAGGGCCGAGGAGAGGAGGATAGCAGAGGAAAAGACTCAGAAGCACCTAGAGAAACTGAGGCAATTAGCTGAAAAACAAGCAGAGCCAGTGTAAGTACACATTGTGTGATTTTTAGATGAATGATAATGATTTCCAGATAAGATCCACACTAACACCCTCAGCATTTGCTAATTTTACACTTGAATACATGCTACAAGTCACCCGTCCAAAAAGATGGGAAGATGACAAAGATAAAATGTTCGTTCACACTTGGGCAGTTACCTTCAAACCTTTTTTCTCACCAGTCCTTGACAGCTTAGTAATTATAATACTTTCTCTCTGAAGGTGACATGGGGAAAGTTCCTTGGGTGGATAAACTCCATGTACGGTATCATAGAAGTGCATCAAAATCAATCTTTGAGAGATCACTCAAAGCAATCTGTGACAGAACAAATGTTGATGGGTTCTGTAACCTTCACAAAGGGCAATAATCTATATAGTAGGCAATGCATTGTCACAGAACTAAATAAGATGTGCAACAAGACCCCACCACAATCCCCGGTGTGATCTCAATTATTTCCTTGGCTGAATGAGGTCAAGCAATAAAAATAGAATGTTTTGTGGGTTGAGTACCATCCATCTTATTCCCATGGCAGTCTTTGCAGCTAGCTGCAGGGTGTGACATGATCAGGGGTAGGACTGGGGAAATTTTGTTTTGATCTGCTAAGTTAGAAGAAATCCAAGAAAGTTGTTATTGTTTCTAGTGTGGTATGTTTCATCTGGATGTAATCCTCGTGGGACTCGTAATGAGTCTCTGTTTGTAATCTCTTGACTGTACTGCAATAAGCTGTGAAAACAATTTGTCTGTCTTCTTGAATACATTCATGTAACTAGTGGCTATTGTTGCAGTTGAAACATTAAGAAATCTGTTCTGTTCTTGAAAGCTTTGTTGTTGAATTTTTATGTCTTAAGATATATCATCAATAGATCAGGTTGGGAGAAAAGTTATTGTTATAAAGGGTGGTATTTGTCGCCTTAAAGCTTTGATTTCAAGTTGATTTTCTTGTTTATTCAACAGACATGACAGCCCAAGACAGTCCAGCTCTGGTGGCCTCCACAGACCAGACTCAATAGATAAGGAGGTATGTGACAATACTTTTTTCTGAGTGTCCTTTCCAAGATGAGTGGATTAAGGACTAATGTAGCATGTCTGTAAGTATTGTTGTAGTATGACACTATCACCTTTTTAGATAAGAGCATAATTCCCTACTATGCAGTAGCACCAGTCCTGGAGACCCGGCCATGTGTCACATGAAATAAGAAATTGTCAAAGATGAAACAATATTCTATTTTCCCCCTTCAGGACAGTTTGACAAGTACAGTATACAGTACCAGCCATTGTCGAATGTCCCATGCATCATGAAATAATTCTCCCCCCCCCCCCAGGACGTGTTCAGCAGCCAGTCCTCCGTGGTGGAAGACGATATCGAGGACGACGCCCGTTCCCTGGAGCTGCGGAGGAACCGGGAGCGGGCGGAGGCAGAACTCGCCCAGGCCAAGCAGGTACGACGAGAGAGGATGCTGTCTGCAGGGTCCGGCAGTATCAGTCTGAGCGAGGACGACTTCGACGCACATCTGGGCAGGGGCAGGTCAGGATGCCTTTCTTTCTGTTCACTCATTCAGTCGTTCATACATTGAATCAGATGTTTTCTTTATATTTTGCTTCTTCTTGACAGAAGAAATCTATATTTCCAACTATTTACTCATAAAGTTTGGCCAGGTGTGGTCACAAAAACGGAAAGAAAATTGAGAACAAGCCATATTCTGCTATTCAGGTTTATTCATATTGTATGACTGGGTATAATTAATAAGAATTGTTCTTGAGGAAGGGTGTTTGCCCAGTCAACAGACAAGTCAAATAAAAAAGTCACATATGGCCATTATAGTGGCAAGTTTGAAATACAATGTATGATATTGTGTACCGATTGAAAATGACATGATATTTTTATAATCATGTAAAACTTGCAAAGCTGGCTAGCATATACTAAGGGAAATCAGACCGTGCAATGTCATGACATTGTATGAATCATTGATTTTGATGTTTGCCTCTCTTGATATCACATAAAACTAACAATTGATTATTGTCTTACACCACTATAGCTTGAAGGCATATTTGACCACAACTCAATTGATAATAGCGACCCCGACGGCTATTTGTCTTGTTTTAATAATAGACTACATGTCATCCGGCCATACTGGTGGCTGATTGATGCACCAGCAGCCTCCATTCACCCTGCACCTTCCAGTTAATAAACCCCTTCATCACCATAATTCTTATGACAGCAGGGTATTGTTACACATGGCGTTTCAAAGGTTTTAACCTGGGGGCATAGGAAATGTAGGACAAGCCATTGCGTAGTCAGGGGTGTTTGCCAAACTTGGAAACTTTTTTCCAACAATTTTGGAGACGTTTGAGAATTTTTAAAAAGCCTTTGATGAACATGCAGATCTAAGGATGCATGACATTGTGCACTGCATAAATTTCAAGCAAGCTTGTGATATCCAATATTCTTTTGTCAAGAAGTTGTTTGACATCTCCCTCCCTAAAACAAGTTGACCTGTCCCAGAGTCCATTTGTAAAGACTGTTGTAGCTGGAATTCCTAAGAGTGGGTGGCCCTCTATGTTAAAGTGGTTTGTAGAAAATGTAACCAACTCCCAACGTCTCTCACCTGTCCAGTCTGCTCTCTGTCATGAAGGAACAGAGCAGGTATGTGGAGGAGGCTCAAAGCACTACCTGCATATCATACAGGTTAGTGCAGGTGGAATTGGAGCTGTTCCGGTGTTTACCTGCACTTAACCTGCACTGGTTTATGTATTGTGGGTATTTTATTGTTCCCAAGTTTTTCTTAAACACTCCACAGTTGTATTATAAATCCTGATGTACAAAAGACTTAATAAGTAAGATGTGTGTGGTATACAATGTAGGTGATTTTGGTGTTACCTGCACATGTACGCAGTGTATGTATAGAATTTTGAGACTTAACATGGGGGGGGGGGGTCACTAGAACCACCAGGGAATTGGAAGAAGAGAAATTAAGAAACAGAAGCTCCAAATTTGTCTCATTTCTGAATGACTACATGGTTCTAAAGAAGTGAGAATACTTCCAGCTCACTTGATGATGACCCCAGCACTGATTGTCACCATGTTCCAGACCTGTGAGAGGTTGCCAGGAATGCTGTGCAAAAATCCCAGTACTTATCTACTAATCGTTACTTCATTGAATTACCTCAGCGCTACTACATTGTGCTCATGTTTACTTTGGAAAAGCTTTATCTTGTAAAAATGACAGCTTTTGGCCGTACAAAGCAATCGAGGTCACCTGTGTGAAAAGGTGCTCCAGCTGCCATATCCCAGCGGTTTCCACTCACACAAAAGTAGGAGAAAAAGTATTGTCTGCATTACCATGGCAACGGGTACTCCAGTTCATTGGCATAGAAGTGTGAACAAAGGTCTTTTCAATTTTACTACCAGTATATTTTGAAATAGTGCAATACTGTACATTTGTTTAATTTGGCGTAATGCCTTTATGAGATTTCAAGCACATTAGACTGTTTTTGTAAAAATTATGGTGTAACACATGTAAAACCCTCAGATATTTATTTCACATGATATTGACAATGGCATATGCTGGCCAACATTGCAACATATGCTGTTATGTAATGGCAACTTGCCATGAAAATTTTATGATTTGCAGTAAAAATGCAACACCTTGCATGAAGACTCCAGTGACTTAGAAGTTGGACATGTCATGATTACAGAGTTAGAAGATGTACATGTACCCAACACAGAGACAGGTTCACTTCCGAGATGATTATTATGGTGGATATCCGAACAGGTGGCACAGGTGGTACATTGTTTGCTGACAGTTATTCCAACTCTTAGCATTCACACCTGCAGAGGAAACTGGAAGGAATTTCAGCCTCTTTTTGTGCTCATTTACTGTACTCTGCTTGTTGCCTGTATGACTTTGAAACAAAATGAAAGGGTCAGTTATGAGTGTACAAAAGTCACGTACCCAGATAGGAACAATAATTAATATGTCTCTGTGATTTCGAACGTTTGTGGTGAATGTTTAGTAATGATGCACTAATGTTTGTGTTTTGCAGGTCTGCCAGTAGAAGGTCTGGAACAACAGCTGTAAATGGCACAAGAAACCATGGGGTGGGTACTGTTTACTGCTGTTTGTATATAGATGTTAATCTCCAAGCAGATCTTTTGGTGGGGGTAAGACAGTATCAAATTGGCCAGTCTGTATCCATTTCCCCACCCAAGATCTGCCGGCACTCAAACAGGGAGGAGCACTTCGAGTGCCGGCAGATCTTGGGGTGGGGAAATGGATACAGACTGGCCAATTTGATACTGTCCAACCCCCACCAAAAGATCTGCTTGGAGATTATATAGATGTGACACCTTGAATTTTAGAAAAAAAAAAAAACCCAGGAAAATATGAAAAGCTCTCTATCAAACAAGTTGTTGAATGTCATGATGCACCATTATTTTGACATATTTGTCAAGGGAGGAATGCTCTTTCAAACGATGGGAAACTCTATATTTTGTAACTACCTGTCAGTCCAATAATTATAATGACTATATTTATAAACTGATAGAAAAGTCTTTTTCCTTGAAGTTCTGATGCACAGGTCCTGTCAATATGTTTTGCCTTAGTCACTAAAACAGTGGAAAAGAACTACTAGTTGAGTGATTGCGGCTCCCAGAATTACTCCCTACCCACCTACCCATCCAGAAAATGAATCCCCTGCCTAATTTAGAAACAGTCTGTACAGTTTCCTGGGAGAAATGGGTAATTAAGGCCAGCAAATGACGTCCCTGGTGATGCATATTTCATGAACCCAGCTGTTGTTTCCCCGCTCTGCTTGGACATGGGTTATGGGGTCATTAGATTAGAACATATTGTGCAGGAATAATGGTATGTTAAGGGGTTTTCACCCTGACGTGTTGAGCACCATTGGTGAAAGGTTTCCTCTGTATCTGTGAATGGGAAGAGTGTACTGCACGTATGGTAACACATTCATGTTTATGTGTGCTTGCATGTTTACTTTGACGATTGGATTTGGTGATAATTTTTAACTTGCATGTATAGCAGCATGCTTTATGGTATATTTCAGTACAACTGCATTCTCTGCATGCCTGTGACTGATGAATTTATCAATAATTAATTGCTCCTGAAAAAAATCACTGTACGTTAACATTGCAGTCAAAGCCATATGATGATCGTGTTTTGATGTTTCCAAAATTCTTTTAAACCATGTCACTCAAATCAAATATTACTTTTTTATCTAAGAACTCAAGGTAAGATATACTCTACTGTTCAATGTACTTCTCAAAAAGAGATGTTAGATTGAGCCTGACACTCACTCGGTTCCATCTGTGTTGGCATGACCAGTGAGACATTAATTTTTCAGAATGCTAATGGAGTTGGATCAAGTTACACAGACCGTCTACAAGTTTGCAAATTGTGTTTGCAGGGCTCTCAGAGTCTGTGCACAGACACAGTATTAGCTGTTGTGTTTATAAGCTTGTTTGTTTGTGTGTTTACAGGACTACACAGGAGTGGACGCTGATCTGGACCTGTCGGTGTCCACAGACACAGAGATGGAGGATGTGGTGGACCAGTCTCCGCTGGCCAACATGAGGATCACCTCACAGTCTCCCCTCAATGGTGAGAATACTTACATGTATCATTATTTAATGCTGGGTAAGGAATTCAACTTTGTTACCACAATTTGCACATACTTGTACATTCTCACCTGTCTATAGTGGTCACTCAAAGAAATGTCTACAGTAGACAGTACACAGGGCTCAAAATACTTGGTGCATGTGCACCCAAATTTGGAGTTGTGCACCCAATGTTTTTTGTAGGTTTTCATATGTAAAGATGCATAGTAGTATACAGAGTATTCTTGACATTTAAATGTCAGAAAAATAATCATTCTTGTAACACATATACTTTTCTTTAGAAATGAAACATAACTAGTTTAGGTTGGGTGCACCCGTGCACCTATTCTGAAAAATGAATTTTGAGCCCTGGTACAGTATTCTTAATCAATGGCAACATAATGTAAGAATATTTCCTTTGTCAGACTCCTCCATGATGCTGAAGCTGAACCAGCGACTACAGGAGGTCAGCCGTCAGCTGGAGAGGGAGAAGGCCGGCAAGGAGGAGGTGCAGGTCAAGGTCAGGTCACTGGAGTCTGAGAGGACAGACCTCAAAAGGTGAGGAGAGTCATCTTCAACTTAAAATTATAGAGATACATGTAGAAAATTTGTAATGTCACAGAAAAACAATAAAAATTTTGCAGAATTATCTTCGAAGTTGTTACTTATAGATGCTACAGTCACTAACTGACCTGTTTGTCTTTTGAAATATCTTACTCCATTCTGTTCTTGACCTGCTCCTTTACAGGAGACTGGACACAGCCAACCGAGAGAAGTCCAATCTGGACACCATCAAAATCGACCTGGAGGGAGAGATAAGAAAACTGAAGTAAGTACTTAATAACAGTTTGACTCAACTTTGGTCTTTCATTTTAATTTGTCCTTTGCCTTCACAGGTTTCAGTTAACATTCTCCCTGCTAACGTAGCCGTTTGGCACCAACTTTGTGTCAGTTTGATTTGAGGTGTAACCTACCATGTTTCGTTTAACAGATATCAACTAGGAGAGGAGCAGGAAAGAAGGAAGACAGCAGACACTGTTCTCAACAAGACTAAAGAGCAGCTGTCCAAGAAGGAGACACAATATTCTCAGTACGATATTTCTTCTTACCCTAGTTTGAACTTTTGTTCTGTAATGATTGCACAAGTCTTGTGGCAATGCAAAAAACAGTCTAAGGCAAGAAACTTTTAAATGACAAACTATTAGCTTTGTGTATTGCCGACATTTCATAATGAGAAATGTTACTTGTATTTTCTTGCCATTCAAATGTATATCTTAGAAACAAATTTTTTTGGTCTTTTTTGCCACAATTAGCGTTGACATGTTTGTTTATTTGTTTGTGTGTTTATCATTACAGAGAAGTAGAAAACAAACAGAAGTCTGAGCTGACCATCAGGGGTCTTCAGATGGAACTCAGGTCAACCCAGTCACAAGTCAAAGCTGTAAGGAGAATGTGTCTTACTTTCAACTCTTCATTTGTGGGCAAGAAAAATCAATGTACTGTTGACATAACATCTTAGACAGAAATGATAGATAGGTTTAGTTTGGTTCTATTCATTTCCTCATAAAGCAAAGTTTCATGATTCCAAAAAAGTCACGATGAACAGCATTGAAAATAACATGAACCAAACTGTGTATGTCCTTGGTGCTGATTGCAAGATTGTTATTATGAATGACATTCGTTGCTGTCCCTGGTGCTGAATAGCATTCACACTGACACTGCTGTCCCTGTCCTTGGTGCTGAATGAATATCAAACTAACATTTTTCTTTTTTCTTCCCAGCTGGAGGAAGAACGTGACGAGGCGCGGCGACTGTTGGCAGCGGAGAAGCAGGCTCGACAGTCTCAGGAGGAACATCACAACGAGCAGATGCAGCAGCTCAAGAACGAGGTACTCCAACTCTTCATGCCTCCTGATGTTTAACTTGCAGTCACGTTTCTTTCTTTACTGTACTGTTTCACTTATGTACTTGTATTCATTCCTATTGATCTTTCTCGTATACCCTATGTCCTAAATTTTCTCTTTTCTTTCTTCATGTCATCCATGGTATCCAAGTTATAACAGATAAGAGTTTTTCCTGTTGCATGATATAGTGTTTATTCATACCCAAGCTGGGTCATTCTTCAATGTAAGGGATGTTATCATGTTGCAAGCTAACCAACAATGCGCATCAGTGGTTAACTACACAGACATGAATGCCTGGGGAGTTATTAGTCTTTCCTCTCTGGTAATGACCAGCAAGAATTGTGGGGGTTTTAAAAATGAGGGAAATGTCAGTAGTAGCAACTTGAATATATGATATGGCGGCTCCAAACAGAGTCTACTTGCTCAAGGAGGATGGGCAGTCTTTGTACTGAGTATGTCATTGTTTCTGTAAACAGAGCATGTATTGTAACAGGCATACATGTTTGCATCACCAAGCCCTGCCTGTAGTTAATCACAATGTAAAGCATGAAGGGGCATGACTTTGTTACCAACGCATTATGTTCTTCATCCCATAGGAAATCAGCAAGTTGTCAGTAGAAAGAGTGAGTCACCTCCTCACATTTGTGTGTTTCTCTAGCACCATGCAGGACTAGTTTGCATGATGAATACTAACACTAGTTTCTTCATAGCTGCTTTGGTTTGTGTGTTTTCTAAACTGTGTTTTATGAAGCAATGTTTGCATGCTGTGTGTGTGTTTTCTTGCATGACCTGTCTGTTCCTACTAACATATGAGTTGAGTTCAAGCATGTTTTTGTGTGGCAGGCTGATATTGTTCTCATTGTGTGCTTAAGTCTGCTTGTGATTAACTGTTGTACTTATAGAGTTGAACAAGCTATTATAAATCAAAAAGGGTTTTTTACGTTTCAGGTTGGTACATGTGTCACTGAAATATGTTACATGTATGTCAGCAGGCTTTTCTGTTTGACTTCTATGTTGTAAAACTACCCTGGTCTCTTTGAATTTGGAAAGACATCACACAGGAAATTTGGAAATCTGAAATATATTTCATTTAGTTGCGGAGCATATGCTAAGTATAACATTACATCTTATTCGAAAGAATGTGTAATCTAATATGTTATGGTAAATTTATAATTCTGTTGCTGCTTTTACAATTGTAGAAATATTTCACTTCAGAATTTCTTTTCTTCAAATTTCCAAATGAATGTCTTCCCAAGTTTAAAATGTGTTTTATGGTGCCTGAATAGAGCATTGACATTGTGTTTTAAATAATAACATTTAGCTCTGATATTTTGTCTCCCTTACAGCAGAATGAGGCTTTAAACAAGCTGGAAAGTGCAGACGACACGAGACGGTCTGTCTCTGACCACAATGAGAAACTGAAGAGTGAACTCATGCATCTCAAGGTACTGTTTTTGTACCTTACATTGTTTCTTGTTGACCAGCATTACTTTCTCACCGCAAACAGATATAACACATTAACAGTAATTCTTCATGTTAAAGTTATAAGAATTGTTAGTACCAGATATGCCCAGTTACATGTAATGAAATACTGTTAATGCATGCCAGATACTACTGTCCTTGGTGCTGATTGACATTCACACTGAGATTGCTATCCCTGTCCTTGGTGCTGAATGAATCCAAAACTGACAGTTAATAACTTAAAAGGCTAAATAAAGGTTACTGCTTGATCTTCTTCTACGATATCAGCTTGAATGTGTACGTGAATGTATTTTGTTTTGTTTCCTTCCATCCCAGATTGAGTTGGAGCGTCAGCGCACCAGGTACAGGGATGAGTACGGTCTGCTGCACAGTGAGAACGAGGAGCTCAACAACAAGATAGAGGAGCTCAAGAATGAGATTGTGAGTCAAAATAATGTTAAACTTTGTATTTGATATGTGGCAAGATGGTATTGTGGTGCAGCTTGTACTTACTGTACAAAACTAATGTGTTATGCCTAACACAGTTCACTGGTTATGCAAAACAAACTATAGGCTGAGTTTCATACCATCATTAAGCACCAGCATAGAATCTGTAATATTTTTCCATTATCCTACAGACAAGAGACAAGGTACATGTATCTCTCAGCTGTCAGAAGGTCAGGGTAGTCTGAAAAGTTGCCAGGATTTGCTGTCAGTGTTAATTTTCCGTTTTTGTTCCTGTTAGCTTTTTTTTGTGTGATTTCCTTAGACAAAAAGCACTAGCGTTTTGTTTAATTTGTTGGTTAATTGTTCAGTTTGTTGTAGTCATGATGCAGATGGTTAGCTTACGCATGTACATGTAGGTTCCATACATGAAGACCAAATCCAGGAATGTTTTTTTTTTTGAAAATGGAAAAATGTTACCGAGGGAGCATTGTTGTATCGGTCAGTTCTGACAAAGAGGTTATCTTTGGGCTGCTGTTTGATTGTATCAATTTGTATGTTTGTTGACAACATAACTCAAAAAGTAATGATTTTTTTTTTTGTATGAAGTCACTGTTATCTTCACCTAACTGTTGGTCAAGGGACAAGTTTCATCACTGTTCTCCTATCAAGTTCATTTAGAACTACAAGTATTTGTATTTGCTAACCTCTGCTGTTTCTCCGACAGAGAATGAGTGAGGAGGCCCTGGCACACTCCCATGCCATGTTCAACAATCAGCTGGCACAGGTCAAGTCCCAGAATGCCGTGCTGACTGCCGACCTTGACAAGGAGAAGTCTCAGAAGGACAGGCTCAATGCAGAGGTCAGTTATTACTGTATTTTTTTGTTTTGTTTTGTTTTGTTTTATACAACATTTTATTTCTTACAGTTATTAGACACTCAGTTGACAAAGTGCTGAACCACAGTTTTTATATTTTACTGTAGATACTAGACATTCTGTAGCTTCATTCACTAAAAAAATCAAAATCAAATTGCATTATCCTACAGTTTGAGTGTTTGACTATAAGGTAAATGCTGATGTTGTTTCTGCCCTGCTGTATAGCTTGACTCTCTGAAGCAGAGACTGCAGGGTGCCAACCAGGAGCTGGAGAAGGGCCACCTGGCGCGGAACGAGCTGGAGCGGGCGTCGCAGCACGAGAGGGACGAGCTGAAGCGAGCCATCGACCACAAGGAGGCGGAACTGTCTGGCCTGAGGGAGAACAAACGTGGGCTGAGCCAGCAGCTGGGCACCGCAGAGTCACGCATCAAGGGGCTGGAACATGAGGTGAGGGGAGAAGGGGATGCCTTGTTTATTGCATGCACTGTGAACAACAACATACATATACAAATGTATACAGGTTCACCTGAAGCTGGGTAAGATATACAGAGAATTTGTATGACAAGAAGAGAACTGCAGCTGTACACTTGTTCTATTGACTGTTCATGAGGTAACAAGAAATCAAGGTCCACTTTTCATATCCTAATCCTTTATTGTAACAGTATTTTGTCATGTCTTTCAACAGATCCAAATGACTCAGGCTTCCCTGAACGAGAAAAACAACCAGCTGAACAACCTGCAGAGAGACCTGGACCAGAGAAGAGGTAACCTGGAAACCCTGGAACAGAGAGTACTGCAGGAGAGAGACAACTCCACCAAGCTCAAGGCCAAGCTGGAGACAGCCAATGAGAAGTAAGAGTTTCAACTAGAAACTGTAATTTAGTAAGCATGTCATACGGAGTAGCATACAACATAGGGAGTTTGGGGTAATATTATAGACAAAACAGGTGTTTTCTGTGAAAAGGTAAATATCACTGTAAATAGAACAGGTGTTCCCTGTGAATCTCTGGTCTTCAACAGCTGTTCTGGGTTGTATTATCCAATGGTTCCCCAGTATCACTATCATTTGTCAGTTTTCTGTTCAAAGTTCGTACAGTCAGAAGGCATCAGTGATTGTGTCCAAGTTCCCTTAGAGTCTGCAACATCCGTAGCATTCGATAACCTGTAACAGCTGTCCAAACTTTCCCACTTGCACTTTCCTCACACTTCCTCCTGCTCCATGTCTGTGCCCAGGATCGCAGGTCTGCAGAACGAGTCGCTGCTGTTGAAGCAGCAGGCGGAAGATTCCAAGTTCTCGGGCAGACCCGGCAGCAGGGGGGGAGGGGGAGAACAGGACAGGCTGCAGGGCATGCTGGACAGGATGAAGGACGAAAACCAAAGGGTGAGGATTTCAGAACCCATTCGGGTTTAGTAGAACAGGAAGAGTACATATCTATTAAGGATCCTTGTCCTGCTGGCCTTTTTTTACACAATATTTTTCAGTACTGTCATGTTATTATCAGGTCATAGACCCCTAATTTTTTTGCCCTGTGGTGCACAGTTACTTCGCTGTGGTGTGATTCGTTGCACGAGAAATACCTCCGAATCGTACCTATACAGGGTGCTACCTGTATATGGATGGTACTGTATGTGCAACCCAACAATTGTTGGGCATCGCATGACTAGGGTTTAACAGATACTAATTACATGTCTAGATTATTAGTAATAGTCTTGGATAGCTTAGCTGCATGCCAAGATCACTCATTCTGAATCCTTTGTTGTACGTTTGTGTCCAGCTGAAGGAAAGTCTGGAGGAGAAGAACAAGTCTCTGACGGACACAGTGAACATGATGAGGGAGGAGATGAGGAGTCAGGACATGAACAGGAGTGCCTCCAGCATGGAGTACCAGCGCATGCAACAGGTCAGGACAGATCAGAATCACCAGGACTATTGTTTTGCTTGTCATACAGCTTACTAGGTTGATGTGAAAATGCTGTATGGAATGCAATTTGGGATGAAGACTATAAATAGCAGCAAGTTCAACATGCCGCAAGTCAGGAGTCAACTAGCTCTCCCTTTCTGTCGATAGTACCAACCATTATTTGTAACATGTGATGTGTTGGCCAGGGCTATTGCTTCCCTAGTTACAGAACAACATACCTGTGTTAGCATGAAGCAGGTTTGGAGTCATCCAGCTCTCATCCTTCTACTCTAGATACATGTACTGTATGCTGTACAAATTTCAATCATGTAGATGTGTGGTCCAAGTCTGCTGTTTTGATAGTTGTATGACAACAGCAACATTGTACAAATGTATGATTGTTGATTGTGTCATTGAATATCCCTCTGCTCTTGGCCTGAATTTTATGGATCTTTGAAATTCTTTTTGAGGTGAGTTTTTCAAAACACCTTGCTGAATTCGTCACTGCTGTACAGAACAGAGCACCTGCATTTACCACAAGCACGGGAGGCTGTCAGCGATGTATTTTCAGTTTCAGGCTGGGGCAAGCAAAACCACCATTCATCATAAAGCACAATAAGCAGGCAATGCATTGGTGTTATGTATGCAGGAATCAAGAACACCCACCATCCTGAAATGTTTCTTTCTGTCACATATTATAAGCTTGGTTTCCTCCTCAAATTTAGCATTGTTAGGGTCTGAAAATGGTAGGGAATTGTACTGGAAGGTTTAGTGATAATGCACCTGGACATTAGCAGCCATTTTTACTCAGTCACAAATTGAATCCTTCTCCAAGTGCTGGCTATTAGTTCAACTTTTTCCACTCAAAGTGCTGGCATGTGAAGCTGATTTAGTGTAGTTTGAGAAGATCCACTTGTATGTACTCATAGTATATTTTGATCTGATGAAATCTGAATGTTATCCCCCTATAGGAGCTGTCTGATGCAATGAAGAGGGTTTCTCTTGCCGAGGCTGCACTGGAAGGAGTCAAAAAGGTTTTTAATCTTTTTTTTCAAAGCCTGAATGTGTTGCTGGTTCAATAATGATAGGACTGGTTTACTCTTGTTTTAAATTGAACAAAATTGTGTTTACATGTAATACATTTAGTTATAACTTATTCTCAGTCTGAACAACCAACTATTCTAATACAGTACATATATTCTTTAGAAATGTTGCAGTCATTCATCCTACATTGTGCTGTTACTCTTTTCCAGGCTAAAGACGGCCTGGAGATTGAGAAAAATAGTCTCCAGGGAGAGATAGAAAGACTGAAGAGCAAGGTCAGTGATAACTACATAATTATCAATACACAATTATTCATATACAGTTATGATATTATTCATACCCCTGTCAAAACAATAATTACAATTTCAGAGTTATACGTAGCCATATCTATGATACGAATTTAGAGATACTAATCATTAAGTGTTATTTCTATCCAAGGCATTATACAAGGTGTCTTAATTAGTGTTTCATGTAGCCCTGGTTCTCTCTATACAGGTGATGGGCCTGGAGGAACAGAGACATGATTCGCAGACTAAGATTCGTGAACTTCAGGACCACACCAAGGAGATGGAGAGACATTCAGTCGACCCACAGAGAAAGGTACCTGGTATACATGTTTCTCTATTGTGCCAAGTCCTATATATCTTTTGGTCATCTACAAATTGCTCATCTTCTGTTGTGATTTGACCTAATTTTTTTTATCTTTTCAACATTATACATGCCGATTATGTCTGTCAAAAAGATGGAATGTATGACCATCATGTTTTTGTCATGGCAACAACATTGTGTTTGGGCTGAACCAAGGAAAGTTCCCCCCCCCCTCCTGTATTTCAGGCTGAGTTGGAGACGTCTGTACAGAAGCTGCAGATGGAGAAGGCCCAGCTGGACGCCACCCTGAAACATGAGCAGACGCGCGGGGAGATGTTACAGAAGGACCTGGAGGACTCACACAAGGTGGGGAACTCTAACCATCCAGACCCACTGTGTATTGTACTTAAGAAAAAGAGATTGAGGTTACATTACATCAAACCTGTATATACTAGTACTTTACTACCCTGTCTAAATAGATGAAAGGAAAACTTTTCCGCTGCATCATGTCTGTTGTTCTGTCCCATCAGGTGAGGTCCAGCCTGGAGGCCCTGGTCGCCAACCTGAAGACATCCAACGTTCACCTGGAGGACAAACTCAGTGTAAGTGTGCAATGGCAGTTCATCAAATTTAACACTGTTTTACAAGATTAGTGCTACTTCTCTTAAAATCCTCTACCGGTAAATGCTGTAACAGTTACACATGTCCCACATCCACAGGAGGAGGCAGCCAATCGCAGCCTGTTTGCTCGAGATGCGGAGGACTCCAGGGCATTATGGGAGAGCGAGGTCAAGTCCAGGTCAAAGCTGGGACTCCGAGTGAGTGTGACCTTTCCAACTATTAACATAGGAGGCCAACAATGCTGTTATCTAGACACTTCCTGATATTGTATAAGTCTGTTCTAGTGTCCATATCAATCTTCAGTAAGCCTGTAAGTATTTGCTTGCTTCAATGACAGTGCCAACAATGATAGTCCTTTTGTAAAGTCAACAAATTACAACTTAGTGTCTATAGATGTGTCTATGTCAAAAGAATTTATCATTTTCTGTTTATTCTAGATTGCACAGCTTGAAAGAGAGAAGGCAGAGGCACATACAGGAGTGGATGAGGTTTGTTAACCATCAGTTCTGAACCTTTTTGTTGCTTCAGTTTAGCCTTTCTCTTTATTATCATCAGTACACAGAACTGTAAGACAGCAGCGTACAATCATGTAATGTTTCCCTGTGATGTTGCCATGCTACAGGAGAAGAGGAGGATAAAGAGAATGGCAGAACTCAAGAAAATGGCTGAAGAGAAGATGCACGAAGAGATGCAGAGGTAAGTATCAACAACAACTCTAGAAAGACATATTATACATGTAAGACTAGTCCACATTTCCTGACAGCATTGTAGATACACAGTGTCTTCAAGACATACATGTATTAGGCAGTCTTTTTTGCAGGATTCTTGCTACTCCCTTGTAATTCCTTGCCCTATCATCATGTATCATCAGGTAATTGTAAAAGGCTCTGTTTCATACAGCCTTGGTTGCAAGTAGAGTTTTACATGTACAGTAGTCTAGTCTTCCTTTACTGACTTTGTGACTTTGTACCTCCCTTCACAGAAACACCAGACTTCAGGAGGACTTGGCCACAGCCAGGATGCAGCTCAGAGGAGCCAAGAAAAAACTCAAGGTCAGAAAGTCAGCAAATACATGTATGCTGTTCAGCGACAGCAACTCCTGCTGTTTTTGACATGTATACCTGAGGAAAAGTCTTTTTGCACCAATGGTCATCAAACAGTCATTCTGCCTGAAGAATAATTTATCAGCATTTTCAGCATTTTGAAGAATATACAGTCATGCAACTATTAACTTTATCTGACTGTTTAAAAGTTAGCAAGATATGAAAAATTGCTGCTTCAGGATTTCAGAATTTTTTCAGTACATGCAATAAGCATATGTGTTTTGTTTGTTGTTGTTTTTTTTTTTTTTCAGAAAAAAAGGTGACCCAACAACTTGTAATGAGTTTTTATTTTTGATGTTGTTTACCACAGGAGTTTATGTCTGGAGACTGGGGTCAGGAGAGAAAGGCTTTACAGGGAACCATTGACACACTCAGGAAACAGGTCAGCTCAACTATACCACAGTACAACTACATTTTTATTTTCTTGCCAACATTATGTACATGTATCATATGTATGTAAACATGGCCTAATCTCTTTCATGAACATGTACATGTGTACGTTGTCATCAGGTTGGAGAAGTGAGAGGTCAGTTGGAGCAGGAGGAGCAGATGAGAGCCAAGTCTGACATGTTGAATAGGCAGCTGCAGAATGGTCAGTACACAGGATGACATCAGCTCAAGAGTGCATTCAGATTACTGGATGCTCTTTAAATTCACCATATATTTTAAATGTGCTGGTCTTACTCTTAGAGAATGAGAGTTGCATCACACTTGCTTATCTTCAGTTCAGCCTCAAATACCGTGCCTCTGTCAAAAATGGATAAAGTTAGTACAAGCACCAGTAGTAGGTCTGACAAGAGCACAAGTACATGTATTGCCTCTTGCATGGACAGTACTAGTATGGCCAACATTGTACAATGTCATGTGCATCTAGTCTGGTATGTTTAACTCTAAGACTTATTTTCCTGCCAGATATGACATCATATAAGACCATGGAGAAGGAGGTCCAGAGATTCGAGAAGTTGAAGGAGCAAATTGAGGATGAATTTATCAAGTACAAGGTTGGTGATAATTGTGTGCTTTCTGCTTTCATAGGCCTCTTCTATCTATATCATTCCAAGTTAATTTTAATCTTGGGTATCTGATATGTTTTCACTCATTTCAGTATTTTAGATAATCCCTGTAATGTAGATTTTGATAGTCCAAGGTACTATTTTTACCCTAGATTTTTGTTTATTTTCTATTTAGTGATTTTTATGTGAGAGACATAAAACTAGATCTGCTCAGCTAGTCAATGGCTCTTACATAGGCTAGCTCTGGGGATGGTAACAATACACAAAATACAACAAAACATAACACATTACAAGACATAATTACACTGTAGATCTACTTAGCAAGAAGGTCAAGATGTCATCATACTGTTTCTACATCGCAGCTGTATATTGGGAAGAGAAGCCATACTATAAGGACAGGAGCCCAGGTTTGATTAAGCTACCATACTTTGTTCTTGGGTGGCTGCTTAAGTTCACTTTTCCTTTCTGCCCTGCACAGCAACATGTGGACTCAAACTTCGTAGACAAGTCCTATATTGACAACTACAAGAAACAGCTTGAGGCACAGGTATGCATGTGTACCTCTTTAACTATTCATTTCTGTGTCACAACTTTGTCAATGACTTTGCTTTTCTTCACTCACCCTCACTGGTAGGCTTGTACTTGAGAATCCTTTTTTGTGAACTGAACTTGTTTGACCATGCACTGTTTTGCTCACACTGTGTTTTTCCACTACAGAGTAACATTTTGTACATTAAGTATTCACATGCATGTAGAAATCAAAGGTAGTACAAAAATGTGTTAGTGTCTTGTATGCTACATGTATTTCATCATTCAGCAATTTCCCTAATTACATGACAAATATTTTGACATTTTACATGTCATCACTTTCATTTTAAATTTAAAGATTTCCTCACCATTAAAAACTTTTTAGACCTTTGAAAGACTTCCAGGCCTCTTACTTTTTAAATGGAGCAACCCCAGAGCCAGAGTTTGTGCCAATTTTGACATGAATATCTTGGTGTTTTCTGCGCCCCCCAGTCTCGAGTGGAGCTGAACAGTAAGCTCCAGCAGGTGAATGAGTACCTGGAAGGCCAGGCGCAGGCACGCAACAAACTGGACAAACTCAGGGACAGCAACGATGAGAAGATACGCAGCGAGTATGAACAGTCCATGAATGGCCTCAAGGTAATACAAAGTCTGACATTTTTTCAAGACTCATAGGTTTTATACAATCTGTAACCTGAACCTCCTGATGGTAGGAAGTTCTAGTTGCCCTTTGTCATTAGAGCCCTGATGCAAAAAAAATGTTGAAGTTACTTGACTGCATGCTCATATACTGTTTATATACAGTAACTGTTAAAGGATATTGTTGAGACTTGTACTAAAAGAAGACTGACCAACTAACCTGTTGATTTTCAGGGAGAGCTGGCCAGACTGAGATCCTCCCTCAATGACAGCCTGACTCAGAGGGAAACAGTCATTGCAGAAAAAGATAGATTCATGGTAAGAGTTCTTATTTATTTCTAATATTTTGAAGAAAGAAACAATTTTGTTAACTTTTTTTCCTTTTCAAGACATTTGATTGTGAAATTGGGAAAGAAAATCTGATTCCTTGAAGTAGTTGGTTTATGACCAGAATTCTCATAGACACTTAATTGAGACAGAAGTCATATACATGTAGCATTGTCTCATCACCTCTTCCCTGTTACAGGAGAAGTACAACGAGGCAATAAAGAAGGCAGAACGTCTGAACTCTCAGCTGGAGAAGGAGAGGGAGAGGAACACTGAGTCAGTCTCCAAACTCACGTAAGTGGAACAGATTTCATTTTGTAGATTCAACTTTCTCTAGTCTGCTTAATTTGGCTCTGAAGACCATACTGTAGGTCAGAAAACTGCATGTACCAATCATGTACATGTGCTGTTCCAGTGCTGAGAGACAGAAGTTGCAGGATGTGAGTTCAGGCCTGCTGAACACCAGCATGGGAGGAACCCTGCACATCTCCAGCCTCCTCAACAACTCAGCTGATGGGGATGACGCTCTGACCAGGAAGGTGGGAACAGCAAACCTTTATGTCTTCTGTCATATGAGAGTTTATACTGTGTTGGTATATACATGTACATTACAAAAAATTCATATCTACAGGGCTTGTACACCCCTCTGCATATGCAGGCTAGTGCAGGTAAATAGGAGTCTGTGTACTTTCCTGCAACAGACCTGTACTGGTAAAGGGTTTGGTGTGGCTATTTTCATCTGTAGAAAAGAATTTAAAATTTTCTTTCCATCAGAGATATACTCTGCTTTGACTTGTGTTTTTGGTCAAAAGTAAATCACTATATATACATAAAGGTTAACATCTTGAATTGTTCATTGTGCCTGTTAGGTGAGACAAGAGCTGGACAGAAGCATTGCCCATCACATGTCAAGACGTAAGTGCCCTCGCAAGTATTAACCTAAATGTAGAACATTGTTACTGAAGTGTATCCTTTCCTTGATGAATGTTATACACATGCAGTTGTACAGCTTCTGACAGCAAAATGATAGAGGTGAAATTAACATGATTTTCCCATTGTTTTTCAGCGCCAACCAGTTTGGGTCCCAGTCGCTCCAGTATCGGCAGACGAGAGTCTCCAATGAAAGACGACAGCGCCTACCTCAACAGCCTACGCAGAAACTACTTTGTGTAGGACACCACAAGGCCATGTTTTCTTACTGATACTGTGTCCAAAGGTCTTGAGTATGTCCTTCATCCACTGTGCAATTCTGAGGCCATGTAGTGAGAAAGTTTCTGTATCAAGCCGGAAGTTGACGTTGCAAAGAAAAGCTACATGTACAGTGTGTGTGGCAACTTTGTATTGTAAGCAATCTTTGTATCATTCCAGAAAGCCATGTCTGATTTCTTCCAGTATTTTACAATCTTAATGACAACAGCATTCCCATTTTTCCTCACATGTACAAATGTATGCCACTTCTCTTGCTTCTCTCAAATAGCACTTGTATATTACATCATTAAAGGGTTTAATGACAGAATTCATATCAAAACAGAATTGACAATTCACTGATTTACTATTACTGAATAACTATCAATTCCGTCCATTTAGAATAGCTAGTTTCTATTTGAGCCGCAAAGTAGTAGTAGGTATTGTAGCCGTCCAGCATATAGAAAATACCTGTGATGTTCCCACAATATAAAAAGCAATAAAACCATTGGTGTTTGGACAAGTTAGTCCAGTTTCCAAGGAAGCATGCTACCCCTCAGTTCTTATGTAAATGATGTAAATAAGGCAAAGTATAACTGCTGAAATGGATTGTGTTTCTTAAGGTCTTGTCAATGAAATTTCAAAAGGAGCCATTAAGATATCTTTAAGACCAAGGTGTAAGTATGTGTGTACACTGTATGTTTTAACTGTGTTGTTCATTGACCAGAGCAGGTTTTGTGTTGCAAAGTACATGTAAACTGTTAAACTTTGTGTCAAGTTGTGTGACAGGTCCTGGAGTAGCCACAAGTTTTTGGTGTATTGACAAGGAGGGAAAGGTGTGTAGTCGTTGTAAAGGAAGGTGCTGAAATTTGTATATTTATATGTTTCTAACATTTGATAAAAGTTAAAAAAAGGTGACTAATATTCTGCTGTCTTTAATCCCACCCAAACTTACACTGAAAGTCCATCTATGTGGTGACTACAAATGTGTATCATGTGCAACATGGATGATAAGCTCACCTTTTTTTCTCCCTTGATACTGGATCCATTGTAACTTTGGAGTGTCAGAGTTTACATTTGACTCTTGTTTTGGACCTATGATATTGACAATCCTTCGCCTTTTACATACTAAATCAACAGCAACGAATAAGCACAAAATGAAGTAGGATTTATGTCATACTTTTTCCAACCATGGATGTGTTACTGTGTCTAAAAGTGTCCAAAAGAACTACAACCAGTTCTGTGTAGACTATGGCATTGTCATTCAGTAGTTACTTCCTGATTTTTTTTAACTGTTCATGTCTTTTTAAGGGATTTCGAAAATCTGTTGTGTGTTATTTTTGTATACAGAATTACTTTAATGCAGTTTTAAGTGTATTTAAGATATGTTGTACTTATTTATCAGTATTGGCATCTCTGGTCTCATTAAAACTTCTTGGCAATTGTATCATGTATGTTTTTTATTGAGTAAGGCCACACTGACTTGATTATATAGATGATATTCAAGCGCACAGTTTTCACAGATTGTGTTCAACACACAGCTCAGAAAGTGCACCCAAATGCCTGAAATCATCATTACAATGTACATGTAGACCAATGAATTTGAAGTTCTACCAATCAGAGGACACGATACGAGTTGACTAATATTTAATAGAAATATGATACATATTCTACGTATGTATTGGTTGCAGTCAATCATCATTCAACAGTGTTATATTTGCGCAGATCTACATGTATACAGTGGAATCTACATCTACATGTCTACTTATGGTATGACTTTTTACGTAAACACTTACTGGTCATTTCATGCCTGTTATTATTGCTCTCTATTCATTGCTTTGTACCAAAGTATTTGGCAATGAGGTATTTCAACTGACTAAAGTACCCCCATAAAGTTACAGTATAAGTTTAAGTTATGTATGCAGTGATTACATTTATATTCAACCATAAAATGGTACATGTATGGTATCAAGAACCTTCAAATTGAAGGGAGTATATGGCAGGGAGTATACTATAAGGTCAATATTGAATTTCAGAAAAAAGGCTGTAGAGGTGGCTGAAAATTTCACAAGGCAATGTGTTTGAAAAAAAAGAATAAAATGTAAAAATTTGAGATGTTAAATAAAATGACTAAACAATACTGTGACAATGAAATTCGAATATCTTTGCCATTGAACATGTACACTACGACCAGTTCACTCGCTCTTTGTTGTAGTGTCACAAAATAATAATAAATTATAGAATACAGTACAAATTGGTGCTTTCAGTATTGTGTGGCCCAAGGGCCAAAAGGTTTGGGAAGGATTTCAACATAATAGTACAGTCATATCATTCCGACTCATATAACCTGACTCTATTTTAAAACATTTCACAAGATACAATATCATCTTCTGTAGAAATCTCTGTACATGTCCATTTTCAGTTTTACCCCGTCCTTCACCCGTTGTAGTGTGCCCTTTTCGGAGGTGAGGACGTTAGCCGCCACCCTGAGTTTGTAGTCGTTCTTCCTGAGGTAGGCGCGGGCATCGCTCTGCAGCTGGTCCAGCTTCTGCGGCCGGTACTCGTCGATGGCCAGGTCCTCCGACATGTAGGGGTTGAAGCGGAAATACGTGCTGGGAGGCAGGAGATCATGGAGGACCATGTGGATATCTGCAAATAAATTTACATGTTGTTAAAAATGCAAGTACATCAACAGAACTGTCAACACTCCAGAAATTAACTGAAGTGCAAACTACATGCACAGTAGGTACAGAATGAATAGATGAGTCGGAAATTTGTATTCACGAAAAATCCTTATATCGTCAATCTTTACGTTAAGCCTTTGTGTCACCAACAAAGGCCACACAAAACAAAGCCCCACCCAAAACAAAAATGTTGACATCCGCAAATAGTTGGATAACAAATTTCATTCAGTATATATAATACTCAGAGGAAGGTGACAGACAGTCACAGAAATGTTGACTAGGTTGCATATGTTACATAGTCAAGGTAAGATGTTACGGAGTCAAAAATAACTTTATCATCCAAACTGCTGCTGACCTTCTGTGTTGGTGGCGCTCTCCACCACCTTGGTGAGTTTGGTCCTGAGGTTGAGACTGGAGGAGCTGGTGACGTTGTCTGGTTCGTACCGTCCCATCCCGACAGAGATCACACACTGCAGGGGCGTGTCAGGCCACAGCAGCTTACTCTCATGGACAGCCACCGCACAGGGGTTGTTCACTAACACTCCTCCATCCTATGGACATGGGGAAAATATGGCAATTATTAATATATACACTGCAAAGGGGTTGTTCACTAGCACACCTCCATCCAGGGGACAATTGGGGGGGGGAACATGACAATTAATATACATTGCACAGAGGTTGTTCAGTAACACCCCTCCATCCTGTGGGAAATATGACAATAATAATACACATGACATAGCACAGAGGCTGTTCACTAGCATTTCTCCACCCTGACTTGATCATGATGGAAATAATGATTTTTGAAAGTACAATGTAGCAAGTCATAGACATTTTAGCATTTATTCATACTTTTAGCATGGATCACAATGATTACCTGGTGAATCCCCTGTCCCAGTTTGAACTCCTCGAAGTACCCCGGTGCAGCAGACGACGCCCTGACAGCCTGCCAGATGCGTGTGCAGCAGTCTCCCTGGTAGTGGGAGGGCGCGCCGGCAGGCAGGTTGTAGTTCCTGAACAGGTACGCTCGCAGGGACGGGTGGTTAGCCAGGGTCGACACCACTGAGATCTGGGTGGGACAGAGGTAACCATGGTGATAAATCATTCTGCCATACAGTTACAAGAGAGAAAATTTAATGCATCAACAGCATAGAGGCAGTACCTGATCATGGTTTTCTAATTTCTACCAAGAATAGAGGAGGATAATAATTATGAATTTGCATACAAACCCATACTAGTGACTACTTTTGCATCAGGACCACTTTGCCATATTGCCACTTTTTGAATACCATCACCTAGGTGCATGTATGGGTTAGGAGTAGGACATACGTAACAATGGCGATAAATGGACTGAAATGGAGACAAAGCTGTTACAGTAGTCATATCACTAAAAAGAATCAAGAACACTACACAACCTTTGCAGGTAATTTTCCAACATAAGTGTCTTTATTAGATAGAAACAAAGCCATAACAAACTAAAAGTGTGATATTAGTTAAGAGTCTTAAAATTCCATGACATGTATTAACAACTATGTGCGTCTTTCACATTTATACATGTAAATAATAGTTAAATACACAAGCAAACTAATTAAACACTTTCCTTTTACAGTCCAGGAAAACAACTGGAAAAATATAAATGAATGGATTAACATTTTCTATTATGTCACACACTCTTATTGTCCACATTATGCATGTCTAAAACCTTCTAACAATTACAGTCAACATATCTTACATTCTGTCTGTATATGACAATTTCTTAACTGTAACACATGGGTTAATGTTACTACTTTGATTATAATTTGTAAAAGTCTATAATTGCATAATTTATACAATAACAAAGGTAATGATGATGATGATGACTGGTTTATTTGCAACCTCTACACAAACAACTTTTGCATTTAACTGGACTAAGTAATACAATGTTAATAATGACCATATAACATGCCTGTATTCTTAAATCATTACAACATACAAACCAAACCATTAATTACAGACAATGCCTTATTTTGTACAACAAAGCACAAAACTATTTTGGAATAATATTGCTCAAAGTTTCACACCACAAAAGGACGAAGTACATACATGTACATGTATATAGTACTCATTCTTGCTATATGACAGTAGATTACTTTCTTTTCTTCATGTTTATTTGTTGATGCATCATTTATATGTTTAAATGTTGTAATTGTTGCTGGTTATAGAGAACCTTAACAGTGATAACCATCCTTTATCTGGTCTGTGTAAATTCCATCTAGTCTTGGGTCTTAAAGGTTCTGACCAGTTTCTCTATAATAAGGTTATATGAGTTTTGACTTTATACAAGAATGGCTGTTTTATTTTTCTGCCAATGACTTGAGGACCTTGTTTAATTCGAAAAAAAAGATGTAGTCTTTAGAGTGGCTGATTAGGTTTTTTCTTCAGAGATTGGTAGTAACGTGGTGTGTCATGGGCACCAGTTGCCCCACCATTGTTCCTGTTACTGGGAGGGGGGAGTGGGGGAAGCTCATCACTGGGAGCTCTGTTTCTGTTGGGTCCAAGGGACTGATATTCAGCAATTTGCTGTGTCTGACATGCATCGTTAGTCTCCGTGTTACTTGGTGACAGTGCAATATCTGCGTACTCAACTTCTACATGTTCTGAGCTTCTGGCCTGGTCCCCACCCTGCCCTGTCTGGTCTTGCCCACCAATTGTGACCTTAGCTGAGGCATTACTGTAAACAACTGGAGGGGTTGAAGGGGAGGGTGAACTCTGGGTTTTCCTCTTGTGCCATATTGTATGAATGATGATAACAACAAGAACAGTACCTGCTACTGAGGCACACACAGAGCCAATGAGAACAGCTAGGGAGAAGCTGGGAGCAGATTGAGGTTGTTTTGAAAGCACAATATAAGGAGGGGAAGTTACTGGTGCAACTGTACTAGTTGTGTTTTCCTTAAGGTCGACATCTACAACCAGTGTGGCAAATATTGAGCCAAAAGGACTTGCAGCAATACAAACGTAAAGACCAGCATCTGCTGCAGTAACATTGGTTATGTTAATGGAACCATTCACTCCCACAGTCACCCTCCCACTGGACTCCACAGTTGCTATCTGTCCAAACGGGAGAATGACTGTGATACTTGGTGTGGGGATTCCTGAAGCTTCACAGACCAAATGTAGTGTCTCTCCCTTGGCCAATGTGTTATTGTGAACCATGTCAAACCTCGCTATTGTTGGCTCTTCACAGATCAGATCTTCAGGACTGATATCTTTGAGCTGTTGTCCTTGGAAGTTGCTTGGGCCTTCACATCTGATTTGGTTTTCAAATGGATGGGACCCAGTCATCTTCTGCCTGAAGGGCACCATCCTACAGTCACACTGCCAGGGGTTGTTGTACATGTAAATGCGTAAAAACCACCGGAACTGGAGTGATGACAATTCTGCAAAAATCTCTGCTTTTAGGAATTTAAGTCTATTGTGCTGCAGGTCCAATTCCCACAGTTGTGACGTGAAATTGAAAGTTCCTGCCTGAATATCACTGATCTCATTATTGTCTAAGTAAAGGGTCCTTAAGTTTTCAGGTCCTGTAAACATGTCAGATCTGAGGTTTGTTAAGTTGTTGTTACTCAGGCGCAAGTATCTCAATTGTGGTGTTGAATTGAAAGTTCCAGCTTGAATATCACTGATCTCATTATTGTATAAGTAAAGGGTCTCCAAGTTTCCCAGCCCTGTGAACATGTCAGATCTGAGGTTTGTTAACTTGTTGTTACGCAGGGACAGGGTTCTCAGTTGTGGTGTCGAATTGAAAGTTCCAGCCTGAATATCACTGATCTCATTATTGTATAAGTAAAGGGTCTCCAAGTTTCCCAGCCCTGTGAACATGTCAGATCTGAGGTTTGTTAACTTGTTGTAATACAGGTACAAGTATCTCAACTGTGGTGTTGAATTAAAAGTTCCAGTCGGTATATCACTAATCTCATTACTGTCTAAGTAAAGTGTATTCAAGTTTTCAGGTCCTGTAAACATGTCAGATTTGGGGTTTCTTAACTTGTTACTACTCAGGTACAAGGTTCTCAGTTGTGGAGTTGAATTGAAAGTTCCAGCCTGAATATCACTGATCTCATTATTGTCTAAATAAAGGGTATTCAAGTTTCCCAGCCCTGTGAACATGTAAGATCTGAGGCTTGTTAAGTTGTTGTTATGCAGGAACAAGATTCTCAGTTCTGGAGTTGAATTGAAAGTTCCAGTCGGAATATCACTGATCTCATTATTGTCTGGCTGAAGCCCGGGCCATGGGAAGATGTCATATCTGCCCAGGCTAAGTTCACGCAAGTTTCCCAGCCCTGTGAACATGTCAGATCTGAGGTTTGTTAAGTAGTTGTTATGCAGGTACAAGGTTCTCAATTGTGGTGTTGAATTGAAAGTTCCAACCTGAATATCACTGATCTTATTATTGTATAAGTAAAGGGTCTCCAAGTTTCCCAGCCCTGTGAACATGTCATATCTGAGGTTTGTTAAGTTGTTGTTATGCAGGTACAAGGTTCTCAATTGTGGTGTTGAATTGAAAGTTCCAGCCTGAATATCACTGATCTCATTATTGTCTAAGTAAAGCTTCTCCAAGTTTTCAGGTCCTATAATCATGTCAGATCTAAGGTTTGTTAACTTGTTGTTACGCAGGGACAAGATTCTCAATTGGGACAGTGGTTTTGAATTGAAAGTTCCAGTGGGAATGTCGCTGATCTCATTATTGCCTAGGTAAAGGGTCTCCAAGTTTTCAGGTCCTGTAAACATGTCAGAATTGAGATTTTTTAACTTGTTGCTACGCAGGGACAAGGTTGTCAATAGTGGTGTTGAACTGAAAGTTCCAGCCTGAATGTCAGTGATCTCATTACTGTCTAAGTAAAGGGTATCCAAGTTTTCAGGTCCTGTAAACATGTCAGATTTGGTTTTTTTTAATTTGTTGTAACCCAGGTACAAGGTTCTCAATTGGGACAGTGGTTTTGAATTGAAAGTTCCAGAAGGAATGTCACTGATGTCATTATTGTTTAGGTAAAGGGTTTCCAAGTTTTCAGGTCCTGTGAACATGTCAGACCTGAGGTTTGCTAACTTGTTGTTACGCAGGGACAAGCTTCTCAATTGTGGTGCTGAATTGAAAGTTCCAGTCGGAATATCACTGATGTCATTACTGTCTAAGTAAAGTTGCTCTATGTTTCCCAACCCTGTAAACATGTCAGCAGTGAGGTTTGACAAGTGGTTGTAACCAAGATCCAATTTGATCAAATTAGGCAAGCTATAGAATGCCTGACTGTTGATTGTGGCAATATCATTCGACCCTAGATCTAGCTCTCTCAAGCTCCCATACCGTGAGAAATCAGACTGACTGACTGCTGTGATTCTATTATGACCTAAATCAAGTACAACAATGTTTGCTGGCAGGTCCTGAGGAACACTGGTGAGGCCCTCAAGGAAGCAGGAAGCGCGTCTATAAGAAGAAGAACCTGTAAGTCGGCAGCTGTGGGAAGCTTCTGTTGAACTAAGCACCTTCAGGATGATCAGAAGGGATACCAGCATCCCTGGCAGCTCTTCACCCATGCTGTTCTCAGTGCCCTGATACAGGAATAAGGACAAAAATGGTATAACATAAGACCACTATAACTTCTTCTTAGACACAAAATTTTGACTGCCAATATTTTCACAAATAAGAGCTTTTATCATGAGAAAATTCTTATCACTAATCCATACAGCATTGTAGTGTAGTGTGTTCTGATCAATTATGCAAATGACATCCTTATTGGCATAATTTGCATGTGACAATCTTTATCCACTACATGTATAATAGTTACATACAGTACATAATGATGATAAATGTCCTATTTATCAAAAGTAATGTCCTCATCTGCATAATTACAATCTAAAAATTTGATACACTCTTATTTATTGGGTCTTAAGTTAAAATGATCAAAATTACTAAGAAGTTTTTCTTGTTTAAAACAAAGATTTTTAAAAACATATTCCACTCCTAGACTTATGCTGCTATGGTACAGCCCACATCAACCAACCACCAAAGTGAAGAACAGATATGGGGACAACATACAGAGGCTTTAATGCATTGCAGTCATAAAAAGTCAATTGGAATAAGAATTGTACAGTACCTACTAATATTTTAAATTCATTTTATCACTACATGACAATACATTTTCCCATGATATGACATGAGCAACAACTGTGACATAGCTTGTTTATGGGAAAATGTACATTTCCAAAGTGACTCACTAGTCTTTGAGGAAGTAAATTTTGGAAAATAAAAAAAAGGCTTTCTTTCTGATACCCTGCGACAGCTTTTGTTGACAAGAGAAATTGAGGCTGCTTTTGACCACATATTTCAGAAATAAAATAGGTCTTTGCTCTTACTTCCAAGGAGAATTGGTGTTAACATAGACTTCTGCACACTTGAGCATACATGTACATTTGCACTAAGTTTATGCATGGAGGACAGACCCATGTCACAAATAAAAAAAACTTACCCGTAAAGTTTATGCTCCAGAGAAAATCTTCCTTGCCAAGAAGTGATGCAAGATTTTTCTCTGTGCCTGTGGTGTAAGAAGCAGGTACATGTACATATAGCTTTCCTTTATTGTATGTAACACAAAGCTTGAAGTTAATATAAATTGCTAACTTTTGACATATGCCTTGCATTCTTGTTTTTCATTATCTTTTTATGATATGGCGATATGGCTTAGTAGTAGCTACAAATGTATAAAAGTTTTGCAGCCTCATCCCTTGCTACTCCATACCAGTCAGGTCTCCCAGACAAGGAAATGAACAGGTAAAAAATAACTTCTGGTTTCATTTGTTGTATTTCCTGAATATTTTCTGTCATCAGATGTACTATTAGCCATATTTTCTGTCATCAGATGTACTATAAGCCAAGTTGCCACTAAAAAGTGTTAATTTCAAGCAAAAACTTTCAAAATCACAACATACTGTAACAATCCTAAAAGTTGTTGTTTTGCACAGTTCATCTGGAGGATAAGCTTTCTTTACTCTTTACAATACAAGCAGAAGTGTCCCAAACAAGACAAAGACAAACACTTACCCAGAAACAGAGTCCAGAACCCAGAACTTGACAACTTGATCCTATAAACTGAAAATGACTTTTACTTGGAAGCCTGCTCTGCAGTCTTATAAAACAGTCACAGACAGAAGTCACACCTGTGTGAGTGGTACCTGGTGGTGCAAGCCCTGTAACTGCGCAGTTTGTTTTGCTTTGCAAAATACCCGTATGTCTTACACGGGCACAAGCATGACTGTTCTGTCTGGTATGTAGAAAAGAACTGCAGGTCATTGTCATGATGTTGACAGTTGTGGCAGCAGCTCAGAAATAGACACTACTTACCACATCACAGAATGTCATATGAGAGAAGTTGTTAAGAAAATCTCTGGGCTTTTAAACTTTAGATACTGAACTTAACCCCAGACCTTGGCCACTTTTTTCACTGACTTGTTCATTACGCTGCAAGCCACATCTGCTGCCATATGTGACTAGTATAAACAGACATTGTCTTTATGAAGGATAAGAATTAGATCACCTGCTTTTATGAGAATGAGTCTTACTCAATCACTCACTATCCTGGTTTTGATTATTCTGCTGCCGGTTTCCCTGGCCCAAAATCAAACTATTGTAACAATTCATTAGGAATTAAAAAGTAAAGCAGGGCTATCGTGAGAAGTTGCTTGATGTAATATACACATAGCAAGCTGTTGTTGTACGTCTGCATAGGATGGTATGTCCAAGGATGTTGCCTTGATGTACATGTAGTAACATGGAGCTGCATGTCTGCAAAACTTTCCAGTGTGTTGTGTCAATACAGTACTAGTAAGTTTGTGACGCAATTGGTGATGCAGCTAGCTGCTTTACCATATGGATCAAATTTCATGAATCCAGACGGTAAGGGTTCATACCCCAGCTCGGGCATGGTGTTTGGGATTGCATTTGTGATTTCAGATGGTGACATACAATGTAGGGAGAGTTTCAAGCATCAAACATCTATACTTGAAAACAACAACAAACTAAAATTGAAAAGAGAGGTGGCCCCATATGCTTTGCTATTAAATGCAAACTGTTCTGTAGTGAAGCCAAATTACACTATCAGCTATGGAATGAAAAAGCGTGATGTTTCATATCCAGCATCATGCTTCAAGTTCAACCTGCAGCTGCTATACCTTTACCTTTCTTCGTAATTGTCATTTTTTAAGAATATTTTTGCAATATCACTGGTGAAGGAATCGGCTCCTCACATCCAAAACTGTTTCAGTGCTACTGCTGACAAAGTGTTAATGCATGTACTATCAATTCATCTTAAATTCTTAACATAAACACAATTTAGCGTCACTGAAAAAACTACTGAGTATTCTTACCTTAGGGCAGGTTGGATCCCGGACAGTTTCTATCATTAGTCTGTCTCCAACCTCTGTCCTGGAACAAATAGTGGAATACATGCTTACATTGTTTTATGAAAACCTCTCCTTTAAACTCTTGTCATGTACCAAACTTGTCTGACCTTCACCTCCTCAATGAAAAGCAGCTGATGTCTTAACAAAAAAACAAAATGTTTAAACAAACTATGTCCGTTGAACTTGTGTACCCCTTCAGGTTAATTCCCAATTACTCAATGCCAGTGACCAGAGATCTTGTGACAAAACAAACTTTAATGCCCAAACACCTATGAACCTTGTACATGGGCTGGTGCATGTTACATGAAGTCCTGGAAGAAACACCTGTGTAACTCCTACACTAACCTGCATATTACTTAAGCAACCTGCATAATTATGTAGGTGCATGGTATTTTTCACCCTGTGTATAAGTACATGTTTGCATAGTACAAATTGTACATACATGTACATGTATGTAACTAAACTCACTTCAGCATTTTCTCCCAGGCTGCCGTATCGTAGAAGGCGTGTGACAGGAAGAGTTTGCCAACGCCGACGTACGTGCTCCGCTTGAAGATCTCTTCACTGAACCTCCGGTAGAGCTCCTCACACTCATCAAGCGACACCTGGTCAGTGTAAAATAACAGAATGAACTATAAAAGAGTGCAATATTACACACCATTATGATGGATTCAGTATGTCCATACAGTCAGTAAGCACATGTCTGTGCATGTTGAACCATGTTGTGGAATCAGCTATTGACATAATCTTGCATCTTGCAGCACACCATAGTTTTATGAATGTGTGCTACGAGACACTGTTATAAGACAGGGTGCTTCCAGCTAAATGTATGTACAGAGCCTACTTTATAAATCCCAGCAGAGTATTAGTAGGTAGTATGGCCCAAGAACTGTCCCACATCTCCTAACTCCCTCACCTTACACAGGTATACATGTACATGTGAGTACAGGACCTACCTTGTACACCCCCAGCAGTATGGCCAGTATCGCCCCAGAGCTGACCCCGCTGATGTAGTCAAACATCTGGTAGATAGACTTCCCACTCATCTCCTCCAGCTGCCGTAATGTTTCCACTGCAACTACACCCCTGCAGGCAACATATTCATAGTTTATTGAAGTTCTTGTAAGTAAGTTGCAGTTGTAAAATGATGGTGAGTCGTTCTATGTAATGTAGCCAGCTGCCACCGTGCTGTGTGCCTGCGAAGCTGGTGTGTTACACTGAAGGGCAGTTATACCGACTTTACAGATACAGATACAGACCCTACTGGACCTAAAATTCTAAATTTCTGTAGTATCTGTGTCTCTTCTCAAAAAAGACCTATAGGGTGTCAGAAATTTTGTGAACAGTTTGTATTTGTGTGAACAAGTTTCCTAACCTTGTTCCTCCCCCATCGATGGACAGGATCCTGACTCCTCTGCCCTCCACAGGGTCTTCATATCCCAGCAGGCTTAGCGTCTCCCTCACTTCCTCCACAAGGGGCTGGTACGGGTTGTCACGGTAACGCAGCAGCACAGGAATCGCATTCTCCTGTAGTCATGGCGACCAAAGGGGAGAATAGGTTTAAAGGTGGGCTGCACCAACAGTTTGATTCTTCATTAGATTGTTGAATATTTTCACAGATTTTCAGTAACAACCTTGCCTGGGTACCATCCATATTTTCGCTCCGCAATTCGAGCATTGTGGAGCGAAAATCCGGATGGTACCCAGGCTAGTAACAACCAACGGTGTTCAGTACAAACAGGAGAAACCTCCTACCTTGACTGCTACGACCCGTGCCTCGGGAAAACTGATGAGATGTTTGGTGAGTTCCTCCACCCGGAGTAACCGCGCCATGCCCGACCCAGCCTGCCGCGTCGCCCGCACCAGCTGTCGCGTTCTCACGTTCACGCTCGTCTTCGAGATGAAGTCCTTCTTCGCACTGCTCATACTGTCCTGCGGCTTCCTCGTGGACCTTTCCAAAGTTTTCACTGACACTTCATCAACCTTCACCAGCTGTTTGTCCCCCTCCATTTCTTTACTGACTTTTATGAACTCTTCCACAGTGGCAGCTGCACTATAGTGTACAGTCATCATGTCATCCTTGGTAACATCAGTCTTTTCCTTTGCAGCATTCTGTGAACTCTCGTCTGAGTGAGGCTTTGAATACTCTGCTGACTTTCTGTTGACCAGCCTACTTACTCTCACAGCATCCTTTATGTCATTCAGTTTCACATCTGGCAACTTGATGGTTGGCATGTTAATCTGGTCTCTGAGCCCAAGTGCCTTTCTCTGCAAGTCACTTGTAACACTGAGAACGCTATTGGAGGCAGAATCGTACATTTCTTTCACCTTCGTCATTTTCTTACCCTTCACACTACCCGTTTCGTCCGAGGAAGACTTGGCCATGCGCCCGGTGTAGAAAGGCATTTGGTACACTCTGAACAGGTACCTTCCCAAGGCCAGCTTGGTGGACTGCCTTCCACTGTGTAAAGACCTACAAAGGGCTGAACTTCTACTACTTGAATTTGAAGGTAACCCTCTATTTTGTCCATGCGCGCTGATCCTGTTGCCATGACAACAGTAACATGACAGAAAACATGGCGTCCTGCAGTTCCGACTCATAAATGTTACCAGCACTAGAGACATCTTGGCAAGAGAGATGGCAACTAACTGCTAATTTCCTTTTTTGAATTAGTTTGCGTTGTAAGTGTCTTGATGCAACATTCAGGTTACCTGAAAGACAAATACAAATAAACAACCATGAACAACAAATGACGTATTTGTTATAAATAAATAATTGTATGAAAACACAAAGTTAAGACAAATTGTCATAATGATTGCAACAGCAACTCAGCACTTCCACCCGACCAAAAACAGATTTGTTGGGACACATAGAAGCATAATCTACAGTAACGCTTACATGGTAAAAACTACAGGATGTCCCACATGGTAAACACCGGACAACAACAAAAGTGACCTATGACCTGATTAAACTGGATGACGTGACATCACGCCACACGCCACATGAATCATCATGTTCCTCTTCAGTTTCTAAATCAACAATCTGATTCTGATCATAAACTATGACTCTAACATGCCAAAATGTGAAATTCAAGTGTGTTTTCATCTAAATAAACATGTAGAAACCAGGGAAATTCATATTTTGGAACGTTGCTCATTTGTTTTGTGAGATGGACAAACAAAAACAACCGACGAAAACAAAGTAGCAGAGACGAAAACTCCAACTTACCAAGACGATTCAACACAGACCGACATCATGGTAGACCGTTCTGACTGGCCTAAAGTACCCCAGGACAGATCAGTTGAAAGTAAAAGCTTGGTATAAGATTTGGAAGCTTGCAGGAAGCTTGAAAGGGACGAAATCTCGGACTGTTTTGGTTAGGTGGCCTTAGGTGGGGTCGAAGGTAGCGGGTCTATCCCAGTCAAACCGGAAATGGTGCTATGTACGTAGGGAACGAGAGGAGTCACTGAGTGCCCTGGGATGTTGTTTTCGTCTCGTTCATTGGTCAAATGTAGTCATGTGACTTAAAATCCAACATGGCCGCTTCCTGTTGTCAGAATTTGTAACTTTCTGCACGTGTTTTGCTCCAAATTTCGCATTTTCTCCAGACAAGGACAACTCTTCTTCAGGAAAATCATGCTGACTCCAAGATTTGATATCTCTCAAGACCAGAACAACCTTAAGATCGTGATCAAAGCTCCGTGTGCTCGGGTTTCCGACACGGAACTTTACATCGAAGACACCGAGTTCAAGTTTTACTCCAAACCTTACTACCTGAGATTGAACCTCCCCGGCAAAGTGGTCGAAAACGGGCGTGAAAAGGCCACGTACGATGCAGAAACCGGCACGTTTACTGTACTTGTGCCCAAGGAGTGTCCAGGAGAACACTTTGAAGGACTGGATTTACTCACAAAGTTGCTGGCACCTAAAGGAATGAGATCGGCATCTGGAGCAGGTGTGGAGGTTTTAGGAACAGGTACGTGCGCTGTTTAGTACATAAAGTTGGTTGTACTTTGCATTCGTGTTTTTCTTGGTGTTGCAATCTTCCCCTGGCTACCGTGTTAAACGTACCTTTTTAAGCTCCTTGGTTTTACTATGATAACCTCCTTGAACCTCCCAAGTGCCACATACAAGTACTAAAGTAGATTGCATGGTGCAGTTCTAAACAAGTTCTAAGTTTTGCATCTATTATGTATCCACAGGTACAGATGATGCAGAAGAGGAAGAGGAGGAGGAGATTGACTGGCAGGTGGAACAGGTACCATGGTGGGAGAACCAAACACAGTCTGAGATGCAGCCTGGGATGAAATATGGGTTTGCCAACAGAAGAAGTGGAGTCTTCAGTAAGCTACAGGTAAATCTGTTTTATCAATATTGGGTGTGTACAAATATTTCAGTAGACAATGAGTTCTGTTGAAAGTTCTTTCTCATGTATTTTATTTTCCTGTTGTGCATTAGGAGGAGTTACAGGATGTGGTAGATGTGAGAGAACCAGACAGACTGACACATGCAGAGTGTCACGAGGCACGGATGGCAGCAGAGCTGGAACAGTTCGACCCTGATCACTACCTGTAGGTGTTGTATCATTGTGCCTGCATTACTTTAAATTTAAGCTGAGATAGAATTTATACATGTACTGTACAAATAAGAAAATTTTGAATTTTTAGATATTGCATGAATACATACATACATGTAAGGTGCATAGCATACATGTTATGTAAATCCTGTATTTCATTATCTTCAAAAATAGTGTCTTTGTGATCTATATCATGATGACTGAGTTTTTCTCATGTACTTTTTGCAGTGCTGACCTGTATGAGGATGACGCCATCCAAGAACTGCTGAGATACCAGCCACCTTGGGTGCAGGAACTCTACAAACTTAAGACATGTTCAAAAGTATCAGGTTCTGACAGCAGTACAAACCAGCCTGAGGAAGAGGTCTTGGTTTTCAGTGAAGAAGAGAAGGAACAGCTGCTAAGACTGCCCAAGAGGGAGTACCTGCTGGATGGCAAGACATTGCCTGTTGTGTGTTTCAGTCTGGTGGACATTTTGTTTGCCTATGCCTATAACTACAGGACCACAGAAGGGGAGGACAATGTGGAATCTTCCTGGACAATCTGCAAACTCAGTGCAACACTCTCCTGGCTTGAGGTGGGTACTTAGTATTTGGTGGGCTGAGGTAGTGTCGAGTAAAGTACACATCAAAAGATTTCATTGGCACTGAGCAATTTTTACAAACATGTATACATACATTTATTGCAAATCTGGGATAATTGCTATAAACATTCCTGCAACTGTTCTCATCTCTAACTTATCACAAACCATTTCTTTTACTATTCTATGTATATACAAATGTACATGTAGTCAGTATGTTCATAAAGAAATCATGCATAGAAGATCATGATGAAGATATGCAGCATGTTAAGTCACTAACTGATTATGAAGTTGGGAACTATATGTAGGTTTTGCTTCCTACCCTAGAGCTTCTCCAGCCTGCATGAGTCCGTCCTGTCCTCATGCCGTCGTTCCCTCAGCTTCCCTCTGTACCGTAGCTGGGACCTGACCATGGCCGTGTTACAGGACACAAAGGACATCATTGCTGCAGGTCTGACATGTTGTACCATTTGTTTTCATTGGATAGGACAAGTCCTAATTTAACAAAATACCAACTTTTTTCATATGTTTGTGAGTCTATTCACTAAATTTTTTTAAACATCCATGCTTTTTTCTATCCACTTGTTTGTATCCGCGCAGGTAGAAGGCGTGTCCTGCGGTGCCTGCTGCACATCCACAGGCTGCTGTCTGCCGATGAGAACAAGTACATCCTGAATGACCTGTACATCACAGACTACTGTGTGTGGGTGCAGGCTGCTGGTGACAAGGTCTTCTCTTCCATGGCTCAAGCTTTGTCTGATGTAAGTTTTTGGTGCATACAGATACATGTATGTACTTGTCCAAGTTCTGAGTCTATTTCTTAGGGAGAACCCTGAATATATGGCCATAGCAATCATATGAATAAAGTGTAAATAAAAGTATGGAAACTTGATTGCAGATCCACTTGTCTAAAGCCGACATGAAGCTGGAGCTGGAGGAACTGGAGCATGCAGCCAGACTGGTGCAGGAGGAAGAGGACACACAGGTCATTGACACCATGGCAAACCTCAGTCTACAAGAGTCAGAAGCACAGGACAGGTGTGAGACAACAGGTCTGGAGGCACCTGTAGCTGAGATGGTTCAAATATCTCTGACTAGCAAGGTGGACAACAGTACTGAGAAAGTTTCATCAAGTAAGGAGATACTTGATCAGGAAAATCTTTCGTCACAGACTGAAGATGATTCTGATGACACTGACACCAGCAGTGAATCTGATTCCTCCTCAGAGACTGACAGTGATGTTGATGAAGAGGTAACAAAAGGTGACAAGGCGTCCGCTCAGAGACCTCAAGTCCTAGCAACGTCTGAAACCCCACCTGACAAGGAATTGAAGTCTGATCATGGTTGTGGAACTGTAGATGCATCTTCATCATGCAAGAATGGGAAGGAAGACAAAGATCAAGAACACTTGTGGTTAGAAGTCCCAGATGTGAATAACAGGTACAGGATAGTGGAGGAGGAAAGATGCAGTGATACAACTGACAGGAGCCTCCTGTTTAGTCAAGAGACATCAAGTAAAAAGCAGCTTATTACAGAACTTCAGAAAACTTAGTGCAGTTGAATTTGGAAGCATGTAGATGTTAGGTACTAGTATATTTACTATGTACAGTTGTAGATACCCTATTACTATCTGAAAAAAATTCTGTTGACTGGCTAAAGCCTGTTGATGACTTCAATAAAAAACAGTTTTAAATTTTCTAGTACATGTACTTGTTTTTGTGTGTGCAAACGCTCAACATCCACTATCGGTAGTCACAACTGCACAATGCAAGACTATGAGACACATAATAATTGGACCAATCACAATTTATTCCACATAAGAAGCTCAACACTAGCCAATGAGGCAAGACTCACAAAGTTTCATGACAGTATAGCTGTGTTCATAATCAACTACTGCATCATTCATCATAATTTGTACCTCCACCAGATATACATGTAGGAAGCAACATTTCAACTGTGATTGTAGCAAACTTGGGGATAAAGTTCATTATGAACACTTCAAACAAATCCAAATATAATGTACATACAAATTATTACAGCATTAAGACACCTCTACAGTCTCTAGCACAGAAATGTGTTTATATCTTGATAATAATTATAAACAAATTCACAATCTGCAAATTCATGCCTGTTGACTTGTGAAAGCCAGTGGGGAAACATATACAGAAACAAGAGAAATTTAAAATGACTGAAACAAGAAATTTACAGCAACTCACAGAGGTGTGAAATCTTTGATTTCTTGTTTTTACTTGTATGTACTGCTGTAGTACCTTTTACAGGCTTGTTTGTCATTTCTTACATTATGCACAGTCTGGACATTTTCCCTCCGTCTGTCTATTGTCTTACTTCTTGGTGAAATTAATGTAGTTTTCCTGACAGATTCTGAAAGCTTACTTTTTCACCTTCTCTAGTCTGTCCCGTAGCTGTGACATAAGAACATGTTGAATACAACATATACCTTGCAGCACAAAAATATTTTCATAATAGTCCTTTAAATTTGTATGACACAATAAATACTCTGTAATTCTGATTCCCATTAATTGATAATAACAACATTTCTGTTAAACATACTACAGATACATGCTGGAAACTATAATGATCAAATTATCTAAACTCTCAAGGAAATTTTACCACAGCTCCCCACGTCATACCCCAAGCACACTGGCCAACTCTGGCATCCAGGTCAGCAAAAACATACAATATGTAAGTCAAAATATAAAGTAATTTCAAAGTACTTCAACCTGTTTATCATATTCTTACAATGGAAGAACATTTTGGAATATCACATTGCACATTGCTTTCTAACACCTTAAACGATTCTGCAGTCTTCAATGAAGGCAACACATTCTTATCCCAGCTGTATTTCACACCATATGCAATTTTAAAGTGAAGCCAACCTATAATTTTGCAGGGCAAATTCAAGTATATGGCTATGTTTTGAAATTAATACAATGTACCAAGGTAATATTATTTGGTGACATTTCTTTGTGTCCCAGTTTAAAAACTGTAATCTTAGAAAATTGGGGTTTATACCCAGCCAATATCTTCGTGACTATCCCATCAGGGTAACAAATGTTCGCAAAGAACTTTGTTATCTAGTTGTGGGACTGGTCTGTCATTCCAATCCTTTAAGACGTTCCTTTATTTCTTGTTGGCCTCGCTGAGGATCCTGAGGATGTGCAGGAAGAGGTTGATCATGTCCAGGTACAGGTTGATGGAGGCCAGGATGTACTCCTCAGGGGACAGCTTGTGCATGAGCATGGACGTGTCAAACACGATGAACAGGCAGAACAGGAGGGCCCCTCCCACCGCCAGACCCATCTCCATGAAGTCATTACGGGGGAAGAACAGCTGTAATAGGGACAACGCTACAGTTTACCACTGCTCTAATACATGGTGAATTTGAGTTCCCGTACATTTGTACATGTATTATAAAACTAAAGCTACATTATACAAGTTTATGTTTAAATCATCAAATAACAAACATCTGTACTTACATGGAGGAAACCTGCAATGACGAGGATCCACAGAGCAGAGAACAACCTGGGAAAAAGATACAGAGACTTAGTATGCCCACCATTTGATAATACAGTGATACTAGTGACTGCACTTGCCAACAGCATTCTTTCTAAGCTGTAGGTCTACAATAAAAAGTATGATGAAAATGGACTCCCAAAAAACAGCAAAGTAACCAAAAACTTCACTTGGAAAGTGGGCCTAATCAGTTCTGTCACTTCTAGTAGTTAATAACCAAAGTTGTAACTCCTTACCCTGCCCCCCAGGAGCTGTAGTCCTTCTTGCTCTGCAGGGTGTAGAGTGTCAGACCCACACACACCGACAGGGTCAGGGCAAACGCCTGCAGCACAATCGCCTGGTCATAGAACGTCACTGGGGAAGAACAGACAGAAGTTAGAGGATGGAGTCACTTTTTGGATCCACGTACATATCTGTAACTGACACAGTGGTACATTATCTCACAATTGTTTTGTTTTACTAGAGTTCTGCATTGAAGAATGGGCAGGACAAGTGTTGTAAAGGAGTTTTAAAATATACAAACATTACATGTGTATAATTTAGATATAACTCACCTAAGGTCCCAACTGAGTATGCTTCCACGAATGTCTGTGAGGACAAGAAAAAGACGTATCTTACATTGAGTGGGTGGAATGCATGGAATATGCTTGTAAGCAACTTTTAGGTCTAAAAATTCTTCCTTCATGGAATCTACACTTCACCGCACTTTGAAACTTCACCCCAAGGTAGTGAAGTATTATTTTGGCTTGTCTGTCTGTGATTCTGCAAGTTCAATACACACAATGCGGCATACCTATGAATGGTAGTAATAACTTACAAAAGCTGCCAGTAGGTACATGTTGGTTGGGTACTCTGTACGTTTGACGTGTAAGGCCACCAGGATACCCAGGGACAGGAACAGGGCAACCATCAGTAGGGTGGGGCTGAAACAACAAGTTTGATCATGTGTAAAAGACTTGTTTGAAACAGTAGAATAGATTCAATACATTGTACATCCAACTCTTGCCAGCAGGCACAACACTTGTCTGCACATGCTTAACTATGTGGCGTCGGGTAGTGTAGTGGTTAGAGCAATCGACTATGAACCGGGGAGACCCGGGTTCGATTCCGAGTCGTACCCGGTACATGTCTGAACATGCGCCCCGACGTTGTGCCCTTGGGAAAGGCACTTAACACGACTTTCCTCACTCCACCCAGGTGTGAATGGGTACCCAACTTCGGTTGGGGAAAGTCGTATTGAGGTCACCTTGTGGCGCCGAATGGCAGCCGCACAGACCCTTGCGACAGTTCCACAAAAAATAATTGTGGAACAAACATGTGTATCATTTGTATTATTTGATTGTTGTAATTGTTGTGATTTGTATTGATTATTATGTGATACCCTGCATCAATTCAGCCGTATTCAGGCTGCGACTGCACGGGTACTGTTTGGACAATAAAAAATTAAAAAATAAATAAAAAAAACTAACAGTGCCTTTCCAGAATGCTTTCCACTGCCAAGAGTCAAAAGTAATCACAACAACTTATACTTTTAAAGAATGTTGATGGAGCTACTTTCCAAATAGCTTGTTTGAAAGGCGTGCCAAAGCATGACTTTCCAAGCAGGGGTTGGATGAGATTGCCTTGCCCCATTGACCGTCAGAAGACAGGGCAAATCTAAAGAACGATCTTCCCATCCAACCTCTGCTTGGAGCACACCAGCCATTCAGAGCTTTTGCACTGTAGATATTATGGGCTCTGTAGACAGGGTAGTGGTTTGCACTACATCTTAAAATGGCAGGGTACTGTATGGGGTGTGTGCTCACCTTCCTTGTACAAATGTCTTGATGGCTGGAGTGTAGATGAAGAGTGCCCCCATGAGGGTGGTCAGGGCCAGCTGCATGGACAGGATGCCATACACCTTTCTCAGGAAGGCTGCAAGACAGGGGAAGTTGTCAACATATATCTATCTTTTCTATACATGTAACATTATGTCAGATTGAATCATTATAAATCCAACAAATTAATGCTATGTTGTTTTTATAGAGCTATAAGAAAGAGCCACTTGAATAATATGCATACAATCCTCCTATGAGAAAATGTTTACTTAATGATGTACTGTGTACTTTTATCTTTCTTGGCCCTGGAGCAAAATATGGACAATACTTGTGTCACTTCTATGGAAAAGAGGAAGTGAAACCAACATGAAAAGGGGAGGGGTGGGGGGTAAAGTCGCATTTGCTTTCAAGATCATTCGGCTGGTACGTATAAACCATCTTAAGGTCAAATTTGCAGATTCTGACGTAAACTTTGTATTATATTATTATCATTGTATTATAAAACACCTGTTGTGTTGAAGAAGTTCCATAACTTGGGCGTTTGCCTGTGGAGTGCCGTGCTCAGTTAGACAACTGTTTCGTCTTCGTTTCATACTTGATACTTCAATACACCCCAGCACGTATGGTTAATAACACACTTACCCATTCTGATGTAGACGTGCGAAGACGCCACGTTGGTGCCGTACATAAAGTCGTCCATGATGGAGCTCTGGCCCTTCCCGCTTGGTTCTGGGTTCGCAACAAATGTGGGCAGTGGCACTGAAGTCGCCATTTTTCAACGTCTCAGAGATCAGCAGTGAAGAAGAAACTATCGAAAAACCTGGTCCGTTTTCCTCTCAAAAATTCAGATATTACTCGTGAACCTCTTAATCAAATACACACGTGTTACGGGCCCTTTACAACGCGTTCGGTTGTGGTAGGTGTTTGGGAAATAAGGATTATAGATGCTCACAAAACACTCGGGTCTGACACTTTGAACACGTCGTCTTTCCCAATCACAACAGTATGGTGTTAATCACACCGCGAGATTCTTCCGCGATGAAAAAAAACATTCATGTTATCGCATGAGAATAATGCGGTGTATATCTAGGGACAAAGTATTCTAAATAATATGTGATGCCCATAAATGTGTTAAATAAGTAAAATAACTCTTCATTTCAGTCAATTTCCTAATTCTATTATGGGCGAATAACATACCACTGGAGTAAGATATATCCTTGCGCTAATACGAAGACGTCATCGGTGAATCGATTTCTAGATCCAAGCAGAGGTTGGTGGGGAGAATTGTGACCTTTCTTGCATCAGGCATACCGTAGACATTTTTTACTCTCCAAGCAGAGGTTTGGGTTTTGGGGGTATTTTTAGCGTGTTATTAGGTTTTTTTATCGGGGTTTCTCTTTTGCACTGAATTTTTTTCCCACCAAACCCAACTGTGGGGTTTGGTGGGAAAAAAAATTCAGTGCAAAAGAGAAACCCTGATAAAAAAGCCTAATAACACGCTAAAAATACCCCCAAAACCCAAACCTCTGCTTGGAGAGTAGAAATTTTTCCCACCAACATCTGTTTGGTGAGTACGATTTTCGACGGTGGCCTGGGTATGCAGTACACAGCATAATAATTTTCAATGTATATTCCATTAACTTTGTCACCTACAATATCTAAATGTGGTGTGTAGACTGACATTCTGCATCATGTCATATTAGAAATAAAGTAAACAAAATCTGAAAAACCCCAAGACAAAGTGAAACAAACACTTTTATTGTCTTTCAGATATTTGGTGATAGTTGGAACTATATTATTATGCTTTCCATTGTACAACATGTGTATCTTCAGGTGATAGCCTACATGTTGGTAAGCCAAGTAGAAAAAGCAGATTGCAGGAATACAAATATGACAATTTACTATCTTGCCAACAGCTTGGAATATAGCAATATATATGAAAGCTTAGTACATGTATTGGCAAAATAATTATTTCCTACTCATATTGACACACCCCTTCACTAAATTGCAATAAAATATTCAGCTTAAAATGGCAGTTGTACTTTAAGACATGCCATGCTTCTACTTACAAACTGAATATCATATCATATAACTTTACATGTACTAGTATTAGGGAGGTTTGTAGCTGGTGCTGACAACAAAAATCAAACCTGTCTGTGGTAAAAACTCAAGGACAAAACTGATCCCATTAGACAGACAGCTGGCCACTACAGACAGGGTTTTAAGTGCAGAAAACAGGGCAGGTGGTCTTCGTACAGAAGTAAAAAAAACAAATTAGAAAAGCCTTTTTCTAGTAGTTGAAAGAGGATCACAAAATGTAGATAAAAACTGACAGTCACACAGGTGTCTCATTTTGCAATAGAAAACTGAATCTTCCATCAATCTTTCTTCAGCTTCAAATCCATGTGTCGCACAATGCTTCATCCATTATGTCTGTCAGTTGCTGTTCAGCTCCTTCGATGAAGAGTCTCAACGCGGACAGTTTTATCTTCTTTTCTTGGACTCCTTCCCCTTGCCTTTGCGACCACTGCTTGCTGCTTGAGGTGATGCACTTTCGTGTCTTCCTCCTCCTGGTTTGGACCCATTCTGAAGCTCTTCTACTGGCTCCTGTCAGGAAAATTACACATGTAATTGTCATAAAATACTGTACATTACACAACAGGTAGTTATTGATACTCTATCACTGTCGTTTGAAACTCAAATTTGAAAGTACATACTTTACTTTATAACCATAAATTCTCCATGGCAAATTCTCTTGTCTCAATTTCAACCTTGGACTGGGGAGTGTATTCTGATGAATTTGATAGACTTTTACTGGCATGGCAACAGCTGAATCCTTCAACATACATAACTTATCGCCCCCCCCCCCCACTAGACTGTAAACAAACCATTTGGATGTTGCCAAATGAAACCATGGCATGATGAAACTAAACGCAATTGCCGACATATTAACCTGGTCTTCTGGCTTCCTTGGGAGAAACACAACCGCCGCTATGGCCACCATCTGGAAAATCGCTCCAACGAACAGACCCCAGTGCAAAATCTTATCGAAAAGTGTTTCTGGTGGAATTTCGACTCCGTCCTCCATCTTGGAAAAATGGACTCTTCCACTCGCACTGAGCCTGCGTAGTACAAACCAATTAGATGTTCGATTGTTGGTCACGTGATAATTTTTAAATCGCAGTGGGAAAGCTGGAGTCAGTCGTGTTGTTGTTTCCTGAATTTTTGTACGGTTTTGTTAGATGATTTGTTTGAAATTTTGGTCACAACTATAACTTGAAGGTTAAAGGTGTAATCCTAAAGCAAACCTGTGAGGTGGTAAGACGCCAGGATTTGAAATCAAGGGAAGGAAGGTGAGCAAAGATCAATCAGACGATAGCTTCGATTGTGCTTGGCAAGGAGTTTAAAAACATTTTGGTTTATGCATTTGTATTGGAAACGTGGATCTATAACTCTCGGTGTGATAACAAAGACATAGGTGTAAAAGCATACCCCCAGCAGGCAAACAATCTTCAGCAAGCTTTGACCAAGTGGACATTTACAGAGGTTAAACTTAAAAATAAAATAAAAAATATTTAAAGCTCCTTGCAAAGTGATATTTGTTCCTTCTGCAGGACATCAACTGATCATAATAATCTATCTTCCAACGCGACCATGGAGAGTAAAAGCAAGGAAGGTAAGAAGAAAAATGTGTGCCTTAGATGTAGTCTTGCTCTATAGTATAATGTGTAGCAAAAGGAAATTACATGTGTATTGGGACAGTATTGCATAATATTTAAATACATATTACTTATTTTTATTAGTACTACTAGGTATGTTAGATGAAAGATGAAGCTTCTTTCTCTCTACTTCACGTCTCTTCTGTACTCTATTTAGTAGTACTAGTATCTACTATAAAGTAGCCCGCCGGTGACTGTTGCAGGGCTTCTATTACCTGCAGTCCTATTACTATATTATAATTTATAATTTTATATAGCAGATATATCATCATCATCAGTCGGCTGTGCAGGTGACTGTAAGTGTAAGTTTCCTCCATTTCCCACAATTGTAATTTGTTAGTAAGGTCAGAGAAGCAGGAGAAGTCCTGCGTCATGGCTCGGGCTAAAGCACTGTGGCTAATTGCCACTTTGTAAGTACATGAAGTTTTGAATGATCCACTCCTAACTTACAGACACATGCATGTTCTATGTACAACATAAATTTCAGGTTGCCAGGTGGCTATGCTGATTGACCTGGGCAGCCCCGCGATGACAGGACCTGTGGTGAGTGGGAAGGAGAACATCACCAGTACCAGCAGTGCCAAGAGCACGCCCAGCAAGAGCCCTCCTCGCAAGAGGAGCGCCCTGCAACCTGTCAATAGAGAGAGGACAGAGGGTATGTTTCAGCTGTTAGAGTTATACTGAAGTCTGATAAAGGGATAATGACCCATATACATATACATGTACTAGTAAACCACTGTGTAGTAGTAGTAGTACCATAATTGTTATTATCATATAGCCAGCCATTGCCATATATCCAACTGACAGATGAATGAGGCCAAGGAAAAAAAATGTTGTGTTTCCTGTTTCGGTCCTGAAAAAATTAGGGTCGGTAGGTAGGGATTATCTTATTTTATTTTTTATTTTTATTTTTTTTAGACTTTGCTGATTGCTGTGTTTATTTAAGTAGAACAAGTTGAAAAATCAATTGTGCAATATTATATTTCAGGGGTCTCCAACTTTGCGCCCTACGCCGCGCGCAGGAGAAGCTGTTGCATTTTAATACGTACTATTCTGAAATGTAGTTTGTAGCCTTCTCCTGCAACTTGAGTTGAAAATCTGTCTAACTTAAGAGATAGAAAATCAAGCCCAATTAAGTACAAATATTTCAACATAATAATTGGTTGGTATGGTACATTGTCTAGTCTGGTCAAAGTTAGTGGATTCAGAAGAAGAAAAACTTCTGAAGGAAAAAACGCCTGAAGAAAAAAAATTTTGAAGAAAAAAACTTTCGAAGAAGAAAAACTTTTGAAGAAAAAAAACTTTTGAGGAAAAAACTTCTGACGAAAAAAACTTCCGAAGAAAAAAAATCTGAAGAAAAAAATATTATTCAGCGCAAAATTTTGATTGGTTTCTATCCCAATGTTTTCCTAAAAATCGATGATGTGATTGTATTAATTTTAAACGCCCTAAAATTAGCTAAATCGGCGCAATTTACGATGATTGCGCAATACGCGTGCCCTATGACCTTTGACTTTACGGGTCACGCAGCTCTAAATGCAGGCGCCCTCCCCACCTCGGCCGTCCGATTTGCCGGCAAATTTCTACTTTTTAAAGGGTTTCGGGACCTAAAAACTAATACCAGAGGGAAAATAAACCACATACGTTATTTTTATGGTAAAAATCGCTAAAATGGACCAGGCATTTTTCTGCCGCGTTGCCGATTTTGAGATTCAGGACTTGCGGCCACCATGTGCTTTACGTCGATAGCGAATTTTCTACGGTGTCGTAAACGTATCGGCTTTTTTGTTAAACTTATTTTCGGGGTCGAGGGCTTTGTTTTACAAACAAATCAGACAATAAGCGTTGTTTACACGGCTTCAAAACGCTAGCGGGGCGCCCGATGTTCCACCAATGACAGCGATTCTCTCGGTAGCGTCGTGCAAATGTTTTGGTTCAGCAATATGCAGCGCAGGGGTCCACACAAAAATAAGGCTAGGGTGGGCGGTTTTTTTAGGGTCGGTCGGGAAACAGGAAACACAACATTTATTTTCCTAGGCCTGAGTCCTGTATGACAAATATATCTACGTAACAAACTCATAGTCATAGGAAGAATCAATAATGGCTTACCTAAGTTTATCACAGTGTGGCCTCAACTCAAGGGATGTGTCATTTTATTTCAAGGAGACAGGCCACAAATGATACAGTACTGTCTGAGAACATGTATTGGTGTACTAATCTTTTATCTACAGTGTAGATCTGGAAGGTTGCACAAAATTGATGTTGGTTTGTCCTTCATTTTGAAAGAAGATCAATGGCTCACTTATGTTATCTGGTCTGGTGGGTGTGAAGGTGGCAGTTAGATAGAGAGATAACTACAGGCAAGTGGCATGACTTGGGGGTCAATATAGAAGGTTGTACGTTGCACTATAATTGTTTGTCCTTTTGAAAGAAGACCAATGACTCATGGTTAGGGTAATGTTGTTTGTCTGGTCTGGTGAGTGTAGACAAAGGTGTTGGTTATAGATAAAGAGATAACAACTACAGGCGAATGTCATAATTGGAGGAGAGGGGTACAATTTACACAATTCTCAGTTCTCATAATTATTACAATAAATTCAGAAACATGCCTAATGCATTGCATAAAACTCAACCACCCACTTTGCTTCATGTTGAATTAGAGTGGTCCAATTACAAGTTATTTCAAAATTAATGTGGCTGAGTACATCTTACGAAAAAAAAGGCATGCCGGCCCCACATAGATATTTGGACATAGACATTATTGAAGCCTGAACGGCAGGAATAAAATTACCGTACCTGTAGTTATTGAACCACCCTGTGATTATGAACACCCTTGGGAAATTGTAGTCTTCAATTCTCTGCAGCTATGAGTGTTGAATAGCAAAGTATATTGTACCTTCCCAACCAAGAATTGGTATATACTCAAGTAAATCATTGATATGTTTATTTCACCATATCACCATATGTTTATGAATTATAATGTGAGTTGGAGTACTGTCTGTACACGCTACTTTACAAGGTGGTACAGTGCAGTGCAACCCCTTTTGATGCTTAGTGAATGGAACAGTCCAGGATAATTGCAGGGAGCATCTCGCCTTGCATGACCAATGAGAGGCTAGACAATCCTTTCAAAACTGATCACCTTTGGGCATTCCAACCGATGGCTTTGTTGGCTAAAGCCAGTGTGCCATGTTGAAAGCCTGGGAAATGAAATGAGAGGGAAGCAAACCATTCCTTGGCCATGCTTTTCTGGACCACAGTTGGAATCCAGACCATCTTAGACCTAAGGCACAATAATGGAGATGATGCTGAGTGTCTTGAAGACACACTGGGAAGGTTTTAAGAAGACTGCTGGGCTGGAAGTGCTGGCCACAGAGGGGGTTGACCTGGTTCTGACCTGTATACTGGTGCTGTTTGTTTTGGGGATTGTTATAAAATCATGCGTACTCCTTGTGAAGGGATGTCTGGCTGGTTTTCGCTTCCTACAAGGTAAGATGACATCATTGAGAAAATTATTGATGTAACGGTATGTTAGTATTTACCTTCCATGGTGAACAAGACCATTCACCTAATGATAAACGCACTGCTGTAATATTTCTAGGGGATTTTGATTCTTTCTTTGTCATGGGATAATCTTGTGGTTTCTAACCTCCTGCGTTTGTTTACCTTTCGCTGAAAAGCAAGCTCCCGGAGGAGCATTATGGAATGAATGACGCACTTCTGTGGGGGCAGTATCCCTTTCATGTGCTAATTTCTCCCAGACAAAACATTGGGTAAATTGGATCCCAGTAGAGGAGGGAGAATATCTAATTTGACATTTTAGCTGTTTGTAATTGGATTTTGGTGATATGTTTTCATCTGTGTGCCTTGTAATTTGTAATTTGTATCATTTCCTAAGCCTGTCACTGAAGGGTAGAGTAGACACACATATTATGGATGACTTCATTGTGGCCAAGCTGTTTCGTGTAGTACTAAAGGATAATTTCAAAATTCAAAGTAATACTAGTACTAGTAATAGAAATCAAAAGATGACCGCATACAGATGATGAGTACCTGGTACATTAAATAAACATAAGTGAAGTAACCTTAGAAATGTATTTGAGCTTCAAATCTTGCTTTGACATTAATAAAATTGATAAATCACATTTTCCTCACTGCACCCATCATGATAATGTTACAGCTATTAATATAAATTTTGGTAGACGGTCACATCTCTAATGTTAAAAACATTGGATTTCATTATCCAGAAGACTGCAGTGTGCAAAATTAAGCTATCAAAATAGATTACTGTATAGTAATATGAATGGCATCATCAATAGACTGTAACTGAGAGTTATTATGTCCTCTTCTTGGTTCCTTGAGCAAAAGACACATTGCCTGACTGTAAGTCAATCCAAAAGTCATTCCAATGTCATCCCAGTTACCCAGTGTACATTCTGCTGAGGATGGATGTGATAAAAACACTCAGCTGACACGGACCACAAACCTTCATGCTCTAGAAAAAACAGACTGTAATCCTGATGCCAGTCTGGCATTCATTACTGCCACAGGGCAAATATTTAGCTTGCCTGTAGCCATGGTAGACTGCATCCGTTCAGGGATCATCCTGATTACCGCATTAGGCCACACAAACTTGATGTTATGGATGGCACCCCTTTAGTGACCCCAAGTCTGATGTTAGGGTGCAAACAAACAGGATTGGCCCAGAAAAGAGAACTTGAAATCTAAGGACAGAATGCAACTGTATACAAGAATCACAATCATTTTGAGAAGACTTCAAGTGATACCTGTAACTCTTATATTCTTGGAACAAAAAAGAAAATGCCAACTGAATGATTTTATAAGCTAGATGTCTTGATGCAGGAATTGTCACCAGCTTGAGTCTTTTTATATAGGGTTTTTAGGAAAAGGATGCCCTGTACATTTATGGTGAACTTGCTTACTCAGCTGTGTTTAATGCCAGGCAGTTAGGAAACAGTCTAGAATGCGCACATAGATGTCATCCATGAATCATCCTTATTTGGAATTTTGGACTCATGCCAGGACTGTTAAATCACAAGGAAAACATTTATATTTTTCCCAGGAATGCTGACCTCCCCCAGTGTAAAGAGGGACATTCTAGACACAACAGATAATGTACAAAGAGTGGAAGATTCCATTAAAAATGCAGGGGACGTGACATCAGAGGATGCTCCCAATGAAGCAAAACAAAATGAAGTAAACAACGACAAGGTAGAAGGTAAGACAAGAAGTTGTCATTTTTAGTTTAATAGTAAGATATAGGCTTGTTGTGAAATGGAATAATTATAATTAATTGTAACAATGACTACACAAAAGAATATATTCCATATTATTATTATTCTGTGGCCAGAGAAATTCAGTAGTATTATCTAGGAGATGGTGAAATATGAATTCTACATATGTGTATGACCTTTCAATTTTCTTATCCATAATTAAATTGTTTACAACCTGCCACAAATGACTGCAACACTTTAACCTTTGCTTGATATATCTGCTGCCATGATATAATGGTTTCCTTGGAGATTGATTTCAGAGATCTGCTGGGACATCAATAATTCAGAGCTTTATTGAATACATGCAAGATGTAGAATCAGGTCATGTTCATGTTCATCTGTCTGTTTGACATTATGCTGATTTTGGCTCCATTGAAATTAAAATTGGTTTCGCAAGCATTCACAGAAAATTTTCTGGACTCAAATCAGCAGACTGTAGTACCTACCTGTGATTGAAATTTTATGCTGTGTGCTGTTTGTGTGATTAATTTCAACATCATCCCAAGGGATTCTGTAAGTGCGATAGACATTCACAGCACTGGCAGTGTTACTCCTGCATGTCACACATGCCCACAGGCAGGGCCCCAATGGTGCAGGCAGTATTTGGATGAATGCCAACGGATGCAGTAGACATTGGAACTGCAAGTAGAGAATCTCAATCAGCCAGCTCTCATGTTAAAATCAACTGGAACATATATATGTCCATAAGACTTTCTCAAATCACTGTACACTGCATTAGAAATACATGTAATGGGAAGTAACACTAAATAATATTTTAGTTTTGTACAGTTTCTAACTTGCATTGTTTTGTTTCTATACAGATGCTGTTGGACTTCTAGAGACTGAAGTGTTTGACTTTGACATACCAGTCTCACCTGTTAACAAGTAAGTAGAAAGAAGCAACTTTGAGTCTTCAGAAAAGAATCAATATACGTAGTAAGCTGTGGAATATACAACATGTAATTTACCTCCAATCTGAGTTCTGTAGTCTGTTATACAGGACAAAACTTTTTTTGATAATCTTTCATTACTGTTCTAGGGAGCAAGAAGCAGAAACCAGTGTCAATGAGGACAACAATGATGAAGACGATGATGAAGTTTTCTTTGGCCCTGTGGGATTCAGAGAGCAGGTCATCTCAAAGGCCAAGGATATACAGGAAGAAGAGGAGAAGTATGTCCCACTGGAACTGAACGGGGACCAGTACGCAGAGCTCTTTGTGGAGGCCACACGGCTGGCAAAGGAGCTGGAGAAGGAGAGCAAGAGAAACCGTGAAGAGGAAGTCAAGTTTGCCAAGTCTGAAGCACGACTCTTCAAGAAGAAAGCACCGCAAAACAGTCCCCGAAACAGTCCTCGTAGGATGACTTACACCCTGGATACACCAGAAAAGGAGGGGCCTCCAACAACAACAGCTGATGCACAGGATTCAAATCAAGGGCAGCAAAACAACACAGCTAAAGAGGGACAGTCTGGTTTGGTGCCTAAAAGACTGAGCAGACTAGGAGTGCGAAACAATACTTACACCAGTGATGGGAGTTCTAGAATTGGGTCTAGTGTGATGAGATCCCAGGGTTCAAGCAGTGGCATCCAGAAGCCAAGCTGCTCTAACAGTGAGGCAGGGGAGAAGACAACAGCAGAAAAGTCAGAAAAGGAAGCCAATGGAAGAAAAGAACTGGTGAAACCTGCAGTGCGGAAGGGAACATTTACTATGAGCCCCAACAATGCCAACAGTAACAATTCCAAGGCAACAAGGAATGGTAGCGAAAGCAATGGCACAGCAGATGCACCAAAGCAGCCCGTGAAGAGACGGTCAGGGATTCCCGCCCCAGGCAGCAGGGGCTCCAGTCTGCCGCGGTCCCAGATCCCCAGGAAGGGTTCGGCAGGGATGAACACCTCCATGAACCGCTCTATTTCTATGGAAAGCAAAATGAGTAGGAGCCAGAATGGGCATAATGTAAGTCAAGGGCAATATGACTCTGAGCATTGTGTAATGTCTCTTGGTTTCAATCATATAGGCAACAGCAGTGCTGTAGAATTTTTGTTTAATATTCCTAATAGTATGTTCATTTTTTTCTCTTGTCAATGTCCTGAGGAGTTAGTTTTCTCAGTCAGAAGGATTCAGAAACATTTTTTGTCTATAGAATATTTTTTCTCTCACACAGTGTTTGATATGAATACAAAGACAACTCCATCTTCTTATAACTTACTTACACCATGCAATCTTCCACAAGCAGGACAGTACAAACCCCAGTCTGGGTTCTCTGGGCCGCAGCTTCAGTAACGGCAGTATAGACGACTCAGATGATGCAGGCAGCGTGGCGTCTGATGTCAGTGACATCTCCACAGCCTCGGCACCAGCAGCTGTCAAGAGGAAAGGCTCTCTGGGATCACTGCCTCAGAATGCAAAGGTACAGCATGGCAACCAGAGATGGCAGACTTCACCCCCTCTGGCTTAGCATACTGAAACTCTAAAACTGCAGCACATATATGGGGATTGGAAGAGCTTGTTCATTTGCTTATGGAAGTGCCTACTTTGTGCTCATTTCTAGTTTCAGTTGTTGTTATTATCCATCATTTAGGTGTTTAGAAACAAAACACAAATGTCTTTGCATCTTTTATGCATCAACAAAGTTTTGATCATGTTCCATCTTAGGTTGTGAAGACAAGCGCCATGCCACAGCGTTCAGGGAGTCTGCCCAAGCTGTCAAATCGACGCAGGTCAAACTCCACATCCTCTGCCTCCAGGACTTCATCAACCCCTTCTAAAGGTAGAATGAACTTCCCTAAATTCTCTATATGAAAACACTACAATTGAAAATGCACTCAGCCAAGGAGTGTAAAACTCAGTACACTTCTTTAGCACTAGTATAATAGTGATCACGTTTCAAAATCTCCCTGCAGGGCCCAGTAAGAAGAGGGTGTCAGGTCTTGCACCGCCTCAGACCAAACCCCAGCTGGCCAAACCCGCCGCTGCAGCCAACACCAGCTTCTCTAAGAAGTCTCTCCTGCCAGGGGGAGGTTACGGTGTGCCCATGCCTAAGAAACAGCAGCCCATGAGGGCCACACTGCCCATGTCTCAGATCAGCACACCCAAGGTTAATGGTAAGTATAAAGGGTCTAGTTTCTTTACAAAATGTACAAATGCTTTGTCTGCCCATTCAGTAATATTTACTGAATGGCTAGACACTTAGTTGTGAATACTGCTACCTGCAGTGCATAATATGTAATGTAATTTGGGTACTATACTACTAGGAATACTTGTAGAATGGGTTGGCAACTGGATGATTAAGTAACTGCAACCTACACTTGGAATAATCAAATCTGTCAAGCTGGCATGCTGTACTGAAGTCTGGTGCCTCTGACTTTCTAGTATTCAGTTTGGTAATACATGTATGATCTTACAGACTTACAGTACTTGACCTTCTGGTTCTTGTCTTGCCCTTGTTTTTATAGCATGTTGATATCTCTACAGCAGTGAAGTTTTGTAGCATTATCCTATCCTGTCCTTCCTTTTCCCCCAGCAAACAGCCAGGTGCAGTCCACTCCCCGGGCCATCCCTGCCCTAACCCCCCGCGCTGTCCCCTCTGCCTCCACACCGGTACTGCAGGACAAGAAGGTTGTCCCCAAACGCATCTCTGTGGACGAGCAGCCAGGAAACACAAACAGGTACCAAAGAGGGTTAATTGTCTGTATATACTCTAGCAACAAAAGTAGATCATCAAAGATTACACATGCTGCATGTACTTGGCAACTGTTGGCACAATTCTTGTTGTACTTTTTCCAAACTCATGATATCCCAATGCCAATAGCTAATACAGTGTAGATGTATTTGTGTACAAAACCATTGGGGCAGAAACGTACAATAAAGATTATCTGTATTATTGATAAAGCTGAATCTGACTCTCCTGCCCAGACCGCTGCCTGTAGTTCCCAGCACCCCACAGAACAGCAGGATCCCCGGGGCAGCCTCGGGCTCCACCAGGAGACGGTCGGGCATCCCCACCCCCAGGAGCATGCAGAGGCAGTCCCGACTCCCATCCAGGGGGTCCGCTATACCTACACCAGGGTAAGCATGCCTGGCATCTTTTGCTGTGTGGCATTATGTAATTGCCCTCCTTTGTTATGGATTACTATATTTATGGCTATACACACATACATACATTCAAGTTGCAACTTTTGTCAGTTGCCATTTGCTGATTCCTTGAGCCAATGGTTCATATTTTGGGTATCTTTCCTAAACTCCAACCTTGTTGTTAGTCTTGACAACCTATATTAACATTCCACATCGTTGCCTTCTTCCCTTCTTGTTTCTTACATAGAGTTGACCCTTTTGAGTAGGGGTGCCAAGGTATAACAAGCAAGCAATAGCCATTGCTTAGCCATTCCTTTACTAAGTAACTCAATAGATTTGTTCTTGTTCCCACAGGTCCAGTAGAAGGTCCTGCCTGCCTACTCTTGCTGCTGCCAATGACAGCCCCTCAGAATTCCCGGCTCCACACTTGAGGAAGGTGCAAGAGGCAAACGACTCTCCTCTGGCCTTGAGAGGCTCTGGTCCAGACAACTTGCCCAAGCCGCTCATCGACTTTGGAGAGGACGACATGAAGAGCAACTCTCCTGCTGTAGCAAATGTAAGTCTTTTGCACTGTTGTTTCTACAGTACTATAGTCTTGTTTTCCATTTTTTTTTTTGTAGTGTGCAAGGTCTAGTGGTTCATCATCTGCAATCATGCTTCTAGACCAGAAAGTACCAGGGTAGGAGTGTTTGAATCTCAGTCCTTTACAGCTTGCATTACTTCTCAGAATGATAGCCACCTGTTTAGGACAGAACATTTAGTTTTGGTCAACTGTCCATGTCCATTGTACATGTTGGCAAGATCTTTGAATGATGATGATCAATATTTTTCTTCATTTGCTCCCCAGCTGATTGACATTTGAGCCTGCAAACCTGCAACATAACCCAGACCAACAGAAATCCTATAATCTACAACATACATGGTTACAGTGGTGAAACTAGTCATAGTAGTAGTTATTATCATCCTTATACACCCATGTATTTTATTTGCATACTATACCGCACATGGCTGTTACTAGTGACTGTACTACACACTGGTTTGAAACTTAACCATTTTGAAATCATCCTCAAATTGCATTGATCGCACCATTAGATTCATTAGTACATACGTTGAAGTTCTTTGTTGAAACTTGAAAGGATTTTTTTAAAACCTGTGCTAGTCTTTAAATTATGACTTGAATGAAGAGTAGAAACCTTCCTATTTGAAACATGTTAAGGAGAACATTGAATAAAGATTATCTATAGCTTTGTCGGTAGAAACTGTTGTATAACTGTATAATAGGATACATGTTGAAAAGATGTGTATGTGTATGTGTACAGGCTACAAAGACATTCGATAGAAGAATCTAGAAATATGATAAAACTAAAAGCTTTAGAATGAAGCTGAATATATGTACATAATCTCCTACTCATGTAATGAGTCTGCATCATGTGCTTGATAGCTTGCCTTTCCGTGTGTGCCTTCCATGTACTACATGTAGCTGGGTAATCTTAAAAAGTACTAAATAAAGCAATTACTCTTCGGTCATTTTCAGAAATAAGCCTTTCTCTGTTTAGATTTCATTAGCATAATCCTGACAATCATGCTGCTTATACATGTAGTTTACATATAAAACATTCATATTTGTAGTGCCTTTCATTGAATGGTGTACATGTACTTGGGGCATTTTCATTTCTCCATAGTATGTTGAACTTCATTTTTGTTTGATCCTTGATTTGTTTACATACCGGTAGGGATAATCGATATCACTAACACATTGATGGAATTATTGTTCTTGTGTATGTCTAGCAAAAGGAGTAAAGAAAATGGCTAAGAAAAAATCGTAGAGCTTAAAACAAGGAAACGTAGAATGTTTTGGGTTTTATTTTGGTTTTCTACCTCAACTTAATTTTCTTCAATATTTGCATAGTTCCATCCACTGCCCAAGTTGTAGATAGTTATAGACCTAGGTTTCATACCCATTCTGTAGGCCTCTGTTAATGAACATATACTGTAATACTAAAAGATGGATCTCAGCGTGATACTACTAGTAGTATCTACCTGTACTGTCTGGTGTATTGGTTAATATACATATTACTTGCATACTATCAATTTTCCTTCAGCAGCGTCAGGGGTAGTTTACAGTATGTCTTGCTGCTTAAGAAGGTGGCAACTTTATGAGAATAAAGTATAGATCTATGAAACTTCAGCATATCTTTTCCATTTTTATTTCAAGTCTGATTTCTCTGGGTTTACACACAAGCCAATCCTTTCACATGATTGTCCAGTATTACGTACATAGAGACTTTTTAGAGAAAAGTATACACACTTTTTAGAGAAAAGCATATTGATGCAATTATTGCACACACTGGTGTTCATTTTGCAACATCTTCATCACTTGTACTTAGACATTTGTCAGTAGCAAAAGCATAGCAGCCATATCAAAATACATTTCCTTCAAGTAGAATATCTTCATACATTAAATGTGATAAAAGATTTATCAGAAATTCTGTACAGCATGATTATAGATTATAAAAATAAAGACATATACATGAATTCAATAGTTTTCTCCTGTTTTGTCATAGTGTCATTAAGACTCTGATATGGTCTCGTGGCATGCTCGATGTGAATGTGACTAAAAGCTTTCTTAACTTTTTCACAGTAATCTTTGAAAGGAAGACATAGGTTTGCCATGAAAGCAGAAATGCTGTACATGTTGATGTTGCTATTCCCTGGTATTGAGGAGGAAGTCCCTCAGCGTATCGCGCAGTGTACTGAAGGAGGGCCGTTTGGCCGGTTCCTTGTCCCAACACTGGCGCATGAGCTGGTACAGACTCTCCGGCCAGCTGCTCTCTCTCGGCAGCCGGTAACCCTGCACCACCCTCTGTAGCACCTGGGTGTTGTCCCATCCTGCAAAGATATATATTTGGGGCATATGTGTGAATTGTGAAGTGGCGGTACAATACATAAGGAGTATGTGTCTATTTCGCTTATCAGAGTTGAGGTTACTCCGCCAAAGCACCACGAGGTTCATTTCATGGGGCTGGTACATGCAGCTCAACATCTCTTGAAGGCATTTTGCAAAGCATAGGGAAGTTTCTACTGTGCCATTTCATTTAGAAGACAGCTTGTCAAGAATGTGTTCCAAAGCATGCAAGACGTGGAGTTTTTGGAGCATTGCCTTGAAGGGAACTGTAGACTCAAGTAAAATGATCTCTATAGGTAGGTGAATAGTGATCCTTAGGTTGGTTGGTTGTATCTTAATACACGTTTTAGAAGAGATGTGTGTATGATACTCACCCATGTAGGGTACCTTCCCCTTGCTGAGGATTTCCGCCATGAGGATACCGAAAGACCAGACATCAGACTGCACCGTGAACTCGTGGGTCTGGATGGACTCGATAGCCGTCCATCTGATCGGGAACTGGGCTGGATGGATGAGAGATGACATGATTGTATGAAGTACATTGCATACCGTATTAACCCACTTAGCTAACCTTCTAATCTAGCAAGTGTTCTTGGGAAGAAAGGGGTGATTCGTATACGCTAGGAGGGACTTTGCACTCAGCATTAAGAAATTCAGCAAGTTATCAATCTGCAATAAAAGACACATTTTAGCATTAGAGGAGTTGCTAGGCCCTGAATGAAGACACTTAACAATTATCGACTAGCTGCTTGACAACACCATTTTACAGATTAACATTCTTCTCTTGAGGGCTGAACATAGATGGAAGCAGGGGTTTACCAGAGGAAGCCTTGTAGTGGTCTATCCTGGCCAGCCCGAAGTCGGCCACCTTACAGACGCTGTCCTCCCCCACCAGCACGTTAGCCGCCCGCAGATCACGGTGCACGATGGCGTTCTCCTCCAGGTACGCCATCCCGTCAGACACCTACAAAACACAAAATATACGCACTTAAAAGTGACCTTAGTTTCTGTTTTCCTACATACTGTTAGCCAGGATACCATTCTAGTCAAGAGATAATCTAGGAGTATAAACCATCAGATCAAAATTCAACTTCTTCCAGTACTACAGTGTTAACAATGATCTCGACCTACCTGTACCGCTATATTGACGAGTTCCATGAGTGTGAAGCCGCTGCCCTGCCCGTGCCGCAGGTACTTCTCCAGGCTGCCGTTCGCCATGAACTCGGTGATGATGAGGACCGGGTCCTTCTCGGAGCAGACGCCGTACAGCTGCACCAGGTTCGGGTGGTACAGCCTCATCATCATCTCCGCCTCCTGCAGGAAGGCCGAGACGGTCGACCCGGCCTTGGTCGTCTTCACCGCCACCTTCACGGGCGAGTCGTCGGAGTCACCGGTACCATTCCAGAACCCTGTTTGTGGGGTAGAGACAGACGCGGTCTTCGTTAGGTACTAGCCTGGTTACCAAACCTATTATAGCTCCTGAGTCCTACATCCTCTCCGCAAACAGAGGAGAGGATGTAGGACTCGGGAGCTATAATAGGTTTGATAACCAGGCTAGTTAACTACGCCATTTCTGTGCCATGTGTTGCCCTAATTCTAAACGCCTATCGTCAAATTCTGATAAATAGAAGAAGATATGTGCAGATTTCCATACCTTCCACCACGTCTCCGAACTGCCCCTGGCCCAGCTTCTTGCCCAGTTTGATCCTCTCCCTGGACACCTCCCACCGGCCTTTGAAGTCCTTGATCTGCGGTTTGGGCTTGGGACAAGGCTGGTCAAGGGGACAGCCAGCAATGCTGCCTTTCTCTGGAGAAATGAACAATCATTAGATTGTTATCAAAATGTAACAGAGCTTTACTATCCTGCGCACGCACACTGATCAAGAATAGTCGTGTACCTAGCCTCTACCAGGCACCGCTGATCGCTGGAAAAATAGTAGAAATTAGCCGAAGTGAAGGATAGTATGCCAGGGGAGTTAGCCGGTCAGAGAAGATCCAATTTGCGACCCACGATCCAATTGCCGTGGGTCGCAAATTGGATCTTCTCTGGCCAGCTAACTCCCGCACAAAATCACGCCGAAGAGACACACCTGCCTAGTGATTACGAGATGTGCGGTTCCTCGAGACATTTCTTTTTCTAAAACCAACATCGTCTTCTCACCTATGAGGTCCTTCATCAGCTCCTGTAAGGTGTCGAACTCTTGCTCCTTGGAGACGCGCAGCTTGTTGTGCTTGGTTCTCTCCACCTTGAACCGCCGGATGACCTCCCTCCCCTCCTTGTCCTTGTTCTTCACAGAAATCGTGTACACATGCGGCCCTGGGTATGATACATGAATGTATATCATGAAAATGTCAGCACATTCTTTGAAAAAAAAAGGTACCAATGCCATAAGGAATGCATTATACTCCTTTTACTCCTACTTTTCCATGTTGTCCAAAAGTGTTTTGTTCAAAAGTGAGACAAGCTTGTCATCGCACAACAAGAAATCATAGCCCGTCTACACTACATGTATGTATGGTAACACGGACCGCTGTTCGGGACACCATATGCATGAGACCACTTCTATGGGCTGGGTATGATTTGATTTGATGCTAGTCTGTTCCTTACCTTTAGTGTTGTGTGTTTCCCTGACCAGGTACGTCCCGATGCCACAGGCCCGCAGAAGAGCGTCGGCGTCCTTCCTGTCCATGGATCCCAGGTACCACCTGTACAAAATCACTTCTTGAGTAACCAGATTGCCACTAGACTACGACAAGCTACGTGGAATGATACTCCAGGAAAGTTGTGGGGATCAAAAGCATTAAGAGTTTGTGGGCTGGATACTCACTCTTCCCTCAGTAGGTCGTCCATGGGTGCCACATAGTCTGCCGGGACCAGTCCGACCTCTAAGGTGTCCAAAAGCCTGGCCTGGTACCACTCACCGTCCCTGGAAAGTAAAGATACCCATCAACAAACTGTAGCGTCACACTACCTTTGATTACATACATTTTACATGGCAATCTGAGACAACCAAACTGGGAAGAACTTTAAACAGTTTGAGGAAACTGACCTGAAATCTAGGATCTCGACTTTCTGGTCTTTCTGCAGGCGCAGGGCTGTCGGGAACTCCGGCTCCAGGTCGAACAGTGTCACGTATGTGTACTCTGCGGAAGAAGATGCGATCAGACAGCCATCGTATAAAAATCGTAAAGAATGGAGGAGAAAGAAAAGACTGGTTGGGATCAATACAACTGTGTGAGTGAACAATGAATCATTAGAAAAGCATGCTGTTTTACCTTTGACGTCTTTTTCTGGACTGGAGCCGTGCTTTTGCCTGAGCTGCTTGGCCTTGTAGTGGTCGCTGTCTTTGACCTCCTCCACGCAGATGTGGGGGAACCAGCCCTGCCTGCCGTCATGGATGGTCTCGCCGTGCCACATGCCGTCATGCATCTTCCTCAGGACCCTCACGATGTCCCCCTTCTCCAGGGACAGCTCGTCCGGCTGCGCGGCGTTCCTGCTCTTCGTCACGACCGTCATGGGGCAGTCCCAGTCCGGGTAAATCTTCCCGCCTTGCGGATCGGCTGCGCTGTACTGCAGCGCCTCCACCCACCGCGTCAGCTCGCTCTCCGTCTTCAGGGAGAACACCATCTCCTGGTGCTGCCCGGAGCTGTCCTCGTGCAGGGTCACGCGGAGTTTGCTGGTTGGTTTGGGCTTGAAGAAATACAATGACTGCAGAAAGGATGACAGCCTCCCTTTGCCTCCGTCTGACGAGCTGGCTCTTTCCGAGTCGTCGTAAATCTTGTTGACTTCTTCCACATCCAGCCTGTTGCGCATGCAGTAGTTGACCAGCTCGTATGTGACCTCGCTTCCCCGCTTGTGAAGCTTCTTTGCGATGAGAAGACAGTCCGATAGAAGAATGACATAGCGGTGGGTGTTTGGTCCCTTGTCCCTCACCAAGATGAGCTCTCCCTGTTTCACAATCCAGCGGCTCTTGTCCAGCAAAGAAAACGGCGGTTTGCATTTCGCGAGGCGAAGTTTGTTGACCACCAGCTCCTCTAGCTCCATAGCCTGTTGTTCTTTGTAGGCTGCTTGGTTGCATTTTACGGCAAGGGCCTTCGTCGTCTGTAAGGCCTGCTCTGCTGTCAAAAACAACTCCGAGTTTACGTCTCTGAACGTCAGGATTCGGTCGACAAGGAGGGGGAAGCGCGTCACTCTCTGCATAGGCGTCAACAAGAAGGCAGTCATGGGGAGGTTTCCGCACTGCGGGTCGGTTTCTAACTGCCGCACGTCGTCGCAGAAGGACTTGTCGGCTTGCATGAGCCCGATCAGTGCCTTGGAGTGGTAGTGCATGTTCCTGCAGTAGGTGACGTACGGCTCCTGGAACCGCTTGCTGGCGTGGCGGAGGATGATGTCACACACGTCGGAGACGACGGGCGCCTGTTCGCGCACGCGCGCCTGCAGGTCGGACAGGAAGGCCCGGCTGGCGTTGATGACGTGAGCGACGTGGACGGAGATCAAGGTCAGCGCCTGTCCGCCCGCGACGTTCTTCTTCTCCAGGTTCCTCAAGAAGTGTTCCCCTAAGACGTACATGCTCTTGATGAAGGACTCTTCGGACGAAAGCACCTCAAACATAGCCTCTTGGAGCTGCCTCTGCGTCGGGGTAAGACGGTACTTGATTCCGCTCTGGATGACTTGAGGAAACTTGTCCCACGTGGGGGTACTTGAAGACATCCAGGTGAGAGTAGGCGGTCCTTGAGTGTCGCTCTTTACCAGGATCGGTATCCTCTCCGTCTGGTACACGTGATAGAGCGGGGCAGGGGTCATGTAGTGGCTTTGATTGTTGATGGAGGCGCTTCTCTTTACGGTCCGAGGGGACGAGTCGCCGTGGAGTTCCTCGCTCGTGCGGAAGGGTTGGGAAAGCGGTTCGCTCTCCTCGTCTCCGCAAAGCGCCACCACGCGGATGACGTAGTGCGTCCTTGGCTGCAGCCCCTCGCACGTGATCGACGTGTCTTCGTAGTGACTCAACCTCTTCATGACGAGTTCTGTGTAAGGCTCGTACAGTTCCGTGATGGTGACCATGTAGGCGTCGATCTTGTGACGCGGGGGCTTCCAGGTGGCCGTCACCTTCCTGCCGTCGTTGTAGACGATCGTCAGGTTCTTCGGCTCGGCGACCGGGGACGGGACGGCGCCTGGTCTGAGCGCCTCCCGCCGCTGGAGAGTGGAGATCCTCCGCTGGATCTTCCTCCTGTGCCCTGCGTTGGCTATCTTCAGCTCGTTCTTTAGGAAGCTGTCGATGTCGTCTTTGGAGACCAAGTCCCAACCGCTCACTGAGTTCTCTTCGAATAGACTGGCGTGGCGTCGAATGTCCTCCTGGGGATCGGCTTCGAAGTACTGCCGCACCTCCGATGGCGACCAATGGTCGAAGGGCTTTGAAACCAACGAGAGCCCATGAGGTTCAACTCTCCGTCTCACTGTCGCTGCGGGCATTGGTGACGTGTTCCGGAGCAGATGTGCTCTCTGAAACCACTCCGTTTCTAGTTCTTTGCTTAACGTCATGTCGTCGGGTTCTAACGTGGGGTGGTCCATTTCCTCGTCGATTTCTGCTACTTGTTTTGAGCTCATCTTCAAGAAGTCTTCCTTACCCGATGACGGTAAGGAAGGGGTAGGGCGTAGGGGCCTTCGAAATATATCGGACCTTTTAAAACTATCTGCTCTATCTTTCATAGGTTTTGGAACGTCATAGAGCCAGTCAGAAGAGACATTTTTGTCCACAGGTGATTGGCCTTCTTCTGGTATTGCACTGGTCATTATGGAAGATTCCGGGTTCAATATATCTGACTCACTCTTATAGCCTAACCTAGACGGCCTGAAGGATGTTGGATGGCCAGACTCTTCAACAGGGGCGTGGGGATTGTCCGCTTTTTCATTTTCCGTGGCGGTTTGCTGAAATGTTTTCTCCAGAGGCATAGAATGCCTTTTGGTTGACTCATCAGTCAAGTAGGGGAACCTTTTACTAACATGGTCCCTCAGAGGAACGAAGGATCTTCCTTTATCTGGTTTGTTTAAATCTTCAACCCTCGCAGGTGTTTTTGTTGGAGACGTTTTCAGTTCTTCAAATGTTTTGAGTCGTGACGAGACGGTGTTTTCTGTGGAACTTGAAAAGAGCGCGCGCATTCTCTCAACCCTGCCCTCGCCGTTTGAGGTCACCGTTCCTTTCGCCCGTGCTGACTTTTCGTTCGAGACGATTGGTGAACCCGTACCCTTTGTTTTCGAAAGTGTCTCTGGTCTAAGAGAATATCTGTTTCTGTTATCTGATGGAGGAAAAGTTTTACGGACAACATCTCTGTCAAAAGCCGAGGCCGATGGTCCACGGTGTTCACTTCTGCCGTTGTGCTGTTTGTCTTGAAGTGTTGTGGCTTTGGTCTTGACGATTTCTCTCTGTGCTTCACTCGATTCACTGTAGGTCCTTCAGAACAAGATAGAACCAAGAATACTTCATCTCAGAACTTCAACGTTGTCTCCAAACAACCAACTAAGGTCTATGTGAGTGGGAGGGTGAAGTTGACAAATTAGTATATGGTAGCCTCAATAGAGTTGAGCTGGTGGCCACAAAATATGTGGTCAAAGTCTTAAGGGGAAGATGATATATTCAAATCCTTGCACCAGCGCATGGGAATAAGATAAGATAAAAACAAACCAATGGGACCAAAGAACAAATACAACATCAAACAAAAGCGCACACATGAAAGAAAACTGACTGTGGGAGACAGTTGTACAAGGAGCATTTTTCTCATATCAAAGTTTAGTACACATTAAGCGCACTGCTTCAGTCACGTTCTAATGTTAGTTTACGCACATGTACATAGTGCCAGGCGCCGTGTTGGAGGGATATGCAAACAATGACGTCACTCGGACAGGTTGTTTGGTCGTAAGAAAGGCATTTCAACTTTCGCTTTATGCAGGTTCTGGTCTCACGTCAAAATGATGTCCTGCTACGTGTTTATGTTTCACATAACCTTCACACGTGACTTTTCGTTTGTCTGTAATGTTATCGTTTAAAGCATTTTCGTAGCGAGAAATGGAGCTTTCTGGTGGAGAGACGCAGTCATGTGATGTGAACTTTGGCAAAGATAAGGTTGGGTTCGGTACGTTCTACAGTACGACACCCTTAGTGTGCCACAAGATTCAGTAGTTGAAGGTTTTGTTTTATTCCAAAAGATGTCATGTATCATAGGAACACCGCCCCCCCCCCTCCATAGTACTGATCGACCTTTGACTTTTCTAATAGCTACTCAACATTCTAATGGATTTGTACCTTCTGTGTAAAAGATCGATGTTCGAAGAAACATTAAATTTCCTCAATTCGTGCCTGGTCAGAATAAGGATGTAGATTATCTTAAGTGCTCGGCGGTTACGTAGTTTCAGTATCGTTTGATAATGACGTCATAGCCCCGAACACACACCTGTATGACCCAGTAAAGCTATAACGGACCTACACAGTGATAACCGTCATGTTTATTTGTAAGCATGTTGTGTTTGCATGTGGTTAGAAGGACACGCATAGATGATAATGTTTTGTCTCTGCAGACTCTGATACTACCGTAAAGCGAGTTTCTACCAGTTTTAAACTTGCGCCATGAATGTGAAAGGTCTTTTTACCGTTACTTCCTGTTGAAATGTTTCACAGGGAAGTCGCTTGCGTCAAGATTCAGCGTGAAGAAGGGCTACATATGAGAATAAATCCAAGACTCAACAAGTGTCCTCTTACCTGAGTTTATCCAAAGCGAACAGGTGTGTAGGCGAGAAGCCTGCTGACGACTTTCTGTGCCCTTCATGAAACAGCTGATCTATGGCGGCCTCCAGCCTGGCAATGTCACGCTGCTGTACCCCTTCCTCCTCGGACAGCATGACCTTCTCCTCGTCGGTCAGCCGGGACAGCAGCCTGGGTGTCATCAGTTCTTGGAAACGCAGGAAATCCACGATCCTGTCATGGATTCTGTTCGTACGGCACCAGGCATCAAAATCAAACCGCCCGCTGTCGCCCTTCCCTCCGGGCGACGCCATATTGGGTATCGGTGTGTAATAGGGCGTTTGGTGCGTATACATGTCCCTGTGCAAACAATGCCCCAGGGCTAGTATTGTGCCTCTTACTGTCGCTAGGTAGCCTTTGAACCCGTCTTTTGTTACGTTTCGGGTCATCCACCTGGTGAGCAGGTACATGTTTGGAACTCATGCATTCACAAGCACTTCTCTCACGGCGATGCCAATTGATAAACAACACAATGAATTAAAGTTCTTCTGATCGTTATGGATCTACTGCCAACTTGATGAGCATTAGATATTTGATAATTGATGTTTGAAAGGATAAAACCTCTGCGAAGTTACTGCTTACACAAGAGACGGCTTATGAATGGGCCGTTATATAACATGTCTGTAATCATCCACACAAAAAATGATGTACGCTCCCATCAGTCAGTCAAATCTAGTGTAGAGGACATCATCTGGAATAGGACAGGATATCTACATGACATTATCACCTTCACCTGTTTATAGAACAAGATAAGAATAGAATCGAGCCTGCTTGAAAATACTACAGTAGCGTAGGATGTACGTGACACTGGGGTCCCTGCATAAAGCACGAAAAAATGGGACTTTACAACGGCGATAAATGCCTGGTAATGTTTGTGTTTCATTCTTTGATCAAAATTCTATCAGACTCATCTGTCATGGTAATGTTAAGGTAGACTTTCCTGGAACTTTGTGTTTGGTAAATCCCACTAATTTGCAGCGGGATCTATGAGGAATGTGACGCGCCGTCAACAGGTGATACCCCGTCACGTGTAGCCGCAGGGCGTCGGTAGAACCAGTTACAAGCCGCCATGTCGTGTGGCCGTGAATCTCCCTGTTCGTACAGACCGAGACGTCTTGGGTCTTGAACCTGACGTCCATGTTCTGCATTCTTCGGCGAAATGAGCCAAGTAAGTACAGTGAACGTTACTAGGTACAAAATATAGCACAGTTTTTTCGTCCTCTTGTACGTTCTATGTTATGGACCCAGATAAAGACAATGGTTTACATTTGACATTTCTAAGGTCTGTTATGTGTCAACAAGCACTACGGTAAATCACGTGCACATGCCACTGGGGTGTTGGTAAAGGTCGCAGTTACAACAAATTGAGCCAGGTTTATTTTATAGAGGCCAAGTTTATGCGAAAACAGCTATCTGAAAAGGTATTATTACATACATTATGTGTGCCTGTGCATACTGCCTTTTATCAGGAATTGCTTCTGCGACGCTTTCGGTGATAAACATATAGCAATAACTGTAAGTCAGTTATTAGCGTCTCTTCATTTGTCAGATGTTGACACCGGGTGTCAGTCTGTGACGAACGTTAAAGTTCTCGAGTGTCATCTTCTGGAACAAAAGACGAGCACAACGTTTGAGGGCCAGACTTACACACACACCGGTAGGAGGATCGTTCTTTCTTGCTATATATCTGGTGGAATAATGAAACAGACATTGACAGATGAAACAAAAGGCTAGTCAGTGTTCTGCTTGTGTACCAGTCCGACCAGTAACCTCGTTGTGAGGTTTTAAGGCCATTGACTTAAGGTGACTTAAGGTGAATTGTGGGTTCGCACGGTGGCAGTAAACAACGCCAAGCTGGTTGCTGGATTGTGGAGTCTGACGTACATAACGTATATATTCAGAAATTACGTATACAACACAACTACTCTGTTAATTTTCAGGTTCTCACCATGGACACGGAAAAACAACGCCAAGGTAAGGATAGCAGACAATTCACGCCCATTAGGTGTTTTTGTTTCATTCACGTCAACTGTCACCATGGTCGCACTGTGCTGTGCCTATGCTATTATCCTCATTTGTATCCATTCCGTATCTGTGTATTTATCCACTGATGTCTTTGTCTTTCCGTCTCTAGCTACTTTTGTCTATGTGTCTGTCTATCTGTCTCGTTCTATCTCTGTGTGTGTGTGTGTATGTGTATGTGTGTGTGTGTGTGTATGTGTGTGTATGTGTGTGTGTGTGTGTGTGTGTGTGTGTGTGTGTGTGTGTGTGTGTGTGTGTGTGCGTGCGTGCGCACGCACATATATCCGTATCCTCACATCCTTATATCCTCATATATCCGTTGTTCAAAGCTTCTAAACATAACCCATACAATCCGCATGAAAGCCATGGTTGCTTCTTGAACGTTCATATACTACTACACAGTGTTTGATGTACAATACATTTGCTTTTGTCATACAGCAGTTTTGTCTGACTCGCTAGAATTCCTGGACAGACAATCCTCTCTCCAGATCAAACAGTCGAGACAGTCAAATGAAAGACTCATCCAAGATTACAGGAACAACAACAACTGCAACGTGGCCCAGAAGCAGTGGTCCCACGGACAGGCCAGTCAACCCAGTGACGTTAACAGAGATAGAGACTCTGGGATTGGCACACAGCCAAATCGTGTCCTACAGGCCCTGTGCACAGCTGCTGTGGAAAGACCAAACGACCCGGAAAACTCGGTCATCGGCGCGTTTCAAGGCCAGGTAGTAGATGGTGAGCATAACATGTTTTCTCGCCCAACGTCAATTTGAAGAAACTTTGCTGATGTTGGCAAACACACGACCACGAGCATGTTTTTTTTTCCTAAAATGACGTTGTCTTGCTATTGAAGATGCCATTAAGCAATGTGTATATGTTAACACAGGCCAGTCCATATCTGACGGTACCGCGGGGCGGTCTCTCCGCAGCCACTGGACAAACGACTGGGTCGTCCAGACAAGCGACATCAACACAGAGCCTGTTCCCACCGGACGTCTGCAGCCGACACGTATAGAGCTACTGTCCCCGCCACTGACGGGGGAGCGACTGAGTCACAGCAGTGACCCTAACACCAGCCTGAGTAGTGGTCAGTACTTCTAATTTGTCTTCCCATATTTCTAACCGTTACTTTGCGTTCGTTACTTTACGGATGATGATGTTACTACCGTTCGCTGTCTTACAAAGTGTCTTAAACATTCATTTCTTAGTTAATAAATCTCTGTAAAGAAAGCTAGGCATCGAGATTTAATTTCAACCGTGGCCTTCGAATCATCCGCACACATCATGTATAGTTCAAGTCTGTAAAAGAAAACTCCCTGCAGGCTTCAACGTGTCTGAAGATACACCGATGGCGAGGGCCATCTGGCTTGAACAGATGGACTGGAGAAGGGACTCTGAGGGAAACCGCCAACAGAACAGAGTGTTTCGGGACGGTCAGTCTGAAGTATTCACAGACCAGCAGCCTAGAGACAACAGCAGTCACGTCAGTGCCCGCCGTAGAAACAGTTGAGTACCTTAACCAATCAAGACGTTAATGTTTTTTTCTCTTACTCGCTTTGCCACTGCCTAGTGGATGTCAGCTAGCCGAAGTTCTTCTGATGTTCGAAAACTGCTTTGTGTGCAAATCATCCCGCCCTTCCTTCGTTTACCATCTTGCGCATCCAGGCCATTAAATGACTATGATTGGTCCACACACAGAATCAGCCGGCCCAGTCATGTCAGGAGCGTCCAGCGCTTTTGGAGGGATGGGATCCTACACCGAGCATGACAGAGGTAAGGGATACCGTACTTACCGGGTATAATGTGTAGCGTGATGACTATGCCGAAATACTGCCTTTTGGAGTAGAGGAGTTTCTTTATTATGGATAAAAGGTCGGACGAGGGGAGAGGGCTCAGTAACGTTTTGGACCGTATCCGTCCCACCGCAGCGACATCTAGCTGCAGAGTGAACCAGTCAGTATTACGTACCCTGGGGAAGGTTGTAGACTCACAAACAAACACTGACAATTGGCTGTGTACAAATACCGTTGTTTACCAGTGATTTAACCAACCTGGTGCTATGTTTGATTTTTTTCCGCAGGTCAGTCTCTATCGATAAACACCGATCCAAAGCGGTCCCTTCGACGCCAATGGACGGCCGACTGGGTAGGACAGCGCATGCCGGGCGACCCAAGCGAAGACGACATGTTTCTTTCCTCTGCAAGTTTGCCGCCGATACGCATACAAGGACAATTCCGCCCAGTTAGTCGTCAGAGGAGTGACGCAAGTGTCGGTCACAGAAGTCTGCCATCGACACGGGGACAGAGGCAACTCGGACAAGTCAGTCGTCAGAGGAGTGACCCAGGAGTCGACAAGAGAAGTCTGCCGACACGCACACAGGAACAACTCCGGCCAGTCAGTCGTCAGAGGAGCGACCCGGGCGTCCGTCGGAGAAGTAGTTAGTGTTTCAGCAACTGTCTTTGTACGTTTCTTAGAGTAATTTTGAGAACATCGTCATGACAGGTTGATATAGACTGCTAAGGCTAACCCTTGCCAAGGTGTACGATAAGACTGAGTATGTATGTGTGTGTGTCCGGAGATAGCTGCAATGAAAATGGATTATTAAAACTCTGTCCAGGCTCGGAGGGCTCCTACGATCCGCCCATGACCGTGGCCTCCTGGCTTCAGCACCACGCCTGGTCCAGCAGGTACAGCCACAGACAGGCGCTCTGGCGATACCCCTCGTACCCTCAAGGCTACTCTGATGAAGCCACACACTGGAGGCCGAGAGAACACAACCGAGCCAGTTGAGTACGGTTTGAACATATTGTGACAGATTTTACATTCTACAATGTTTGCAGAGTCGTGAAACGATAAAGTTTGGAAAGGCATGGTTAGATTAATTTCTGTGGCAGGCCACAATAAGTTTTGTAGTATCTACCAATCAGAGTGAGGATTACTGCTACTGGCTTACGTCAGTGCTCGGTTTGTCTAAGTAAGGATTACTCCTATTGGTCCCATTGCAGGATCAGCAGACCCCCTGTTGTCGCTACACAAAGCTTCTCGTGTCCAGCAGACGAGATCACACGACGAGAGCGGCAGAGGCCAGGGATATAGTACGTACATTATTTTGGCGACACCTCTGAGGAGGAGCCGTTTTGACAGAACTACGATTTGATTTGAAAATATTCTAAAAATTACTGTATCGCCAGGGAATTGGTTTTTGACAACACCTTGTTGGACCGGCCTTCAATTGTGCATAGCAAGGAGGAAATCTAATGTAATTATAATGGTTAGATTGGGGAATAAATACTAGTATGCGGTAGTTGAGGAAGGGGAAAGAGTGGTGGTGGAGGTGGAAAAGTTGAGGAAGGGGGAAGAGTGCGGGAGGGGGTAAGGTTTAACCATCCAATATGGCGAACAAAACACAATCATGTTAATAATGTAAATGCGCATCCAGGGCACCCCAGCTTCCGGAGACAACGGTCTAGATCTAGAAGCGGAAGGTCGGATCCGGGTGTGCGGGGCAGAACGGAGACTAGGGTCGGCAGAAGTCGCAGTCGGAGTCGGAGTCGACGGCGTTACAGCACAAAACGTGGTAAGTATAGCTGCGGTTTATGATGGATTAGTACCATGGATCGTTGTGCATTTGGACACAGTAAGACAATGACAAAAAAGTTGATTTCTGAGCAATGCTCAACATAGTCATAGGATAAATGCATTAAGTTAGATACCTATAAGCATAACCATTTCGGCTGGTACAGTAGATGGCGTCCATAGGCTAGGCCTGGCGCTATGTTTGACAAAGCATCATTTAAAATGTCTCTGTTATCGCACACGAGGCGAGTGGAGGCCTGTCTGAATGTCTTTGTGGCTAATGTCTTATGCACAGATTCCACACCCCAGCCACCGACCCAACCTCCTGTGAAAGTGTACACAGAAGAAAATCATGGCGGGAACACAAGAACTGAACAGAAAGAGGAAAGTGAAAACTCTGAGCCAAGAACTTTTTTTGGAAGCATCAATGCCCTTTTCCTTCGCATGCGGCTTGCACTGGCAGAAAGTGGTGAGTATCAATCGTTCCCAAACCAATACAATACCTCCATTTTCAAGTATGTGATATAAAGCAAGGCAACTACCGTTTGGTTGATGTCATACATGTACATCTGCTTAAGTCGTGTGAAACAAAGCTGCATACGAGTGGACAGAAAGTGGTGTTTTTGAAGCTTTCCAGAGTGATAGAAAAGTACCTCTTTGTCTGTGGCAGTGTTTGGAGCGTTCTTCACCTCAACGAGTGACGATAAGAACAAAGACGACGGAGGAGACGACAGCAAGGCTGAGAAGAAGTGAGGTATGATTATGGTAGGTTGCTTCTGCTTGCATTTAAGTTATCCTATATCATTTTTATAACTTCTTAAAGCTCAAAATCTAATCTAAATCTTACAGATCCTCATGGCGTGCGTACGGGTCGTCCGTTTCTGGGGCCCTGGGACAGGAGAGCTTATCATCATCATCAGATGACGATGACAGCCGAATGAGGTCACTGTCATCGGGGATGATTGGTGAAAACAAAATGGCGGCCAAGAAATTCCGTGAACGTAATATGCCATGGAGTCAGCTTGGGCAAAAAGTGTTGGTGTTCTAGCAAAACGACTGACTGAAGTTGGACGATTTAAAGAGCAAGCCGTATGAGAGGATACTCAATGGCATGTTATCAATTTTGTGGCATGGTATAGCATCACGAATCTTCCACAACAAACAAGGATCGGCAGCAGCCTCTAGTGTTCGTGGAAACTGGATCTTATGGTCTTACGTCTTACGACCGTCGCACGATCGATCTGAAACCGATGGTATTTTGGGATAGTCGTGCTCTCAGATCCTTCTTATCTTAGAGCCTGGTTTCTCATAACTTGCTTGAAAAGTCTACATCAAAATTGGGCTCCGGTCTATTACTAATGCGACCGCGCTGTAAGTTAATCATTAGCTTCTTATCATCTACTGTCTTGTGTACAGATCATGCCAGCCGAATTATGTAAATATGTAGAGATTATAGATTACATAAAACAGAATATATAATGTCAGACAGTAACAAAGTTGTCGTCATGGGTAATTTTGCACATGGTGGTAATCAGCCTCCTGTAAAATAGTACACTGATTTGGTCTCCCACACTACTTCTACTATCGATGTGAGCTGTTGTTATTCTGATACACGTGTGCCCGGAGGCATCAAGTGTCCTTTCTTCTGCTAGCCTGGATGTCAGGCAGTTTTCAAGGCCTTCCCAGGCCAGGTCCTCGGCTCCAGAGCCAACAATTATAGTTTTAGCACAAATGATACAGGTTTAACTTTACCTGACATCGCCCTGCACATAGTCTAATTCGGGAGCTGTGGTAAAGATTTACTTGGGGCCTGTTGGCCCTGACGCCGAGGAGCTGGCTTGTGTAGGTCCGTCCCACCCCCTTTGTTAGCAGCTAGCCACTGTGTCATGGGAGGTCGACAATTTACATTGTATCCTTACACAAGACGTCTTAACTTGGAGCTTTATCTGACACCAGGCTATTCCTTACGCTCTTCAGTGCAGTGGATCAAGTGAGTGCAACGAACGCTGTTTGGTGTTAGGCCATATAAGATATTTGTTCATACTCGAATGCCCCATGTAAAACCGTTTACATATTTTCCTGGAAATCCAGATTACCTCCAAGCAGATCCAACGGTGGCAATGCAGTAAGCAGTGTTCGTGGTGGCTATTAGACACTGCTTGGCCGATTGGATACTGCCTTGCCACCGTAGGATCTGCTTGGAGATTACCTGTAAATAGTTATGGCCATGCCTGGGGGAATTTCATGAAAACTTCAACATAGCAAAGTACGAAATTGCAAAGTATTTGGACTCCATGGGCAGATCCTTATACATAATTGTAGACTAAAACCGCCAATTATATAAAATCTGCTAAGGTTTCTGCAGTAACCTTGAGACATCTTAAGCCAGGTAAGACTTTTGTAACGCTGAAATGTCCCTGAAAGGTGTCTTTTCATGTCAAAAATAGTCTGACTGGTTGTCACAGCTACACTGAACAGCTGAAAACGCTGTCGAAGAGTGTAGTCATTAGTAATGTAGTAGTAGTAGAAGAAGTAGTTCAAACTTTTGTAATATGCCCTAACATGATTCCAACATTCAAGTACAGGCAGCAGGTATGCTAGTCACGTAGCAGTGGCCTTTGATAATATCTCTCCTTCTGTCTGTTGTTTATGTTTGGGATTAGACTGTTACGGCCGCCGTAACGAACAGCCTGCAGCGAGAGCTGTCAATATAACCAGGTTCCGAATCAAACGGGAGACAAAGTCTCCTTTTGCAGGCCAGGCTAGCACACAAATAGTCTACACAAGCCGGCGCGAGAATTATATCTCTCTCCCTGCCTTAAGGGGTAACAAAACTCTGTCGTTTAGAAATGATATAGACAGTAGTTGATAAACTGTTATATCTGTAACAGATCAGATTCTTCTGGGTTGTCTCAGTGCTCCTCTGATACCGGTCCGACCAGTTATGTCGTGACGTCACGACTGACCTTAAGGCACACAGCTACAGCAGGTGTGATACCATTTTTCTGTTGTCGCACCCGGAGACAGAGCGTTTATCTCAAATTATCGACAGTCCGCCTCCAGGCATCAAAGGCCCAGTACTAGTGGGAGCCACGAAGAACTGACCTGAAGGTAATGGGGGTCGGTATGTTTCTTTCACAACAACATTGTGTTCTTTCACACGGACAAGATAGTCAAGCAATAACAAACATGTATTGGCCAGTCACCTTATAATCCGCACAAAGCAGACGGGACCGGACGACACGGGATCGGGTAACGTTGTGCTACCGATGCCCTGGTTATATAGAAGGGAACCTTTGTACATATGTGCTAAAACATGTTCCAATGCCTACAATTACAGTAGATCTGGGCAATACATTGATATCAGACATTTAGCTACATAGTCTTCGTCCATAATCGTTACGTATTAGGGCATATACTCTCTTCGCTCTATGTAGCTTTGTTAGTTTCGTTGGTGTATCAATCGTACACCTGGTGTCACTTCATGTGCCGATGTTGTTTATCTTTGCGTCTGTTTGTTTGTTTGTTTACAGGCCCTCCCCATGGAGTTTGAAGAACACGATGGTAAACAGAACGGACGACTTGGGCCCCGTGAGTCAATTTTATTCAGTACCACTCTACACGTCCAAACACACACACACACACTATCCGAAATCTGATCAATCACAATTTATGAACATCGTAAAAAATTCTTAGCCTGGCTACCAAACCTATTATAGCTCCCGAGTCCTACATCCTCTCCCAAAAGTAGGACTCTGGAGCTATGATAGGTTTGGTAACCAGGCTAAAAAATTCTGACAACTTTTTTGAGTTAGATCTGAACATGCCTAAGTGAGATAGTGACAGAGACACGTTTGCTAACACTTTCTCGCCAGGGAGCCTGTCCATGAACCGTCTGAGACGTTCCATGCGGAATCTACTGAGGGGTGGGAAGAAGAAAGGGGCAAATAAAAAACATGAAGAGAAACAAACTACCGACTCTCGCGAATTCGCTCTACAAAGCCATAGAGATTCCATTGATCTGAGCACCTCGCCCAGTGAAGGACAAAGTGAGTGTGTGGTGTGTTAGTGTGTTTGGCTGCAAGCTATCGCTATCTCTGTTTAATAGCAACACCTTTCAGTAGGCTGGCGTAACTAAACCACGCGTGTACGCTTCAAGCAGCCCTCCCACTTGTCAGGCCACTCTGTGGGGCGGGGACTACGGATCGCTGGACAGTGAAAGCTTGGGTTACACAAACTGGTGATAATATATTACTTTATAATAAGGCCGTATTACCATAGTCTCATCTCATAAATGACATACTCGAAAGTTCTCATACTACCCACAAGAGAGAACATACTTGAAGAATACCGTTAGACCTTGGTAATTATAAATATATAACAAATTCCGATCATTTTCCCGTACAGACCTGTCTAGATCCCTGGAACTACTGGACAGGCAGTCATCCCTCCAGATCAGACAGTCCAGACAGTCGAACGAAAGACTCATCCAAGAGTACAGACACAACAACGATAACGTTGCCCAGAAGCAGTTGGTCCAGGGACAGTCGGTCCAGGGACAGTTGATCAAGGGGCACCCGGTCCAGGGACAGTTGGTCCAGGGGAAGCTCATCCAGGGGCACCTAGTCCGGGGACAGTCGGTCCAGAGACAGTTGATCCAGGGGCACCCGGTCCAGGGACAGTTGATCCAGGGGCACCCGGTCCAGGGACAGTTGGTCCAGGGGCACCCGGTCCAGGGACAGTTGGTCCAGGGGCACCCGGTCCAGGGGCAGTTGGTCCCGGGGCAGTCGGTCCATGGACAGTTGGTTCAGGGGCACCCGGTCCAGGGACAGTCGGTCCATGGACAGTTCGTCCGGGGACAGTCAGTCCAGGGACAGTCGGTCCTGGGACAGTCGGTCCAGGGACAGCCGGTCCATGGACAGTTGGTCCAGGGGCAGTTGGCACAGAGACAGTTGGTCCATGGACAGTTGGTCCAGGGGCACCCGGTCCAGGGACAGTCGGTCCAGGGACCGTTGGTCCTGGCACAGTCGGTCCAGGGACAGTCGGTCCAGGGACAGCCGGTCCATGGACAGTTGGTCCTGGGACAGTCGATCCAGGGACCGCAGGCCGTACAAGTAAACAATGAAGTTCTGGACCTTAGGAATGGTACAGAGCTAAAGCATGTTGCACAAGGCGGTGGAAGATTGATAGCGGAACGTCCACATGGGACGGAAGTATCTGGCATCAGCACGTTTGAAATGCACGCAGGAGAAGGTTCGTATGTTTACAGGTTCAATCGTTTAAAATCGTACCATTTCTGCCGAGACTGGTTAGGGGTTGGCACTCACTGGCCAACTCGATTAAACAGAAACCCAGAAGCTTCATAGACGTTTGTGCATTTAGCTCATCTTAGATTGGTATTGTTCAGATGACTATGTTACTGTTTTGAACACAGGAAGCCAGACGAGATCTCCCGGCTCATCTCATTTTCGCCATGACCGTCTCGACTCTGGCGTCGAGATCTTATCACCAGACACGGAAAGGACACACAGTACGCTTTAATGTTTATAATAATTACCATGTAAAATGATGCATCTTTCGATATGATATATAACTTAGATACTTAGCCATCCTATAATGGCGATGTATTAGATGGGCATTTTACAATTACGAAATATGTTACTTAGATAGGAACAAGACAATCAAGGACAGCACCCTGTTTGGCAGAAACTGCAGAAATCAGCTGTGGATAATGGGAAAACACATTCCAGATTAATTAGTTTACTCCAATGTTTTAACCTCTGATGCAGGCTTTTATGTATCGGACGATACTGCGGGGCGGTCTCTCCGGAGCCAGTGGACAAACGCCTGGGTAGTGCAGACACAGCAGCAGCCCGCGTCCCATATAGTGCTACAGCCGATACGCATAGAGTTACAATCACGACCGAGCAACGAGGAACAAGTCAACAGGACGACTGACCCTGGCGGCGGCCTCAGAAGTGGTTAGTTTCTTTGAATATTGCTGTCTTCGTGTGTGCGTACGTGCGTACGTGCGTACGCGCGTCCTGTTTCCTGTGTCATGAAATAACTGCGAAGACCCTCTTGCAGGCGTAGGTCAGTCGGAAGATGCCCCCATGACGATGGCCCTTTGGCTTCAACATGAGGACTGGAGAAGGTACTGTGGAACAGACCGGCCACAAAACCGCGTCTTTCGTGCTCGACAGGCCGAACTGGAGACAAACACATGGGGTCCCATCCGTCGTAGGAGCAGTTGAGTAGATTGACGATCCCCCTCTTCATATCACTTGCCTCGGCTCAGGGGATGCTGACTTTCCTGTGATATTGGAATTATTCTCCGTCCCCTTTGTTTGGTGGGTTGCAGAACGCCTTGTGTTTAAGGACGTCTCTCCATGGTCGAGATTTACATGTAGAGCTTTGTGGGCTTTCTTCGTTTGTGATGCGTTCTTGTCATCTCACTTTTCAGAATCCTCCCAAATCTTCTCTTCGGTTCTTGCTTGTATAAATAGCTAGATGAGTGGGATAATGCTGCGGTGCCAGGGACGTCCAGAATAGCCACCGAAGAACGCAATACGAGCACATCATACTGTACATGCGATCTAATTTCCCATTACGTCTTACTGAAATTTGTACTACCTTTATAGTCTAAGTATTGCATCGTTATACTTTTGATTCAGTGTCACTGTTTCTTCCAACCATTGATGTAAAAACCATTGCTATTGGTCTACATTAATGTGGATTCTGATGATCTAAGCAAAGATCAATACTATTGGTCCACATGCAGAATCAGCCGACCCGCTCTTGTCACGTGCTGCCCGCCTTCGGGAGACGAGATCAGACGACGAGGGTGTTAGAGGTAAGGGTTTACGTTACAATAGGTACAGAAAAAGTTAGACATTTCGACATGACTGACACGGTGGGTTTCTTTAGCCTAGGTACCATCCTATTTGTATGCCGGGGCTCCCGTACTCGCTCCCTGCCCAGGGAGCGAATATGGAAGCCCCGGCATACAAATAGGATGGTACCCAGGCTAGGGTTTCTTTGCCAGCGTTGACAAGGTTATTACTAGTATTTTCCATTTTTCTTCACAGGTCGGTCTTTATCGGTGGGCACTCATCTCGAGCGGTCTCTTCGGAGCCAGAGGACAAACGACTGGGTGGGACAGCTGGCACCAGTTCGTATACAAGGAGAACTGCAGCCACGGGAACCAGTGAGCTACAGGAGTGCCCCGGACGCCGCGAGGAAAATCAGTTAGTGTTTTAGTAACTAGTTTTTCGGGGGGAAAAGTACAGGTCTTTAAGGGGTACTGGTTTTTCATTCTCAAAAATTGTGTCTTCGAATACTTCTATATGATTTATTATTTTGAGACTTCAAATAAAGATGCATATGAGGGCAGATATCTATGAGATTTAACCACAGCCCTTGTACACTTTGCGACTTGTCAGAAGACTGTAACCATGAGAAGTATGAGTGACTGTAGCCATTGTAGCATATAACTTGCCACACCCGTCCATAAAGGTTCACAATGGTGGTAAGACAAGTTTCTCTGCATCGTCAGTGAAATAACACCACGTTGTATCTATTTATTTATTTATTCAAGCTTTGCCACAAGTGGAAGGGAAGGGAGAAACAGGTGGAGACCACCTTTACAGGCTCCCTCCCCAAAGACATAAATGACATTGCAATCAATCATAGTTAAAACTAATTAAACATATTGCACAACATCGTAAGTAGACAATAATAACAATATATATAATTGCACAATTTCATAATAGCTAGCTCTCTGCACATGTACATCCGGCCGTGGAAGTGCCCCATGTCTACCGTGGCCTTATTGCCAGACATGTGGCACACCGACAAGCAGACGTCCACGTGCAGAGATTGTCAGTAACAAAATGATCATTTTAATGATCTCTTTAAAAATCTCTTGGTCAGCGATTTGACAAGACCCCGTTTGAATGTTAAAAGCTCGGACTGCCCCGAAGCGACAGCCCCCATGTCCCGGACTCTGACTTCCAGTCTCTCAGTCCCTCTAGGTACCAAGCCGCGCCTGGATCCAGACGATACCTACGACCGTTTCGAAACATTTGTCCAAAGCCTCGACAAAATCCGGACAGGTTAGTGCTCGGTTACTTACTGTTAACTCGCTGATGGTGTCCATGGTTTCCGATGATCACAAATGCTCCATGCTTTCTCTTGAGTATCGTTCATGTGCTCTGATTGTTCCCCATTTTGACAGCGAATCAGACGTCATTAACATTTTACAGTCTCTTTCGGATCTGGCCTTCTTGAATTGATTCGTATCGTATCGATACACCTCTTCTTGGAGTTTTCGTATGTATCTTGAAAACGTTGTTTAGATTCGGACCCGGACGACGCGCCTATGACGATGGCCTACTGGCTGCAGAACTGCGCCTGGAGCAGGTACAGCCATGTGGAGGGGTTCTGGCGATATCCGCGCTACGCTCGGGACTATCCGTTAGATGGCACCAAGAACAGACGGTCCAGAGGTCGCAGAAGCAGTGAGTACAGCTGTAATTTAATGAATTCATTAATGCATCTACATCTGTATATATCTGCTCTCAATATCAATCAATCAATCAATCAATCAATTAATCAATCAATCAATTTATTAATAATCAATCAATCAATCAATTTATTAATAATCAATCAATCTATCTATGTATCTACTTATATATTTAAATTTTGTATACATGTATTTTATCTATCGCAGAATCACTTGGACCGGTGACGTCAGGCGGTGCACACTCAGCATCAGAAGATGAGAGAGGCAGAGGATATCGTACGTACAGGAATTTGTAAAAATTTAATTAATGGCAACCTGGATTCATTCTGACATTGTCATGCCCATGCTAACACGTACCTTTTTGCATTCATCCAGTCTGATTGCATCTAACGTAAGATGGATAAAAGATGGGAAAGCTTCATTAAACATAAACCTGTCATCCGTACCTGTCTTTAGGTCAAGTCCTAGTGCCGTCCCGCTCACGACAAGAATCGTCAGATGTAGACGGCGACAGAGAACATAGACACGGTACGTTTAAGGACGCCTCCTGGTTCGACCTCATCACCGATGTATACAGATAGGTTTATCTTTGCTCGTCAAGACTTCATGATGAAATGGAAATTGCTTTAAACACGTAGTTTGCGTAATCCTGCTGTAAACCGGATTTCTGCACATTCATTATCTATCATATTTGTTCATCCCCAGAGTCTAGAGACCATGTCAGCTCCCGCTCTGGTCGCAGACGGGACCGTTCGTCAGATCACAATAGGCACAGAGGAAAGGAAAATGGTACGTGAAGTTCGTTTTGGCAAGTGTCCTTCTTACATACTATCTAGTAGTATAGGCAGAAGTTTTAACTGCTAATAAGACAACTTCGTTAAGCCTATGTGATGTTTCTCTTTGGATTAATGAGTTGAACAGTTCAACCGTTTGCCACAAATCATTTGCAATTGTATAAGTACAACATCTGAACATAATACGAAACATTCTCCGAGACATGTTTTCTTTTAAGCATTACCTGACCTGCCATCCCATGTAGGACATCTTGGCTCTAGGAACAGTCGGGAGAGGTCGTCCGGAAGAAGGGACAACATCAACGATCGGCCAGAGAGGTCAAATCAGGAGGGTAGAACAAGGAGCCGACGGCATAACAATAGGAAGTCACATGGGCGAAATCAGAGGCGTGGCAACACAAAAATTAGTAAGCATTGCAACTTAAGCAACCTTTTATTGCTTTATCGATTTTTATCGATTTTGTTTGGATGTAATGAGTATCTTAACAGGCTGCATGTGTCATTGTTTAGCTATCCCGTTCTCGTTTAGGTGTCGAAGTGATAGAAAAATCTCGATGAGGGAATCGAACATATTGAGCGTAATTAATTTTCTAGTACACCCGGTAACTCCCATCACCGCAGGTGCCAGTTCAGACGGTAGAAGTCGGTCGCAGGACCGATCGCGACCAACAGCGGGAGTTCACGTAGAAACAAAGGTAGAAGGAGACGTGTCGAAAGACAGTGCTGGAACTCAGCTCAAGCAGCGGGCGTCATCAACGGCGAGCACAGGCAAGGCGTCAGAAGGAAACGTGTCGAAAAACAACCCTGTAACTACAGGGAACCAGAAGACAACGGAGGGGACAGAGGGTAAGTAGGGACGGCTGCACACACACACACACACACACACACACACACACACACACACACACACACACACACACACACACACACACACACACACACACACACACACACACACACACACACACACACTGTCATTCTTTTCCAAGTTGAACATCGTAATTTGTATCGTCATAGTAAAGGTATGTTACAATACTTTGCTAGTTTGCAAGTTTGTAATTTGTTTTTGTGAGTTCTCGTAAGTACCCCTTGCTGTTTTTTTTTCAGACGGCATCAAAAGATCTTTGTCTGTGGCTATGTCTGTGGGTCTCTTAGCAGGGAAACAAAAAGACGATACCAAGACAGAAGGGAAGTCTGAAGCAAGTCAACCTGGAGGCAAAGGCAGTGCTCAAGAAACCACCAGCAGGAGTCCAGGTAATACGTCTTTCAACGGTCATCAAATATCACTTGTTTTGTACCAGGGAACAAATATGGTCATACGTTCACTACACCTTTGGGATGTACTTCATAATAGATGTTATAGAACTTTATTGCACGACAATTGCACAAGGTACAATATAACATGCTGACAGACAGTGATTGACCTATCTTTTGACACTAAGCCAATGGCACATTCTGATGGCCTGATACACAAATAAACTGTCTTCACAGGTGTCACTTCTGTTTTCAAACGATCATTCTTCGGGTCCAAGAGTGACGATAAAGACCAAGCTGGCAGTCCGACTGACACACAGGGTACACAGGCTACCGTACATCAGACAGGAACAGACGACACCAAGGCTAGGGGAGATGCAGGTATGTTCTGTCAAATGGATGATATACATTGCCAATTAGTCGTGGAGTACTAGAAGAGAAGGCCCGAGAATTCACTAACCACGCCAGGCTACCCCTACTTCTGTTCTTGCCATGCCTTGTTGTGCAAAACATATCTAAGTGTGGATATTTATGTTTTTACAATTGGCCGCCTATAATGTTTAACAAACGTCACCTGATAACAATGAGAGAAAAGTTACTGGACATTTATCACCTTTTTCAGGCAGCAGAAAAGGCTTATTGTCTGCCTCACTGTTTGGAGCTCTCAAATCAGAGAAACAAAATGATGATATCAAGACACGCGGTAACTCAGACAGTCACCCGGTAGGCAAGGACGGTGTTCAAGAACAGACTACCCGGAGCCCAGGTATTTAGAAATACAATTGCATGGCCATTGATATAAAAGATGGCAATCAAAGATTGTTTCAACGTTTAAACACGTTTTCGTCTCGTACCCTGATGCAGATATGATATGCACTGTACCGTTTCAACTGGAACACTTCAACATTGTAGGAAGCGACAAAGATCCATTGTCAGTATGTCAATAGTATGTTCTGATAAGCAAATATGTCTGCTCTTCACAGGTGTCACTTCTGTTTTCAAGCGATCATTCTTCGGGTCCAAGAGTGACGATAAAGACCAAGCTGGCAGTCCGACTGACACACAGGGTACACAGGCTGCCGTACAGCAGGCGGGAACAGACGACACCAAGGCTAGGGGAGATTCGGGTATGTTCTGTCAAATGAATGATGTACAATTGTGATTAGTCATTGGAATGCCAGAAGAAAAGGCACGACTCCATGAGCATGTAATGTTGACACTGCACGCCAAGAATTTACCAAGCACGCCAGCCTACCCCTATTTGTGTTATTTCTAAACCTTGTTGGGCAGAATATATCTTCGAGTGTAAGTGTGGAATACATTTACTAATCTTTTGACAGGCTTCGGTAGTGTTTTCAAGCGATCCTTCTTCACATCAAAGGCAGCAGACAACGACTCTGATGCCCTGAGTATGCATAGCATCAAAGGTAGTGTCGTGAAAAACGACGAAAAACCAAAGGAAGAATCAGGTATTTTCAGGATCTGTTTCTGTATATATACTAGGACATTTGCATGTCAACATTCGTCATTTCAGCTACCAGACCCGTAGCTTGTACCTTTAAATGTACAGTCAGTTATTACTCTATCATAAGTATCTGATCTCCACCGTAAAGTTACTTGTTCAAGACTACCTGTATTCCGTTGAGGCAGAAAGCTTCAATAAAGGCCTTCCCCCTTTCCTCATTCCTTTTCTCAATTCCTTTCGCACATACTGCCTGCCTTCTGCCTTCGACCTGGTACCTACCCAGGATCCTTCAGTTTCATGAGCATGATTCGTCGACGATCATCCTCGGCATCATCATTGTCATCATCAGAGGACGATGACCGCAAGAAGGGACACCGCCGACCTGTTGTCACAGGAGGACGTAAGAACGCGGATAAAGACCCTGGTAGGTGCACTTAGTACAACGTGTTTCTGCTCACGTGGCTTCGGCCACGAACCGTCCGCCATGATGGTGGGTTGTGTGAAATGTCCTAACCCTAACACCTCATCATGCCTGCTGCCTGCCTGCGTATCTAAAGGGTATCTAATGTGGCCATATTGATAAGCTTGGAATATTTCTTAAAAGGTATCCTGCCTAGCTTATTCTCTTCAAAATATCTACAGTTTAACATTTAACCTGTTACCTGTCAATACATGGGTAACAGTGCTGAAACCAAGGCTATGACCATGGCCATTACTAAGTCGTTATTGCTGACTTCAGGAACTCCAAGAAGATTAACGCTGTGCTCGATGGATTTTCTAAAAATGCATCAAAGTATCGCATTACTGGTGCATGCAGAGCTTCGTATGGTATGCTTTCTGTGACTTCTTCAAACATCTTTTGAAGAATTCTCTACATACGTGATCACGAATTCCTTCAGAATCGGCTGGGATGTTCGGAAACGCGATGCAGTCCTTCAAAGGTCTGTTCGGAGACGATGGCAAAAGCCTGGCGGAAAAAGAATCAGAACATACTATCATGTCCACCGGACGGGGACGGCTATCAAAAAAAGAAGCTGAACACAGCATCATGGCGACTCAAGGCAGCAAGCTATCGCGGAAAGAAGCAGAACACAGCATCATGGCGACTCAAGGAAGCAGCCTGGAGAAAAAGGAAGCAGAGTTTGGCCTCATGGCAAGCCAAAGGAAAACCCTCGCTGAAAAAGAAGCTGAACATAGCATGATGGCAAGCATGGGAAAAGGGCAAAACCAGTCAGGTAACTGGTTCATATCAAGGGAAAGCTTTCAAACTCGCGGTGATGTCCGCATGTTAACACTGCTTCTAGATTCTTGTCATTTTTGACAAACTATGATTGGCATTGGATCGACTTGGGTAGCGGAAAGTTGTTTAAGACACCTAATATTTTTACAAAATGAGATACATGTTAAAGAAAGCTAACATTGCTATATACTTATGTCATCTTGATGGTTTTGATGACTTTTCTTCGCTTTTGTATGTGAGCAGAATCCTAACAGACCTCCCTCCTCGGCTTGAAGGTACTGCAAAGACCATTCTTTGCTTTACATGTTAGATCTGGTAGTTGTTGTTTCCATAGCTATGTCCTCATAAATGGTGGCTATTGACATCTATACGTTCACATTCCGCCAGAATCCAGCGGTATTTTCGGCGGCCTGTTCGGCATGTTCAGCGGTGGCGACGGGAAGAGCCAGGCGGAGAGGGAAGCGGAACACAGCATCATGGCGAGCCGAGGGGACGATTCAGGTAAAGAGTTACTAGTCTGTGATACCCAAGCTTCTGTCCGGCTCCCTAGATGGGTGGCGGACTAACTAGGGAGCCGGCGAAAAGCGAGGTTAAGTCAGGCTAAAAAACGGGCTACCATAAAGGACAGAGGTGTTAACAACGTTTCCCCGGAGCAAGGTCTGGGTGGTTTTTGACATTACTGTGTCGTGTTTTTATACCATTACGGTACATTGTTTTATGATTATTTGTGGTGTACTGATGGCTGCTGTTTTCAAACATATTGACGGATTTTGTGAAAATGGCAGCAATCCAAAAACATCACGTGATCAGAAACAAAGTGCCCATCATTAACCAGTTACGTCAACGAAATAAAAAAGCCAAGGGCCGTAAGGTTTTTGCCATATATGTATATCAGATATTGTTCTCCAACACTAAAACGTCGGTGATACTTCAGTGTAACGTTTAATCTCGTTATCATGATCCTGATGTTCACCAGAATCAACGACTTTCCTGTCAGGGTTGTTTGGTGGGAATTCAGCTCCCGCTGACCGTAAGAATCGTGCGTGTGAGGTTACCTTTACATCTTCTTTCGCGACCGGCTTTGAAGTTATGACGACAAGGGCTATGCATGGGTTTGCATATAATCTAACGTCTTCAGTTGTCGCGTCAGCATGAACATATTATGCCTCGGGACTCTCATATGAATGCAGATATCACCATATGTATAAGGTTACCTCTGCAGCTTTGGCCATAAACAAAGATGCTCTTCATAAAAGATTCGATTTGAAAATGTGAGCGAGAAACATAACGTCGACGCCTTGCGATAAGGTTTGGGCAGTTGCGGGCGTTACAGTTGTGATATGTGATTTACAGTAAAATCCCACTTCTGACACCATCTTTTAAGTAGACTGGTATCCATTCGTTTCTCCAATTTGTTCCATTGATAAATATTTAACATGGAAGCAAGCAGAGGAGCGAACTGGGATAGTCTGGATACCGGGCTGTCTTATATATACTGAATTGATTCGCTTTGACGTAGCTTAAGCCGGATCAAAGCTAATCAGTTGTCACGTTGTCTGTAACGTTGTCACGTTGTCTGTAACACTCTTCGACTTGCTCAGCAAGCGGTATCCAATGCAAAAGCTTTTTTGTTGATAAACGCCAGCTTGCATGCCTATTGGGGTATGTGTCAAATAACGTTCTCTTACTTAACAAAAGAACAACTTGTTTATAGATGGGAGCTCGAGTCAAGGACGTCGAGAGTCCATTTTGGGAGCGCTGGGATTACACGACTCGTCATCATCATCATCATCGTCATCAGATGATGAGGACGGTGCGATTTCGTCGTTGTTCTCTGCAATAGGGCTGGGCTCGGCGGACGCCACGGGGCCCAGGAAACATGGGGGTGGCCACAAGAAACAGGATGCCATGAAATCAGCTTGGGCAAAACGAGACAGGGGTGGTGGTAAGTGTCCGTTTTTATTCGCAAAAAGGAACAGGTGTCTATTTAAGAGACAAAAGTGCTCTTTTTATGGTTTTATGACATCGAACTGTGATAGCTCACAATTAGTCGAAATAATTTGTGAATGTCACAAAGACAGATGAGATTGTTAATGAATGGCTGACAGTTTAATCGCCTTATGTTATCGCGTATTTACTCCAGGAGCCAAGAAAGGAGGGGACTCGTCTATCTTTGGCTTTCTCGGGTTTGGCGGAGACAGCGACGCCCATCGCCATAGTCACGGCCACCGTCATCGTCACAGAGAAAGGGCACCTAGCACACCAACCACGCCACAACTCCCGTCTATCTTTTCATCATTTCAACCAAATTAAATTAGAGCAATAGAGGGAGCGAATACTGTGAAAATGGTGGCCGGGATCGACTTCGTGTTTATAAGAATGGAATCGTATCTCGAAAAAGTCTAGATCTGTAAAATGCCACACATTTAGAGTAGGAAGTCCCCTCGCTCACAATGAATGATGGGTTCGTCCAAATTACTAGTATCTCTGATGCATGTACTTTATGAATACATTTCCTGCTCCTGCTGTCTAAGACCTACGTAATCCGTCTTTCGTCCTTGTTAGCTGTTCTCCCTGTGTTCCATGGCAGGACTCTCGGCATTTTGTGGCTGTTTGGGACAGGGTTGTCCGAGCTGGCAACCTTTCCCGATGGAACCCTTCTCTGTGGTGGGCAGAAGCAAAGCTTGGCGTTAGGGTACATGTAAGCACTGGCCCCATGTGGTTCTGTAGCTCTCGTTAACCATGCCTATGGGGGGCATTTTTGTGTACTACATAAGCTTGATAATGAAAACTAATGGCAACATGCTTACTTCAACTGCAATAGGTGTTAACATTTTGTTGGACATAGAAAATATCACTAACACTCTGCTGTATTTGCTGGAATATATTTCTTACCTCTGAGATCTTTCACTAGCTCTTCTATCGAACTGAACTCTTGTTCCGGTACGACGGAGAGCAGACCTGTTGGACTTTTGTCGACCTTGAAATGGCGAACAGTGATTTCTCCTTCTGTCTTGGCCCTGACTGACACGGTGTAAACATGTGATCCTGTCAGCAAGGCAAACAGAAGGTTTTTGTTAAAATGAAGCAATTTATTTGTACTGTTGTACCATGTCATTTTACAAGGTAATGATTGATGCTTCTAGTTGTTGCGAGTTGTACAAAATGTTGCTGCGCGCTAACGTTTGGTAATTTGGTGCTTTGTTACTTAGTTATACAACTAGTGCAGATAGAAATGAAGACCAGAGGCATGTAAATAAATCTTTTGATGTCTACATTTTCTTGTCACTATTTTCTTTCAGTCCGATACTCTACCCTCCTCCCTAAGGGGGCTTAGGATGGTAGAGTTCGGCAAAAATAGGGTCTGACTGGCCAGGGGAGTGGGTCCAACATTGGTGTTTCATTCCCCCATTGGAAGAAAACTGCACGGGCAAATTAACTCTCGGGTGGCTTAACTCCGTTGGCCAATTATTCATGCATCCCCCCCCCCTCCGCATAGCTAAGATTAGATTAGTTTCTTACCCTGTCCATGAGCGTCTCGCACCAAGAAGGCTCCTGGCTCGGTACCGTCTGCCAGCAGAAGTTCTTCTGAGTCCTTCCTCCCGAGATTGCCGAAATACCAGCTGAGTACACGTAAGTAAACACTATAGTATGGCTATACCTACAGGGGGTGCCTTAAACATACAAATTCTGTTATCAGTCCTATCAAAGTCCAATTAGAAAATACGCTGGTGGGTTACGGTCAGTGGATTTTATACTGGGTTAGCACTGTGACATTAATTAACAGATGCAGAATGAACTGGTGCGAATCGTGAAAACTCACTCTTGTTGCTCCAGGCTGTACACAGGTGTGACATAGTTGTACGGCACGCATCCCTCCTCCCGTGTGTCCAGCCGTCTGGCCTGGTACCAGACATTGTCCCTGTAAAACATATCAACTGCCTAAGTTGGCTTTACTTACAAAATAATCAATATTGAAAATGAACCGTTCACATGTACATGGAGTAACCGCTAAATACAACTTGACTATGCAACAAAGCATCTTCAACGACAATCAAAAGCTCATTTGCCTTTTGTTAGCATTTAAAAGATATTTACCCGTAATCTAGAATTTCCAATTCTTGTCCCTCTTTGATCTGAAGTTCTCCTGCTTGCTGAGGATCAAAGTCATAAAGGACGACAAACTTGGGGTGCTCTGCAAAACACAATCCAAGGAGATATAAGTCTTCCTATAAACTCATTGCTACAATCCAAGCATAATGTAATTTCTGATATTCATCTTGCTGTCTAGAAATACATCTATTGGTACTGTTCTTTAAAAGGATTATACACGCCATTCAGTGGTTGCATCTACCTTTAGTGGAGACCTGGTCGTCTGTAGATGAAGTGCGTTTCTTCCTGAGTTGTTTCGCCCTGTAGTGATCGCTGTCCTTAATCTCCTCCACACAGTCACACGGGAACCAGCCCTGCCGCGCGTCGTGCGTGGTCTCCCCGTACCACATGCCGTCCGGCATCTTCCGCAGCACCCGCACCACGTCACCCGCCTCGAACGCCAACTCGTCCGGCTGCGCCGCGTCTCTCCGCACCTGACATGCAGACGGCGCCATGTCAAAAATGTCAATAAAATTCATTTGTGTTTGCAAATATAATTAGGGAAATTGGTATTATTTCCAACACAAAGAGTTGACTCATGACATGTTGAGTCGGGTCTGTACCAGGTAAAAAATGATCCTCGTGAGACATTTTAAAGAAGACGAAGTGTCTAATCGAAAATTTGGTCGAGTCAACTTCTTGTGTTGGAAACGGTTTAAAATTTCTATGATCAGAATTCTCCTCTGAGAAACTTAAATTGAAGTCTTAAAGATTGATTCACCTTGACTGACGTCAGAGGGAAGTCCCAGGAGTAGATGGCGCCTCCCTCGTCGTCCGTGGTGCTGTACTGGAACGCCTCTATCCACCTGGTCCGCTCGCTAGGTGTCGCCACGGAGAACACCATCTCCAGCTCCTGTCCATCCTTATCCTCCAACAGCAGCACGCTAAACTGGTATCCTTCGTCCTGGATGGCTTGTTGTGCTTTGAAGAATTTGAGAAGACTGCTTTTGCGTCTTGACAGGGTTAGCTTCTTATCAGCAACTGGAGTGACTGCTTCTGTCTTGTCGTAAATGTTGTCCTCGACTTCCTCCGCTTGGACGCGGTTTCGCATACAGTAGTTGAGCACGTCGTAGCTCACCCCGCCGCCTCTCTTTTGTCGCTTCTTCGCCAACAGGAGTACGTCAGTCAGGACGATGACGTAGCGCTGTGAGACCTTGTCTTCCTTGCTCCTAATCCAAGTCAGATCGCCCTGCTTGACGATCCACCGTGATTTACTCCTCAGCGGGAAGGGCAGTTTGCACCGGTCGAACGTCAGCTTCTCTCTGAGGACCTCCTCGAAGTCGTGATGCCGTTCCTCGTCGCGGACCGCCTCGTTAATGATGCTCGCTACTTTCTGCGTGTCCTGAAGGGCTTTCATGGCGGACTGGGAAAAGTCTGAACTGTCTTCTCTGTTGCTCAGGATCCTCTCAATGAGGAGGGGCAGCCGAGTGATCCTCTGCATGGGCAGCATGAGGAAGGACGTCATGGGGAGTTTGCTACACCTGGGATCTCCTTCCAGCCTGCTCACCTGTTCTCTGACCTCCTTGTTCTGGGCGATGACTTTCCTGACGACCCGGGAGTGTGCGTTGACCTCCTTGCAGTACGTCTTGTAGGGATCTAGGAAGTTCTTCAGGGCGTGATTCTCGATGATGTCGCAGATGTCGGAGATGACCGGAGACTGCTCCTTCGCCCTCCGCTGAAGGTCCTCGAGGAAGGCGACGCTGACCTCCATGATCTGTCTGGTGTATCTGGAGAGACAGGAGAAGACTCCGTGGCCGATCAGCGCGTTGTGTTGTAAGATGGCCTGCAGGAAGTGTTCTTCCAAGACGCTCATGCTGCGGAGGTAAGACTCCTCTGTCGTTAAGACCTCGAACATGGCCTCTTGGAGATGCTGCTGCTGCTTGGACAAGGTGTACTTGACGTTGTTCTGGACGACTTGCGGCTGTCTGTCCCACTTCGGGGCGATGGTAGACTGCCAGCGCACAGCCTTAGACCCGTCCACCTCGTCCTGTACCAGTATGGCGGTCTTAGCGATCTGTATCTCCTGGTACAGGGGCGCGTCAGTCATGAACTCCGGCAGAGCGGTGTAGGAAGGAAGGGTGTCGTCGTAGTCTTCCCCGGTGTAGAACGTCGTCGAGACGGGTTCGCTCTCGAGATCAGCGGATCGGGCGACGACCGTGACTTCGTACTGCACGGCTGGGTCCAGGTCGTGATATGTAATGGACGGCTTTTCATTCGGATCAACTTCTTCAGCCACGCCTTCGGTAGATGGTGGCGTGAGACGTGATAGCCTTACTAGATAATAGTCCACTTCGCCGGGGAGGTTTGGAGGCTGCCATGCTATGATAACGCTAGTTTCGCCTATTTCGTCTACAATTAGATTTTCAGGAGGAGGTACGGTTGCGGTTGGCTTTGAACCCTCTATTTCTTGATTTGTGTCTGCAGGTGACGGGGAAACGTTGTCTGGTACATCGTCATAGTACTCGTCTGGTTGGCAAGAATCCGCTTCAGCGGGGCTTGATGATTCAAGAACGTGTTGCTGAGAAGCAGGTGTGGTTGACTTTGGACGCGCTGGTTCGTGGCTTGCGCTTGTCGTAGACGGAGGAACGTCCTCTGGTATATCGTCATACGTGTCCTCGTCGGTCTGATCTTGACTCGTGCTGGCAGCAGAGGGAGGGGTGTCAGCTGGAATATCGTCATATGTTTCTTCTGGGTCAATATCTTCGTAGGTTTCCTGATCATCATCGTCTTGCAGTAGGGACCTATTTCGACATTAAAAGAAGGACCAACAGTTTTCGTCTTAACAGGCACAAACGCCACGAATAACAGGGAAACAACTTATACAAGACCGTTATGTCGTTATACACGTGGTAGGAGCAGACTCAATACATTTGATTGTTAAAAACACGTACAGTTCGTGATCTGTCTTTAAGCTTTTATATCCCACGCACCGTCATGTGTGGTGTAAACGTAGCAGAAAATATGACAAAACCGACATGTCAATGGTTATATAACTCATTAAAAGTAGCTATTTTAGCCGGTAGGGAAAACGCATCATGTTACTGCTATTTCAAACACCCAATATTAAAGAAACACCAATGAATGCTCATTGGTCATGTAACACATTGCGTTGCCGCGTGCTACCCGCAAACCTACAGACTGTACTTTGGCCTGGGGCCTTCTTGGAAGCTGGAGCTGTTCTGTACAACAGGTTATTGACCTCGCGTAGGGCCATATACGTGACTGTAGGGGCGTCACGTAATTTATAGCTGAAACATTTACGCTGCATTACTCTTGATATCCAGTCGTAAATCGTGAATGTCCTTTCAAGAAGTCGTTCGCGACGTTAGCGTGGCCACAAAGTATCTTGACGAGTTGTATGAGTGTATTTTTATCCACAGTATAGCCGGAAGGGAAGGGCGGGTGGGATGTTGACATTTGTGGTTTAGACGATGTATATTGTGGCCAGGTGAGCGGTTTAAGCTTCAAGAACTTAACTTACAAGACTTGCCAGTCTATGGATTGAATGACTAAGTTCCTTTTGTCTGATTTGCAATGGAGTGTGGTGTAACTAAATATTAGAATCGGTTATCACTAAGCGGCCAGAAGGCGGAGGGAAGTACTGATTGGACCAGCCAATTGGATGAAAATGAAAGCAATGATGATTGCAATGTATGTAAATGTAATACCAATTGAAGTCTTATCTTAGCGCACTAACCTGTATACACGTGGGCCCTTCTCTTTGAGGATAATATTGAACGCAGAATTTGTGAAAAGGTAAGGTGAACAATTTGCCTCTTGCCTACTAAGAAATCATTCACCCTATTTCGCAAATTTCAAACTTTTAGTCATGAAAGGATCCCCCTCCTTGGAGCTAGAAACAACGCAAACGCTCACGTGGATGTGTCTTGGTCCTCTCTGTGATGTGGAGGGGCGGGGGAAAGTTGCACTATGGCCTGCTCCAACTTCCGGATGTGTGCCCTCGGCACTCCCTCCGTCAGAAAGTCCTGTTTATCCTCGTCTGACAGGTACAGTAACAGGTCCGGCCGGGTGAAGCCCCAGTCTCTCAGCATCTCCGTCAGTTTCGGGTGGAACTTGTTGCGTTCGCACCACAACTCGAAGTCAAACTCTGCCGTGACCGCCATGCTGGGGCGTTCCGGAGCGCGCGCCGTCAGTACGGTGTTTGTGTGGACAAAGTGTCGCTCCTCGTGAGATAAGCACGGCAAACATGTTGTCACCTGCAGGTCATTTCAGGTTCGACTTTGTCCGATAATCAGTACGGCGTGATGCAGTAAATAAAATAGAAGTCACTTTTCACTGCAGGTTATCTCTGACAGTCCTATGGTGTTCATTCTCGCTGTTATTAACGTTACTGTTTCCGCGGAAAAAGTACCTCTCTTGTGAAAGTAAGTGTTATCAACCAAATGTCCATTTACTTTTTATACGGTCTCGTCACAAATCTCAGTCTGTGATGATTTTAATTTCGATTTTATTCTATTCAAGTTCACATGACAGGAGTCATTCGTCTCATGAAGACAGAAGCACGAAGTTGCCTTCTCATCATTTTTTTCGATTTCCATTGCAGACTTAGTAACTGCTAGCATGATATGTGCCATATGATATATTCTGTTTTATAGGTAAATGACCAAATAAGCGTCATGACTCAGGGAGGTGGTGATACACAGCGGCTTTATTCATACCCCGTTATGAGGTGATCAAACGTTAATGGTTAGGTAGATAGAGGTGACACATCATATAAGTTACTACACAACATGTTCTAGGAGCACACTTACAGTGTGTACATCAGAATCACGTTTGCGACTGCACATGGGCACACCTGTTGTTTGTCATCACCATTTTGCATTTATGAATTTTGCTCCAGATTTTTCAGGAGGAATGGTCGCATGACTTAACTATTTCACATAAAAGAGGAAAAGGACCCTTAGTGAAGAAATCTGACTTGAGCTATGCTACTATCAAGAGATTATACCCTTGCTAAAACAACACCAAAGGTGTAAAGTAGCAAAGGTGTAAAAAGAAACCTGCTTTATTGAGAACAGTTTTTATTGACCTTTTATTGACCAGTTTTTATTGACAGAACAGCTCAGAATGATGGGTAGCATTTTACAACTCACGAGCATTATACTACATGGGTATAATTGGTACACGTAAGGGTGATGTAACTAAAGGTATACAGGCTTCACTATTGAAGTCTGGATGACTTGCTATGATGTCCTCGTGGTGTTGATCTAAAGCCTATTTCTTCTTCTTGCCGCCTCCTGACCCATCTAATGCATTAGGAGTAGAGAAGGGAACAATTCATAGCATGCATGTCAATGGGGTGTAACATGTATATCATACATGTACGTGTATTATGATTGGGAGAAACTGGGGTTTGCAGTTTGAACGAGGGTCCGACTAGAGGTGAAGCTGATGTTATTTCTTGCCGGATTTTTTTTGGCCTTTTCCACCTGGAAATAAAACATAAAGGAAACATGTAACATATGGTAAAACACAAAGAAACATGCCTGTAGCTATATAACAAAACAGTTTGGTGATCCTTGAACTTTGATTAGAAGACTGCAAACGTAGAACCCACAAGGTAAGACTAATTAAGAAAGATCAAGTTAGATAAGTCATTCCATTGTGATGAGTAAAGGTGATCACAGACATAGAATTGTGATAATACAAAAGGCATCGTACATTGTAGTACTAGATTTAGCTAATAGGTAGAAGTTCGAGACTCCTATCTACATGTTTACTACAGACCACAATGCACGAAGGACTGTAAGTATGTTTTATACCAAGGGTTTTACCCTCCTTGCTTATCCAGAAGTTACGAAACCCGACTGACTTTTTCCTGCTCCCTTGGGTTTCTTTTCAGCCTTCTTCTTCTGGCCGTCCTGATGCTCTCGTTTGACTGCAGTGTCATCCTGCAATAAGAGAACAACACATAACTTCGTAAAGGTTTTCATGACTAATTCCAAGAGTATACTAGTAACGGACCTGCCTGTCTGCAGTATGTGTGTGAGTAAAATGGTGTGAGGAAAGGTTACAAAGAATGTGATAGCTGTGAAGTTTGCCATCTCTGGGTTATTTTGCTGTTTTTGGCACAAGTACGTGTGCCATTTCTAGCTACATACGGTAGTACTACATGTAATATGACGGCAGTCGCTAGAAGGCGTAATTTGACCAGGATAAGTGCATGTTTTCCCACTGAATAGATCCTCACAAAACCGGCTACAACCGACCACAACCGGGTCTGATATACGTAGTATGCAGTTAACATGGGGCAAGGACCGTGTGTGACGAAAAACAAACAAACTGGTCACTATTTCAGGGTCTGTATGGCTTTTGCCGTGAGATGTAGCGATCTATTTTAATTGTTGTCATCCTCTGATTTTCTACGTTAATCGTACCTGTCTAAATCAACTTTAAAATGTCACTATATTATTCGTGAAACATAATTGGTCGCTTTAATTCTACGTAGCACGTAATTTATTATTCAGAACTCGTCGTTAAGTGTCATTGACAAATTCTCCGTATTTATTTATTTTCATACATATACAAACAGCAAAATTGGGATACAATAAATAATGATAATGGTAATGATAATTAAAAAAACAGTAACTAAACAATAATAAATAATGATGATAACAAAAAGTACAAATTGCGGTATGACATAGTCTAGCGCCAGATTGCCCCCAAATCTCAATTAAACGTTTGAATAGAAAATTCGCATTAATTTACCGCTAACCGTTGTCGCCTACCTACATTTACCGTAAAACCTTACCAGGGCCCTCACACAAACATAAGGCTAACTACGTGTTTTCTGTCCATAATTTGCACACGCCACACAAGGTTCTTGTGCCCTGTACACTGCATATCTAATAGGACCGGTTGTGGTCGGTTTGGTTCGGTTGTGGTGTTTAGGCGCTAGGCACACCGCTCATGGCGCGCTGATTCCTTCACAATCATGCCAGCCAAAATACGCACACACAGTCGTCTCCAGTCTCTTCGTAAATATGACCATTATTAGCCAGGATATAATTTAAAGCGTTCAGTATTTGATGGCTATACGTAGCTAGCCTGGGTGCCATCCGATTTGTAACGGCAACCCCGATTTTTTGGGGGTTGCGGTTACAAATCGGAGGTCACCCAGGCTAATGCGTAGCCTCCTTAGTAGACACTACGACCTGGTTTTTTTGTGGCTTACAATGCGTTTGTTTTGAAACTACTTCGCTTTTGTTCCTGTCTCTGCTTTTTTAAGACTCCTATTCCTGGTAACCAATTAACCGAGTAAAAATAGAAGTGAAATACATCGTCAGGAAAAAAAACTTTATAATATAATGTAAGACAAAAAAAGCCCGACTTGTAGAATCAATTTCGCTATCGTTTGAGGGCTTGCATGGGGGTTCCGACGTCGCTTTCCGCCGCTAAATTCAGTAGTACTGCCTACGCATCAAACTGAATATGTTTGGGAAGTCAATGACACAAATTGGGGCCGTCTCGTTAGGAATTAAAGGTATAAAAATGTGTTTCCTGCGGTATATAGCTTGCATACATCTTACGCAAAAGGCAATACAGACCCTCCCATACGGCGCACCTAGCCCAGCCTGGTTAGAACCGGTTAGGACCAAAGCTATGTACTGTTCAGTATTATGCGCGGAAACCTTGAAGCCTAAGGCTATACAAATGTACTTACATCAACTAGGTCCTTTGGTCCCTTCTTGGGCTGCTTCTGCTGTTTCTTCTTGCCTCCTGAAAAGGAACAGGCATCGATGTATCAATAGAAGAAAACAAAGAACCCGAACCAATGACAAACTGAAGAAAAACCATTTGAAAAAAAGACTGAGTGAAGCGGATGCTAACCTTCAGTGTCCGACATGTTGGCTGTCTCTGATCGGTGCTGGTACTGTATGAAGCTAGCGCAGAGCAGCTACCCATTTATATAGGGAGACACAACAGTTGGCGCATGCGCCTAGGAGTCGGTGTGTCATAGCCTCTACCAGGCTTCGGGAGGCGGCTGGAAAGAGTAGAAATCGGCCAAATAGAGAGATAGCATGCCAGGGGAGTTTGGTCAGCTGGAGATAACAGTTTGCCGTTCTCGGGTGCGGCAAACTCCAGCCGACCAAACTCCCCTGGCATGCTATCTCTCTATTTGGCCGATTTCTACTCTTCCAGCCGCCTCCCGAAGCCTGGTAGAGGCTAGGTATGTTACGCCCAGGACCGGTTATTACCGGCTGTACAGAGATACACACCCAATTACGTCATGTGTAGTGAGAGAACTAAATATGGTTTGAACTATTAAAAACCTTAGCTAGGCGGATTTTTGAGACGTTGGCAATTTGGGAGCAACTATGGCAAGGCGTAATTTTTACTTGCTGAATTAGAATTTGAAAAATGAATTAAAATCACCTTTCTCCCTCTAGGAGTCTTAGACTTTCTTTGACTGCCAAATAGTGGAAAGATCGTCAGTTTGGGGAGGCCGTGTTGAATCTGTTGGAAACGTGTTTGATGAACAGATTATCTGAGGGTGTTTTCATGATCTGAAGTTATGATGCCTTGTATAAGATAATGACATGTACTTTTTGTCCACTTTCCCAAATGATTTCATCAGCACAGCTGAAGTGAATTCACTAGCACAGCTGAAGTGAATACCTTCGTTGTTATTGTTGACAGGATTGTTGACTATGGAGAGAACTTTTGTCCTTTTAATGAGGATGAATTCACCTATCATGTACTGGAACCGTGGTGTCACCCAATAAGAGTTTATCAACCTCCATAACATTCATATAACGTCCATATACTTTTGGAGTATGTAGGACCATCACATACTTTATAGCAGACGTATTACTCTTGATATCCTGTCATATATCACAGCTCTCCTTACAGAAGGCCATTCTCCATGTTGATTTTAATTTTCTCATTTTAATTTGCACACTCTTGCCCACATGGGCTAAATGCAGTAGTCATACTACAGCATAACTGGGCTGAGCTGAGGAGCTGAGCCCTGTCTTGAAGAGATCAATGAATTGAGCCATACGATTATAAAGAAAGTAAGCCTTTGCTAATACAACACAAGTACCAAATGAGTAAAAAGAAACTTGCTTTTATTGGAAGCAAGGGAACAGTTCAGAACAATGGGCAAAAACAATTGGTAGCATTTTACAACTTGGTTCAGTCAGTCACCATAGGGTAAGACAGTACATGATGTATCAAGGTGTACATAGATTATGTCTTGATGAATTAAGTGGTATACACAAGTGATGTTACTGTGTACTGTGGAATACAGTTTGATTATTGAAGTCTGGATGCTTAGCTATGATGTCCTCATGGTGTGGTTAGACTGATCTAAAGCCTATTTCTTCTTCTTGCCACCTCCAGACCCAACTAATGCATTAGGAGTAGAGAAGGCAGCATGTCAATGGGGTAAGTTATGCATCACAGGGTTGGGAGAAACTGGATTTGAGGTACAAGCAATTTGAACGAGTGTCCGGCAGGAGGTAAAGCTGGTGTTATTTTTTGCCAGATTTCTTGATGCCGCTTCCACCTGGAAATAAAACATGAAAGAGACATGTAAGTCATGCTGAAACATCAACAAAAATGTCTGTAGTGTAGCAAAACAGTTCCACATTCGGGTCATCCTTGAAGTTTGATTAGAAGATCTCAAGCAGCAGACTTCGCAAGCAGGAGTTTTAAAGTAGCATCATGAAAGAAAAATCATGTTAGATCAAGTCATTCCATTAATTTGATGTGCAAAGGTGATCACAGTCAGTCATACAAGCTACATTGCACATTACAGTACTAGTAACTACATTTAATAGGTCCATAATTTTCAACTTGCATCATCTATGTGTTCAAAGGAGTTTACACTGTTTTTATGATACTTTGGTATTGAAATGTTTTAGTTCCATATTCTGTTCTACAATGTTGCCTGTTTTACTCTGCACTTGTAACTAAACAGCCCATGCAAGTCAAAGTCAAGCAGCTAAGGTTGTATACTATGTTAGCTAGTAGTCTGTAGCTACATATACATGTCGTGTAGTGAAAAAAGTCAATGACCAGTACCCACCCAGAGGTCCCTTTCCTGCTGCCTTCTGCTTCATTTCTGCCAGCTTTTTCTGGTCCTCCTTCTGCTTCTGTTTGAATGCAATGTCCTCCTGCAATGTCAGACCAACATGATTATGTCTTTCATGGTTTTACAATTTCAGCAAATTTTGAAATGCCTGTAACGTTACTGTGTGTGTGTGTGTGTGTATGGACTGTGTGCAATTGTGTGTGTGTATGGACAGTGCAATTTCTGTTTACATAAGTGTACAGTACTGTACTATCATATACCGTAGTTCAACTTTGTTGTGTACACTGGTAAAAGAGAATCTACTCTTCTCTACTGTTGTAATATCAAGGCGGCCGCTAGGAGGCATGATTAGACCATGCTCTGTGCACGTTTTGCTTCACCCACAAACTACAAAGTAATCCTCACAAAACCGGCTACAGCCGTTCAAAACCGGGTCTAATATACTTTAGGACTAGTATGCATTGTACATGGGGCATGGGCTTGAGTGTGACGCTCTGCATACATTATGAAAGCAAGGAAGTGGCATATTCAACTGGTATAAACTGGGTTTGCTGCGTGTTTTCTAATTTCAAAATTGCAGATATTTCGTATCCAGTTCTTCACACAAACTCCTCGCCCCATGTACACATATCAAATATCAGACCCGGTGGTGTTCAGACACACCGCTCGCTCGCGCACACGGCCATGATTAACCAACGAGGAATGTTCACAGTCATCATATTTTTTTCCCAGCCAGGCCATATGCGCGCCAAGCCAAGTCTAGTCTCGTGCCGTGCCACTCACATCGTCCAGGTCCTTCGGTCCCTTCTTAGGCTGCTTCAGCGGTTTCTTCTTGCCTCCTAAGATAGAAAACACACCCATGTATCAACTACAGAAAAACCAAGAACCAGAGTGAACGAGAAGACGAAGAAATGCCCCGAAAACAATGAATGAAGTGGAGAGAATTTTTACCTTCTCTGCCCGACATGTTGGTAGCCTCGTTGTGGTCCGTGAGTGACGCATGCGCAGTACAGCCATCCATCATGGCGGAAGTCGATCGAAATTTCTGCTGGTTGCCAGGAACGACAGGACACAGTTCGTTAGTTCGCGGACAACGGGGCGGTATTTATCTGTTATAAGGCTCGGGAATACCTCGAGAATAATTTCAGACGGTTCCGACGTTTCCTTTCGTGATTTTAGGGACCAAACGAAGCCGTGTTTCCACCCGGAGCCGAACCGTGACGTTGAAATGTTTTGAAATTTGATGTTCTTTGATGCCCCGACTCGATTGACCGACTGGACGTCAACCATACTATAGAGGCTACATGATGGATTTGTCAGTACTGGTCATCAGGATGGACCGGAGTGAATAGCGCTGTGATCGAACATTCGCGTAGTGAAGACATTCTGTCTGAATCCAACATGTTCAAGAACGAATATCAGGTGAGTTGAACGTTGATACAATTTCTGACCCTTGAAAAATAAACACTTTCTACAACTAGCTGCATTTAAATTCGTTCTTTTTGTAGTCTGTGCTAGACATAAAAAAGGCCTCAAACCCGTATAACTAAGGATCATCTTGCCATTGTCCCTTAAGTCATTTCTACCATTGCCCCAAGCATAATTAAGCACCTTGTCTTTACTGACCACCTGTCTAGTGTGACATCAAGTTCCTTGAGGACCACCTGTCTAGTGTGACATCAAGTTCCTTGAGAGGTGACAAGTTTGACTCTACATTGTCATCATCACATGACATGTAATATTTGACGTTATAATTGATAAAGCAATAGTTACAACTGCTAATGTTCTGTCTGTGTTGTCTGCCCACAGGGAGGGCCGTTCTTTGAAATCTTCAGTGCCCAGGGAAAGGACCCTGTGTCCAAGTGGAAGCTGACAGGAGGCACGTCATCCATACAGAAGGTGTTTGACAAGGATGTGAAGAGTTACGTGTATAACCTGGAGGGGGGAAGTACCACCACCAAGATGCAGATACCCAAGGATGCCAAACAGTCATGTGAGTACAACTAGGGCCACTCGAAAGTTAGCATTATGTTTCAGGTCACAAGTGTATAGTTTTAAATTTAAGTACATTGTATACACACAAACTCTCACTGCCTGGTCAAAATGGTCTTTTTCTCACAGAGTTTGTGGACATAGAACTCTAAGTTCTATTACTTCTAAGTCTAGAAAATATCTACATCTGCAAATTTTGTATGTAGTTACAAAGTCTCTTTCCCCCTGCAGTGTTTCTTGTGCAGAGATACCTGGTCTTCCAGATCTACATCCCCCTGGGACAGGACTTCTCCATTGAACTGGGGTAGGTTTATAATAACCTGGTGCTGTGTTATGTGTATGTGTTTTCATGTGTCTGTCAAGGATACCAATTAATTGTGTTTTGAAGAAATGTATGACATCTTTACAAGTGTCACACTATATTGTATTAAGGTGTCCTCCCTGGTTAATTTGGCATTTTAGCTTTCCATCATTTTCTCACAAAGAAATTTAGAAAGAACTATAGTTGTACTGAATATTGATACCTGGGTACAAAAGGGTTATGAATATGATTTTTTTGGACCATATGGATGACGTGATCACATTTTATTGCCCCAAATGTAATTATCTTTAAAGTTATAATATAGCACTTTGGTACAAGTAACTGAAATAAAAGTATGATTTTCATGTGCATAATGGTCAAAGCTACAGACATACGTTTGCACAAATTGATATCTACTAATTATCCGTAGTTATTAGAGAATAACCTAATTGCCTAATTAAAATTTAGTTATTCTGTAATAACTACGGGTAATTAGTAGATATCAATTTGTGCAAACGTACGTTTGTAGCTTTGACCATTATGCACATGAAAATCATACTTTTATTTCAGTTACTTGTACCAAAGTGCTATATTATAGCTTTAAAGATAATTACATTTGGGGCAATAAAATGTGATGACGTCATCCATATGGTCCAAAAAATCATATTCATAACCCTTTTGTACCCAGGTATCAATATTCAGTACAACTACAGTTCTTTCTAAATTTCTTTGTGAGAAAACGATGGAAAGCTAAAATGGCAAATTAGCCAGGGAGGACACCTTAAGTCCCTACCCCTCCAAATGTCAAGGTTTATGCTGAAATGTCAGGTAAATTTGCATACCTGTACAGTGTACTAGTAATATATGTGTTGGGAGCCAGTGAACTGTGAAGAACATGTAATACTGTAGACTACTAGTTCTGCCTATGTGCCTACATGTACCTGTCAAAGAAACTGTTATGTTGTAGACACCAGTGTATTATATTCCCATAGGAATGAAATAGTGGATCTTTTCATCTGAATGCTTGAACCCTTACTACAGGATCACAGATTTAGCAAACAACAAGAGAAGAATCTTACTGTCCACATGTCAGAGGGAAATAGCTGCCACCCCTCTACATGCCAAGATACCGCTCACCATTCTCAGGAAAAAAGTGGTAAGAAATACCTAATATCTTTATCAGAAGAGTTTAAGATATTATTCTTTCATTTAAATCAGAACAGTCCTTTGTACAGAAATGTATGGCTCTCAAATATACCGGTATGATATACTGGTAAAGTGGTTAAGTAACATGTAGTTTATTTATTTATTGGTTTGGCTGGTACAAAACAGCCAGGGCAGCCCAACTAGCTTGAAGCTATTATTAAAGGCACTCTATGTAGTTTTTTGCGCAAAAATTTGGAATATTCTAATTATACTAAATTTCAGTGTTATTAACAGTTACTATCACTTTTCAACACATTTGTGTCATTATTTCACATTTTTTACGTATATTTTGTCCGTTCAAACAGTCCTTGTTGAGTACCCGGTGCCACCGGTTTGCTCTGAGGACAACAACAACAACATACAGGGGTTGCCCCTAGGGTGGCTAATTGGCCCGGCATGCCAGGCTTGATTGACAGGGGCACATGTGACAAGATATAGCCTCCTTAGAAAAACACTCATATCTTTCACATGAGGTCTGGTGAAATATTTATCAACTTGGAGTATTTTGTTGGGCATGAATAAACTGTGGTCATTATCCCTTCATTATCCTTTCAAAAGAGATAAAAAAAATCTGGTAAACGGTTAGGTATTTCAGAAACTGGTAAGCTATCAACTGACACCCCACTGGGATGTAGGTCAAACCACTAGCAGTGGACAATACAATGTACCATATGTGCGGTTTGGCCAGAGGTTGCATAGAAGATCATTCACAGTTTTCTAAGCTTCTAAGGAGCAAGGATGTTGTATTTTTTGTTGCGGAGTATGATTTTGGAATACTAAAGGGTTAAGTCAATGTACTATGTAAAGAAAAGAATGAAAAATATACTTTTCGTATTGTCAAAAAACTACATAGAGTGCCTTTAAGGGCATGCCCTGGGTTACGTTATGTATGAATGTCAAATTTCAGTAGAAATTCATTTTTTGGAGTAGAAGTTATTACAACTGTTCTTTCATTGTTTAACACATGCGTATTGTATCTCTATAAAGTTGTATATCTTGGATATACTGTACTTACCAACACAAAATCCCCCCATGTCCAGTGGCTGCACCTTGTGCTGGACCTGTTATCCCTGGTAGGTGAGAATTTCCGTGGACAGACGTACCGTGCGCTGGAGAGTCTGACTCTGTCGGCAAACTGTCGCATCAGGAAAGTCTTCACCATGAAGGCACAGCCTCCAGACACCACGGATGATGATGGTAGGTTGATGTGGTTACTTATTTACTGTATTACTTATTTACTGTAAACTGCATATAAAATATGTGGTATCAAAAAGTATTTTTTTTGCAAGAAAAAGCTTGAACAGCTGATTTCAGCACCATAAGAGATTATGTTTTCCTTGCTATATTTCCCCCTCTTTCCCAATCCCAGAAAACCATAGTATGATTTATGATTTGTCCCACAGAGCTGTACTCCTGTGACCCAGTGAATGATGTGGAGATAGACACCATCCCCAGGGCACTACAGCTCAGCAGGGAGGTCCAACAGTGCACACAGGTCAGATACACACTTCTTGGCTAAAATCTTCAATGACATTGTAATAAGGCAGTTTGTTGCAAAGTCAGTTCAAGGGATTCTAGACTGTGACTTAGAGCTAGAGAAGAATTAACACTAGCTATTACATAAAACATTGCAGTGTCCCAAGTTGAGTAAGTGTAACTGTTGAATGTCTACCCTGCAGGTTTTAACTATGACAAAGATCAGACAGGCAGAGTGGAAAATACGGGGAGACTCCTCCAGACCTACATCATGTACAGAAACATCAGGTCAGTGGAACTAAAATTATCATTGTGATAGGACAGGAAATCATTTTTGGAGTTCAGAATCTTTAATAGGTGTGTATTTATCTGCTTCTATCCCTGTATTGAAAGAAAGCTTCATTTTTATTTTGTACTTTTCCAGATCGTCTGAATGCCAGTAGGAGAGTATCAGATGACAGACCCACACATATAGCCTTCGGCAGCAGGGTCGCCATCCCCTCAACAGCACAGAGTAGGAAAGGGTCAGCAGGGCCCAGAGAGGTAATCTAAGGGCAGAGCCACTTCTCATCCTAAATACCTTAAGAAGCCATTTTCTTATAGTCATGAAACCTAGCAAGGTAACTCTGTGTATATGCATTTTTTCTTCTCGCTGCTGGAGAAGTGTCTGAATTATTCTGTATCGCCTGTCCAGGGTAGTGGCAGTGCTTCCAGTAGGTCCAACAGGTCATCACATTCCAGGACAAAAGTGGAAGGTACGTGTTTGTTCTTTATCTTCACATGATAGTATGATTGTGTGTTGATGTTTGTATTTTGGCATTATGGCATATAGACCCTGCCTGCCACTGGGCTACCAGAGGGCATACAGGGCTCAGGGTAGACTGTTATGTTTGTGCCTACAGTGTATAACTATGAAAGTTTGTATGTTCTGTTTCCCCCCAGTAGACCCTCCCCCCACCTCTGGTCCCTCCAGTCGTGACACGGGGCCCAGAGTGGACAAACTGGTGATCCACCACAGGAGGGAGTGGTCAGACCCAGGCAGTGCTGTGGAGGACCTCAACACTTCTGTCAATAAAAGTAAGGCTGGGCACTTCTCCACATCTGTTTGTAATGGATACTAAGTGATAATAGTATCCAGATATTTTTGTTAGAGAGATAAAACAGCTTTGACATTTTTCCTTGTGACATGGCATAGATCAGAGAAATTGTTATGAATGAAGATTTTAGCTTTATATATATTATATAATTATAGTAATGAATCTATATCTACTTGTTCTGTGCTGTTTGTGTAGCACTGCTGAACATTAAGGATTTTGCAGAGACAAATTTCCAGGGCTTTGCAAACAAACTCATGTATCTTGTTGGTGTCATCAGTTTGAATTCAAATGCTAAGAGAATTAATTTTATTCTTAGAAGGGTCGTTAAAAGGCAGCAACACTTGGGGTGCAGAGGACATGAGAGAAGAGAGGGAAGAGAGGAATGGACAGAAGGAGAAGCCGGAGATGTTGAGACCACATCCCCCGCCCAGAGAGAACTCCAGCGACAACCTGAAGAGGAGACAGATCAGGATCAGGAACACCAGCGGGGGACAGTACACACGCTCACACAGCACACGAGGTGAGGGAGACACACGCTCACACAGCACACGAGGTGAGGGAGACACACGCTCACACAGCACACGAGGTGAGGGAGACACACGCTCACACAGCACACGAGGTGAGGGAAACACAGGCCTCAAGTCAACTAACTGTACATGCAGAGTTGTAGTTTCTTTCTCATACAAGCCTACCTGCAGACATGATTTGCCTGGCGTCACTTTGTAATTTCTTCAGCAATTGGGCACCTTACACCAAAGCCTATAAAAGTAGGCATGCATTGTACTGTGTTCAGTATGAGTCTGACCACTGAGGCAGCCACACAAGGCCAAACATGTCGCAGATGGGCTTGAAAAAAGGTTTCTAATGGTAACATGGATTTGGAGATAACTACATGTGCTAACAGTAAATCTATGACTAATACAGTTTATATAATTTTTTCATAGTGTTTGTATGACAATAAGAACTGTTTCCACCACTGAGGTGTCACTAAAAAAGTAATCCATCTGATGTTGTACAATTTCCTGCACCACAGATCCTCCTCCCATGGAGACAGATGATGCACAGCCTCCAAAGGAAGACCCAGATGAGAGCCAACCACAGGCTGATGTGCATGAGGAGGAGATGAGAGAGTCTATAGGGGATGTGGATGGGGATGCTGACAGTGAGAGGTAAGGGCATGGCATCAATTTACTTTTATCATGTCCTGATTAGATTTCCTCACATCTACATGTGTACATTGTAGGTCAATATACAGTATACTTTGCAAAAAATAGATTGTGTTCTCTCTTGTATTGCACACACCTGTCTCTGTGTATTGTGATCATTGTACTTTTCCTTTTTCATGTAGTTCCTATTTCCTATGAATAGAATAGTGTAGATATTGACCTACATTTTCATTTTTTCCCACTCTTTCCCATCTGCATGTGTTATTTATTTTATGTGTTGTAGAGATGACCATGAGGATGAACAGTACAGTCCTGATGAGAAGGACAAGATGTTCACCTTCTCCTCACGACCACACTTTGCCTCCTGGAAGGCAGGCTCAGACAGTCTGGACCCCTCCGACAATAAGGTCAGGATCCTGGCACTAGAAAACAGCAGTATAAGCTGCATGCTTTACAAGCTGTTGTTTGCAGGTAGAATTTTGACCTATAGTATTGGAAAATCATCAGATTTAGTAAAAGTGGCACTTGCCTTGCATCATAATTGTCAAATAATGATCAAATGCATTATTATCATCACATAATAAGAATCTGAATTCATGAACCAGTATAACCGCCGTCCTGTGTAACACACCAGCTTTGCATGCACATATTGGAGGCTGGTTATATCATACTGAATGACTTGTCACTTGCAGGATTTTGATTTCACTATTTATTCAATAGGCACAACATGACGGAATCAATTTCCAGAGGAAGATGGCATTAGCCAATGGAGATGTGTTTGATCAGTTGAGGGTTGGTACATCTGTATGGTACAGGTGGCAGTGGGTGGTCGGGTTATTCTGTCATGAATATTTAACCTTTCCCCAGCTGAGGTAGCTTTCTGGTACTAGATTGTATTTGGACAAATTGCAGCAGGGAGAAAGTTAAATATTGGTGGTGGTCTCTTTCAGACAACCTTGTCCAATATTCAAAAAACTTCTTTTAAAAATCAGTGCATGTAAGTTTTGCATAAGAATTGTTTGTACCGCAGAATCGAGTCCCTACAAAATTGAGTGAGGCATGGTTATTGCCAATGATTGACATCCTGTCTTGTTTTCTACAGAGTCGCATCATCCAGATACGGGAGAGACATGAGTTGAGAAGAAGCCAGTGGAAGGCATCGGACCGCTCGGCCAGACTGGCTCACCCTGAAGACGACTTCTACGCCAGCTCCAGTAGCGAGGAGGAGCCTGTCTTAGACATGCACCAGAAGATCCTGAGGAGCCCCAGCCCCCGCACGGGCCACACACCGGCCCAGAGCCCACACTCCTCCCACAGCTCTCAGCAGCTCAGGCAGCAGCAACAGACCAGGAGCACTCTCACAAGCCAGGACCACGAGGAGAACGACACACCAAGCTCAGGGAACACGTTAAGTCCAAACGGCTTCCTCCCGACACCGCTGCCTAGTGTGGAGATGTCTCCAACCTTCAGCAAGACGGTGTCACAGAGGGTCGGGTCCAGGAGTAGGAACTCCAGCCAGTCTCGACTCAGCGTCAAAGTGTCCAAGCTGAAAGAACTGACGAAGGAAGATGTGGAAACAAGATTGTCTACAGTAAGTTAGCAGTAACTAATGGTTATTAGTCCCAACAGGCTGTAGTACTACCATTTCTTGGTAGGTGGCACTGGTCACATACCTGCCACCCTAAAAAACGCATGTCTGAACAACAGCTAGTGTTGCACTAGAGATCACTCAAACACTCTATTTTTCAAACTGGCAGATGAATGTTTACAGAGGTAAAGTATTTCAAGTCCATCTCTGCCATGATTTGACAAACCCAGGAGTATAACTGGAGGAACTACTAGTACTAGTCCCCCAACTCCTTGAGCAAGTCATTTGAGGCGGCCATGTTGGACAGTTAATACTAACTCATCCTCCACAGATCTTGTCCAGTTAGCACCAGACACTTCCGCTGGCTGGACCAGTCTGAAATCTTTACCATTTCCCCAGACCCAGGAGTACGACTGGAGGAACTACCAGTCCCCAAACGCGTCCCTGGGCGAGTCGTTTGAGGCGGCCATGTTGGCGAGTCTGAAGCGTCAGCAGGAGGAGGAGATGTATGAGGACAGCCACACCAGCGGCACCGGCAGCCATGACACCAGCTTCGAACGACTTAACTACGACAACGCCGGGCTGAGCTCCAGCGACGATGATGCCAGCATCAGTACATGGAGAGCTCCTGTAAGTCTGAATCTGTATCTTACAGTTGATAGTATTTTGGGTTGGTATGTACAAGTGGATTATGGAACTCCAGTGTTAGCCAGAGCAGCAGCACTGGTACTGGTAGTCAGGAACATCTCAACTACAACAACACCGGGCTGAGCACCAGCGAAGATGATGTCAGTATCAGTACATGGTAGTATCAGTAGGTTGTATCTTATAGCCTGTTGGGTTGGTACGTACAAGTTGAGTACAGAACTCAGAGTATGGAGCTCAGTGGAATCTCTAAGACTGATATTTCTATTTCCCTCCAGGTCCCTGCCATGTTAGCTAACCACTACCAGGATGAGATGCGCCTCCCTTCCTCCAGGAAAGACCCACTGATGCAGTCCAACCCAAGGTAAGGCTTTGGCAGACACTTTGTGAAACTCTATTGGCTACAAGCAGCTGCTCTGCAAGTACAGGTATTAAGATACAAACAATATCAAGACAAGATCAACATTGAGAATTTGTGACCTAACATTGTCACTACAGGAAAGTGAAATGATAACTAGATACATGAATACATTTGCTGTTTTTCCTGTGTAGGGACTGGACCATGGTGTTCAGCCCTCCCATCGTGCTGCCCAGTGAGCACAAACCACTGGAACACAAGGACCTGTCACCAAGGAAACAGTCAGGAACCAACCAAGACATCTCACCTGGTCAGTCACATGTGCCTCAGTACTCATGATTTTAGAATAAGCAAAAGTGGGAAGATGTGTCAGTCTATTTTCTATTTATTTTCAGGTGCAGTAATAATAGAATTGCAGGGTATTGATGTACTCGTAACTGATTAAACTTCACGAGAAATGAAATGTGTTTGTCACAGAAAAGTTTTTGTATCATCAGTAGTTACCAGACATTAGTCAGGTTCCCAGATTCTGTGAGATAAAAATTAGTGTTTAGAAAGGTCAGACCTTGCCTCTGGCAAACTGTACCAAGTTCCTGGGATGGTGTGTCGAGTTCCATGAATGTAGCAAATATGGGATAACGCTGCCCTAAGGGAGCCTCCAGCATTCTTGTCATCATTGGACGTCTGTCAAACCCCAGACTGCCAAATATGACATATGGCATGTGAAGAGGTGGCGTATTGTGTGTTCCATGTGGAGTTGTGCCGTTTTTAGGTCAAACATTCTGTATGTGGAACGAAAGTAATGGTTGGGTCGTACACTTGCTTATAAAGCGCTACAAGTGTGTGATAGTCTGAGATTGCACATTGCACCACTGGCTATTGAATATTTCTGACACTTCGCTCCTTTCTGAGGTGGATGTCTCACTATGTTTGTTCTCTTTGTACATGTATTGAGCTGAACAATCAACATGAAAGTATGGTATAAGTTGACAGGAAGTACCCTAGAACACACAGTTTCAGGGACTGAATTTAGTCAGATGTCTTTTTTTCCCCAAGCCCTCCGTTTTCATCTTGAATTCTTGCTGATGTTTTGGTTAAGAATGTCTGATAGCCCAGGAAATGAGTAGGTATAGACACTAAGTTTTGTCCTGTGTGTTACACTTACAGGCAGTGGTCCCAGCTCCCTGGTCAGCGCCGAGTCAGAACAGCAGCTGGAGGAGGAGCTGGACCTGCTGTACGACCCCTGTCTCAACTGTTACTTCGACCCCAAGAGCTGCAAGTACTACGAGCTGGCATGATGGCAGGACAAGCTGCTATCATAGTGACTCTGCTGTAGTCATGGCTGTCTACAACATTCAGTTCTAACCTGCCTTGATGCAGAAGCCTAAACAGCAATGGCGAAACACTGATGATGATGATGACACAGTCAAACCTGTCTATTGTCAACCACTCAAAGGCCTTCAGGGGGTTACAGTAGACGGGTGACCACTGTAGATAGGATTACTTGGGTCAATGTCAAAACTATCTGAGGGACCACCATAAAGTAGTCACAATGACTAGGTGGTTCTTATGGTCACCAGTACAGGTGTGACTCTATTTTAGCTAGTATTTGTAAGATATTCCTGCATCCAGTGTCATTTCAAGTTTGAAGTGGCCAGTGTAACCTAGAGTTGTGTACAGAGGTGATAGTTGGCAGTGATGATTGCCAGGTTTGGTGGTCCTGACTGCCCAGGTTGAGGCCCTGTACTCACTCAGCCTTGTTAATGACCCACCGAGGGAAGGCCCTACTCAAGGTTAATACACACAGATCAGACAGGGGAGATCCCGGGTCTGTCTGGGTGGTTCTTGTCTGTTCAGTGTCACAGAGAGTCATACCCTGGTACCTGATGTACTTTACATACATGTTGTAACTTCTCCCCAAGTTTGAATGAATACAAAATAGTTAGTGCTATTTTTGTTACTTTTGGTATTGGGTTTTTTTGGCTTCACCCAATTCTAATGATTTTATGCTTCTGTTGCTTCCATATAATTCATCAACTTGCCAGAAAGCCATGTTATATTCTACATGTATGTGATGATCCTGTACATGATGTAACAAACTATGATATCATAGGAACCCAAAAAATATAAGAAAGGATCAATTTATAACAAGATTGTAATTAAGCAATAGGAAACATTGTTAAGTGTTGGTATGATCTATTTTTGTGTGAGTTTTTATGTTGGGATCTATGGTAGATACATGTGGCTAATGTAAAATTTTACTAGTACCACAGAACTACTAGTTATCATCCTTTTCTGTGACTATGACATTAAGTCTGTGTCATTTGAGTTCACTATTTATTCTAGGTAAAGACCTTGCCATGTTAGGAAGTTGCACCTCCATGTATTGCCAATACATGAATGCACCATGTGTAATTAAGATACCGTATATTGTTAAGGAGGAATGCTACATTATCTCTGATTGTGTGCAGTCCCCAACCATTGGCATGCCTCACATGTAAGAACTTGTTGATACAAGAGTGACAGTGCTGAGTGATATGCAGACCACTGCACTGCTAAAAACTGCTTATACAATGTATATCAAGGTCATCTTACTAGTACTTTGGAGTCCTCACCAAAATATTGGACCAGCAATAATACTGCATGAAAGCATTCCTGGGTGCTGAAACCTTTGGTGTACATGTAGATTTTATGGTCTTTTCATATCACTTAGAAATCACCAATGAGCCAGTATCCCAACCATATCAATAGAACAGAATCAAAACATGAGGGGATATTTTTGTATCTTCACTTCCTCTTTCCACATATCTAGAAAAATATTTTAATGTATTAAAGTATTAATGACAATGAATGGCAAGTTTGAATCAACTGTTACAACATAACAACTTAACATGTACACTGTTACCAACACCACTTTGCCTTATGCTGAAACTCAGCACCCACTGATTAAACCTGTGGGAATATAAAAATGAACTTGGGGTTGCCTTAGCCAAAATGTTTTTGTACCTTTGTATGTACACTGTTGATCTGAATGTTTTTGTGACAAAGAGGAAAATTTGGTTCAGTATTATGTCATTTTGTATTGAGTGGCATTACTTTGCTTGTTTTGGGTGCTGAAAATATCTGTACATATGATATGAGTTGTATTTGAAGATTATTTATCTATTGTGATATCCATGTTTCATACATGGAACATTGAGCCTGTGTTTTATACTACCAGTGCCTTGCACAGTGTTGTGAAGCTAAGCCAAGCAGATGTAGGGTCCAGCTCAGTGTCTTACATAAGTTTTTGAGGCGTTTTATCCTTTTCTGGTAGTCTGCTTTCTTTTCTTTTTATCTAACTATTGTAGCCTGAAAAACCTGCGTAAAATATCGAGTCAGATCCTACATCTCCTTGGAGACTTGTGAAGCCACATACTTTGTAATTATTGTAAATGTTGCAAAACTACTCACATTCCTTGTCTGCTACTTAAAATTTAATGACAACTAGCTGCAACTGTATACTTATTGTATTGTACTTGTATCTGTATGAAGATATGAAGTCAAGCTTCAAAAATATCTCAGTGGTTTCTTTGAGTTACATGTGAGATATATGGGTACTTTGTATCTGTGTGTAATATCCAAGCTTCTTTTGGCTTGCCACCCAGTTTTTCTTACTAGCCAGAAAACGTTACGTTCCATTCCAACATCTGCTCGGAGGTGAGGTAGACGTGCATGTCTTTCCGTTCATTCCTCTCTAAAGACGCACTGAAAATAGCACATAGTAATCCCCATATGTACGGCAATGTGTTAATGTTACCGGGGGATATAGGGAGTGTGTCAGGGCAGAGATCGGGCCGTGAACTTGTTATTTCAGTCTACATTTCCCGACATCTCCATGGAGACAGGGCAAACCGGCATTCCGCACAACGCCCGGGAATGGACCGAGGTCGTGTGACAGTCAGGGGCGCGCGTTACTCTGTTATACACGGCACATAGATGATAAATTGCAGGGAAATAAACTAGACCTGATTAGTAAAAATAAATCATACATTAAAGTGTCGTACTAGTTGTATGGGGAGCCTATTGAGGAAAAACATACCATCTGTCTGTCTGTAAGACGTACAAAAAGTTTCAGTAAGTGTACCGAAGCATACATCTGCTTGAGGATATACGCTTTGCCGAGGGCTTTGATATATGCGATTAAAGAAAATTTTGACAATGGCACTTGGCAAAGAGTCAGGATATGGTGCTGTCTTATCAGCTGTAAGTTTTAATTTTTGCACATATCTACAGATACTCTTCAAGAAGGAAAAGATCGTCACTTCTGATTGGTACCTGTTTTCAGACAGGTATGTACAGTGGGTACAGTGTGGGAGGGGTCGGGAGGAGGCGAGAACATGTCTGGTACATTAATGGATCTACATCTACAGCTACCCTTGGCCGTCATCCAGCTTTCAACACAATCCTGGAGAGACCCAAGATCAAATGTAGTCCCGACACCAGCCATGCCGAGTAGCCCTGTATCGTGTTGTTGACATAAGTAAGACATACAGAATCCAAGGATCACATCCAAGATTTCCTTGCCTTGAGTGTGAATCTGTCCAAATGCCAGCACACATTCCGTGCCAATCTTCACAGCACGGCCATCAGCATCACTTGCACACTCGACTGTGAACAGTGCTCCTGTACAGGTGTCAGAAAGATGGGCGGGTGTCTCTCCGGTGTCGTTTTACGTCGTCAATAATGAGCTCTGACACTCTCATTACCAAAATAAAGCTATAGATATAAATGTAAAGCACATCTCCGCCCTAGCTCGACACGTATTATGTATATGTACGAGAGTAGCCCAATCCAAGACATACGTACGTCGGACCTACAGTGACTGTAGGTCCCAATCTAAATTTGGCATTAGATGCGTGTAGGCAAATGGATTATTTTCGAACGTCGGCAAGACATAAACTACCGTCCTTGTTAACCACCAGAAGCTCGAATAGAACCCAGAGTTGCGGGATAGCAGGGTGATGGAGACATGAAGCAGGTAGACCAGGCGGGTTTTATGTGAACCGTAGCGGAAAAGTTTCTGACAGCTTTGTACGGCTAAACTGAGCGTGACAGAAATCATGACAGAAATCAGGAAATTCAGCAACTTCTGAACAAGTGGTGCATTCAGATACAGTCGACTGTCCATTGGATCAAGGACATTATACAAGATAATGTCCTTAATTGGGTCGATGTTGGTGAACACACTGGCCTCTTGAGGCAGAACTTAACGGAAGAGGAAGAAGACGACTTCGCACTCAACGAACATGGGTACATTTGGGATAAACTCAAAACAGCGCGCCATCAACGGAGGGGCCAGTTCCTGTCCGAGGCAGGTAGGTCAGACTCATCCTAGGATACAGGAGAAATTGGCCCTAATAGGGTACGTAATTGGCCCGAGGAGCTATCCGGCCAGAGAAGACCAGAGGTCCAATTTTGGCACAGTTAGGGAGGAGGGGCACGTCTATAATTTCAGCGGCAAGTTGACAGACCTTTCCTGGTCCGATGCCAGGCGATATCAAGACTTGACGCGCCCATCCGTGTCCTCCCAGGTCAGCCCTTGGCCCTGAGACCAGCCATCATATATCATATGCCCTATAACTGTACAATAACTCCAGTATTGCACCGTGTCGTACCGTAACCTGACTAAATGTGACCGCTGATAAAGCGTCGGCGATGAGAGGTTACGTTATCACGGCAACAGGTGTGGCCTTGAAGTCAGGGTTTGTTTGATAATATTCGTTCCTGTAGTAGAGGCGTCCAAGGCTCTGCTCAGAGCGCAGAGCCTTGGACTGAAGTACAGTCGTCATGATTATGTAACGATTTCCATGTGCCTTTACTGTTTGACATCATCAACAGGGACAATATCGTGCATTGTAAAATTGTTTCATTACAACACATATTACTTCAGTTTGAAGTCTGCCATCTCTGATTGCCTAGTTGCACTGCTTCGCAATGTATAGCGTAACGAGGAAACTGCGAATGTTTGGCTTGTCACGCTTTTCCGCGCCAGATTCCTTGGGGCCGAAGCAAATCGAGTGTTGAAATTGGCTGCATGGTTTGGCTAAACTTCTCTAATCGCCTAATGATTAACCGACTACAACTATTCCTCAGAGCCGAAATGAGGGAGTCTACAAATGAGTCTCTCATCGCCTTGTCACCAAATCTCCCAGTGATGACCATGATGAGAGGGTGGTCAGGGCCACAAAATACACGTATTGATGTCGGTCTAACACAAAACAACAGAACACAAATTTGAAACACATTATATAAAGGAAACATCATGGGGGTGGTTGGTGGCAAATGAAATCTTTTTATGGAAACACCGGCCTGTAAATGTCAACGTAACAACTCTCAGGAACGAGACGACAACCGGCACACATTGAGGCTAACCTGCTACGAGTTCTGCTTTACATATAAATAGCTATATTCTATGGCCTACTCCCCAAACTTCAAGAGCGTGCACTTTGCTTTCTTTTCATCTTTATATGTACAGTCGATTTTCTATCTTTGAACCCGTTTTTATAGTGGTCCAGGTGATGAAACCCGGCGTGTGCACCCCAGGCGTCCCTGGTCTGGACTCCCCCGCTACAAGACTCGTAAAGGCAACCTGAGAACGCGTGTAGTGGATCATGGAGCGCTTCTAGTTAGCCTAGTTAGCAGGCTCCATGGGGTATGCTTTATATCGTGTTTTTTTTACGAATACGCGTGTAATCAAAGTAAATGTGGTGATGGGAAATCGTAACCTGTTCTGGGCGTCCTCTTTTCTCGACAGTCCCAAATGTCAGGAAGTGTTAAGATTACGATCGTCTCCCTTACCATCTGCAAGCCATTCTCCCCCGACAAACTTTGTACAGTCCCTTGGTCCAAACCACGATATTTAAGAGTGAATAAAGCGCTGTAGGACGCCAACGTTGCTCAAATTGAATTATTTCTAACCTATTGGCTACCTCCTTCAAATCAGTTACCGACCAGTATTGAATCAGTGTTGCCTCTTCGAATTCGGCGTGATTTTCTGTAAAGACTGTAAAGCACAACATCGGCGCGTGGCTGGAGCAGTTAATCGCGTCGCGGGGGTCGAGGCCAGCCTAGCCCAGACCACATCACATCAGCACCGGGCGGATCGAGTTCCCAGTACACATAGCGGCGCTGGAGACGCGGCCTGTGGAGTAGTCATCGGCGCGCGCTAGAGTCTGAGAGGAGGGAAAGTCGGACCCTTCATCGTCTCATCAACACACGCAATGACGGGTAACATGGCGGCGATAAGGCGGCAGGTCGGGATGGACGTGTTTCTCGCCGTGTTAGTTTTGTTGCAGGTCGGACTGACGCTCACGGAGGATACAGTACGGCAGGCCAGGGCGCCTCAGCCGTTCCCCGTGCCGGAGGACCCTATCACCGTGACGCGGTCTCTCTGCAGCAACGTCAACAAACCGGGTCTACAGAACAGGACGGACGTGTACGAATCCTCGGACGGATCCGGATCCGTGGTGTTCAACCATATTTACAACTTCCACGGCAAACCGTGCGAGGATAACGCCGGAGTGAACGACGCCCTCAAGGCGCTGTTGGAGTCCGTGGACGCCATGACCAGGTCGGCGCGCGGCCTTCGGCAGGACATCCGCAAGGCTCGGAAGGACGCGACCTGCTGCGGCGGTCTGAAGGACGGGCCGGGAGAGTTGGGAACCGACAAATGTTCATCCTCACCGTCTCCAGAACCCAGCCCGACACCTGAAGGTAGGGGGCTAACATTGGGCCCGACGTTACCATGTTGTTATTTATGTCTTTCCTTATCCAGAAGAAAATTTCTATTTCGGTCCACGGTTGGGGGGAGAAGTGAGGGGAGCACGTAATCTGACACCCCAATGGCCAGTTTCCGTCACGTTTAGTTTGCTAATGGTCAGGAAACGACTTCCCAGACCACGCCAGACTTTCTATCTTGAGTTTTGCAAACTTCGCGGGTTGTCTTAAGGGTGACAGGGACGGGTCAAAACACATCGGTTGCTTAAGGGCCAGCAACACCACGCAAATATGCTGGACAAACAACCGCCATATGCAGTGAATATCATCTTTCTTTTTATTACTGTCCACTCGAGTTGATTGAACAGACGTACTTGGTTTCATCCTCTGTAGCCTGGGTTCCAGACCCATAGCACACTGGACACAAATATCTCAGTGAGCCTGGCTTTTTTTTTGTGTCCAGTGTGCTTTGGGTCTGGCATCCAGGCTACATCCTCTGTAACTGGTAGTCATATTGGGACTGGAAAAACGATGTAGCTATTTGTGAATCGTCAAACGCCGTGCAAATTTGCCAGACAAACAACTGTCTTTTGCGGTGAATATCAACTTTTTCTATTACTGTCAATTTAATATAGATAACCAAGAGCACAGACTTATAGTAAGTACTTTATTGTTTCAGACTGGGAAAACTCTCTGACTATTTGTCAGTCATCAACACCGTACAAATATGCCAGACAAACAATTGCCCTATGCTATGTACTGCATCGTCTTCCGTTGTACTACTGCCAACTTCTAACAAACAAGACCACAAACACGCGTGGTTTATTCAGGAGTGTCCGTGTCCCGCTTCACTTCAGGCTGGCGGCATCATGCCTCATGTACGACGAGGACAGGCCAGCCTCTAGATCCCTGTAATAAAATTTTATAGCCAGCAAACATTAACTCCGCTATTGGTCGCCAAATATCTGTATCATTCCGCGTGCTTGTTCACATCGCCTGGTGTTTGTAAGGCAAACGTTTGGATAGCAAAAATTGGTTGACACAGAGCTGTCTTTATCGTTTGTTCAGCAGAAATGAGTTGACAGAGATTTGTTGTTACATCTGGCCGTGCCAATACGACCTTGTTCCGGTGAGTGTTTTCCCTACAAGATGTCGTCAACTACTTTTCCGTCCTCGCGCTATGACAGACATCCGTGACCCAAAGCGTACACACATTTAATAGGCTCTTGTGCAGTGTTTGGCATACACACCGGTCGTTATTGTGTAAACACCTGTCACGTCATACGCGGGAGGTCGTTATCGCCAGGCGGAGGCTGGTAGATTAGTTTCCCGGCAGGGGTGGAAGTTCGGTCCGCTCTCGGGACCCGGGGGACCGGGCTTTTAATTTCCGATTGGCCCACTCAGAACCGGGTTCATGGTTCACCCGTCTACAGGCGTCTGGTAATCTCAGGTCGTGCAATCTTAATTTCATGGATTATATTCTATGGTGCAGTACAGTAATACTGACCTAATTTCGAGAAAAACAATATAAGCAATGCTCGTTCATTCATTCATCATTGATGGGCTACTCAAAACATCGAACTTGAAGTCGCGTAGAGCGACAAGATAAGTGATGTCAATTCTACATTTGTTCAAATTTTGTTGCACATTTCGCTATCTCTAAATGTTCAAATCTTGGCTATCTTCTTTCTAAATGACGGCGTCCACTTAGATAATCTCCTGCAGCCTTGCCAAGTACACATTTGCACAGCTCACCCATCTTGGAACACTTGTATCAGGATTAGCAACACGGCCAAGTTCACGTGGGAGGACATGTAGCAATTCACGGCGAGCCGGTGTCAAGGGCGGGCGGTATACCCGGGGATACGGGAGGAAATACCGGTTACTTAGCCCGGCTCCGGGGAGGACAAAGGAGCCGTAATAACTGTTTAGGGGGCGTAGATGGATGAATGATGTGTTTTCCTGGTGTTTCCTCTGGATCCTGAGACGTTTCCAGCCAGACATACCGCCGAGATCACGTCCGAACCAGTCCGAGTGTACGTGTCCAAAGTAGTGCTGGTGTAGATCTTGAAGGAGATGTTTTGGCGTAGAGGTTTTTACAACATTTAAACTGAGTACGTCTTTCAAGTAGTACGCCTCATCTCCTCATCTCTTCATATCTTCCCTTCCTCACTCATTGTGAGAGCTGGAACTAAAAAAAAAAAGACTGCTATTCGGAGAGAGAGAGAGAGAGCGAGAGAGGGGTGGGGGGACTGAGAAACGAAGAAAAAGTCACAAAATACGAGTACCAGTAAAACAAGCCTGGTGGGTACATGAGGAAATTTAGAACCGGAGGCCTGTTGGTCTGTTATTGTACTTAACTTGGCACTTGGAGAGGGCAGACCCCACAACTGGTCAATTTAACGGGTCATATCGTAAAGCACAACACTGTGGAAAATCAGTCATGCATTATGCATAGGATGGGCGGGTAGTAGTATATAGTCATCATATTGATTTCAAATTGACTTTTGCCATTGTCAGATGTTCGCTTCTTCGAATTTTCATTTCTACTGTTTTCTTTGAGGACGTCTTTAGGCTTTGTCAGACATGGAAATAACTGGTCCAATTGAATATGAAAGATTATTGGCACGGTCAACAGGGAAATGGGCCATCATTGAAGGCTCCAACGCCTGGCACGGGCCTCGACCACTGGACACAATAAAACACGGTCGCAGACGTGACTTTCCGAGGAAAACATATTGCAATCGAGTGCAGGCTACCTTACTATTTTCGGACTGCTTTAATTCTCAGGCACAAATATAAACAGATGTACGACTTCGCTACGACATGGAGGAAATCCTTTCGCTGATGTTCGTCTTCCAGTAGTTCCATGGGGACATATGTTAGCCCTGGAGCCGAGAAGCTGGTCTGTGTTGGCCATGGGAAATCTGCCGTCCAGCAGGCTCGATCCTTGTCGGGACGTTCCCAGTTATCTCCTGTTGTCCTTATCTCGAACTAATCCTTACAAGTGGCTCGACCCGGGCCTGACCCAGCCCAACTACCTGCGGTTATTCCAAATCGGTCGCAGGGACACTTTCTCCTGACCCTTTGAACCAGTAGGGTAGCCAGATCGTATCAATTGATTTGGTCCAGACCTTTGCCAGTCGCGTGGCCTAGTTTTGCTTTGGTCGGCAAAACCATACTGGTAGTAGGAGTTGACCGAATAGGGTGAGAATACTCGTCAGAAGAGTTACCCGAGCGCCTGAGGGTTGGAAACGGGAATACCCACATGGCCAATTCCTTCTTTTCTCTCAGCACCCAGAGGTGTCTGGTGTAGTCGCCTTGGTATTCAGAGCGCACGTGACATTTAAGATTTTAAGGCCGCAATGCCCAAACTGGGAGGTGTGCTCGCACTTGTAAATTGGGATCAGCTTCTCCGGTTCTTCCAAGTTGGGAAACGTCACTGCTAGCCTGACTGCTAGCTTTGATATCAAGGAACTTTGAGTTGAAAGATTCCATAGGGGATCCTTCGCATGATCCAAGCTGTCCTGTTTTTGCCAAAGGGAGGGGGTGGGAAAGTTGAAAAGGAACCTGGTTCTGTGTAAGATAGATTGCAACTGTCAGAAAATTCCTGTCGGTTATAACATGAGAGAAGCATTCGGATAATTAATAGATTTCACATACCAGAACAGCCTTTAGGTTAAAAGTCGACTACAACATCGCCAACGCGTGGTACAGACTTCAACTAGAGTCCCACGATCTCATACCTTCGCCAAATGATGTTAATCTTTATGAAAAAGTAAAGATTATTCCTCCTGATTATGCAAATAGGATCCTCATTTGCATGAATTATATGAGTTTATCATATTATCCATAAAAGACAGCCTTATCTTAAAAAAGAAAGCCATTCTATCATTACCTCATAAATTATGCAAATGAGGTCCTTATTTGAATAAATTATGTTTAATGATGTACACATTCACTTAACTTGCAAATACCCTAAGTATGAAATTCCAGGCAGTTACCATTATGGAATTATAACATTTTCTCATTAATTATGCAAATTAAGTGTTAATTTACATAATTAATATCTGCCTGTGTTTTTCTCGTTGTCAATTACATATGTCTCAAGCTTGAATAGTCCTATAATGTAATGCAGCTGATTTACCGAATTTCCTCATTAATTATGCAAATTACGTCCAGATTTGCATAATTGTCGCATAATTATGTCAAGCATCACTTAAGCTACTTACATAACAAAAATCATGATGATCCGTCCACCGGTTCTTGAGTTATCCTCTTATGAATATTTTCAAAGAAATGGCCCTGCAGTTCCTGAGCAAGCCGATAGGGGGCCCAAACCTATGTCACTTATTCCCCAGCACAAGACCTACCTATCATCTAAATTTCGTGACCCTAGCACGTCCAGATCACGAGATATCAAAACCGGAAGTTCAGCTGCAGTACCATAAGAAGCCGCCAGGGGGCCCAAAATCTAATCATTTCGAGGTCTCATCAAGACCTACCCACCTACCAAATATGAAGTCAATCCATTTAAGCCTTCTCAAGTTATCGTGTTTACAGACAGACAGACAGACAGACAGACAGACAGACACACACACGAACGCCTACGAAAACATAACCTTCTTGGCGAAGGTAACAATGCACATGTATAATTAATGTCTGATGGCTGCGGTCTTTTGTCAAGTTCAAGCGTGTCATTTCTTCTTTTACTTCATCCCAAGGGAGAGAAATATTGTTTCTGGCTGTCTGTTTTTCTGTCTGTCTCTCTAAGTCTCTCTGTCTTGGCATTTTTCTGGCCTGCTGTCTCTAGTTGTCCTGTTGTCTCCAGCCTTTCATTTATCATTGTCTTCTCTCGTTCCCGCCTCCTTTTATTTTTACTTCCCACGCGTCTTTCCTTCTCTCACAATCTCGGGAATACACCGCCCACAAGGTGAATTACAGCGATACTCCCACGGACAGCTCTTCCCAACATTTACAGAGACCAGGTGCTACCGGTCTACATTCTTGCGTCATAAGATGCCTTGCTTCCTAAATCTCACATTTTGTCCTCACAGGAAGCGACTGGCTTAGGGGCAAATAGTTCCAAAACGAGTAGATTAAAAGAATATAAGTGTTCCTTTAGTGTAAGCTATTGCGTGAACCTGGGTTAATGATCTGTCTTCTCCATTTTCGTGACGGGAACCATGTGTGACAGAGAACGTCGACTCTCTGAGTAGCCCCCGTCGGATTTCTTTGTTTGTTTGAAAATATATAGAGGCCATTGGCCACAAAATGTGATTATTTTCCCAGAGAAGGTAGTAGAACCGAGAACTTACGGAGAAGAACGAGTTAACAACCGCGGCTTTCTCTGATCGTTGCTTGCTCTTTTGGTTCTGATTTCGAAAACCAAACGACGATTGGTATCAGGTTCAACCTTGGTAAATTTGATTGAGTTCTGAATAAAAGGGTAGATAGGCAAAGAAACGAACAAAGTTAATGAAGCATGAAAGTTCATCTGTGTTGGTACAAGTCACTATAAAATAAAGACTCAACTTTCCTTCCAACACTGGAGTGACTTGGCCCAAATGAAGGTTAGCCATAAACGTCATCGCCTCATTGTAAAGAATTATGAGTTTTGGTGCTTATTTCCTGGGGTAATTCGAATGTGATCAGCATCTAAGCAATGTTGAAGTATTATTTCAAACTGCAGGCTCCTTTCAAATCCTCCACTTACATGCTCTTACTTTCATGACATGCACACACACACAAACCCCTTGAGCGCCCACTCTTTATTTGACTAAAGCCTGAGGGTGGTCACCCTAACTCTCGAGGTGAGACCATGTCAGAAGAATCAGCCTAATTTTCCCTGATTGTTTTCATGTCGTCCCTGTTAACTTAATACACGGGTTAAACAGGTGCACGTGACGCCTGCCCTTGAACCTGGAGGCCGCAGCACCATATTTGGCCGTCCGAACGTGACTTATGACGTGTCCGGGAAGCGGTGATGGACAGGGGGTCCGACCCCGGCTCACTTCGGATGCCTTAAACCCTCCGAGGGAGCTACAGAATGAAAAACTACCCCTCACACTAAAGTAATTGCCTATATATCAGGTTAGTCCCTGGCGGACTACTTTTACTTGCTGAAAAAATAGTAGAGAAATTGGCCAAATGGGGTGAATAATTTGCCCAAGGGACTAGTCGGTCTTAAAGTTTCACAGTTACAAGCACGTTACCTTGGTCTGCTGACTGGTACCCCACTTTAATTTTGATTCCATTGAATAACCCTTCATATTGAACAAGAAATCGTCGATTTCAGTCCTCGCTTATTTATCGCTCTTGTGAATTTCTTGTTTTATTCGTCATTGTGGGTTTCTTGCTGATGCTGTGCATACTGTGCTGTTTGTCAGCCTTCCAGCCTGCGAGGAGACCATTTTGACCTCCAGTTTGACCTTCCTGTCAGTCTGCGGTTACACAATTTCCTCCTTACTTCCCGTGACTGCTTTCAAACAAATACGTACACACAAGCCAACAAACACACCTCAGTACACGGTAATAAACAACTTGTAGAGTATCGTATACAATTTCAAAACTGCCACCCAGATCTTGCTGTACATGTGAACGCTATATAGAAACCTTGTTATATGTAGCCGACATGTCACCAGACTGTCGTAAATTCAGCCGGACAGACTGATGAAAGAACTTCTCATAATATTACAATAGTCCCATTTGTAACTCAGCACGGCCGGTCTGTAGTCATCACTGTTTTATATCTCATAGATTCCCCCCGTGGTTTACGGTAGCCTGGGTGAACCGTGACGTCGGCAGAGCAGGGTCAATGTTAGAGACCCCCTGTCAGTCATCGAGCACCGCGTACAGTCTGAAGTCAGTGTGAGAAGGCGGAGTAAACAACATCGATCTGAGAAGACAACTGCTGTAACACATAACTAACCGTAACAAGGCGCTGAAACAATGCAGTACATATTAACTTAATTCCACCATCTGACGATTGTGAACTAATATTACACAGGCTGCAGCCATGTGGAAATTAAAATGAATACTACACAAGAAAACAGCTACTCAAGCAATTGAGAAGATTTTGAAAATCTACCCAGTTTCCTTGTGTATCTTATTACCTGGATGTCTAACCTCCATCGACATAAATAATTTCTGTGTAACGCAAGCTCTCTCTCTGTCCAGGGCGCTGTGCGACCCCCTACCAGGCGGTCGATTAGTAGGAGGGTCAGTAGAAGCTCGATTTAATCAGGCTACTTAAGAGAAAAATTGAAAACAAACACTTCGTAAATCACAACAGACAATTCACTGCTTGTTGAGGGACCAGCGGCGGCAGTTCTGTAGTGGCCCAGGGAGACATGTACATGGTGTAGGGGTTAAACCCAGGCCAGGTCGGTCACTATTGACGTGAAAATGGCAGTTCTACTTTCTCTGCTTATCACTCAGCTCAGTTGATGAGAAAGAGTATGGAGTTAAACGCACCCACTACCAGTTGACTACACCTCAAATGCCGCAGCTGTCCGGAAATATTGGAAAAAGTAATAATGTTTCCAAGGACAAAAACGAAAACTGTCGACAGTCGACATCCGGCCAAAAGTTCAGTCTTGGCGCCGTGTTAGTCTTCAGTATCTTTTCTTGGTTTTCTTCCACGTCCACCAGACGGTTGAAGGCTTGAAGCCCTTCGGTAACTTATTTAAGAGGCGTGACAGGAATTAAACATGTCGTCTAGACCTGATGAACAGTTTGCTCGACGTTTAGTTCTGATATACAACATATGAAAACTGAAAGTTCTGCTGCAGTACTATTGAAACCCACCAGGGGCCCTATAATCGAACCTGCAGAAGCTATAGATGGATTGATATGAATTGTATGTCGATAGGTCCTGGACTATGGAACAAATGAATAGATTTGGATCCCACTAGATCTGTAGCAGTATTTCTAACAATTGTTGACTTTCTAGTTACACGGTATTCTTTTTTATTGTTCCCACCAGGCTTCTTCCCGCGTGACTGTGCCCAGGTACTGAGACATGGGAACGGGCAGGCTCCCAGCGGCGTCTACACGTTATACCACGCAGACAAGTCCTTCAGGGCGTACTGCGACATGGACACGGAGGGAGGCGGCTGGATCGTACGTACAGAAACATAGCTAGGACATTATGGTGTAGCAATAGTTATCACCAAGCAGATGTAGGGATGCGGGTCAGTCTCGGTGTATTCCGCATGTCATTGCAACATTTGATACGTCTTTCTTGTAGTGCACCTTCAACTTTTGAATGCGTAAGTAGAGAAAGAGAGAGAGAGGAGGAAGAGAGAGAGGGAGAGAGAGAGGTGAAGAAGCAGAGAAAGAACTACAAAACAAGCTCGACCGATTTTCTGCTTGGAGATTACAGCAATAGGGTGCTTGTACGTGTACGAGACGTCACATTCGCCATTCAGCCTCCATATAGCCATATTATCAGTGCAAATAAAGACATCATGGTATGTCGGACAAGATCAAGGTGAAATACTCTCTATATGGGGCCATGGAGAATAGGAAATAACTTTCTATATTTAAACTGGCCGGTGATTGACCCCTGTTTAGACAGAGTCACTGCGGGGTCACTTGATCGATGATCATGACCATCCATCATTGGCAGGCTGCATCATTTATTTCTCTCCAATCGGACGTGTTCGGCTGACGTCCCCGGATGTTGAGGAGGGACGTCTGTGTGAAATGTTTATCTCTGACATGTTTGTTGTTTTGTGTAGATGGATTTTGTCACAGGCCGTCACTACTGATGCGCATGCACAACATGTTCGTCACAAAGCGGTACTGTTCACGGGCAGAAAACTAACTAACAAGCGACAAAAGTGTTTTACAACTTTGTTGATCCTTAAAAAGCATTATAGAGTAGAATTATTTTTGCCTTACATTCCCTCGGCAAGACTTTCAACATGGCATGATTGTACACTACAGGTCATTCAGCGCAGGACTGACGGAAAACAACGTTTCTATCGGAACTGGAAAGCCTACAAGAGAGGGTTTGGCAAACTGGAAAAGGAGTTCTGGCTAGGTTAGTAATTTTCTTGATCATATGTTTGGATATGTCAATTTCATGTTTTTTTTAAATTTCTAGACGCCATCAATGGTCGAATTTTGTGACGTCCTGCTGTGTATTATTGGCTTGAAAAAAAGTTTATCGATTGGTCATTTCATTGATTGATTGGAGCATGTCTTATTTTCCAGGTAATGACATCATCTACAAACTGACCAACTCCCAGGATAACGAGCTCCGGATCGACCTGGAGGATTTCGAGGGGGAGAAAACCTACGCCAAGTACGAGAAGTTCCGCATCGGCAACATCGCCGACAACTTCCGGCTGGAGGAACTCGGCGACTACAGCGGCACTGCAGGTACGGTGGTGCGGGAGTCAACACAGGCCAGGCCGGGGAGAGATCTTTCACATACTCAGCGGTCTTTTAGCGAGCCCTGAATGACTCTTTAGGTCTTGTAATGAATTCTCAGTGATCTTTCGACGATGATGGACTTCCAATGTCGTACCTGTGGCGCCTCAATTAGGACAAGTAGACAGACCACTTAGTAGACGAACCCTCCTGGAGATGTCACGCATACCTTCACCCCAGAGCTTTTATCATTTATCAGTATAGAAGCCATCACACTCATAGGCACGGATAAACATAGACACACATGCATTCATTAAGTGCAAAATGGCAAACATGGAATGTTCCAACGTTTGGAAACTTGTTGTCGAGCCTAAAGTTGGCAAGAATAGTTGTCTGATGAAGAGGACCCCTGCCATCTTCCCCATTTCACGCTCGTTTATTCTCTTTCTGCTCTCCCCGTCTTTGTTAGCTGATAACGAGTTGGAGAGTATGTTAGTGCTAACCAGGAAAACCTGGTGGCAGAGTACATGTATGTCTGCTGATTCCAGCCGAAGTCTGCAGCACACATGCACAGTTTTAGGGTGGTCTGTGGTGAACAGCTCACCACCCGGCTCTGTTGGAAGCAGGCTCGTTCACATCTGTTTCAGACGTTTCTTAACGACCGATACTTGGAGGGCTGGTTACTTTCCAAACGTAATCCCTCGTAACCTGCCACTGACATGTATGGATTTAACAGAAGGGCAAACATGCACGAACTTTCACATTAAACCTGTCACGCTTTGTGATTGTCTGGTATGTGTGGTGACACTTATGAGTGTTATAAGATCTGACTCGCCTTGATGGATAAGATTATGATCCAACTGCCATTTAGCCGAGGCGGTGGGCGATATAGACTTCGGGCCACCTTTGACCCATTTGGAGTCACGTGTCCGCCAAGTCACGTGTGAGAAGTAATGGGTCATTCATTCTCAAGGAGGCCGTAGATTCGCGTCAAATACAGGTGAGACGAGGTACTAGCTAATCAAGACTAATGGTTTTTTGTGTTACTTTCAGGGGACTCTCTTATATACCACCAGGGGATGGAATGGTCCACTAGAGATGAGGACAACGACAACAGTTCGGAACAGTGCGCCGTAGTGAACTATGGTAAAAAAACGTCTCTTAGATTTTGTATGTTTTTCAGTCTGTTTAAATGAATGTGCAGTGGAATTGCGACTAGCGTCCCTGCATCTGGAATAAAACCTTCGATAACTAGAGGTGCAATCCACATTTTCAGCCAAGCGCAAAGGACCACCCCTACGTTTTATCGACAAGTGTGTTGGGTTCTTTAACTGAATGAATGACTCCTCCCGCGGCAGGTGCGTGGTGGTACAACAGGTGTCGAGTGTCCAACCTGAACGGGCGCTACGGAGACAACACCAAGGATGGCATCATCTGGAAGACGTGGAAGGGAGACGACTACTCCCTCAAGGCCACCGAGATGAAAATTAGACCGTTCTACTTCAAGTAACGTCCTGCAGTACCGTTTACTTGTGTATATGCACATAGTACCCATAGTTTTCGTTCAGGAGCTATTTAATAACCAGTACTATATTTCTACAAGCTTTTTTGCATTGTTATGAAGTTTCTCATTCTTCATGATTGTAGAAATGAATCTAATTTGTTGGGAATATGTCACGTAGCAGTACTGAATATCAAAGGAAAACCCGGAAAGAGTGGCCACTTTAGGAACCCCATTTTAGGACAGATTTCACAGGAAGTGAAAATATCTCGATAGCTTTTCAAATAAAAGTCCTTATTGAGGCATTACGATGTGTAGGCAAGTGTGTACATACTGTTTCGAGTATGTTTCCACTTATGCCATATTTATCTCGTGTTCATTTGTATATACAGTGTTCCATGGATACAGAGTCGGTTTTTTAAGCAGAACATTATATCTCTGTACTTTTGCTTATATAATAGTAGCATTTAGTTATCGTATACTAGTACGTAGAGCTATTTACATCTATATTTGCGACTGAGCCCCGTCCTTACGTGACCTTAAATTCGACAGGTGCCCATGTGAGTGTCGTATGATAAATCTGAGAATTGAATAGGATTGTTAAAGTTTTGTGTTCGTAATAGCCAGCTTAAAGTGTGTCCCATTTCCTTAGTCTTTTCTGCGATGTTCAGACGACAATGCTGTATTTAGAAGTTTATGATACATGTATATGGTGCAAAACTGTGATTTGGACACATAGTTGTGTCTTGTTCAACATCTTTCTTAATAAAGACGACTGTACAAAAATGTCTTAAAATGCCTTAAAATGTTACATAGTGTACGTTTCCGCATATTTGATAAAAGCTAGACATTATGTATCTCACATACCTCAGAACGTGAATATCAAGAAAAAGCTTGTACATTAGTTAGAATATAGTCCTTAAACAAACGCTGCCTTTAAAACTTCTTGGATAGAGATATGTACTTTATATATAGTATAACCAATAAGGAAATACTAAGAATGTTATTCTCGCCATGATTTCCTTCTGGATCTATAGAATAGTTACACCGTAGTTTCCATTTCTATGACTTCTTGACGAAGCAGTGTAAGTATCAGTTGCGACAGATACTGTTCTAGCCCGTCTGGAGTCGGTCTTCTATCTGGAACGTCGCACCAACACGCCCTCATCAGTCGGTACAGGTCCTCCGGACATCCCGGCGGCTTCGTCATCCGTATGCCTTGCCTCAGAATCCCTACCATCTGAAGAAAGCTCAGCTGAATCCTGCCATCGTAGCACGGATCTTGCCCCAGCGTGGCGATCTCCCACAGCAGCACGCCGAAGGACCAGACGTCACTCTGACAGGTGTACTCGCCGGTCTCGATGGACTCCAGCGCCATCCACTTCAGCGGCAGGAGTTCGTCAAGGCCTGGCCGGTTGTCTCGTACATACTGAGTGGTGGCGTACACATCTCTGGCCAGTCCGAAGTCGGCCAACTTGGCCACGTCATCGGCAGTGATGAGGACGTTACGAGCGGCCACGTCACGATGGGCGATCCTCAGGCGCTCCAGCTCTTGGAGAGCTCGTGCTATGTGGACTGCGTATGTAAGAAGACTTCCGAGTGGGTCCTCCTGATCGGCCCTTGGCCGCCGCAGGTAACCTAAGAGATCACCTTTTGGAGCATATTCCAGAAGTATATACTTTTCCTCAGACTTAGTGATGAGTCCAACGAGGCGAACAATATTGGACTGAACATCGTCACATCGTTCTTGGTGCACAGCTACTAGTATGGCTGCTTCTCTGTAGAAGTCTCGGAAGGACTGCGAGTCCTCCAGGCGAACTGTCTTGGCGGCAACGGCGAGCTCTCCTTTAGGTGTGCGCAGTTGTGCTCTTCTGACTTTCCCAAACATCCCTTCCCCTATCAGAGGGCCGGGAGTAAGATGGCGGATGTTCTTCTCCCAGCGTCCGAGCCAGCCCGGCTGTAGACTCTGTGCCAGATCCTGCTCCATTCTCCTCAGCTCGAAAAGTATCTTTTCCTCCTCGCCTGCGTCGGGCACGGAGCAATTCAGAACCCCTGTTTTGTAGAGTATTGCCATCACTATGGCAACGAGCAAGACTAAAGAGCCCAGTGGTACCAGACTTTCGAGCAGTGGTGCATACGTGTTCATGTATTTGTCACAGTTCCGTCCCGTCCATGGCGACACGCACACGCAGCTGCCATCTCTGCTGTCACACTTTGCATTGTTCTCACATGTACAAACCTGGCGACATCCCCAGCCGTACCGACCGTCAGGACACGGCCTGCTGCAGTCCTTTCCGAACCATCCGCCCGTGCAGTTACACCTGCCGTCGCTAGGGCCGCAGCTCGCATCATTTAGGCAGATACAGTCCTTGCCACAGTCTTTACCGTACGTGCCATGGGGACATTTTGTCTGACACCTGGTTCCCGTCCATCCCGGCGGACAAACACAACCGGCCCAGCGGTCACAGCTGGCTTCATGTTGACAATCACACCTTTCATCACACCGGGCACCTTTACGGTTTGGTGGGCAGTTAGTGATATTGAGTACAAACGTTGTGTTGAACGTGTCACCCTGGGTGTCCTCGACCTTACAGGTGTATGGGCCAGCGTCCTTTGATTGTATATTCGGAACCATGATGTTTAATTCTCTTACACCTACACTGACTTTTTCTGTTCCGTTCGGAAATTTCAAATACATGGTTCTGACGTCGATATGATGTGCTTTGCAATGAAACGTCATATTGGCGGACATGTAGACATGTTCAGGTTCACTGGGTGACAATGTTACAGACACCTCACGTGTAGGGATGTCACAGGCAACACCTTTCCACCCAGGAAGACACCTGCAGGCACCGTTAAACCCGTGGCAGCGGCCACCGTTCTTACAGATACAGTTTTTGTCACAGAGCAAGCCGTATTTTCCACCAGGGCAGCCTATTGGCTTCAATTGTATGTCAAAATATTCAAAAGTTTCCAAAGAAGATCCTTCACCCACTCTGATTGTGGAAAAGTTAAAAGGTGGAAATTCGCAATGGTATGTTTTTGCATCTTTTGTGGGAAAGGTTAGGGAAGACAACAGGATGAATTGGTTCATTCTGTTGAAAACTACCTCTTCGGGCACATACTTTGTAAGGTTGATAAGTTTTGATTCGCTATCATATTTGAGACTGATCAAGTCGATTAAAATCTTGGGCAGGTCTGACCCTGCACTACATTGTAGTTGATCTAGTATACCATTACGCCAGGCGTCATCTAATGTCAACAGATCTGCAGGATGAGCAGTATAAGAAGCTATACGGATGTTGCAATCGCTGTTTTCAGTGTGAAGCATCCACGGTTCGATAGTTACATAGATCCAGATCTCGGGAATAGTACTGTAGGTTCGCTTGAAAACGACAAGCCCTGCGTTTGTGGTCATTGACGCCCCACTCACAGTGATACTGAACAGTATTTGTCCAGGTCGATATTTACGGTTGATCGGAGTCTCACACGTCTCGTTATACACAGGGGGATAACCCTCAACGTCTGTCAACTCTACCTTGATTCTTGCGTTCGGACGAATGTTGAGAAGGTAGACCGACTGTACTGACCAGTCCAGGGGGTTGGCGACCCAAACGGTGCAGTTCTCCGTCACGTTGAAGCGGTCGTACGGATCTCCCTCCGTCTTGGCACACGGAAGTTCCGCCTTTTCTTCAGCCTGGGTCCAAGCAAGGTCCTTGGTCCAAGGTAACGTGAAAATGGTCTCTCCGACAGCGACGTTTTCTGGCACGGAAACACTCAACTCCGTAACCGAGGTGGAACAAGCAAAGTGGACAAAACCCAACCAAACACCTACAATTACAAGTAGATTTCTTGCCATGTTTTCCTGACACTTGTCTCTGAACTGACTGGAGAGAATGTCTAGCGACGACTCAAGCAACTTCTGATGAATTAAGGAAGTAACAACAAACAACGTCAACGCAGTTAGTTCCGTCTAATGTTCCCTTTCGTAATTGACCCAGCAAAGAATTGACAGCTATCCTATGTTTTCACTTGCACAAAGAGGAAGGAAAAAGACGTGGCAGTTGGTGCGGAAAGCTGAGACAAGCATCATAACATCACGTGTGTGTCATATGAGGAAGAGTATTGCGTACTAAGTAGTTCCTCCCCTTCAGACGGACGACAGAAGGGGAACTCCGATCCATTACAGTCTTTGTCTTCTGTCGTTCTGGGAGTAATCTCAATCCGCACAAGTTCCTCTCAGTGCATCAGAAAAGTAAGTAATTTCTTGTTGATTGTGTACATATCCCGCTGTCTCGCACATGCAATCCTCATTTTCACCTCACATCCTCCCAGTCTTGACGTTCTATTCGACCTTCGTGTCAGTCTGTGATTACCCCTTCCTGTGACTTAAATGTATTCAAATAACTACAGACACACAGGCAAACAAACATGCAGACAGCCACACTGATAATAAAACCTCACGGAGGTAATAAGTAACGTCACTTTGAAATTTTACAACAGGTCCTTTATTACTACATTGATGAAACTGTCACAGATTACCACCACCTTTTGGAGAATGTGTTAAAAATCAGCTTGTTTACAACTGAGTAGTAAAGCTAATTTGACACAAATAACAAAGTCTTACAACATCTGTGGGAAACCTTCAAGTACGACTGAGCATCAACAAGAACCTCTGTCTGAGACCTTGTAGTGAGGGAGTTCTCATCAGTCACATCTCAGAAAATTCCAGCTCTCATCGGAATTGTACTTAATCAACATGCATGTGTAAAGAGAAGGACTATTATATGGCAGTTTGGAAGTTATTCCTTATTACATGCACCAAACTTACCCTATTAAGCAAACAGATCGGAAATACAATAAAACTCTAGAATCCTTAAATTCAAAGTCAAATATCAATAGAAATTTATGTGCTGTACAGTTTCCTTCTGGTTCTATAGAATATTTACACCGCAGTTTCCATTTCTATGACTTCGTGAGGAAGCAGTGTTTGTATCAGTTGCGACAGCTTCTGTTCTAGCCCGTCTGGAGTCGGTCTTGTATCTGGAACGTCGCGCCAACACGCCCTCATCAGTCGGTACAGGTCCTCCGGACATCCCGGCGGCCTCGTCATCCGTATGCCTTGCCTCAGAATCCCTACCATCTGAAGAAAGCTCAGCTGAATCCTGCCATCGTAGCACGGATCTTTTCCCAGCGTGGCGATCTCCCACAGCAGCACGCCGAAGGACCAGACGTCACTCTGACAGGTGTACTCGCCGGTCTCGATGGACTCCAGCGCCATCCACTTCAGCGGCAGGAGTTCGTCAAGGCCTGGCCGGTTGGCTCGTACATACTGCGTGGTGGCGTACACATCTCTGGCCAGTCCGAAGTCGGCCAACTTTGCCACGTCATCGGCAGTGATGAGGACGTTACGAGCGGCCACGTCACGATGAGCGATCCTCAGGCGCTCCAGCTCTTGGAGAGCTCGTGCTATGTGAACTGCGTATGTAAGAAGACTTCCGAGTAGGTCCTCCTGATCGGCCCTTGGCCGCCGCAGGTAACCTAAGAGATCACCTTTTGGAGCATATTCCAGAAGAATATACTTTTCCTCAGACTTAGTGATGAGTCCAACGAGGTGAACAATATTGGACTGAACATCGTCACATCGTTCTTGGTGCACAGCTACTAGTATGGCTGCTTCTCTGTAGAAGTCTCGGAAGGACTGCGAGTCCTCCAGGCGAACTGTCTTGGCGGCAACGGCGAGCTCTCCTTTAGGTGTGCGTAGTTGTGCTCTTCTGACTTTCCCAAACATCCCTTCCCCTATCAGGGGACCAGGAGTGAGATGTCGGACCTTCTTCTCCCAACGTCCGAGCCAGCCCGGCTGTAGATTCTGTGCCAGATCCTGCTCCATTCTCCTCAGCTCGAAAAGTATCTTTTCCTCCTCGCCTATGTCGGGCACGGAGCAATTCAGAACCCCTGTTTTGTAGAGGATTGCCGTCACTATAACAACGAGGAAGACTAAAGAGCCCAGTGGTACCAGACTTTCGAGCAGTGAGGCATACGTGTTCATGTATTCGTCACAGTTCCGTCCCGTCCATGGCGACACGCACACGCAGCTGCCATCTTTGCTGTTACACTTTGCATTGTTCTCACATGTACAATCCTGGCGACATCCCCAGCCGTACCGACCGTCACGACACGGCCTGCTGCAGTCCTTTCCGAACCAGCCGCCCGTGCAGTTACACCTACCGTCGCTAGGGCCGCAGCTCGCACCATTTAGGCAGATACAGTCCTTGGCACAGTCTTTACCGTACGTGCCATGGGGACATTTTGTCTGACACCTGGTTCCCGTCCATCCCGGCGAACAAACACAACCGGCCCAGCGGTCACAGCTGGCTTCATGTTGACAATCACACCTTTCATCACATTGGGCACCTTTACGGTTTGGTGGGCAATTAGTGATATTGAGTACAAACGTTGTGTTGAACGTATCACCCTGGGTGTCCTCGACCTTACAGGTGTATGGGCCATCGTCCTTTGATTGTACTGTGGGAACCGTGATGTTTAATTCTCTTACACCTACACTGACTTTTTCTGTTCCGTTCGGAAATTTGAAACACATGGTTCTGACGTTGATATGATGTGCTTTGCAATGAAATGTCAAATTGGCGGACATGTAGACATGTTCAGGTTCACTGGGTGACAATGCAATAGACACCTCACGTGTAGGGATGTCACAGGCAACACCTATCCACCCAGGAAGACACCTGCAGGCACCGTTAAACCCGTGGCAGCGGCCACCGTTCTTACAGATACAGTGTTTGTCACAGAGCAAGCCGTATTTTCCATCTGGGCAGCCTAATGGCTTCAGATGTATGTCCAAATATTCAATAGTTTCCAAATATAGTCCGTCAACGCCCGTGCTGATTGTGGAAAAGTTAAAGGGTGGAATTTCGCAATGGTATGTTTTTGCCTCTTTTGTGGGAAAGGTTATGGAAGAAAACACGATGAATTGGTTCATTCTATTAAAAACTACCTCTTCGGGCACATACTTTGTTAGACTGACACGTTTGGACTCGCTACTGGCATATTTGAGACTGATCAAGTCGATTAAAATCGTGGGCAGGTCAGACCCTGCACTACATTGTTGTTGATCTAATATACCATTACGCCAGACGTCAAATAGTCTCATCAGGTCTATAGGATGAGTAGTGTGAAAAGCTATACGGATGTTACAATCACTGTTTTCAGTGTTAAGCATCCACGGTTCATGGGCCCAGCTCTTAGAAACAGCACTGTAGGTTTGCTGGAAAACGAAAAGCCCTGCGTTTGTGGTCATTGACGCCCCACTCACAGTGGTACTGAACAGCATTTGTCCAGGTCGATATTTACGGTTGATCGGAGTCTCACACGTCTCGTTATACACAGGGGGATAACCCTCAACGTCTGTCAACTCTACCTTGATTCTTGCGTTGTGACGAATGTTGAGAAGGTAGACCGACTGTACTGACCAGTCCAGGGGGTTGGCGACCCAAACGGTGCAGTTCTCCGTCACGTTGAAGCGGTCGTACGGATCTCCCTCCATCTTGGCACACGGAAGTTCCGCCTTTTCTTCAGCCTGGGTCCAAGGTAACGTGAAAATGGTCTCTCCGACAGCGACGTTTTCTGGCACGGAAATACTCAACTCCATAGCCGAGGTGGAGCTTCGGCAAGCAAAGTGGACGAAAGCCAGCCAAAAACCTATAATTACAAGTAGATTTCTTGCCATGTTTTCCTGACACTTGTCTCTGGACTCACTGGGGAGAATGTCTAGCGACGGCTCAGGCAACTTCTGATTAAGGAAGTAACAACAAACAACGTCAACGCAATTAGTTCCGTTTACTGTTCCCTTTCTTTAGTGACCCAGCAAAGAATTGACAGCTATCGTGTGTTTTCCCTTGCACAAAGACACTACCCAAAGGTATTTAAAAGGAAGACGTGGCGGTTGGTGCGGAAAGCTGAAACAAGGATCATAACATCACGTGTGTGCCATACATGTATGCTGAAGAATATTGCATAGTTCCTCCCCTTTCAGACAGATGACAGAAGGGGAACTCCGATCCATTTACTGTCTCTGTAACTTTATCCAGCTTCTGTCGTTCTTAATCCGAACAAGTTCCTCTCAGTGCTTTAGAAAGTGAGCAATTTCTTGTTGATTGTGTACATATCCCACTTTTGGTCAATCCTCATTTTGACCTCACATTCTCCCAGTCTTGACGTTCTATTCGACCTTCGTGTCAGTCTGTGATTACCCCTTCCTGTGACTTAAATGTATTCAAATAACTACAGACACACAGGCAAACAAACATGCAGCCAGCCACACTGAAAATAAAACTTTACGGAGGTAACAAGTAACGTCACTTCGAAACTTTTAGGTCCTTTATTACTACATTGATGAAACTGTCACAGATCGCCACCACCATTTGGAGAATGTGTTAAAAATCAGCTTGTTTACAACTGAGTAGTGAAGCTAATTTGACACAGATAACAAAATGTTACAACATCTGTGGGAGACCTTGAAGTGAGGGTGTCCTCATCAGTCACATCTCAGAAAATTCTAGCTCTGATCGGAATTATACTTAATCGACATGCCTGTGTTCGTCAAGAAAAAGACTATCATGTAGCAGTTTGGAAGTCCTTTCTTATTAGCTTACATGCACCTCTTAAGCAAACAGATCGGAAATACAATAAAACTCTAGAATCCATTTCAAATTCAAAGTCAATGATCAATAGAAATTTACGTGCTGTACATTTCGTACTAAGTTGAAGTACATGTAATGGGCTTCCAACAAGATGCCTTTAAAATTTAAATAACAACTCTGAATTTTAGGTAACCAATCATGAGGCATTTTGGAGTAGCCCAGCAAATGATCTCAATGTTGGTTCTGTGTCCTTATACATGTATGTGTCAACTACAGACAACAGTGAAAAACATACCTTTAACATTAGAAACTTGTTTCACATTGCACATGACGTACATATGTATCAAGGTAATAACTCTCTTTTAACAACTGAATACTGAAGGATTATAATATTTGACGATAACTGAAACATGTTGGACAACATCAAAGATTTAGTCATCTATAACTTATATACATTGTAGTATAAGCTTTGAACATATTGTGCAGATTTCATTTTGGAGCTTAAGTAATGTCTGACATTCATAAGTAATCAAACCTGTTACAAACTCATTTTTGCCCAAACACTGCAGCTACAAACATATCCAACAATATCACTATGGCTGTAGATGACATATTATACACTCCCCTTCAGGCAAGAATGTGCTCATCTGTCGTATTATCTGCACAAGCCCACTTACATATCAATCTATTTCATAATCAAACGTTATATAAAATTGAAATCTGTAAAATATTTGTAGAGAATGCAACAACTCTCGTCTCCGATGTTCTTCAAGAAAAAAAATACTTTGAGTATGTATCATAGAAAGTTTTGCAGCAATTATTCTAGAGCCATGCTGTGAACCCTCTATGATATGAATCTGTACACAGATAAATGCCACATGGCTACACTTTAAGAAGGGACTCTTGAGTAGATTTTATCAAAACTGGTCTCTTGACAACAAAGTGATAGACTAAACATGCCGTCCTGTCCTACAGTGCACTAATGAAGTATAACTGGTCTGTATAGTCTGTCACATAGTGATTTTAGGGTCCCACTGTCCACAGTTTGATTAATAAATAATGAAGTTCTCAAGTATTTCCACAGGATGAAGAGAGGTTTACTTTTTGGAAAACTCGTCATCTAGTTTGAAATCATTTATGCGTGGACTGTTGTAAGACAGCAATTGTGCCCCCTGTATGTTGATCCTTTTTTTGTTTTTGCGAACAAAACAATTTTTATGCAGGCATGGCAGGCATCACATACATGTATGTGTGTGCTTTTGAAATGGCTTTTACTAGTTATTGCTTAGCCTGTGTTACACAATCTCCCTGTCAGGTCTGACGAATGGAAGGGCTGCTGGAAGTATGATGTATTTAGTCTAGTTATTGGTGCTACAAGTATGAGCTCATGTTTGATATGTTGCTCTTGTACTAAAGATACACTGAGTTTACAGTTGAAAAATACTAGAAACACAGTGGAACTGTTGGCAGCTGTTCACCAGTGTAAGCTGTAAAACTGCACAGTTAGAGATACAGATATTAAAACATTTCTGGTATCTACAAGAAGCCTGCATGCTATTAGAGCACGTCAGCGGTGAATCATTCTCCTTAAAACAGGTGGATATTTCATTTGTACAATACACAATACTGAAGAACTGTCTTACAGTCCAGTTTAGTGATGGTTTCATCTACAATATAGAACTTTTAAGATCATGATTGCTTGGGTAATGAGTAAGCATAAGACTAAAGCCTTCAATTACAAATTACAAATAATGAATAATTTCTGTCTCAACTACAATACACAACTGGTAACTTCATTAAAATCTACATGTATGACCACTGTATAGACTGGCTCAATTACAAAACTACAAAAGTTTTTCCCATCACCAGTTTAGATTCTTGTATTGCCTTTCAAAAATGATGTCGGTCAGGCTAAAGGGATATTAATACAAGCCTCAAAAATACTTTTTCTGTCACCTGCAGCTACAATATTGCAAGTTGTCAAAAATTTTACGCACATTGGAAAAACTTTCTGCTACCACCAAACCACTGTTCCTGTCTTCCTACATACAGCACAGGTTTGGTCTGCTGCTAGGTTCATTCACAATACTGAGCACTACTGACAACACTCTGAAAAAGAGGGTGGTTATTGAATAATCGCAACTGATTATTGAATAACCACCAGGTGGTTATTGAATAATAACGGTGGTTAGTGAATAGTGATCTTAACCATAGATTTACCCCTCCCTAGTCCACAGCACTGTCGCACAACAGCTACATGTACAGTGGGCCAAAGGTATTTCCCAGCAACCCTTTCAAAAAGTGGTTGATTATTGAATAACCACCAGGTGATTATTGACCTGCCCTAGTCGCCGACGTCGCTGTCCCTGTCGCCGATGAGCCAGAGCGTGTGGAAGGCCATGGCGAGCAGTCCCGTCCCCAGCAGGTCTCCCAGCGCTGTCAGGTACGGGATGGTGCAGTTGTCCGGGTCGTTGCCCTTCAGCCACATGAAGTGGACCAGCCAGTCTGCCACAAACAGGAGGATCGCCACCTGTGAAGGGTGTTTTGAAACAACAGGATGTTTAGAATTTCTGGTATCTGCAAGAAGCCTGCATGCTATTTGGGCACATCAGCAGTGAATCATTCTCCATAAAACAGGTGGATATTTCATTTCTATAATACACAATACTGAAAAACTGTCTTACAGTTCAATTTAGTGATGTTCTAATCTGAACTCTGGGTCAGACCAAGTCAGCTCCTTGCTTACTGAACATTTTTACTGAGTGGCAACAGAGGACTCAACTTGAATATGGCTCTATTCACTTGATATTACAGAACCATAGTACATGTACATGTACATGTATAATGACAATTGTGAATGGTTAATAACCATCCCATTATACATGTATACCCAAGCTCTCAGTCTTGTGGACAGGGAAGCATGACTGTTGCCATGGTGACAGGTTTTCACAGTGACTAGTTGCCAAGGAAACTGACCTGTATCATAGCTGCGATGAGGTAGACCACTGTGAAGATAGCAGTGATGGTGGTGTGGCCGGCGTTGGCGTAAGCAATCAGGTACAAGAAGATCAGGTGACCTGGGACCACCAATAGGAACAGCACCCTGGCTGTCCTGGCATGGACACCTGCAGACAGACAACATGAACCTTGGGGTAAGACCATAAAAGAATGATCAGGTGATCACCAATGGGAACTGGCTGTCCTGGCATGTATGCCTCCTGAGAAACAGATGTCAAAACAAATATTGGAGAATAACAGAATAATAGGACAACGTAACAAGTGTATTTCTCAGAATGCAATGGTGCTCAATCAGGATCAACAACAAATAAGTCATGGCAGAAGTTTTGTAGACTGCGGACTGACCTGAAGAGAAGAAGGTTCTGACTGGGTTGGGACAGCCATGGACAGCCCCCTCCGGCAGCGTGCCAGGCTTGCCTCTCGTGTGCAGCCACGTGGACAGTCTGCTGGCCTGGACAGCGACCAGGTTCCCTCCAACACCTGGGAGGGACAGGGAGAAATGACAATACAGATCAGAATGGCAGTACCAAAGCTTAAGGAGCACAAAAGCTATGATCATTTCTTTGTATATCCAAAAACTTACCACACACCATTATAATCCCTATCTATTGATGACTTCTTGAATCATGGTGTTTACAAGATCATGAAACTAGTACTGAGCAGGTTATCTAGAGAAATATGAAGTAGTCCTTGGCCTACCATGCTACAGTGCCTCCTATCTTTAGCTTACAGTACTGCAGTTTGTTGAGACACAAAATTCAGAACATAATTTCACTTAGACAGGGATAAAAAGCGTTCATGACTAACATTGATTTTGTATCTCTCACCATTTATGATAGGAGTGAAGACTGCAATGCCGTGGTACGCAGACACAGCAAAGTCCAGGATCAGGCCTCCTCCACTGTGGGGAAGAATCAGCAAGAAATGGTCAATCTCAAGTTGTGTTCAGTGTTGGTAGAATACATGTTTCTTATATAGCCATAATAGGACTTAATTCAAGTCAGGTAAATTTGGAAAGACAATGAAAATTAGATAATAATATGTTAGAACTATTCTATGATAACTGCTGACCTGCTGATGACCATGGCACATATGACAGGCTCCCAGCCATGTCTGAGGACCTCCTTAGTGTGGGGGTTCTTGTGAGACATGTACATCCAGAACGGCGCCGCCAAGAATAACACAACAGTGATGGTCGGAGCCATCCAGAATCGCGCACCTACAAACAGCAATGTGGGAATGATATATAGAAACTAGAAGGGCAGCATTTTCTCTTTCTATACTTTCCAACGAAATGGCTCTGTGCAAACTGGAAGTGTTCCAAAATGGACAAAGAAAAAGAAAAGATTTATAAGACAATGACCCACCATCCTCCACAGTGATGGCCCTCCATAGCACGTTGCTGATCCATGAGAGCAGTGCCAGCGTGGTCAGGTCACCCAGACTGGCCGCGATCGGGGTCGCCACGTTGTCTGGGTTCACCTTACACTTCCGAGACAGGATCACCACCGCGATCATGATGGTACCTACATGTACCAGGGAGGCAGGAGTAATGGAGTATAGATGTCAAAATACTTCACCATCTTTCTCATACAGCTTTACAACCTCAACTGTGGAATACACAATGCATTATTGGTCTCTTATTTTTGTACATCAATGTATTATCATATGGCAGAATAGCTGGCCAAATGCCAGCTAAAAGTGAATCTAAATCAACGATCCTTCAAATGTATTTTTCAAAGTCAAAAAGAATATGTGACATACAACTATAATTTCAACACATCTGTATGATAAGGAATACACTATTGAACAAGTTTTCCTGGCATGGCCCCTTAGTCCTCACCCAGAATAGCGCAGGCCAGTGAAGCTGTGACCATACTGCTGGCTGTGAGCAGGAAGGCGTGGTGGATGTCAAACTTTCCCTCTGGGATCCAGCCAAACACAATCGCTGCCACCGCTGCCAGGAACCCCACCACTAGAGCCTGGGCCTGGGTGAGAGCCATGTTTCCCACTATCAGTCTCCACTGCTCTTTCCTGTTGTCCATGTAGCCCAGGTTGGCCTGTTGGTCAGACAAATAAACATATTCTGTCATAAAACATTACTTCCTGTATCGTTCACTACTAACTGTGTATTTCAAACATACAGAAACATTTCCTGGTTAAGGATAGACATTCAGGTAAAACATTACATACAGAGTAATACCAAAACAACAGGATAAATTCTCTTAAGATGAATAAGAGTCAAATGTTTCATACAGCATTTCAGATAGCATGTCAATACAGGTGATAGACAGTGGATGCTGTAAACTCTGACTCTTTGAGAATGTATCCAGTTGCCTGATTTATTTTGCAAGAAAACTGCATCATCAGACACTGGTTCTTACTCACAGCAGTTGAGAGTCGAGACGCTAGGGTCATCTCCAGGTTTCCCTTCAGGCCCAGCAGTGCAGGAACTAAGATAAAAACTTCAGACACCTGGATAAATACTGGCCAGTGCTGCAAACAGAAAACATGATATGTTACAACACTGCAAGATCAGCAGGCCCAGCAGGCCTAATGTTGTACCCAGCTGGGAGAGGCACTTCACACCTATTTTCTCTCACGACTCAGGTGAACATGAGTACCTAGCTTCTGTTAGAGATATCCTCTTGGAGGCCCTACTACTGGAGTAGTAGTTTTAGGAGAGCCACACCCCAAGCACATTTTTAATGATCCCATTATACTTATTGAAAAAAGTAAGGGTCCATCCCAGTGTGAGTGGATGAAACCATACGGTCTGGTCTAATGGAGCTTGTTATTACTGTACAAAACTGATGTCTTGCCTTAAGGCAGTTTACCAGTTATATATACAAAACAAACAAACCTAGAGTTTACTTATTCCCAGCAAGGCCATACAGTTAAAGCTGTAAAAGGGACAAAGTCCACTCTACAAGTTACCTGAAGTCAATGCACGTTCTAAACTTTTTCTTGTTTTGTTTTTTTAAAGCATACATTGTAGCTAGCTTAAAAAATTAAAGGCTCTAGACAATAATGAAAAATAACACATTTCTGTAAATTTTCTGCTGCTAATTTGATATGGCAGAAATACAAAATGTAGAAGAAGATTCAATCTATGCATACAAACCACATATGAATCTGTGTTGGACACATTTTTCCATTAATGAAATGGTTACCTGACTGACAACTGTATACGTAGCAGATACAGATGTTATAAGTTATACTTATAACATTACAGACATGTAGCAACACAATCGTTGCAATGATGTGCATTACCCCAGTAGGACAGACCACTCTACCATGTCTAATCCCCACATGCAGTTGTGTGACATGTCACAATAGCTCAGAAAGTCTTGTAAATTGTAAAGAATGCAATGTCCCACGTCACCACACTTCCACACATAAGAACTGCCTTGCATATACATAAATCATGTAATCCACATAATTAGTACCTTTATGAGCCTTTTAACCTGTCTACTGGATCAAAGGAGTTCTTCTATGTTCTGCCAGACTAGTTATACAGAAATCTTACACAAAATTAAGGGTAGAAAAGTGTTACAAAAATAACTTTTGGTTAGTTTGGTTGGCTATGACATATACTGCCACCTGAATAATCTGATGTCTATTCTCACCTACCCATTATACATGCCTTATACTGTAACTTGTTGCTTATTATCTCACCTGTAAAGTAAGGAAAGTTCTCACCTGTACTATATCTAGCACCATTCCTGCAGCCACCATACCAAACCCTGCCACTAGGTAAGGGAAGAAACACTCCAGTGCTATAGTCATTGACGTTTCTTCCTTGTGTTTCATCTCGCTTCTCTTCTCCTCTTCCCTCCTTTCCCTGATCAGCGGCTCCGAGTCCAGGACTTCCACGGACAGGTCCTCGGCCGGGACGGGTCCGTTCTCCGACGTCTTTCTCACGCGGTGGGTGGATTTCACATGATCCGGGTCGGGGGTCATAAGGTCAGGGGGGTCGATCCCTGCCTCAGTGTCTGAGTCTGTGGTGATCTTGGGAACCATTTTGCTGGGTTGTTTACCCTCTGGTTGTTGTTGTTGTTTACTCTGTTGTTGTCTCCTCTGCCGGATGCCCGCCTTGTCTGCCGGCATCATCTGGGAGCTGACACTGAAGGCTCGATGTACAACATGCCGCGCAGGGTTAAAGGTCAACCTCCTGCCAACGTCCCCTGCCAGCTCCGGACACTCCACAATCTGGAAAAGAAGAAGGAAAAATGAGAGCTTTAGTTTAGGACATGGTAATGTTATCAGTTGCAATGTACGGCAAGCTAAACCAAACCAAACCAAACAATAAGTTTTAATAATAAGTGCTAACTAACGTTTCCAGATGACCAACATACAAATTACAAAAAATACTCAAATTATTAAGTTTTGAAAGGTTTTTGCTACATTTCCAGAAGCATACCAGTTAAAAATGCACACAAAAGCACACATAATCTCCTTCATTTGGTCAAGCGGTTCGACCGCTGCGTCACCACAAGTAACATATGCAGCACTGACACTGTCCGTTTGTACACTATGCATGGGGGATCTAGAGGGCGTGGGTTAATTAAGAGTTTCTTATTTCGCAGGTCCTCGAGATCAAAAGTTGCTGAAAGTGATTGGGAGGTTGCCAAACCAAAGTAATTGAACGCACGCACGGAGTGGCTACGATTCGAACTTAGCAGGGTGTTCCAAAATACACATGTATCACAGATGCATATAGATGTGGACAGGAACTCAACGAGGCTTGATTTTCTACTGTCAGCATTTCCGATATGGCATCACATAGTTCTAGATTCCTAGTAAGACGTCAACATATTCCAAAACAAGAGCGAGGCTATGCTATGTTTACATTAACGGGAGGGGTCCAAAGTCCGGCATACTGTTCTACGTGCTGACGCATGTCTTTTGTTACTGTTCATCTGACCCTAAACCTATCAAAAATAAGGATGCATCTTGAAACAGCAATACATCCGTCATTTAAGCTGTACAGACGTATATTTCATTTCACTGTAGCGTTCCGCACTGCAGTTTGACAGCACGCGAGAGTCACGGCAGGTTTTTGCTTTGCGTTCTCATAGAACGTTCCAACACAAAAAGGGGGTCCAAACTCCGGCATACGTAACAACCAAGTCATTTCTGTAAATATTTCAGCACTCCGTGCAAACAGAATAACACTATAAGTGTGCAATACTGTTTTTCGGTCCCAAACATGTGCCATATTTTCTATTACGCCACTTTTTCCAATGCGCTTAGATACAAGTCCCCCTCGGTGAAAGCGAAATCACCCCGCCGCTCAGAAACAAAATGGCGGCGTTGTTTACAACTGCATGCGCCCAAATATATTCGCTTTCGGTTGCCTTGAATGGTCTTTTCAGCCTTGTTTTTGACAGAAGTAGTGGATGTGGGCTTTTCTAACAGGTAGGGTTTGATTTTCGGGAACAGTCGGTGCTCCGACAAGTTGACAAACTTTCATTCTGTTGAGCATCGCCCGGCTGCCTGTTCGTAGCGGCTCAGTAAAGATGACGGGCCGATAGGTGTAAACATTTGCCCGTTATTTTAGCTTCGATTTTCCAAGGATAAAGACAATGTCAAGCCATGGTGATTTTTCTATGGAAAGTATATTAATCACCTTTCATGTGTGTGGTAAAATCTTTGCTCATGTCTCACTCTAGGATGAATGATTTGACAGTTCTGAAGGCTATGTGCTGGACACGTTCCCTCGTCAAACTCCGCGAAAAGCGTTAAATTCAAACAAATATTTCAATCGCTAGCAGTTTGAGCAATAAACGTCGACAAACTTTCCGATTTTGTTATTTTTTTACATAAAGTCATACTCCATAACTAGTTGTTTTTATTATGTGGATTCACCCATGCATAACAGAATTATAATAATCTTTAAAACTATGCCGGACTTTGGACCCCTGCCGGACTTTGGACCCCTCCCGTTAATAATAATGACAGTTTTTAACTACGTGGGACGAGAAAAAAAATATGTGAAGTTACAGATGATGCAACAACCGGACATTGACGCTTGATACAAACTCGCCATACCTTCTTTTTGAAAGGAGAATGCTGTCCGTTCCTTACTCTGTAAAAGTTCCGGCTGTTGAAGTGTTTTAATGTTTGTTTAGTGACGTTAGAAGAGCGGAGACTGTGAGAAAACCGGACACATCACCAACACGCCGCCATCTTACCACCTGCGAACTTTGAACTATGACCTAGAACCGTCTGACCTATGACCTTTCAGATCAGGAGAGGCCACATGTGTCCTGGAGCTAAGTCTCCTTTTCGTGTCCGTATTATCACCGTTAATCGTTATCAAAAGCAGGATCTTTCAGAAAACTCTGAAATTAAAGTGTTGTAGACAGAGAGGGCAAAAGGCCTACTTCAGTATTTTTACCAAACCATGTCAAATGAGGAGTCAACATCTAAAGATCACAAAGATCTCAAGGCACAGGAGAAGGGATGTAGAGGAGCAGAAGAAAAAGTTCTCAGGCACTCCACAGAACTTCTACAGATTGGAACAGGTACGTTATGTTTACTGAATCAGTGAGAATTGTCATAATTTACCCAAGGAAGCATCTCTCATTTCCTGTGAAGGAAAAATTGCTTCATGCATCTGATGCTGGTATGTTATAATAACTAACAGTATATGTAAACACATAGACGAACATCATCATCATAAACACATGTAACTTTATCTAACACTGCTCGGTTACCGGTTTTCTACCAATAGCAGAAAACTGGGTCATCTATGATGTGTAAACCTCAAGCAACATTTCATTTGTCCGTTTTCACCCAAAATGTCATTATGATAAAAATATTGAGCACCAAGTCATTCTGAAATATTGAATATTGTTAATGTTACACCAAGCACATAGGCACTTTACCAATCCAGACTATATGTAGTATGGAGTGTGTGAAAAAAAGATTGCATCACTGACATAAACCGGCTGGTTTAGAAGTAAAACAACTTAATGAAGATCACTCATAAATCCAGTTACAGATACAGTTACAGCAATCCAAACTGTGTACTATTAACAAACCTCCAGTCCTGGCTGCATGTCTGTGCTCCTTTCACAGACGTTCTGATGTGCTGGTTTTATTGACCATCCAGCAACGAACAGGACACATTCCCACCCAGAATGTAGAAATGCCTTGGGGCAATGATAAAAATGTTACTAGAACATGTTTATTTTTGTCACTTTGAAATATACATTTTGTCCCAAAATGTTGCTATATAGGTGTTAAATGAATAACCTATGGATAAAGTTGACAGGTTGTGCAATTAACATAGTAACCAGGGTTGTTTCTGGGTTATTTAAATGTTGCTTGGAACATTTGAAGATGGCAGATATTTGCAGAGTTAGAGTAAGCTGTCTTGTATCGTTTACCCCTGTGGGCTATTCTTGTCTGTGTTGGGGAGGAGAAGCTAAAGATAGTCTAAATGTCAGCCTACATACTGAGTACTAGTGACGTGGCCTGGCATACTTGAATGGCTTTTACTCAGTAGAACCTGGCAGTCATGTTTGGACATGCGCATAACTTGACTTTGTGGATGACTTCTGTACATAAATACTGCAGCTGCAGTTAACCTTGACTTGTTTTGTATAGTAATGGCATGAAGTGTTTGAACCTTAAAACAAAAACGAAAAAAGATAACAGTAACATGTTTCCAAGGTCTTCAGAAGCTATTTCACTCTAGAGAATATGTTGATGTTACCTATTAATACCCAAACAAAAATATATGAATATGTAATCATCTCAGATTCTCAAATCTACATCTTTCAGGTTCCCACCCAAGTTCCTTGTTGCTCCAGAAGAAGTCTCCAAAAGTTCCAGGCTCCTTGGAGACGTTCCGACCTCAGCCATCCGCAGGTGGGGCAGCTGGTCTGACTTTCATTGGCTGTATTCTATGGCTTTATTTGGAGAATTCTGTTACAATGTGTTTTTTAGCACTTATTATTTTTGTGCATATGTCTGCCAGCTTTTGCATAGATGGTGCCTTCAAAGTTCAGATGTTAGGTTCACAGGGAAGGAAAGGAATGTTATTCCGTTGATAGAATTTTAACATATTGTTCCCTTTCCCACCCGCAGTGCTGAGCAGTGTGAAGAGGTTCCTGCCACAGCTGTCAGCCGCTAATGAACAGCTGCTGACAGCAGCACCTGGGCAGCTGGACATCCAGAATGTGGAGGATTGTGAGGGTCCTGTCATAGAGATGGTGGGTCAGAGGTTATAGTGTGCTAGATCAGGTCAGGTCAGGTCAAGCAGACACCTGCAGACAGGAGGGATTACTGGTACTGAACTGAATAGAATATATGGAAACCTGTGATGAAAGATTTTAGTAGATGTACAAATGTACTCATATATTTGTTCAGGCATTAACTTACAATGTAAGTCAGTCTGTCTTGTGCTGTATGATGTGATGATGAATTAGGATAACTGTGAAGTTATGTTTCTTCTGTAATTTGCATCAGGTCTGTGTAGATATAATAATCTTACAACCATAGCCATATGTGACTGGCTAGGAGTGCCATAGCATATCACTTGTTTGTCCAGGAAATTACACACTATTGCTTCCCAATATTACTACGTTTTCACCAGTTTTGTGACTCTATTTTTAGGACCTGGCACTGATCGCCACAGGTGAGGACTCATCATCATCATCATCATCAGAATCATCCTCAGAAGAAGAAGAAGAAGAAGAGGAGGAGGCAGGAGGGCTGAATGGAGACAGCCAATCAGACAAGAACACAGGACTGATGGGGGAAGTGACAGAACAGAACATGAGGCTTGGAAAGGACTCCAGAGTCAGGAAGAGACCAAAGATAGAGGAGTTAGGGAGCGACCAGCCCAGGAGATAGCACATGATAGCATCTCTGTAGACTGTGTAGAGTTAACTTTTCATTTCATAATTCATAAATCAGCCTAAATCATATATTTAGTTAAAAGTCCCCATGTTATATGGTACTTGGTTTCAAATTCATGTTGTTTAATTTGATAAAAAAGACTTTATTTCTCTAGTCAGAAAGTAGAAAAGTCATAGATCAGTCACATTCTTACGAAAAGATTCTTAGAAAAAAATTGTCACCATGGTTTTGAAACGTTTGACCAACAGCTGTGACTTTTTGCAGTCGTAAAAGGGTGGGGTTATCAAGTTTTTCAGCCTATGGTTTTGTCATAAGAAGGGAGGACAATTGAAGGGAGGCAAAGTTAATTTTCATCATGTCAAAACATTTTGATCTGATATATGATATGAGTCATATGACTGGCTGACAATTATCTTGTGTATACTCTATTCATAAATCCTGCTTTCATGCATTTGCAATAAAATTCCTTACGTTTTGTTACGATGTTGTCTGTGCTGTGGTATGAATGAACATTAATTTTGAAGAGTAACATCGGGAGAAGATGCCTCCGCTCTGAGGCGTCGCCAAAAAGTGGCCTTCCTGGGGACAGGTCACAAACGCCACCTGGCGGAATGATGCCGAAGTGTCAGAAGGTCACTGAAACAGCAACAAAGATGGCTGTGCCCGGCATGTTAGCAAGAGCGACGTGCATAGCGTTTGGAAGGTTACGGCCGGTTTTCAGGTGAATGGCTACTTGATTGTCATTAGCTCTATTGAGTAAAAAGCCCAGGCCGCACAGATGCTTGTTTGACTGTTAAGAACCTCGCAATCCTTACAAAACCTTTTCTTGAAAGTTACGCAAGTCGTGTGGCCTGTGGGGAGGGGAGGGGGGTGATATCCATAGGGACCGGGACGAGACGGTCTGCAGGACACAGTGTGGCCCTCTACGAAGGCACAAAATATAAATAGAGAATGTGAAAAACCTGTGAAAATGTTAGAGCAGAGCTAGAGTTGGTTTATCGTCCGTAACGTACTAGCAAGGAGCTTTAGCAAGATAGAACGTCCTTGGTACTAATGGGCCTTCCCCCCTCGAAAAAAATAGAAGAGGGGTTGATACTGGGTTCGACGCCTTAAGACCGCATGATTGGGTTGAGGCTTGAAATCCTTAGGACTGTAGGGCTTAGGGGATTGAAATAATCCGAACTTGGGGTTGAAGTGTCAGGACTGCAGATTGTAGTGTCATCAACCACCCTCATTTTTTGACGGGTGAACCCCCAATTCGCTAGATTATGTTTTCTAACCACAATCCTGCATTTTACTGCATCCCAGGCAGCCGAGAAGATGGCACCGTCTCTCCCCGACAGACGACGAGCTGTACGTCCGCACCACCATCAGCCTGCTGGAGAAACAGAACCCACAGGACATCTTCATCAGTAACTACAGCGAGCGCGGCTTCACCATCAGGGGGGACAAGGTGCTGGGACCTGTCGCCATCGTGCCTCGCACCATCTTAAGCTGGGACGTAAGTCCAGTACCTGACTTAAGTCCAGTCACTTTAGTCCAGTCATTGACTTAAGGTAGTGAATGGTACATGTAACCCGTTACTAACGGTTACATGAAACAACTCACCGTTTTCAAAATCTATCCCATTGTTTGTGTCAACTTAGTGTTACCTCGGTACCTCATTACATATTTGGATGTCTAACCTTCATCACTGTTTATGACACTTGGTTAATATAAAAGTTACAACCTTTTTGAGTTCATGTCCATTCATATCAAAACGAAAGATATGCCTCTTTGTATTTGGGATAGGTAATGTTAAATTTAAAGGTTGTTGATTCATGAGATGTTTTAGCTGACTGTATTGCCACTTGTGCCCTTGCAGGTTGCTGGTCCTCAGGACATCAACAGAGAAAGTTTATCACTCTTCTACATAATGGAACCCAAAATAGGTAAGTGGACCTACCTGGAAGGCATGGACTAGTAAACTTGATTTACACAAGCCGTGACACTTCCTTAGTGTGTATTTCTTCCTCATTCTGATCCACAGAGATTGTTGTCCTGGGTGTAGGCAGTGAACACATCAAGCTGGACCCAGAGCTACACAAGTTCATGAGACAGAAGGGCATTGCACTGGAGGTCCAGGACACGGCAAGTCACAGATCTCAGACAAACATCTACAAAAGTCATATTTCTGTTTTGCATGTTACAAAAATGTCTGTAAATTTGTTGCTACATTTCCATATTGTCCTGAAAAATCCATTAAGGCTCTGGCATCTTTTGGAATCCTAAGTGACTGGCACATAAAAGAGAGCTCAACACACTTATCGAGAAGGATAGTAGTGATTGACCCAAGCATTTATAAAGAACCTATCTTTTTTGATCACCACGTTTCTGATTTGTGTATTGATGTTTTTCCCCCCAGGCCCATGCCTGTGCTACGTTTAACTACCTGGTGAGTGAGGGGAGAGTAGCAGGAGCAGCACTGATCCCTCCCAGAGCTAAGGAAGGACTTCTCATCCAGCGGTAGCACTGAAGACATCAGACATCATTTGCAAAAGTAGCCTAGAAACTCGAAGTCATGTGTATGTTGCCTGTACTAGTATATGCTACTGTCATTTTAAGTTATTTTATCTAAGATCACTAGTATCAAAAAATGAATGACAGAAAACAAGGCAAAGAGTTATCTGCGTAAGACTTTATTAGTCCTGTATCTGCAACTTTACTGACAAGATCCAATAATTTATGGTTTTACATCTATTCACACATCTTAACCATCAACACAAAGGTCACTTCTGCACTTCAGACATATTTAGCACTTGTTTTTTTCAAACCACTTGTCCAAATTTACAAGGCAACTATAGTATGAGCAGCAATAGTACAATATATTTGACCACAAACTTGCCGCTAGATAGTTCAATGTGTACATTGACAAATTTTTCTCCATAACTTACAGACAGCCACAGATAGTTGTAGAAAGGACTGAGTCTCCAAAAACAGTTCTAGCTATATACATACATGTACATCAATATTTCAAAGCTTTGTATAGTTCAACAATATGGGGAAAGTCCCCAGTATGTAAGCCTGTCAAATAAAGATTAGAAATTTGACTTAGGTCAATCATATCTTCATTGTACATGTGCCTTCATCATTTGGGATTGTGTTTCAAATACAAATGTAATTGGAAATCCTGTTTCTTATAATACTTATCTTTAAATATTATACTTTAAATAATATCAATGATTATTATCAAACAGTGATTGCAATGAAACAATGATTGTGATCAACCTGCAAGGAATTTTACTGGCCATAGGTACGATAAAACATTGCCTGGACCAAAGCCACATCTAAATACTACAGATTACTTAAGCCTGCTGGCATCCATCCATACTTAGCTACCTGGTTATCAAAGAACCTGTTGCTATTTTCAAGTCTGTAGGGATGGTTACCCGGCTATAGCTAACATCACTTTGCACAGTCAACAATTTGAATGGCAGCTAGCTCTCCTCTCCAAGTAGAGGCAACTGGATAGGCCAGCTGTCAGGAAATGGGGCAAATCAGTAGATCACAATCTTCCCATACAACCTCTGCTTGGAGAGTAGGAAGCTGTACTTCATTTCTGCTGTCACATGTTCCTTAAACTGGCTTGGCTTTTTAACACACTGCTTCATCCCCACTTACTGGTTCAATGATCTATAGAATTACAAGGTCTTGTACTATATGGAATAAGTTGAGGTATTCAACGTTCAACATCTGCTCAAAGATTACATGTATGTGCACGAAAGATACACTTTATATTGAAATAAGATATGTGTCTCCAACACAAGGTTTGTTTCCACAAGTTAACATAAAACCTTACAAAAACCAACATGTAGTGTTATATACATCTATACATATATAAGTACTGACAGATAAATATCTAAGGCAATACAAACATGTAATGACCAAAACCTCAATGCCAATCCTTTGGTTTTGCTACAATTCCTAATATCATTGAGTTGAAGTGAAAGATGAATGGGCTATTTCCCACAAATGTCAGTCATGTTCGAGTGTATTTGATGAAATTATGCGCTAACATAAATTTTATGCAGGAAATTTCTGGGAACAGCCATTCTGTTGGCACAGGCAGACTTTCTTGTCTTCCAATCATTGATAAAAAGGGAGCAAAAAAAGTGAAGCGTTAAAAGTTTTGGTCAGACAGAAGGTCTAGCACGTTGCTAATGTTACAAAATGGCGCTCTCCCGCGTGGGCACCAGCAGCTGTCTCTGCGTGACGTCCCCCGGTATCGTTCTCGTTTCTTCCTCGAACCTGTCCGACTCGTCGCTAGGCGACAGCAGCACCTCCGACTCGGAGTCGTCCTTCCTCTCTCCACTGTTCTTCTTGCGGTAGTACTTGACCTTGGACTTGCCCTGCTTGGCCTGGATGTGTCCGTTCAGCTTGCGGTGTTTCCGCATGAGGAAGTTGTCCACTACCCAGAACATCAGGGCCTGGGGTAGGAGTTAAAAATCTGTATTATGTAACAGATGATATAACAGTACCAGTTTTCTGCTTCGAGTTTGTAGTTAATCTGATTTGTAAGACTCTTGTATCAAAGCACACATGGGACTGAAGACAGGATCAGGGTGTGGCTCATAATGAGTCTATATCTCCTTTGAAAAGGACTATCATGATATAACCCTTTCCAGTAGCAAGCGATTCTGGTACATGTAAATTGCCAACAGCCAGGATTCAAACTCTCAGTCTCACCTACTGGATCGTGCATGCTACAGCAGGAGGTGGCAGTGTGAGGTAATTATAAGAACTCACGTTGATGATGAAGGGAATGATGAGCATGACGATGGCCAGCTCCACCTTCGGGTCGTGGATGGGGGACAGGATAAACTTACGCACCTGTGAAACAACAAGGGAAAAATATCACTATCACATTGGTTCAAATAAATTCAGAAATTGTGGTCAACAGTGGTGGGTCAAGTTTTCAACAAAAGGTTATAAAACTTGAGTTTGTGGATGTCATCTTTTAAGTCAACAATATAATGCTGTGATCTTACATCGTCCCAGAATGGCAGCTGAACGAAGAGCGCCACGGCACATTTCTCAAACACCATGACCAGCAGGTAGAGCGCACACTGACCGAACCAGGCATTGCACTGTGGGGGCTCACCTGGAACACAACATGGGCAGCAGCATGAGGAGAGCAGATATGAGAATGGGCAGTAACACAGTTCAGCATTAGGATTCATATTTGTTCTCTATACTTAAGGTAAATCATTTTATTGTTAGGGCAGTTCTGACAGATTGCAAGTCCACCTACCATACTCCCCGAAGATGAGCGTGTCCCAGTGTCGCCACCTGACCACACACTGGGTGAACTTTAACCCCAGGTAGATCAGCAGCAGACCAACAGTGGAGTCCAGCAGGAAGTTTATAATGTACCTGGGAAAATAGCACAGTAGGAGAAGCTCAAACATAACCAAAGTTGTAAAGCAAGTTTACAACAAGTTGGGTATGTTCTTGGATGCACTGTACAAAATTTAGCTGTTAAACTACAATGAAAAAGGTTTTAACAGATGTTTGCCAATGGTCAGTTCTGTCATAGCCTCACTGAAAATCCTACAACATATGTAACTGCAGAAAGTATAGGCAAAGATATCATGCAATATGTATAAATATAACACATCATCATTCACATCTGTTTTCATGTTGACATTTCAGCACTTTTTATTTCCAAATCAGAAGTTAACAGCACATTGAACTGGTGTTGCCTGAAGCTGAATCTGAGGAGGTACAGTTTTACTCACCATGTACAGGGGTCCCCTTGGAACATGTCTGCCAGAAACACGTTGGCGAAGTGGATAAATGCAGCACCAATGGCCTGTTTGGATGTGTCGTAGAACCTACATTGAGAGGTGAGGCGAGGGGGGGGGTTTAGACAAACACTCCATTTAACATGACAGCAGGTGTAGAGGTATGTACACATCAAGCAATTGTGACTGGCTGTCAAACACCAAGGTATAACAGTATTACAACCTTCTGAATTTGAGAAAATTGAGAAAAAAAAAAAAGCAGTTTGACTATCATAGTGTTCACTTAATTACTATACCATATGGCTTGTTCAATGTCTTCTGCTTTTCTCTAATTGCTAGTATGTCAAGTACTTGTCCTGTCTGCCATGTCTCAGTCGACACCCCAACATGTACAGCCATAATGAACATTCCTGTCCCTCTGCCAACATGCCAAGGCTCAAGATATGCCACAAAACATTCCTCACATAGCAACATGTATCTCGTTATTTTCTCTTTGTCTGTCCATGCTCACGTACACACTAGTTTTGCTCCCATGAAGCCTGAAATCATTAGAGGACCCATTCTCTCAGGTATGAGCTTTCCCCTCAGACTCAGAGTCAGATCAAGGGCAGACAGACTCAGACTCAGTTGTCATGTTGAAACTTCAGTTCAGCATCATCTTTTTTTTTTAAATCCAAGAGCAACAAATTGAATTGGTGTGGCCTCACACATTTGATGCAATACAGTATTATTTAGTTTGCCTTCGTCACCAGGACTGGGTCTTTGTAATAGCCCTACTTTGTTCCGAAAGCCTTGGCATATTATGCATTGCTACAGTTGACTCAGTAATCCAGAATAAACAGATTTCATTACCCAGTGTACATACATGGCTTTCATCTGATTTGATCAGAAACAGGATGCTGGGTCCCCGTGGATTACAGTAAATGAAAAATGGAAATGCCCACGTCAACATTTGAATAAAAGTGTGACCAGAATTCAACCACAAGGCTAACGTAACTAACGTTTCATTTCTTGCTTTTCAGATTGTTGCATTATCATTAATGGAGTGGATGGGCAGAATAAAAATGAAATTTAGACATGTATCAAGTAGAATTATACATAGAGAGAAAGGGACTAGGGAACTATAACTATTAGTAAAACAAGAATCTTCTTGTGATGATGCCAAAATATGAGCATTTTATCATGTCTTCAATGGTATACTGTAGAATAAAAGAAGCCAAGTGACAAATATCAGAACCACAAAATTTAACTGGTGTGGTCTCCTGTATACACAATACAACACACAGTCCCCCATATATCCACTCACAACAAACAGTGGAACAAACGATTGTTTATGGGTTAGTGAGGTGTAAACAATACAGAATACACATGCTCCTAGGACCCACATTCAAATCATACTCTTCTTTTGAATAAAGATTACACACAAGTGGAGCTAAATTTCAGTGATTTTGAAGAGCCAAGGCAAATTGTAGGTTGTGAGGGGGTATTTTGTGCCCTGGTTGTGGTGACTTCTTTGACAGGACAGAGAGGAGCCCATCCAACTGACTGTAATCCTACAACATAGATCCCTTTTTACACAGCCAAGTAACAATAATATAATATATAATAGTATTGTATCCTTTCATTACCAGATTCTCCATGGTCTTCTCTCTACTTTGGGCTCCCGGTACCTTTTCACTGCAGGAGGGAAGAAAAAGAATCATTGTTGGGGCTTTCTACAAGAGATTTGTCTAGTAAAGCCTTTGAGTAACATGATATTTTGCTGATGAAAGTGTCAATAATGTATGATAAACCAACAGGCAGTAAAGCAAGCAGCAGAGTGTTGAAATGTTCGCATAATTAAGGTCACAGTTTCATTAATTTGTTCCTCAGAGTCAGAACTTCATTAGCCCTAGAGGTGTCAGGCAAATTTACATGTGTACTGGAAACCAAACGGACATGTAAATACAAAGTGTGTATCAAAATCTACCCAGTTGCTTGAGTAACTGCTTTCTTGTGTATTAGTCAAGTGTGTATTTAGTATTAGCTCTGATGAGATTGGCTCACATGTACCGAGAATGACATGTTTACATCTCAACACCGTTTACTGTTTACGTATGTGATACGAAAACAACAGTATGACATACATAAACAACAGTAACAAATATCAAAGTTTGTATAGTTAATAACACACAGCCTTGACATCTGTACTTACACTGATTGTGACCTGATGCCCTCACCCAAAACATAACTAATATTATAACACCTGCTGTTGTTTTTGGTTTTGTTCTAACTCAAGTTATGAAACCGAAAGACAGTCAAAAAATTATGTTACAATTTTTGCCACCTCCTTATTCGAGAATTAGGAGTCTTGTATATTCCTGTTAATTTTGGTCAATCCTTCCCTGGATTTTGACTCTGTTGAGGACGTCATCAATGATTGCATATAAATATTTTGTGACATAATATTTGTTTCACAGGGATATATCCTAGCCTAGAGACTCTAGTCACAATGCCCAGCAGTTCTTCCTGACCGTACTGGTGTGTGCCTGTCGCTGCTGATATATCCTAGCCTATGGCACAGACGTCAGCTGTGTGAGGTACATACAGGCTTATCTGGAGCTGCCATAATAATGTCCAGATCCTGGTATTCAGCCCAACACTATCTAACCCTAGCCATGGGGGAGGGGCGGCTCATCTACTCAGGAGTCATACCGCTCATTTTTGCCGGTATCTGGCGCAGGAAAACTGCAGGATAAGCGGTGTGTACTCACACATGAGCGTGCTGAAGGCCACGATGCCGAGGATCCCCTGGATGAGGACGCCGAAGCGGCCCATGAGCGCGCCGTGGCTGCAGTGGTGCAGTCCATCGTCTGACGGATACAGGTCCAGGGTCTGTCCGTCCACTGTCGTCAGGTTCGCGCGCCAGCTAGGCGGCTCCTCCGGGGCTGTCGCGGCCTCGGAGGGGCTGACGCTGCCCAACAACATCCCTGTGTGTGTAGGTGGAATGTGAAGTCTTCCTGAGGGCGCGGGGACAGGGAAAATCCTGATCTGTTGACATCAGAGCCGACGATCAAATGGTCAGCGCGCCTCCATGTTGCTTCACAGTTCCGGGCTAGTTCAAGGAGATGCCTTGAGGGGGTGGTTTTGATTTTGAAAACTTTCCAAATCTAGGCATACGAGGCAATTAGATACATAATATGATAGAAAAGAAAGCTAAAATGGATCTGTACTATCAACAGTTGAACTGACGGATTTTCATATTGAAACCATAACGTTTGTTTCGTTTTGGTATAGTCCACCGTATGACGTCACCAAATGACGTCGTTGGCAGGACTTTTGTTGGGGGGAGGCACGTGACGTTTGAGTGGGTGCGGTAATACAACCAGTGTCAAATTACATAGCTGTGGGGTAAAATAGACGTTGCTATGAATGACCTACTGCAAATGAAATCATCGACGAAATAAAAGATACGTAGAAAACAGATACCTGACAACGAACGTACATTTATCATTGAAGAGTTCAGTTCAGAGAAGGGAGAAAGGATGAGACTTTCATCGTCTCAACCACGTATTCATTTGTTTCCAAATTTAGTACATTTCAATTCCTTCCACAGTTTATGATTGTTAAATTACATGTATATTTCCATAAACGGGAAGAAAGCACACAGCTCCTCGGACTAACTCACTAATCGAACACACTATTTACATGACATGGCGTTTTTACCGCGCCATGGCAGCAATAAAAAAACACTGCCCTACTTAATAACTTATCCTTTATTTGAATTTATACACTGTGTCCATGTAACATGGTTTACTTGCGAGCGGGTTTTTGCACAGTACACTTTGTGGCTATCTTGCCAGTTCAGGTATTTACCTAATCCAATCACACAACACTACATCACAGCTGCGTTGTGGTCTAAGTCGTAAACTGCCTAATGATTAAAACGTTCACCCATATTCAGCATAAATTAAACTGTGTCGTCCTCTGGAAAGAGAGTCGGGCAATTACCAGTGAGGACATAAGCGAGAATTCGAAGCTGAGATTCCTTGTCAACAACTATTGGCACTGTCCTCTCTCCGTATGCACATCTTCAAGCCGCGCAGGCAGCACAATTTTCGGTTATAGATTATTTTGGTGACACCAAGGACATTATACAGAGGTCCTTGGTGACACTAAGTTAAGTACTCTTCTGGGTCTGTTCAGTGCAGTCTGGTAAAAGGTGTCGAAAAATTGGAACACGATGATAGTCTTCTCACTTCAATTCCTCCTGGCCTCCATTGCATTTGAAGGTTCGTCATATAGTTTTTTTTCAATTATGTACTCTAGGCTAGTCTAATTAATAAGACCTATGATAGTTTTAAACTTTTTGGGGAGGAGGCATTTTTACAGTGACGTAGACTATGTGTTCGTCACTTTATTCAGTTCCGTTTTCTTCAGTCTGTCTGTTCTGCAAGACATTCCTGATGAGGGTCTGGAAGGCGAAGTCCAGAACGGAGCGGTCCTGGCAGTCTGTCTCCAAGTACGGGATGTTTTTGCTGTCGCACCAAGCCTGCGCCTCGTCGTTGTGAACCTGAGAGGATTAAATTTTTTTGTAAGAACTAGAAAGGTATCAAACATCAATGAAGGTTAGACATCTAGATAATAAGATACGTCAAAAAAGTTATTCAAGCAACTGGATATGGTTTTGGAAACGATCAGACGTTTCAGTTGGACGATCGATCTTGAGATCTCACCGGTGTCACTGACGAAAGGTAGTGGATGCTACCTGAAACGTATGACCGTTTCCAAAATCATATCCAGTTGCTTAAGTTAGAAAGTTAACAAAGAAAATGCATAATGGCTTACTTTCATAATGGTCTAGATGGTCTAGCATATATGACAAACTACTGCTCTGTTTATTTTTCCTATAACACATTCATATACTAGTGCATGTAGTAAGTTTTGAAGAGTAGAAAAGTAGCGCATCATATACACAGTACCTCGCGCGTGTCCTCCGAGCCCTCGAACTTGATGTTCCCTATGACGATGAAAGGCACTTCTGTTCTCTCCGGTGCTTCCAAAAACCCCGCACGAGCCTCAGTCTCCACGGTACCGACTTTGCCCTTCGTTTCTGTCATTTCGGTGATATTTGTGACGTCACCGTCCTTTCTGGTATCCGTTCCGCCTGCGTCGTTGTTGCCATGGTGATTATCTTCCCCTTCCAAGTCACTTACCCTCGTTTTGACGAAGTCCACAAACTCGTCAAGAGCTGAAGACATCTTTCTGGAAGTCTTCTCCGCGCTTGTCTTCAAATCATCGAAGATTTCCTCGAACGGAGAGGCGTTTTCCTTCCCCGATTCTTCATTGACGTTGGCACGGGCGTCTAACAACGCGTCATCTGCGTCGCCAGCGGCAGTGATGGTCAGAAAGTCATCCCTCCACCACTTGACTTTTTCGAAGGATTCGGGATGTGACGCGTCATAGACGAGAACCACCGCGTCAGCCTGCCTGAAATAACGCGAGATCACGGACCGAAATCTCGCGTCACCAGAGGTGTCCCACAGCTACAAAACAAGAAGGCAAAACTTTTTAAGTCCTTACAGTGCAGCGTTACAGTGCAGCGAATTTTCTTACTGCACAGAATTCAAGTGACCAGACGCCTAGACCACGTGACCTTATGCAGCCATGTGACATCACATTTAGTAATGAGTACCAGGAAGTCTATATCGCCCACCGTCTCTGTTGAGTGATGTTCTTTTAAACGTTTAAAGTACATGTACATATAGTAAAAAAAAATTTCGAACGCTCGGAATATATCTACATCATTCAATCAACAACCAGTCAATCTTTATTGAAATATATGCATACAGGAACAATGAATCATATATTCAGCTTGTGGATTATTTGATGACGAAATCTTACCTGGAGGTTAACTTTTCTCCCGTCAATTTCCACCACTTTCCGGCAGAAGTCGATGGACAGGGTGGAGTCGGGGTCACCGTCCGCTAGGCCAGTGTACTTGCCCATGACGTAAGTCTTGCCGCTGCTGTAATGACAAAGATACCCAAAAGAGATAGCGTTGAAGATTTTATTGTATAGACGTAGATAATCATTGGTAGCCGTCTGACTGACTACAGTGGTGCTGAGTTGTGCTGAGAAAACAATCAAGGCATTGTGATGTTCAACGTGAGATCGTTTTCAGATCTAACTTCAACTTCAATTTCAACAAGGAGAAGTCGTAGACATCATCCCTCCATGAAATAGCTTGTTATTTTGTAATCTTTTGATGTATTTTAATAGAGATATTATGAGTCAAACTTTGTTTTTATCAGCAGAATGATAGATGTCTATAGATGTCTATCCTTTAAGAATTTTGTTGTGGCACTTCGTATTGGAAGGGGTTGCCCAAGCTGTCATGTGCAGGCGTTTAGTGTCTTGTTACCATGGTTTGTTTGAGGTCAATGACCTCTCAAGCACCACAGATGACCCAGTTCCCTGCTGAATGACCGATTAAAGATAAGATATATTTCTTGCAGACGGTCTAGAGGTAAAAATAGATTGGCCTGACCTGCCAGCTGGAGGTATAAACAAAAACACTCTGTACCAATTTGGGGTCAAACAGACCATCCTATTATGAAATAGGGGTGAAAATGTGAAAATCCTTTTAAATAAGCAATGCAAATCTACGACAACCTGCTAATGCACGCTAAAACGCAAAGACAATCAGCGTCTACCCACATACCAAAAATGATCGCCAACCATCCACCGGGTTCTGAGATCATTCAACGCAAACAATCTGACATTGAGATAGCAATTCCGGTTCAAAGCAAACAGCTAGGGGGCCCAAATTTACATCACTAAACCATTGTAACCACAACTACATGCTACCTTAGCATCGCACACACGGACCATAACGTGCCAACAATAGAATAAAAAATTAAACTGCAGTACCAAGGTCAATCACCAGGTGCTCAAAGTCAACCTACACAATCTCCAAGGCCCCATCCATCAATCTGCCAAATATCATACAGTTCCTTCTCACCGATCTTCAGATATCAGACCAAACATGAAACGGAGTAAAAACAATACCCCCCATTTACATGGAGGGTAAAAATGAATATACATCAGTTACTCACCCACTGTCACCCAGTAGCAAGATTCTCACATCGTTGTGTGACTTCTGGGGGAGATAAACAAGGCTGGTAAACCACCATGAAATGATTTCTGTTAGAAAACTATGTATATACGTTGTATAAAAATGGCCTTCTTATTAGCGAGGGAAGTCAAAGAATCCTAAGACACTATAAACGATCATAAACAAATGATCAAGCAGGTTCTCGGGCAAGAATATTGGCCGTCTGAAACCATTGGCCGCTCGTAGGGAGCAAATGATAACTCGGGTGTCCTCTGCCCCGAAGATTAAGAAACAACAACAGACCTGACGTTGCTTCTGAGCCTTAGGTTCACTCTCATCCTTCTCCTTAAAGATTTTCTCCACCGCCTCCTTGCCCGCCTGGAGACCACCTGTGACCTTTTTACCCACGGTTTCGTCCAAGTCCTGCAAAAGTTCCGACGTGCTCTCCGCCGCCTGTTCCCGCCACTTCACAAAGGCTTTCTGCAGTTCGTGTTTCTTACGCATAATGGTGTCGCTGATCGGTGTCGGTCCGTGTTGGCACTGCCCTAGGGCGACGCACTCGCTGCAGACGACCCTGTCGCAGTTTTTACAGAAGAACGCGTCTCGCCCGCTGAAATGGTCCGAACAGACTGTAAAAGCTGGATCATGGCTTCCCGTGGGATCGCCAGTCGGAGTCCCCTCCCCGAAAGCGTTCTCCGAGTCCGTCGGAAGGACCCATAACGTGTCGGGAAGGTTCACAACTCCGCCCGGGGGCAGCACGGCGGCCTCGCCGCAGGTCGGACACACGATGGCGGCCTTGCCGTCCACGTACGTCTCCAGGCAGCTCTCACAGAAGTTATCGGAGCACCGGAGACTCTTGGACAGCGTCAACACTTTGTGGCAGATCCCGCACTTGTTGGGGACGCGACGTGCGGCCCGATTGGTGTTGGGGGCGTGCTCCAAAGACGTGAAGACGGAATGTCCTGTGCTCTCGTAAGCCCCCATTGCCTTCTTGACGCTTCCGCACTCTGTAGAATCTTCCAAAAAGACTATACAAAAAACTACCACAGATAGAACACGTTCGGTCAGCTCAACCACACCCAGTCACCACGCACCTACGCATGTAACCCAGGTATGAGGTCACAACAAGTTGGCTACGAAAAATGTTTAAGCTGAGCTACTGCGTGCGTGTGCGAAAACACCTTGTAGCCCTGGGGCTTTCTTTCCTAAGGTTGAAATGTCATGCTGCAGTGATTTTCTTTCCAAGCCCCTGTCGTTTAAGATTACAAAGATGATTTTTAGAAAAAAACAATACGACTCTTGCACCTGAAATGCTGGTGTGTTACGCCGAAGGGCGGTTATACCGGCTATACGGATACAGATATGTATTCTCATTCAGTCATTGATTTCCGTCAAGTTCTTGGGTATCCGCGCGGTAAACGTCTTTAGAAAAACCATGGAGGTAGTTTCTTTCTTTCTACCTCCATGGAAAAACAAAGAATACTGCTCTTAAATAGGGTTTACGCTTCAAGGTTTGTGAAGGCAGTTGATGAAACCACAACTTTTCCGGGTATTTTATCCTCCATTGTATTTATCCGCTGGTGAAAATATCCAAAACGCGCACTATGTCGTCACAGGTCACTGACCCGGCTCAAAGTAACAACTGGTTGAACCACTTCTTTAGCACACGTGTAATAGTACCTGCCGAGGAAGGGTGAAAACGAGACCTATCATTTTAGCTACCTCAAATAACAACCCGGCTCAGCCGTCAGACAGATCACACGTGCCGTGTGACGTGTATGTCAGGGTAGAGACTCCGAACAGGAGGGGGCGCAAGCATGCATTAAGCTGGTATATAAAGAACAAGAAACAGAATATTACAGCTGTAGCGACCAGACGTATTCTTTATTATAATTTCCTATACAGTACAAGTAACATATTAACACCACTGATGCAAATGTCCCTAGTATTGGATTGCCATAAACAAGTAATAAACAAACGAACAAGACGGATGCCTCAGCCCCTAGCGCTGAATAATATATTGAAGATGATCCATATATTAAAGATGCCCGACGCCTTATCTATCTATTTCTTCGCCCTTAATGTTTTCTGCACAAAGTATCTACGATGATATTTTCTTTCACGGCGCATGCTCCCTCCCGGCGATGACGTCATTGACTAGACCGAGGAAGGCCATGTCGAGCTCTGTTGCATTCTGGGAGCTGGTCACGTGATACCGGATTTTGTTGCTACGGCACCACGCCTCTGCGTCGCTATAACTGTCCTGTGAATGTAACAAGAAAAACAGTAAATTTTGTCTACAGTACGTTCTGCCGAAGCGGTAAACACGACAGGTTGGTTCAGGTTTAAGCGTCCAACATGGCGGACAGTACTTGCGTTACAGTCACGTGAGTGCAAACACCCTACGCAAGGAAAAGCGAACCCCGTAGCAAAACACACCTTAGAGTCATCTGTTGACCTGTTGTTCCCGAGAACCATGAAGGTCACACCAGCAGCATTTTCAGCGTCACTGACGTAACCCGATGTCTCGACGTCGCTATCTTCACTAGTCTCGCCCTTTCTCGCGAGACTTCTCAACCCTTGTCCAGCTCGTTCTGCGGCTCCCTTAAAATCGAGACATTCGTAAAAGTTAGCCACATAAGTGGCAAAACAGGAAGGGAAAGTCTGTATTGCACTATATTCAAAGCTTTAGGAAAAAAATTAGCTTTTACCAGGCTTCAGCAGTGGTTGGAAAGAGTAGATTTAATTTGCCCCTCAAACTGCAGGCCAACTTTCCTGGCCAACAATCTATCCATTCGACCAATTGCTACACTTTACAGTCGCTTCTGAAATACTAGTATCTTAATTCAATTCATCGAGAATGTCATTGAAGTTGAACTTGTCATTAAAAATAACAACTTTAAGACGGCCCACCTTAACGTTCATCATGATGTTGTCGACGAATGATTTGACCGTTTTGGAAGACTCCTGAGCGCTCATCTGAAGGCTGGCCAACAGCTTGAAGGATGAATTCTCCACCGAGTGGGCCTCCTTTATGTGAATGATGTCAACACTTCCTTCGCTCTGATTGGCGGGCGCATGTTTGAGGAAGATTTCCCGCCACGTTTGAATGCTCTGGAAGGATCCCGGATGTGACGTATCGTAAACGAGAACCACGGCGTCGGCCTGCCTGAAGTATCGCGAGATCAGGGACCGAAATCTCGCGTGTCCAGAAGTGTCCCACAACTGCAGGAAAGTTACAACAGTCAAGATAAGAAAGAAAAAGAAAAGGAACAAAAAGGGGAAAGAAACAGAAGAGGCAAACCTATTTATGCTGCGTTTGCACGTGACTATAATTACATAAATTACATTACTGAATGACAAACAATACATGTAATTACATATGCAAATTTTGATTTACCTGGAAACTTCCAGGTTTAACCATCTAGCATGGTGGGCAAGACTTACGTCATGGTCACATGAGTGCAAACACCCCTTTGACATATGACGTATTACATCGCCTTACCTGCAGTTTCACCTGTCTGCCGTCCACTGTCAAGTCTTTCGTTCTAAAGTCGAGGCCCAGTGTCGGCCCAGGGTCATCGTCCGATCGGTCAACGTACTTGTTGAGGAGGTAAGATTTGCCGCTTCTGAAAAAAGGTAATTCTCATAATACACTGTATAAAAATGCAACAGGTTAAGCTAAGGTCCCAATTACGCCGGTGCCCGTCGGGGATGTAGCCCCGGCCGGCCCCGGCCGGGTTCAGGAGTCGAGCTGGCATCGGCTGTCGTGGTCACAATTAAAAGTTTCCTTCAGTAGCATTTTGTTAGAAATTTTGTCACCCTCTTTGGTCGGTATCCGGCAGGCACCCGACAGGTACCCAGCAGATTCTCTGACGATGTCTTGTATTGACCTATACGTAATGCAGAATTCACGTATTTGTTGTGATCATTTGATCTGTGAGGTCACACATTTTACCCGGGTTTACGAAGTACACACCTTTATTCTGTTCATCTGGTCTGTGACGTAAGAAATGTGTCCCGGTGGAATGCCGGCAACCGGAGGGGTACCTCTCGGTGTTCTCACGATGAGGTCACGGCGTCTCTTTGTCAGCGGGGCCCGGGTAGAATTTAACTCAGAATTAAATTCTTATCGGGGCCCCGACGGGCCAAAAAATAGCCCGGTAGCCGCAGGGTGCCCCGCGGGGCCACGTCGGGGTCCCGCCCGAAAGTAGTAAATAACAGCCCGGGAACTACCCTCCAGGGCCCCTTTTCCCAATTGGGACCTTAGCTTAAGCGGTGTACATGTCATTTCGTCTGCCAGGGTTTTCATTATACTACACAAGGAAACAATTCACACACGTAAACACGAGAAGATTGCATATATAACCTGAATTCTTGTATATCAATAGAAAACCTTTTACTTTACATTCAATGCATATGTCATGTTGACATTTAATGACATTAAACAAATGTGCTATAAACATAAATACAAACAATACATGATAATATGAATATAGACATAGACATAGACAACCCCTACTTACCCGCTGTCGCCCAACAAAAGAATTTTAATTCTTTCTGGCACATTCTGCGAAAAAAATAAGAAATAATTATTAAGTCAGGGAGGCCCCCTTGACTGAGCAATTATCCAACATTTTTAAGTAGCCAGAATCTTGTGTGTTGGTTTATTAGAACTTTAAAAGGATGTAAACTGTATCTTAGTTATAAATTTTGTGTCTGACCCTTACCTCTTCCCTCAAAGTTGGAGAATGCCAGGTTAGTACCTTTGGGATTTTTGTTGATTGTATGGCCTTTCTAGCTCTCACGACGCGATCCTTCACCCCGCCTACAATCGCCTGCTTGCCTGTCCTGAAGCCATCCATTAGTTTCTGACAAGCCACACAAACTCGTCCTCTGCCTCGCCTGGAGCTCGCAGAAAAGTCTAGCAACATTCTGTGCAGTTCTAATCTTCTCCGCTCGAGGGCGTTGTTATCCTCCGTGGGGCTGCCTTTCACGTCACCGCCGGACAAATGGTCGCAGGAGAAGCACGATTCGTCCCACTTCAACTTGCTCGCGGCGAATCGCTTCTTCTGGTCTTTTCCACAGGAATCTTTGTCTAAATCGATGAAGTAATAGGAGGGCAGACCCTCCACACCCCCATCCGGTAATGGAATCGTCTCGGAACACACGGGGCAGACAATTTCGTCCCTGGCTTTGACGTATTTCTCCAGACAGATAACACAGAAGCGATGTTGACACGAGAGAGTCTTGTAAAGGCAAAGTTTCTCGCAGCAGATTCCGCAGGTGTCGATTACACCGCGCAAATTGTCGCTCTGGTCCTTCGTAGAAGATTCCATGTCTGTGAAGGCGGCAGTCGTTTAAGATGTCCCTTCTCTACGGTCGATTTTTTTCAGAAAAAAAAAAGATTCCAGTCCTCAGCATTCGTGGGCAATCAACCAAGCAGCAACATCAACATACAAACGTCCTAACAGTAAAGACATTATAATATAATAAAGAAGGTAAAGTCGACAACTTCTGGAGTACAACAGGTGAGTATCACAGCCGAGCAGAAAAACAGACGACAGAAACACCTCAGGCTCAAACACCTGGACGAAACCATTACGCAACAGGCTGGTTTTCTTTCTAAAGATTCAGTTTTTTTCTAAACTTGTCTTTTTATTTTATCAAATACATAGATATCTGAGTAGTAGATATCTTAAAGGTGTTAGAAACATTTCAAGTGAAGAAAACTTACTTTCAATGCATTTATTTACTGAAAACAAGGGCCACCCTATCCCTGTAGAAAGTAGTGGGATAACCTATCCTCGTTTTAAAGTGTGTCACATGAAAAAGGTACTTCCATATTGTCAGATTCAGCAACTTTGCCTAATGTACAAAACGATAAAGAAGCTTGACGGATGGCAATAAAGAATATACTATAACAACCCATGACATAAACCTCCATGAAATTTCGTAATGAGTTTTTGTAAAAGTTTTTTTTTGTCTCAGTGATTATGGCAAAAACCTATGGTCGTATCCATCAGGGCGTTCTGAAGTTATAATGACAACAAATGTGCGGAAACACACATAAACACAGACATACACACACACGCGCGCGCACACACACACAGACGCACGCAGAACAAAAACAACACCTCCATTTTTCATGGAGGTAAAAAAGACGAGAGACAATGCAAAAATACCGGGGCCTATTTATGTATGACAAGTCACTTGACGAAATAGCATCTGGTGTGTTACGTCAGAAGGCGGTTCAACCGGTTCATCAAGCACACATGATTAAGTACTGATCGATATCCGCCTGACTAACATTTGTTTTTTTACAACCGACGTTTTATTCGTCGATTGATAAAGATCAGACTGGCCAGGCAATGAATGATATACACATTAAAACTGCTTCGTATTCAAGCAACTGGGTGGATTGTGAAAACTGTCGGATGGTCCAAAATCTGCTTAAGTACTAGTTACTGTTTTCTTGACTCTTGTGCAGGAGACTCTTAAACATGTCAATTCCGAAATGGTACGTGTTATAAAATAGCCTTCGGTTGAAAATTTGCGACAAAACTGTCTAAAAGTGCGACAAGATTAGATAAAGAGGACTACAAGATAGATAAGATCGCTATGCACATAATTTGTCGAAATCCTTTATTTTTTTCGTGAAACAGAAAGAATATGTTTTGCTTGTCGATGTCTTATTTAATGTATAGAATTGCTCAAAGGTCTTATGTACATATGCGTTTTTATTATATTTTAGAACAAAGTGCTAGTACATAGATATTTTGCAGAAAAATTGTTCAAATTTCGTGATCCATGCAATGAACGAAGACTACACTGTACATTTTGTCAAATCAAGCATGTTGTGATGTTTCCAAGCATCTAAATATTCCATTTCATGATTTGATCTACCACAACCTAATAAATTCTAGTCTATTGCACTTCACTGAATATGCTTTCAACACAAACTTCTGTGTTTCATACATCTCAATACTGGCAGATTGAACCTCATAATTACTGGCATTGAATGATTGATGAACCTCTTCTTGGTTCAGTGGCTTTAAATATCTAAATATAGATATGAATAAATAACTCTTTGTAGTTATCATTATCATATTTTGTAAGGAAATCTCTGATAGAAATTTCTACTCGACTCAGCTCCTATCCCTTTAGACAAATAGTATTTACAGTTTTTCGGAAGTGCATACAATATCTGTACACAATGTTCAAGGTATCTATCTAAGATAGACTTGTAGGTATTGAAAGTTGTCACACGTATTTTCCAGTCATACTGGAATACGTTTACAAAACTCAAAATGCCCACATGGTAGGCAGTACTTTCAGCACAGTAGAGATACCGGCTCGCCAACGATAGTCTGGCTACGAGGCTACGATAGACTGGCTACCAGGCTGTACCACGACGCACTCAGTCTCTGGTAGACCGAAGGAAGACCGGTTCTTTGGTGTCTGGTTTCTTGTGGTCGTGCCGTAGCCCAGATGCGACGGTCTGCGCAAGCTCCGCACTGGAGGCCGCTAGCATGCATCTACCCATCAGGTTGAACGGTCCGCCTATGGAGGGAAAAATTAAGAGTTTAAAGTTAAAACTTCTGATCCAACACAAAGAAAATTCTCTCTCCTAGAACTTTCGACCAGTCACTCTGGTCTTCCTCAGTAGACTGACCCACTGAGACTAGTCACGTGGCTTCTTTGAAGTGTGACGTCAACACTCACTGGGTCACTAGAAAAACTTAATGGAAGAAAAATTCGAGTTGGTTACAACCAAGGAGGCTCCTTTTGTTAGGTACAGATGAGGTGGAAAGGTCAAGAAGCAGATGCCAGAGCGAGGAAGAGAAGCAGGGTTCGAACTACCCCTTGCACCATCAGCAAGTCTTCCAAAGTCAAAGAAGATGCAAAAGAAAAATATCAATCTATGTCTGATCTATAGCAAGTGTTTGGTACGGAATGTTCTGTGTCGTTTGTCAACCTTCCTGACCAATAAATTTCATAATGAAGACAACTCTTTCGCTGAACTTTTTCGCACACTCGAATCAGTTCTGGGGTGCCTATAGCTAGATGATTCGTTCGTGTACATGTGATTAAATCATCAAGGCCCAGCGGAGAAAATCTTATAACTTACCTGTTGTATCCAAGACCACTCCCCCGGCCTCTCTGATGATGAGTGCCCCTGACGCCATGTCCCAACAGTGGATGCCGAACTCGAAGTAGACCTCGGCCGCGCCCTCGGCGATCTGACACATGTTCAGCGCCGCTGTCCCGAGGTTCCTGATCCCTCGGCTCCGCTCTAGCAAGGAACGCAGGTTGTGGAACGTGTCTGCCATCTTCGTCGGCGTCAGTAGGCTTTTGGCAGTTGTGACGACTAAAGATTCCTGCAATGGTTACCGCAACAAAGGGGCAAAGTCAGCGGGAGGGTTGCAAGACAAAGCAACAAATATGACCCATTGCCAGCACGTACCAAACATTACCAAAAGCTTATGACCTGCAAAGATCTAGAGTTTCAAACCAATAATATATATGTATATAGATAAACCATTCACACATACATGCATGTCTGTCGCTCCGCTGACGGAGATTCGCTTCCCGTCCCTGAACGCCCCCACGCCTCGTGCGGCGGTGTACATGACGTCAAGGATAGCGTTGTACGTCACCGCCACTTCGATCTCCTTGTTGACGGCGAGCGCGATGGCGACGGCGACGAAGGGGAAGCTGTGCACGAAGTTGTTGGTGCCGTCGATCGGGTCGATGATCCACGTGGGCGCGTCCGTCAGCTCGATCGGCACGCCCGCTGCCGTCGTCTCCTCGCCGATAAACCTGTAAGTAAGCGATACGGTGATGAAGGTTAGACATCAATGGTGAGACACAAGAAAACAGATACTCTTACTAGTTACCAGATAGATTTTGAAAGTTGTCAGACCTTTAAAGTAACATCTACTACTTTTCGTCAGTGACCAAGTTTAGTAGTATCCACTACCTTCCGACATATGGATTCTACTTAGTTAACTTTGCTTGAGAAACTGTTTTCTTGTGTAAACCTAAGCGATTAACAACAAATAAAAAAGGTAGCCTGTAAGTGTAAATCAGGAGAGTGACCTCATTCCTCGAGCTAACTTATCCAGGCATCCTGTCCTGTTGTGTTCCAGTCTGCTTCCAAATGTAGCGGACTTCTTTCGGAAGCAGACTAGAGCACAACAAGGCGGGATACCGGGCTAAAGCTATCCAACATCGAGCTAGCATGCACACTGCAGTCATCCCTCAGTTAGACATATCAAGGGTCGCATGTATATAGTTTCCGTTTAGAACCTTTATTCTGCCTGTAACATGAACAGATTATCCTGTGCACGTGTTACACATTCCCTCGCCGAGCCATTCCCATTTCCAGAACTACCAGTAGGATCTAAGGACTCAGTAAGACATCTGGAGCAGCATACTTCACAAATTCACAAAAAATCTTAAAATCTTGTTTTTATGACTAATAACTTTATGTCTGTTGGCTTAAAAGACACCGTAGTGAGTAGAATAAAAACTCTAAAATACTTTTATTTATCGATGAAATCACTTTGAACGAGCTCAGAAAACTAGCATCAATTGAATCTTTGGCTGCCCAGTGGTCACCGCCTCAATGAATCAACTGCAAACCGCCTTAAGGCGTAACAAGTCAGTTTTTGTACGTACATTTCACGTGCACAGTGCATGTTGTCTGACAGGATTGACATCATCACTGCGTGACAGACGCGTGAACACGTCGTTTGTTGCCCTGACAACCAGTGTGGACGGGGCAGTCCTCGATGCCTTTAGGGCAGGCGCTTTAAATTTGTGGCTACTCATGTGTGCCAGTACACCGTAGTACTTAAACGTCAAGATTTGTTTAAAGACATTACACCCGCTATCGCAATTTTCCTCGTTGACTGGAAGAATGTTCTGTTTTTGTGCTACCTTATGCCAAATGGTCAATCGGATAGGTTGTTATTATACGGTAACATTGAATTTTCCTTTACGCTTATAATGCATTATGTCCCACCACTGATTGAACCTCTCGAGTAAGTAAACCTCCTTGATCCTACCTGTAGCTAATTGCTGAAAAATTCAAGGGCATAGATAGAACAAAGATTGTTGGTCACAAGTCAATGAATCTGTTTTGTCGTCTGGTCTTACAAAAATTTTTTTTTCCAATTTTCAAAAAGTCGTTCCTGAGCCATAGACAGCAGTCACAGCACATATAAGTATTTGGCAAATCCAAACTCAATTTAAAACACAGTCCTGATGTAACGTCGCCTTCGCTATCTTCCATATAGATGTATATACTATACTATATTACAGTCAAACCTTCACTTAAGAGACCATCTCTGCATGAGGACCACTTGGTCACAGAGTGAGAAAAGGGCCTTTGACTCTGAACACGTACAGTACAGCTGCAAAAAATTTACGTTGAATAAAATATATCAGTCTTCAACTTCTAACAAGTGATACATTTTTAAATGTATAACGTTACATTTTTATGGCTTCACCAGACCACGAAGTGGTCTGGTGAAACCATATTGTTTTCTCTGATGTTTCTTCTCCTCCTTCTCCTTCTCCTGCCATTTTTTAAAATGGATTCAGCTTCTTCATTTTGGGGCCTAAGGATCTGAAATTTGGTATGGAGGTACAGTGGGCAAATACCCTTAGGCGTTTTTTAAATTTTTGTGATACAGGCTTTTAGAATGGTTTTATTTGAGTTTTTTGGCTGTATTATAGCAAGTGTATTACTGTGTCAGTGGGCAGTGTTAACCACATTTGGCATGAGTCATCACAATGGAATGCAGGGCATCAACCAATAGGCATGCAGCTTTCCTCTCTTCTTCTTGCTGATTGGCTGTTGGGATTTAACTTGATTAACACCTGCACAGACCATTTCCACCTGCACAGAGCATTTCTTGCTGATTGGCTGTTGGGATTTAACTTGATTAACACCTGCACAGACCATTTCCATACTGACAGTATGTCTGTATTCAAGTGTTCTGGTAGGTATTTCAAGCTTTCCTGCTCCAGCATTGGAATGCGGGGCATGAACGTTTTTTTTTATTTTAAATCAACAGTTTGCATTATGCAATTAAAAATCCTAACCAATAATGTAGGGAATAGCTAGCCAACTGTTGTAGTCTTAGTTGTATGTTACTTCATATTATAGTTATATCAATGTAAAGCATTGTTTTCCCTTGTGTTTCTCATTCTTTCCCTGCCATGTCGTAAAATGTGGTGAAGCCATCGCTGTATTTGCTCCAAAGCAAATATTGGCCTTTCTAGTTAAAACTTAAGTTACTTGATGAAATGCAGTCTTCACCTGTGCGTTGGGAACTTTCTCCTGAAGAAAGAGAACACCATCTTCTCGACGTTCTGGTCCGTCTCTGTGACCAGGTCGGCGGGAGAAGACTTCATAGTGACGGTTTTCTCCCGGTAGAAGGCGGACCGGACTTCCTTCCCGGCCAGGCGGGCTGCCTCCTCAGCCGCCCCGAGCCACGCCAGCTTCTGCTCCGCGGTGACTTCTACCGTCTCTGACGGCTTTTTGCTCACAGCTGTGTCGTCTATGTTGTTGTTCACGGACACCGTGTCCGATAAATTTATGACTGGGGACCCCTGGAATATAAATAAATTTTAGACTAAAAAGTATATCCAGATCACACTGTAAGATCGGTGTATGGTCGCAAACTTGGGGGTATTCTTTATTAGTCTAGCTAGTTTGGTTAGCTACTCTGTTTTCTTTTGGTTTTATCTCACCGGTTTGGTCTTGGTGCATTTTTTAAAAAGTTTTATTTCTAAAGGATCATGTTTATGTTTGCCTGGTGTTCTCTAGACTAAAGCCGTTCCGCTCTCTGATTTGGTGACGACCACACCCACAATGGGATAAACTCATCCAGACAGAAAACTAAAGCCACAACACCTGGCCAATGTTTGAAATTCAGGTTTCAAGAAGAGATATAGTATACTATGTATATTTCTGTATACCTGTAACATAAACAGCTTCACAGAAATCGTCGTTATGTACATGTAAAGAAGAAGAAGTACATGTAATAGGTGTAAATCACCGTGATTCATACATATATAATTGGCGAAAGAAAACTGCCAAGGCCAATCTCAGCTCAGCGAATTGTCTGTCAAATCGTTAGCATTTCATTACTGACAACAAGACATACACAGAATTTGCAAACAATTCTCATCCAAAGCTAGCAAACTTGTCGCTACTGTGACTACACATATTCAGTGCAGGGAGAAGCAACTAGACCAAGGGAAAGTGTGGAATCAGTGAAGTGATTTTCTTACCTGGATTCTAAATTTGCCCATGGCACTGTACTGGGCCGGGCTAGAGCCGAGGAGGTCGAAAGTTTTCATGTCTGTCGGTTGTTCTACGTGTCAGCTTCTTTACAAGAACACGATTCTGAGTCCGTCAACAAATAAGCAGCTGTCAACGCGATCGTTAAATGGCGAGCAATGTCCGTGGGAGGGGGGCTCCGAACGATGTGGCAACTCAGAAAACCTGATTCGAAATGCCGATAATCCAAAGTTGTCTGGGACAGAAAAGAAGCTGTCGATTTGCGTACAGTCACCCGACTAGTTAATTAGCATAACCCGAGATCTTGAACCTTATACCAAGTTTTTCGAGGAGCCCGACTGTAAACAGATAATTAGCCGCTGAACATCTTCTATTGTGCGTTGACATGTAAACCCATCCAAACATTTACCTGTCTTGTCACGTCACGCCCTTAATCTGGACTATACCATAATTTGTGATTTCTCTTTTTCTGTTGGGTAAAAACTAAATGTAAACATGTCATTTCCTTATACTACAGATTTAACAAAAACCCATATAAAGCATGCATGATGTTGAAATGTTTACGTTGTTTGTGCCTGTGAAGAATAAATATAAACAGTTAAGCAGACAAACAAACAGGTGGTTTAAAGCCCAGTCCGAATGGTATCTCCCACCCGCACACCTGGCCACAAAGGATTGTGGGTGGAATCCAACATGGCGGCGTGCAGACGACATTAGCCGGTAGTCTGTCCGGTTTGTTGTATTTCTATAATTTGTAGTCGTCCAAAATAGGTACAGAAGTTGTTTCAAAGTGACAAATAAGCAACCGGATAGGTATGAACGATTTGGGCTCCGAGTCATCCTGAAAATGTTGCAAATTCATAAGTATGCGCCATAAATTACAAGGTAAACTTAAAGTTAGCATATGGTAAGTTTTGGAATTGGGTTGCCAGAATTTTTGTCTGCAAGCGTAACACTAGTTGCTAAGTGTCCTCTTCTGTATTGATCCTTGGCTTTTTTTTTGCGGTCACAACTTTTTTTGTCTTGACACTGTTTTTACATGAGTACTGGCAATCAATTGACTAACCATGAAATTTTGCTACTGTAATTGTAAATGACAGTACTGGAAAATTTAATGTCATGATGAAAGTTAAAGTTGCAATGTGTTTCTTGCTGATATTTCCTTTTTTCTTTCAAATCTTAGATCTCGAACAATGGAGCTGATGATGACAGAGACCTAAGACACGTTACCCATCCAGCATGAGGAACCTCCACTCCTACATTCATTCCTTCACCCATTCCAGGATCCCCATCCTCACCACTCTGTACTTCGTGCAGGGCCTCCCGTACGGCATCCAGGCCCGCTTTCTACCCATCTACCTGCGCACCAAGAACGTCTCTCTCACCAACCTCGGCTTCATCAAGCTTCTCCTGTTACCATGGTTACTCAAGATCGTTTGGGCGCCGCTTCTCGATCGCTACAGCTCCAAACAGACATGGCTGCTGGTCAGCATGGTGGGGCTCGCACTCGCAAGTCTGGCGGGCGCCGCAACCGACGAGGAACACTTTCCCAGCCTCTGCGCGGTTGTGTTCTTCATGAACTTCTTCGCGTCGACGCAGGACGTTGCAGTGGACGGAATCGCGGTGGCGATACTGAGCGCGGACGAGCTTGGGAAGGGGAACACGGCGCAAGTCGTCGGTTACAAACTCGGGTCGATCGTTGGCGGGGGCGGGCTCGTGTGGCTGAGTGAGTACCTACCCTGGCATACCTTGTTTCTTGCCTTAAGCATTACCTACTTGAGTACGATATTATTAGTGTGTCAACTGCCCCAACTTTGGGGCATATACATCAGGAAAAACAAATGTAACGGGGACTCAAAAACATTTCAGAGCAACACAGAAAACAAACGTGAGCCAAACATAAATGGATACATCCGTACAAGTCAAGAAAAAGGCCTTAAAGATGTGTACAACAAAAAAGCAGAAGGAGCTGATGACAGAAATGCTGCTGTTACATACAGAAACACTAGTTGTACAGATGGAGAGAAGAAAAGAAGAGGAAGAGCAGATGACTGGTGGATGCTGGAGGTACTGAGGAGCCCAGGAACAGGATGGATGGTTGTGTACTGTCTACTGTACAAGTTAGGTAGGTGTGATGATGCTACATTTGTTTTTGTAATAGAGTGTGTGCAATTTTCATGACAGAATCAATCCAAGCAACAATGAATGAGGGAATAAGTGAATGAATGAGTGAATGGATCAATTTTCTTGAGAGACTACAGCTAGAACTGCAATTTAAAGGAATGGACTGAATGAATGAATGAAGGATGAGAAAGGTACTAGTATGAAGAAATGAATGAATGAATAGCTTCTTATTCTTAAACATGTTGCTTTTCTTTTTCCCCAGGTGAGCAAGGTGCGAACGGCATGTTCCCCCTGTACCTGGTGGACCAGGGAGTCCCAAAGGGAGCAGTGGGGATGTGGACAGGTGTGGTGGGGCAGGGACTGTCCATTGTTGGTTCACTCCTGGGGGGATGGCTGCTGACAGGATACTCCAAAAGGTTTGTAAGGGCAAATGACTTGGCATTGATCTTGTATTTAACCTCCTCGAACTTACAATATTTGTTGTTCCCAGTCTTGTGAGGTTTAAATGCATAACTGTTATGCAGTCAAACTTTGATATTCAATGCGTGTACGTTCAACCCTTCCAAGACTGTTATGCATTGTACGATTTCTTATGTTTCAGAACGCCCCTCGACCTTCTGCACTTGACCTTCAAGTTGCGACTGTTACCCATAATCCTCCAGATGGCAGTTATCTGGGAAGGAAGCACACGGGAGTCTTCCTATTCATATGGTAGGACGGGAAAAATTATGCATTTTATTAAATTGAAATGTTCCTTTTAACCTTCATGCTGCTAAGGTAGACCAATTATAGGGTTAAAGCAGCAGGGAGAAGGTTAACCGATAAATGTGTCTCCATGATATGTTAGTGACTGAGTAATTACTGGTATAAAATTGATGACACATTCCTGTTTAGTGACAGTCCTGCGTGCCTAAGTGATTGCTTGTCTGTGGTGTGGCTTCTCAGAATCCAACTCACAGACAGGTGCCGGTGGTCAGCCATGCATGCAGAAGTGATTACACTGACCTCAGGTCACTCATGAATTGGTGCTTTTTTTACAGCATCTACAGCTTGGAGATTACAGAGACTACCCCTATGGCTCATAGCTATGTATGGGACTGAGCAAGTGAGATATTTGTGTACTACATTTCGAGACAAAAGTATACATGAATCAAGACCTCATTATATGTACACAAAAATCACTTGTTTGTGTACATGTAATGACTTTGGCACTGAAAAGAGTAGAAATTGACCAAATACCCCCATACATGTAGACTGATTAAAGATGCCATTAGGGAGTTGGTCTGCTACTCTTTTTAGTTGACCAACTCCCCTGGCATGTTAGCTGTCTAGTTTGTCAATTTCTACACTTTCCAGCTGATTCCAAAGCCTGGTAGAGGCTACCGAAAAGGGAATATAAGTTATAGTACATGTAGTTAATTGAGACCAAAGTTCTAAAAAATTAGTCATTGTTTAAAAAGTTAGTGTTCCATGTTGCAGGTTTGGCGGTGGCCTCCATGTGCCTGCTACAACTGGTGGGCGGGGCCATCACCACGGCAACCTTCACCACCATGATGCACTGCTCCCAACAAGCGCCCCCTATCATCCAGGGCAGTCACTACACCTCTCTTGCCACCTTCGAAGTCATGGGCAAACTGTTGTTCATGACAGTTGCGGGAAGTCTTACTGATTTCTTTGGCTACTTTAATATCTATGTCTTCTTTGTGTTTCTGAGTGTAGGTGTGATGCCACTGTTAGAAGTCTGTCCTATTAACTTTCACAAAAAACAAGTAAGTTAAGTCATAAAATATGGAGCTGGTATGAATAAGAACTTATATCTATACAATTCTACAGTCTATCACTACAGTTCAACTTGGTTCTCATACTTCAGTTCACACATGCAAAGATCCTAATGTTTATGAAAATGTACCAAAATTTGTCATATCTGTATTCTTGTTATCGCACCAGGTAAGAGTATGAAGTATGTTTTTCTCGGAGCTGACACAACATAGACTTAGTCGTAAGATTTACTATGATGTAATGTTACTATTAACGTTACTATTGGGTTCAAGCATAAAAAAGTTGAGAGGAAAGTGTAATATATAATAATACTAGTACATGTATTTTATATTTTCTCTTAAGTATTTAAATCACAGACATTTGAAAGTAGCTTATTGAACGTAGTGTCACTTTTATATCATAATGTTCTGAAAAAAAGTGTTAGAATTTGATAGAGCTAGTATACAACAACATATTTTACTTAATACATGTAACGTTAGCTAGATTTATTGTTAGGCAACACCAATTCTTCGATTTGCCAGCGTCATTTTTTTCTGGTATTGAAACTTGAAAGATTTAAACAAAGATCACAAAGAACATACAGTGTATGAATCATTTTTGCAAGGTCTATTCAACTTATCACTCAATATAACTTATGCTACTAGTAAGTCAATTTGCTTTTCCTAGTACTTAATGCATGCGTTCATGTCCTATGTAAGGTAATGAACAGGTGGCATAGCTTTGTGACCGTACATGTGCGCCACCTCGTGGTGCAATATAAAACTGCAGATGTATAAATTTTGATATGAACAACAATCCTCTATAACGTTATAACATTAACATGTAACGTTATATCCAATCAATGTCGTAGTATCCTGTAATATAGCCAAAGCACATTGATCTTGCTACAATCGGTAAAAATTAAAATCATACCATCAAACTAGGTCTATATACAATTTTTCAGCCCTCTTGCATAACAAAGCAACGTTGGTTCAGTGGTAGAATTCTCGCCTGCCACGCGGGAGGCCCGGGTTCGATTCCCGGACGTTGCATGTTCTTTTTGTTTTTGCTCTTTGTATTTCCATGGAGGTAGAAAAATACCTCCATGGTATTTCTCAAACAGAGTACTGTTTCTTTTGCAGACTGGAGATATTATATGCAGTATAAAATACTTTTAGTCGGTTTCTTTTCGTTCTACACCTGTAAAATTTGCTTTTAATTTTTGTTTTTCCATGTGCATTAATAACAACGACCGCAAGAGGTCGCTATGTCTGGTAGGTATTAACCGCATCACTACTCTTAACATTTAGTACTGCGCTTAGGATGGTAGAGTAGTTTATTCAAATCACAATCCGTTTTAAGTGTTCAAGTGATGCAAAATGATTATGGACTATATGAATCCGTATCTTTAAATCTATTAATGAAACTTTGGTCACTGAGAGCAATATTTTTCTTATTTTACTGCTTGGACTATTTTCGATAAGCGTATTGATTTCAAATCTGGCCTTTCAAAGCGACTTTCCCGCTCCGTGTCAAAGATGGCGGCGCCCATGTGAAATTTGGTCGGCCCAGTTTTTGTTTGTGTAAATTCTCTACAATATCAAACGCAAAGCTCTTGTGTTGGTAATTTCCAGCCATCTAATTCCAGCCAATTTCCATGCATCTAAGCTTCAACTTATCCCACAGAAGAGCGCACAGCTCCCGAATCGTCATAATTTTTGACGGACAAAGTACAGTAGCAGCAACAGCTTCTCGAGAACAACAAAGCCACCATGCCGTACGCCAACCAGCCTCAAGTCCACCTGACCGAACTCAGCGACGAGAACGTCAAGTTCGTCATCGAGGACACCGACCTGTCCATGGCCAACGCCGTGCGGAGGATCTTCATCGCCGAGGTGCCGACCCTGGCCATCGACTGGGTGCAGCTGGAGGCGAACTCGTCGGTCCTGCATGACGAGTTCATCGCGCATCGCGTCGGGCTCATCCCGCTCACCAGCGACGACATCGTGGACAGGATGCAGTTCTCCCGAGACTGCACATGCGCCGAGTTCTGTGCCGACTGCGCCATCGAGCTGACCTTGGACGTCAAGTGCACGGACGACCAGACCCGTCACGTGACCACCAGGGATCTCGTCTCCAGGTAGCTTTGCCTTTTCATCTATAAACCTCGTCACTAGTCTACCCTTACTGAACATAATTTTACCATTTAGTACTGCACTAAGGATGGTAGAGTAGTTTGCAAAAGGAAAACATATTGTTTTTGCTCTTTTTGACTTACACCAGGACCAGACGTCAGTCACCATGGTAACTGGTACTGCAGCAAACACCATGTGGTGTGTGGTGGGTTGTGATGTTCGTGATGTTCATTTGCCTTTCAAATATATCTAGTTTTCTAGTCTCTGAATCTGTATCAAATTATTCATTTGTTCATTCCAGTAACCCCCGTGTGGTGCCGGTGACGTCACGGCGAGCGGAGGATGAGACAGCGGGTTACGGCGAGGCTGACGACATCCTCATCGTGAAGCTGCGGAAGGGGCAGGAGCTGAAGCTGCGAGCCTTCGCCAAGAAGGGGTTCGCCAAGGAACACGCCAAGTGGAACCCCACGGCGGGGGTGGCGTTCGAGTACGATCCTGACAACGCCCTCAGGCACACGCTCTATCCCAAACCGGAGGAATGGCCAAAGAGCGAGTATACAGAACTAGATGACGAGACGGCGCAGGCACAGTTCAATCCAGACGGAAAACCCAACAAGTTCTTCATCAACGTGGAGTCGACGGGCGCGCTGCGGCCCGAGAATATCGTCCTGACGGGACTGAGCATCCTGAAGAAGAAACTGAGTGACTTGCAGACGCAGCATAGCCACGAGATCCAGAGTGACGTGCTGACCATCAGCTAGACTGGAACTTCCTGATATTTCTTTACACCGGTTATGAGAACTATATTTTACAACACTGTATTTGCATAACAGGTTTAACTGCCCTTTGCCTTTGGCATAACACACCAGCTTAAATTCTGTATCTGTATAGCCAGTATATACCTGCCCTTCCACATGACACACCAGCTTTGCAGGTACATGGTGTGGTGGCAGCTGGCTATGTTACACTAAACAACCTGTTACACCTAGGCTACAGTAACTGAGGATATCGTAGTGACAACTGACATACAGTCATACTGGTAAATGTAACATCAGTTTTCATAATTATTCTGGGTACACCACATTAATAGTACAGTGTCAGATATAGAAGGAAACCCAGCAGATAAATGGTTTCATGTACATTGTATATACTTTATACTTATAGAAGTTTTGCATTTTTCACTCCTGACTTGTTACAACTTCAACCTTGGTGTAAAAGTACTGTATATGACAGACTGTAATGTATGTAGAGATTACAAAGAGCATGCATGCATGCATGCATCAGCTACATGGGGAGCAGCTACTTGTAACATTATTTTTCTTTCTTCCCATCATAATTCTGTAATTGATGTCACTGTCATTGATGTGACTAATGTGAGAAAACAAGTCACAGGACACAGCAGTCAGAGTCTAAAATACTGTTACTTTATTTTCTGTAGACAAATAAACAGCAATCATCTGGAAATACAAAGTCTATTCCAGTCAACATAATCAAGTCGTGGTCACAAGACAAGTTTCTTGGGTTCTTACAGATATTAAGTAGTTTTTTTTCAGAGAAGTGAAACGATGGGAAAAAAACAAAAAAAAAAAACACTGTCTGAACTAAAACATTTCTTACATATTTTACATTGCACCAGAGCTTGGGACTGTTGGCTACTTTCTTTTCTAAAAAGTAGTTCCTACAATAATATCACATCAACAGATAGAATACCAAGTATGAAATGGCAACATCGATATCGTCTTTTTTTCTTCTACATTTATGTCTGGACACGCCGCAAGGCGGCACGTTGTTTGTTCTACAGATTAAAACGCGTTTTTGTACAAGCGATAAAAATGGAGTAAGCTCCTCCAGGAAGGATAAATAAGCCATAATACAGTAGTTTACAGAGTTTTCAGTCATGGACAAGGCAATTGCACAATAGTGGCAGTCTGCTTACTGTAAAGTGTAGAATATAGGCAAGGTTTTCAACAACCACAGTTGGGGTATGAGGAGAGATGAGTTGTTGACAAGCGTTGGGATTTAGAAAGAAAAATATTTCATTTTTTTAGTCCTTTTGGGCTTGAATCTAGGGAGTTAATTTTTGGGAAGACAATTCTTTGATCTTCATTTTCAGTAAGAATTTGGTGGTCATTCAAACTGCTTGGAATCTTAGAATAAACCACAGGAAAAAGCTGGCTTCACACAGTCCATTGAACTCAACAATGATGTTATACACATACAAGTGAAAATGAATAAGAGAAAGCATTTACCACAATGTGCACATTTTTGGCAACAACAAAAACATCAAATTACATGTTCTCAATATCAAGACAAAATTTGTTACACAATATAAACAGGAAAAAAAATAATAGCACCTATAACTAGAAAACAATCTCTACGGCACTTCCTACTTAAGCTAACAAAAGATGACAAAATTTAAAGTGTTCACCTAACAAGTGAAGTTTTTATGGACATTGACTACTTATTACCCTTCAATATGCTGTACAGAATAAATAAAAACACAAGGATGGCACAGTATTTGTGTACAATTATGACTACTGGATAGAGCAACTGTATGGAGCAAAGTAGACATATGAAACCTAAAAACACAAGGGCAGTCAAGAAATTATTGTTTATCTCTTGCCTCCAACACAAGTATTTTGCGTAACATCATAATCAACAGCGCCAATTTGTCATAATTGCCATACAGTCTTATTCCGTCTACTGGGCAGCTAGTTTCATTAGTCCTATCTGTTCTGCATGATGTCATTTCAACAATCATGATTCTCATGTAAAGTTCATGTTCTGCTCAATCTCAATGGGTTTGTAGAGCACATATTTCAAACTCTTTTTTCTTTTGGTTCTATGTTAAGATTGCAAAATTATATAACAATTTTTCTGATCAGTGCAAGCTACATGTACATTTTGGGTTATGATTTTCACTGAATTACATGTTCTTGCTTCTTATTGGTCAGTTTCAAATTTTGCTAGGAAACATTTGATTGGTCATTTTCATAAATGTGATGTACCAATGCAGAAATAGTCCAAGGTTTCCATGCTGTGTACAGCATTTAATTGATTCAGAATTGATGTTTTTGTACCTTTGGGTCATTTTTATCTGTTTTATTTGGATTAATAATTTCCAAATGCAGAGTGTCAAACACAAAATGCATTACTTCTACCGTTACAACATTTGCAGAGCCTTATAGGTGATAATCAAAAATAAGAAAAAATGGAGAATTTTTTTTCAAATTGTGAAACACCATTTCTTGAAACACTAAACAAACTTCTTGGGGCACTTTCTTCTTAAATTTTTCAATTTTTTCATGTCACTGAAAACTTCAGCCATTTGGAACTCTTCTGACCATGCCATACATATTACAAATTGGAATGGAGCTTATGTGTAGATCCCACTCTTGACATACTGACATGTGCAAGTATAGCCCAATCGGAGTGTACAGTCATAGTAAGTACAACACATTCTTATATGAACAAAACTGGTGAAACAAAATGGATGCCAATACCTTCATATTCAAATCTATTTAGAAATTTCACTGTATCATTGTTGCCAAATACTTGAGACCAAGCCTTATGATTTAATTTGAGAAAATCACTAGTTTTTTTTCCAAAGTAAAAATAATGTACATCTAAACTGGATTTTGTTTTACCCACAATGCACATCTGTGCTCATGGAGACCAGTGTCAGTATCAGTTACAGACAAGGGCCGGTGTCAGGGAACCACAATAAACATCTCTGTAGAAAATCACACAGAGAAAGTAAAGCATTATCATTATGACAGCATTAGGAGGGCACAACTTTCCACAGCTGAGAATGAAAAAGTAGGACTGTTTGGTTTGTTTAACATTCAAATATGATGTGACATATTTTAGTTCCACTTTGACCATATTTGTCAGGGGCCTGGTGTCATGCAACAAGAGAACCAAGCACTATGTAAACTATCTCTATTCTGTTACACCCATATTTTTCCCTACTTTCTTGTAATGTAGCGACCACTTTGTGGGATCCCTTGGTAAAATTGCAAGGTTTGCAGTCTGAACTGTGCATGGCAGTGAGGAGCACTGTGGTACTCTGACAACCTTGACGGCTTTCTGAGACATAAAAACAAAGCAGGCTCGCTCTGGACATGTACCAAGCATGGTTTAGACGAGAACTGTTCACAAGTTAGGGGCTTTCACCTTTGACCTCGCAGATGCACAGTTCAGACCATGAATCAGCTTGTAATCTTTCCTCTTCTTAGCATTAGATACTCCTTTTAAGAAGTGGACTGAACTTTTTACATTTTCAGTCATAAAATTCACACTGTTACCATAGGAACAAGAATGCTGACCGATGGGTAACCAGGTACCAGAAAGAGACGATGGTGATACTCAACTCCCATTCCACCTTTCTGCTGTTAAAGGTAAATGGCCTTGGTTTCCTACATGTTTTCTTCAGTAAGGTAGACCTGGCTCCCCCCTGTGGTGTTGCCAAAAACATGAAGGGGGCACATTTTCAATTGCGTATCTATTACCAGCAGGAAAAATTAATTGGTAAAAAAGTCTTGTATCTCCGCTTGAGTTTATATCCATCGCTGACACTGACAGATAGTAGTATCAATACCCCCAGGAAAACTTAAGTCTTTTCTCTGTGTACAGATCAGTAACAATTCAGTGACAGTTGTTAGCTATATCATCTGACATTGGCAGCCTGGAGGAGGCCATACTTTCAGGATGTTTCCTAGCCTAGTTGGCAGACATTAGACAGAGGCTATTGCTAAGATTGCTACCTTACTGTGGCACATAGTACAGGACACATCTCAAGATGCTGGTTTCCTGGCTACCACAATGTTTTTGTAAGAAACAACTGCTGAGTTCTTACTGCTAGCAGGGGAAAGAATTACACCAGCTAAAGATGCAAAGAGACAAATCTTTAGGAAGGTATGGGGAAATACTGCAACCAGGTTGAGGATTTAACTTCTACGAAGATTAGGTAAATAATGGTATTTTAGTACTCAAACCTGTCTTACACTCAAATAATATATCTGGCCTTTCCATTGTCCCAGACTGTTGAATGTCGAATGTTGATTGATATGACAAACATACCAGTACACACAGTTTAGTGGTCTGCAACAGTATGAACTCATCTATCCAGCACTTAGAAGGTCTTTTCAGTACCAGAAACCAAGTGTTTCATTCTCTCAAAGATTCTGCAATATAAAGAATAAGCAAAAGTACAGAATGAGAATCCTTGTCCAATTTTCCCATCTTTTTTAGCAGGTGTATTCTCCACCCAGCTGCTAGCAGTAGGACCCTCAGAGTAACGCAGCACAGGTTTTCTCACAAAAGGCCCCATATTCTCCTACAGAATGTCACAAAAGAGACTCACTTTTTTTCAACATCATACAAAAATACTAACGGTACCATCACAGACATAGGTAAGTGATTTAACCCCTGCCAAAACTGTAACGAACATAAAGAAATGTGTCTCATTTCCTTCCAGGTTCTGTCTGTCAGTCTGTCTTGGCTGATTTCTTCTCGTTTCTGTTTTTCTTTCTTCTCTCACTCTCTCATTCAGTCGATCATGATGGCGGGTGGTGTGTTGTCAGTCAGTGTGTTCTCCAGATGTGCAACCCCTCAGAACAGCATGCTTTGTCTCCTTCCCTTCCCCACACCTGAAATGGAACAGAATTTAACGTTAAACTCTAGATACTCTTACATTTAGACCTTACTGTAACATAACACATAGGCCACATCAATATACTGTTTTGCAAATACCATTAATGTATTTGTTAGTGTAGAGACTCTAAACTGATTTTCCTTCAAAAGACAGTCAGAACGTTTCAACTTTGATTTATGTTACTTCAAATTTAGAATTTGTAAATGGGAAGCCTCCTGAACACATTGACAGCATCCTGATCAGAGTTGACAAAGACTACAATCAGCATTTCTACTTTCTACCAGATCTGTACCCTGACAAATTCCTTTGAAAAGGTTGCTTACATTTGGCTTCACACTGCAAGAAAACAGCAACAACATAGAAGGCTCTGCCCCGGAGGCATTGCCAAATATTGGTGTGACCTTTTGTCTACGACAAGTGCCCAAAAACGCATATTGCACCCAGCGTCTCATCTGAAATAAGGATGGAACATGCATATTACAGGAAATGTGCTCGTGGTGAAGCTATTTTAATGACTGTGCATTAAATGGCAGATGGTAGAAGCCTTGATTATGCATTAACTGCAGGACATACTGAACTTCCTATGCCTCGAGTTGTCTCCATATTGTTTCTTAAGATGTATTTTAATTTTTAAACCAGTCTTGAAAGCTTGATTGAAGTGTGGTGGCTTTTGCATAAAATAAATATAAATAAATATAAATTGCATTAAAAAGAATAACTTTTTATTAAAAGCCCTAAATTAAAAGCTATACCAAAGTTACCCTAAGGACATTTCAGAACTGTTTTGGAGGATTATAGTAGTATATGGACACAAGTTTTTGGCACTGCCTTGCATTGCAAAGACCACCTCTTATGCTTAGTGCAGTGCATTAAACACTCATGTAGGGCAACACAAAGTACACACATGTGTACTGTAATGTAATTTAAGAAAAAAGCATTTAATTGCAGATATTTCAATAATTTGAATCATTAATTCTTCAGCAACGTTGAAGCTCTTTTTACTGCAAACAAATTCTGAAACCTTAAAAGCCTGCTTGTATGTTAACTTGTAGGTGAGTCCATCAAACCACATTGAGACAATGAAAGCACATGAAGGATGGTAAATGAGTCGACCTTTGAAGAGAATACTGGTTCACCATCTTCTGATCATCTTCTATACCAGGTACTGTACCACTGGAGGTAGCATATCAGGTATGGAGAGCTACTTTGTTTGCCCTAGCAATTTTAGGCAGAACTGCAGGTAGCTTTCCATGCATAGTGTCTCTCCTTGTACTTTACAGAAGCAGGCTAGTTGGGGGATATAATATCATATACGATAAGGACAGCTTCTTTGCCCTAGCAGTTTTAGACAGAACTGCAGGTAGCTTTCCATGCATCATGTCTCTAAAAGTTTATCAGAGCAGGCTTGCATGGAGTTTTGGGCTGGGTAATTTTTTTCTGAGTCTCTACTTACATGCAGAACATCCTGTCTGCTTTAAGAGAAACACTCATCCAGAAACGGCTGCATTGCCAATGGGCAGGAAGAAACATTACATTGAGTACAGGTACTTACAGTACAGTAACTGTATCTTCTGTTGTTAGGAGTTTTAATGTAGCTACTCTGATTTTGCTTTAGCCAGTTAAAAATGCATCATTGTGCAATTGCATGCTGTGAAGTGATATTCTATGTGGATGAAGTTACTAGTTATAGCTCTACTTCTATTTGCAAGGCTGTTAAGTTTAGTGCTGGGCTAGTAGAAAATTGCTGCATTCCAGAATGGTCGGGTAGCACCAAAAGTGGCAGTAACTTGGCATGCATGTGGTTGAGTAAGAAAATGTTTCTGCTACTAAGAAGCATTTAAGGTACTGTAAATTCATTAACTTTCGCTGTGGTTTTATTTCAAGGCTTTTGCGGTGTTTTAAATTCGTAGTTGTTCTATAGTAGAGTGGTGATACACTGGAATTACGTATATTCTCAGTGTCGTAATTCGGGATGGGGTCACTGAGAAAACCATCATGAAAGTTTAAAGATTTACAGTACTTGTACAGCACTATCTACATGTACTACTTTATGTAGCCTCCACCAGTCCTTCCTACGGGGTACAGATCATAGAATTCGGCAAAATAGGGAAGAATGATTGGCCAGGAGAGTCAGTCTGCACTAGTGTCTACGGTGGCTAAACTCCCCTGGCCATTTATTCTCCCTATTTGGCTGAATTTTCCAGATTTTGGAACCCGCGTTGTTAGTCTGGAGGAGACTAACCTACTCTTCCGAAGCCCCACGGGTTAGCCAGCAATGGAGGGGTACAAGGCACTTACGGAGGTGTCTTGTTGATTCGGGCCGGGTTATTTGTTTGTTTGTTTTTTACGGTAAGAATTCTTCACACATGCCCGGGGGCTCTGAGATGGCAGACCGGGAAGTGGGAACACGAGGCATAGTGGCTACAGGGGGGAAACACACACAGGTCAGAGGTAAGTAGAGGTCAAAGGTTATAGGGTAAAGGGTAGGATGGGAGGTACATCATCAGGGCCAATCATCAAACAGTATACAATACAGTCGATGGTAGCCAATCAACATACATGTAGAGTTCAGGGGGTAAATGTCAAACAGAGGGTGAATACAGAGGTCAGTACAGGTCAAAGGTTATAGGTAAAAGGTTAACAGCATGAAATGTACGACACAGAAAGGGCAAAGAAAAACACATAACAAAAAAGTGTATGAAAATTGGACAAGGAGAGGATAACAAAGAAGACGACAGAAAAGGGTAAGAAACAGAGTTAATAACTATTGAAAGTTAATGTACTAAACCTACTAGTAAGAACTTGGGTTCTAGAAGTAAACATGTTACTGCTGCACTTATTCTCTAAGGAAGTATCTAAATGGCAAGATTGATCAAACTTGACGTTAGCAAAGTTAAGTCCCATACTACTCAAGTCTGTTTTTTTTTAGATAACTAGACCTTGTGTGAACATAATTGTGTAGTGTAGGTTCACACTGAAGGTAATTCACACCCACACATACAGACATGTTTACCTCTAGTTTAACCCATTGAACAATCAAAACTATGTAACATGCAACTGGCCTTGTTGCTTAAAATCAACTTTTTAATACATCCACTTTCAACAGATCTTGTTATAGTTACTGCACTCAACTTGGTACAGTTCATGATCATCATGGTATTGATCATCGACCTAAGCGATAAAGCACACTGGAACACCTGTCTCGTAAGAAAGAGCTTCCTAGCAAGTTGGTGGCTTCCATGATTTGACCAGCAATACACTTACATATGAATCTTTAACCAACAAGTATGAAAGGAGACATCCAAGTCAAATATGATCACATGTCAAGTAAAGGGATTTTCTCTGCAGTATGAGTTGACTTTCTTCTCTGGCAGAATTTTCCTACCTTGTTTGAATAACACACATGTAGATGTAGAGAGGGCGTGGCACTCTGCAGTTGCCATGACAACTTACCTGATGACCCTACTGATGATGACTTGTACCCAGGATCCTTTGCCAATCTGATCTCATCCAGAGTGAAGATGGATGCAGCTGTGAAAACAAGATTCAGAGTAAGTCCAACACATTGTTACGTACCATCTGTTACCTTTGGCAAGAAGGTTGTTCTGGGCATCATCTGTATGTATGTTTGTCTGTATGTATGTATACATGTGGTTAAAGCATGATAACTCAAGGAGCTATGGATGGATTGTCATGAAATTTGGGTAGGTGGGTAGGTCTTGATGAGACCACGAAATGATTAGATTTTACACTCTCTAGCGGATTGTTACAGTAATGCAGCAGAACTTGCAGTTTTGATATTATCGGATTTTGGATGACAGATAGCTCTTGTGCTTAGAAAGAAGTGACATACGTTAGGATCCCTTAGCAGCTTGTAACTCTTTCAATGTGCCTATATCATATCTCATTTGCAAGTGAAATAAGCCATCACTAAGTATTTCACAAGAAGGCCTTAACCCTTCCATTCGCAAGGCCGTTCTCTAAAAGTTAAACCAGTACGTACTGTCAGGCAGCTTGTGAATCCGCGGGCCCAGCGTGTTGAAGTACGGGTGCTTCATGGCTTCATCTGCTGAAATTCTCCATTTGGCCTCATACTGCAATAAGAGATCAGAGATTAGTGGTTACTTCCATCTTCTGGTCATTGTTACATTAGCTTGCACAACAGCTGGCGGAAGCAGAACAAGCCTTAGGCCTTAACATTATTTTGAATGCTAATGCTAACCCGCTGTTTCTTCTTACCTGGTATAGCAACAGAAAATAAAAAACCCAAAGTACGTACCTGTAGCAGCTTTGATGCCAAGTCTTGGCCATCAGCGTCAAGTCTGCAACAACAAGGAGAAGGGTTGTGGATATGTGCAAGTAATCACAATGACAGACCTGTTAGTATGTCATATGTGGATAGTGTTCAGCTATAAGGACAGGCCGGTTCCTGTGTGTGGATGGTGTTCAGCACCAAGGACAGACCTGTTCCTATGTATGGAGATTGTGTTCAGTACCAAGGAAAGACTGTTACATTGTGTAGATATGTTCGGCACCAAGGACAGACCTGTTCCTATGTATGGAGATTGTGTTCAGTACCAAGGAAAGACCTGTTATGTTGTGTAGATATGTTCAGCACCAAGGACATTTTCTCATTTTCATTTTTACAATCACATAATCTCCACATTTTAATCATCAAACTCATTTAGTGTCAGTCCTGCCCCCCTCCCCACTGACCTTGGTGCAAGGTTGACCAGTGGTTCTGGTTCGTAGTGCGGGAAGTTGTACATGAGGAAGTCTTCATTCGTCATGGCGCCCGGCCACGTCTCCGCCGTGGGCGTGCCCAGCGTCTTGAAGATCAGGTGCAGCTCGTCCTCGACCGTGGACCCAGGGAACAACGGTCGGCCCGCGGACATCTCGTAGAATATACACCCTACACCCCTGGGACGGGAAGGAACATGCACGATTTTAATTCTCTCTTTCATTCATTCATCTGCCAATTCAACAATTTATCCATCTATTTTTCTATCCATCAATCCATCCGTGAATCTGTTAACCAATCCTTTCACCCACCCATCATAATGATCAATTTTCTCACAAAATCTAAATTTTCTCACTATTTTATGTACCTCTCCAGATACTGTAAATCATGGAGTAAATTATTAATATGCAAAATTTGGGTTAATGATCTAAGAGATTTAAGAGATTCAGTTATTGAAATGGTATGAAATTATACGTACCACATGTCGATAGGGGTGGAGTATTCTGTGGAACCTAGCAACACATCTGGAGGTCTATACCTGTGACAGAGGATAAATAGGTCAAAATTTAAAAGCAACAGGAGAGCACAAACCTACATACAGATATCAGTACATTTACATATTTATGTGTGAGTAAATTGTCTACACGTGTATATTGTGTGTGCAAATCAAATTACACCTTTTTGTACCTTGAGTTATTCTATAAAACAAATGGTAAAAATATGGCCTTAGCCAAGGTAGATATGTCCACTAACATGCCAACAGTTTATAGAAAAATTCTGCTCAGAAACTCTGCAGAGATTTTGTACATAGATTAAATTTCTACAGTAAAATATACAACATTACATTTTAAGCCTGGTCATTTATTTCTGACATGTAAGTAGCAACATTTAAGTGTTCAAAAAATTGTAAAAAAAAACAACCTAAGCCTCTTAGATTACTACTGTAGGAATCCTTTTATGTGTTCAGTAATTTCAGACCATTATCTGTATCTTGAGGTTATTAGTTGATATTTATAGCGTGAAGAATCTCTGAAAAGCCTCATATTCATGTAAAGTACCAGTCATCTAAAGCACATTTCCACTTCTTAAAATAAGATCCTAAGTCTTTCTAAGACCAGGATATTGAATTTTCTATCCTTAAATCCTCTTGAGAGGGAGCTACAATCCATCGGCTTAGTCTAAAAAAGACTCCTTCTTGTTGATTGACATTTCTCTCACGTACTCTGTTTTTCCCTAGTCACCTGTGACGACGAGTCAACTTCAATCACTTTCTATGAGCGAGCAGTGAAAATTACGTGCTCAAGTCTTGATGCTAGAAGGATTACATCTCAAAGGGTGGCATAATCCTTGCACTTCTGATGGCAGTGAGTGAGAGATCTGTCACTCAGATACATTATGTATGTTACACGAAATGAATTGTAAATGTACAGCAGTATGCAGTTTCCAAATGGCACACTGTAAATTGTCAAATATTCGTGGTGGTTTGAATTGTTTGCAGTTTTCGTGGTGAGACCTCATCACAATGTAAATATATGCTTTGTCTTACACTGTATTGCTCAGGTTGTATCAACCAAAAACTGTTTAAGGTATACCGTACATTGCAAATGTGTCATTCAGTTAATGAATTTGTATGTACAAATGTATGGTAGACAGGGTGTGGTTTTTCCTACTGTGTGACGCTGTCGTTTCCAGGAATCTTGTTTTGATGAAAAATTATGACTATTCTATCATTTTGACCGACAGAATTGTGTCTAATTTGAAAATGGTGATCTAAATTAGGTCAAAACTGAGAATGGTTTCACTTGCAGTGACAAATGGTTTTACTGTGATGAAGTAAATCTAGAAGTTCAGGTAAAATACTGATTGCAGGGAGCTCAATTTTTGGGGGTGAAAATCTTCCAATTTGTTCAGAGTACATGGATGATTGTTTCAGTCATAAAGGATGATTTCATTGGTACCATAAAAACATAAAACTCTAGCCTCCGTGATTTTCCACAGCACATAACTTCTACACAGATGGCGCCGACAAGTCGTACATGTAAATTTCGAGTGGCCATGATCAAGTTTTCCGATGCTCCATGTTGAAGGATACACTTTGAAGCAGTAAATATAGTTATTCACATCTGAATTACTGACCGGCGCACTTTGTGCTGATTACGTGCATGTCTAATGATTGTGGAGTGGCACGCACCGCTGATGAAGGATAATAGCCCCACATTCAGACCACAAGATTCAATTAGGGTAAAAGGAATGCGCTGCCGCAGGAGGTTTTGCCCATCCATGCACAAGTTTACTTAACATGACGGTATGCCAAGATCAATTAACAGGAAGTCCGATTACCGATTCCCTTCCCTTTTCCAGGTCCTACACAGCAATGTTTCAACCCCCACGCATTTCAAAAGCAGGAATTGGAATTTCGTCCACCAGTGAACAAGAGAATTTCGATTGAATTATCAGCACAGTGCTTGCATCTTTGATGCATTTTGAGTCGTTTTCAAAGCCCAAGGATTCCAAACCGTTTGGTTAAACCTTGACTCTCACTCATCAGCCATTTGAATGCCAGAACTTTGTTTTGGAAACTTTCCCAAACTATTTCTGAATGTGCAAAACAGCTGTGCACAATCTGTCTTGTGCTCTTGTGCTAAGGCCAGGCTAAAAAAGTTCTATAAAGCTTTTATGTTTTGACCTGTGAACCATATGACCCAGGATTTTCTGAGAGGTTATCTTTCCCACAATGCCTAGGGCCTTTTCTGCTTTTTACAACATACCCAGCTGTTTTGCATGGCGTTATGGGACTTTTACGGAGGATATTCATGTGATAAAATGATGTGCCCTACGGCAAAAAACTGACAAGATATTGGGCGGTACGTGTATTACACATCAGATTTCGCAGTTGGAGTTTCAACTTTTCAGAGCCATACATGACAAAAATGGACAGAAGCTGGTTCATGTTTTAAACTGTGCAGTGTGCCAAATGTCTAGAGTTTGGTAATGTCTCAGGGGCTTCTACTTTGACATATTTCCCACTTTTTCAACAGGTTTAGACAAATTAAAATTTATGTGCTTTCAATTTTGACTTTTTGCATGCCCGGTTCAAACTGTGAACTGGCTTATTCTAGTTGCAGTTTTTACAACAGTACAACATTATCTCTTCTCATCTGACTCAACTGAATGAAGAAGAAGCAGTAAAATAAATGTAAAGAACTTACCATAACGTGACAACTTCATTGGAATACGTCTTGGTTGGCACTGATTTGGCTCTAGCCAGACCTGAGGCAAACAAATGGAAGTATGCAATAGAGTCTTGACCTGTATTCTTAGCACTCTGAATTCATTTCCTTTTGCACTGGCTTCATTTCATAGTTTTTTTTTGTGATGTTAAGTCAAAGAATGGCTAGGAAAAGTTAATCTAATGTCCTGATATAGTTAATCTAATTTCCTGCTATAGTCATGTCTGTTACCTCATGATGTGGAAATACAAATACAGAAAATTCTCGGAAGGGATGAGATCCTTGATTTCTTGTTTAGAGTCAGAATACTTAAAAAAATCTTACCGAAGTCTGCTAGCTTGATGTACTTGTAGAAAGAATCTTACCGAAGTCCGCTAGCTTGAGGTACATGTAGAAAGAATCTTACCGAAGTCTGCTAGCTTGAGGTATTTGTAGAAAGAATCTTACCGAAGTCTGCTAGCTTGATGTACTTGTAGAAAGAATCTTACCGAAGTCTGCTAGCTTGAGCTCTCCCTTCTCGTTGATGAGGAGATTCTGTGGCTTCAAGTCTCGGTGCAGGATTCTTCTCCTGTGACAATAATTTAACCCTCGTAGCAACTGGTACAAAAATAACTGTGGGGAAGACACAGATATCCGAGGTTAGATCATCTTTAAGCATGTCAGAACAGCTACACAAAACTAATACCACCCCAACTACAGTTTTTACATGATACCGATAAATTAATTGTTTTGTCCAAGTTTTTTTTTGTTACATGTATGTTGGTATAAATTCAAACATGCAACAACATAAATCCCAGATGTAGCATATTCAACTTTCCCATTTTAACTAATATTTTGTACTTTTTGTACTTAGTTACACATAGCCATTTGTACAGCTACATAACTATGCCTGGAAGTGCGCAACAGCGAAAGAGAGCTCTTCCACACTTGTCAGTGTTCACTTCCATTCACTGACATTTGATACATGGTTGTACTGTTTTATTTAATGTAGTAATAATAGTGATAGAAAGGCTTGTACCAACCTTAACATTTGTCATACTCATTATATTCCCACAGTCATCCATATATTGTTTCAAGTCCTTCTCCTGAAATGGAAATAATAATAAACCATTAAAATTTTACAAAAAAATACAACAACTGTTGACTCTTCTTCAGATGTAAAAGTTATTTTTCACCTACCAGTACACAAATATCTTCTGATAATCCGACTAATGCAAAACCTTCTACTGTAACATTAATATACAAAATTCTTCCTCCCCATTGCTAAAGCGAAGGACTGGTATCCTCCCTTTGATTCCCTGGACCACTGTCATTAAAGCTTTTACCCTTTCAGGGCCCCATGCACCAACGTGACCAAGTAAGGAGACAATTTACTCCGGGCTTTCGACAAACACTGTCTTCACAAATTTGCCACGGTTATGTGGATGCATGAAGCCTTTCATGTAACGTCATCAAGCTTTCTTCTCACGTATAGAAAATTAAAGTACAGCCACTTCAGCTTTTTTTCCTATGAAAGACTGGCTCTGAACCCATGTAATCAGTACTAAACGCAGCAGCACTGCGAGCAGGTACTAATCATTCCATTATGTCTGTGTGTGTTTCCTCAGCTTCAGTCGATAACAAGACCCTTTAATTAAGACTTATATAACCGTCTTCAGACTTGAATTGGATGACTCCAATTTTGGGTGTTGGCTCTACGCACCATGTGCAAGAGGACGAATGTAGCAATTTTTGCATAGGAGTGTCACACAATTTTCATGTAGAACAAAACTGAAGATTAACACAAGAAAACTGTTACTCAAGCAACTGGATTGTAGCATCCACTACTTTTTGTCAGTGACAGTCACTGGCAAAAAGTAGTGGGTGCTACATGTACTTGAAACATATGACAATTTTCGTAATCTATCAAGTTCCTTGAGTAACAGTTTTCTTGTGTACCTCATTACTTGAATGTCTTAAGTAACCTTCATTGATACACGACTGAGGATACACTACAGAAGATGCATTACTGGAGAAACTTACCAAATATTCAAAAACGAGCGTGAGGGACTTCTCCGTATGGATGATGTCATGTAGAGTTACTATGTTGGCGTGCTTCAAGTCTTTCAAAAGGGAGACTGAAAGTAAGAGGGTAACAGGATTAGACACCTTTTAGACAGGATTTTCAAAGATTTAAAAAATTTCACTGCAGAAGTCGTCTCTTTTGATGACGTTCATTGAAATTTTCAAGTGACACAAGCACTTACAACAATGCATAACAATCACTGCAGACAAGAAGTAACAATGACAGCAGTGATGGGTATTGTTGGCTATGGTGGGGTTCCTCAAGGATCCCTTCTTGTACTTCTCTAATAAAAATACTGTTTAGTAGCAATTACGACAATGTTTGTCATTACAGCAGACAACAAGTAACAATGGCACACACACATAACAGTATTAGCTACATTGTAGTGTTGGCAATGGAGGGGATCCTCAAGGATCTATTCTCATACCTTCTCTAATTGCTGTGCACGGTGCACCCTCCTCGTGTTCAAGTCTGATCTCTTTCAAAGCGACTAGGTTGTCTGTTAATTTGCTCTTTCCTTTGAACACAGTTGCATACGTCCCCTAAGTGAACAAAAACATTAAAAAAAACATTATTATTTTATTAGGCATTTCAGTCTATGGAGGATCAATCAGCACTGCTTGAAATTCATCATTCTTGCAAATAATTCTTAGGAGCACAGAAAATTCTTAGGAGCATAAAAAAATAATCTTACATGACATAAGATTAAGTACAATGTCATCAAAACCTACACCCAATTACAGATATATTTTTCTTAAGAAGTAAATGCAAACTGAACTGTCATATAGTATCTGATTAATGAGGCACATTTCTGGGATGCACTTTTCCCCACCACTCAAACAGACTGAATCTATATCATCCATGAAAAAAGATGATTGACTTTTATGGTCTCCTCTTAATTTATAGTTATTTGCAAACATGATTAAAATCCTTGCCACTGCCACAGTAAATCTAATCCGAGCCCAACCACCTTCTGCAAGGTTACAAAATCAGGAGCGTGCGATTCCCTTGAGGCTTTGGTTGGAAGGTTTGACAGGAATTTGGGAATACGAAATCATGTTACAGATGGCGTGAGCTTAATAAGGTTGCTGCTCAAAGGAACTATCGTAATTTTTGTCTTTACCTCCAGGAGGGGGCCCGCTCTGGCTGTCTGGAGAATTTATGCTCTTTTTTGCGGCGTGCTGTTATAACTTTCACTTACAGATAGATGGTTTTCCTAATCAATTCAGTTACTAGAGAGTTGAATATTCAATTTGTACTCCGTGTAGAATAAATCTGAACATAATGAGATCAGGATTTATCATTAAGCCACAAAATTGAGAGGAATATGATAGGAAAGGAGTATTTGCATTGGAGTATTAAAAAAGGGGTAGAACTGAAACTTTGTGAAAGCTGTGCCAGATTCAATATGGGCACAGTCACATGTTGTACAGTCACAAACTGATGTCATTCTTGGGATAGTCTTGTGTTCTAGAAAATTAAATTGCTGTCATAGCCTGCTTGAAAATTGTACAGCATCAAAATGTGCAAGGGCCTAGTACAATGATTGTGACTGAGCCAAAATACTGAGTGGGTTTTCGAGTCTGCTTTAACATTTGCATACCTTTCGTGGAACCCTTTTGAAATGCACACCCAATCCGTAACCCTGAGCCCACATTCGTTATATGGGCATCCCGAGGTGACGATTTAAATCACTAAGATGCATCACTCTGCGACTTGTGCTGGGGTGATAAGTCACCAGAACCCAGCGCGAGTCAAAACCCATTAGCTGAAGCAAGTTCGGAAGCCTTCTTCAGAGATATGTAAATTCTGTCACAATTTTTTATACAGTTGGAATGAAGTCTCTAGGAACTATATAAATTATACAAGTCGTTAAAACTATTTCTTTGGACAAACTTGAAATGTCACACTTCAAACAAAGCATCATGCTTTTTTGATACCTGACTGTGGAGTGAGTTTTTGATGTGGCTGGCCAAAGAAAGTTGGCATCTTCCTCATACAAATTCTACTACATGTGATCTTTATACAGCTATAACTCCCAAGGAACCCATTAACTGATGCAAATCAGAGCCCTGCCTCTTCAATTGTAGACTTGGTGATCTTTAGACAGTTTGAAATCCCTGGGAACCCATTACAGCTAAACTTCTTCTGTGGCCAAACTAGAATCTTTTTTCTCAGCTCAAATAGTGCAATACTGCTTTGATACTTCTCGTTTTTAAACTAACTGGCAGGTTATTCAACAATGAGAAAAGTCTGCTCACTGACAATTTGAAAAGTGAACTCTGCAAAAGTTTAACAATTCTTTTAATAAACCTACAACATTTTGCTGTGACATGCACAAAATCATCATTGAATCCTAAAGCCTTGGTGGTACCATCAGTTTATTGGAATATCAAAATGAAATGTGTCTAGAAATATAATGTTATTATACACTTACCTCACCCAACTTGTCCAACTTTGTATATGACTCCATCTTTCCAAACCCTATTTCATGCTGAAGAGAAACAACAGTTGGGTTATGTGTTGGTGGAATCAAAGTTTTTGCACTTCAATTGTACACCCAAGTCCTCAATAATCTAATTGACATTCCCGTAACTATAATTACGTATTTTAATCATTATTTCATACTTTGGACATTAGTGCAGAAACAAGCGGCACAAGGAGTCTTTTAATTCAACAAGACCTCCAATCTATCAGCCCTTCAGCAGCGCACAGATTTTTAGCAAGTTCTCAAAACACAATGACATCCCATTTTTCCTCCATGAATACTGTTATACAGTTGGATCATAGACTTTGAACATCCGTTTCTCGAGCCTTAAAACTCCATTTGGCACCTCTAACTCTCAGCACCACTCACAAGATACACCAATCAACAACTCTCAAGAGCAGACACCTAAAAACCCCTTCCTAACGTCAACCTGTCTGCTAGTAATAAATCTTGTTGTGTACTTACCAGCGACGCTCTTCTCATTCTTCTGCTCAATCTGCCCTCAGGAAACGGTGGGCTCAGGCTGCGCTTCTCCAGGAAGTTATCAGGGAGGTGGATGTCTGCAGGCAGAGATAGTCTTTTCGTGATATCCTGTCCCGGGGGAGGGAAAGAAAAATAGCCATCAGCAACTTCTGACATAAGAAAATTTGCATTCTCATCAGAGACTCTTCGTTGATATATAGTTAACTGGTTGAATGTATTTTTTCTGATATCCTGTCATGTGGGATGAAAAACAAAAATGGTCAGCAACTTATGTCATTGTTTAAACTGTCATAGAAGTGTCATAAACTTTAAGTATGCATTCTTAGAGAGTCTTCATTTATTGGTCATGGTTAATAGGTAGTCTTTTTGTGATATCAAGTCATGTGGAAAGAAAAAGAAAAAGTCAGCAACTTCTGTTATCTAGTATATTGGTGAGTTTTCCTGATTTACCCAGCAGGTTTTTTTTTTCTGTTCAATAAAAAAAATTCGGACATACAAATTTAAAATAGAAACAGCCTTTTCATACATAAATCAATGAACCAAGACCCTTTCCGTGTGATATCCTATCACACAACGACACACTAAATTGGAAACAACTATCAGTGAAATACCTTAAGTCTTTCATATGCCATGCATGGCTGGACACTATAACTTCTATACGTCATAAGCTTACAAACCGTAACAGTTACTTTGCAACAATCTTGCAAAGAACATTCTAGAAGTAAGAATGTTGTCAGCCTTCATATACCATGCACAGTGGGAGACTCTTTCATTCATAATCAACCAACTGAAACCGTCTACATGTCCAATCCTTCAAACTAAACCTAAGTCTGCTCTACTCATACAAATGTACATGTTCATCACACAGGACAGCTCACTTCTTTATCTAGAAGACACTGTCTACCAACCTTGCGTGGTGCCAATGGAAACTAAAACAACTTCTGCATAGCCCATAATATCAGCTTTACAGAAGTCTGAGTACCGATTATTTCTTTAAAACCTGGCTAACAGGACTTTTCATATACATATACATGTACGAGTAAAGCATTATAGCCTTAAGCTACTTTTTCCACAGAAATGTCCTACAACAGAGATAACAACAGAGTAACAAATGACAACCTTAAGTCACTCAGTTCATTAACGTCCATTTTAAAAAGAATCTGCCACAAATCTACCATTTATGCCTCATAAAAACTGTCATTAATGCCACATTACTGTTTAAAATTGTACAACATCGATACCTTGATCATAGTTTACACATTACTCTTGTATTGGTGCTCGTAATTTCTGTTTGAAGAAATCTTAGAGTCTACATACATATGATGAATGCCTATGGTTTCTATAAGGCCCTAGGTTTGACCATACACAACAGTTTTATGGTAACCCTTACAATGGAAAACTGCCAACTAACTGGCCCCCTGGCAAAAATCTGATATGGTGCAGTAGCACTATCTGACACCACCTTTTGGCACTGTACCAAAAGACTTTCTCCTTTCCAAATTTATCACTTGTGTCTTTTGAAAACCTCCCGGTACAACTTTTCTGGGGATCGTGCCAGGAAACTCAGTACAGCCGAGGGAAAATCAATGATACTATTGTGTCGGAAAGTCTTACAGTCGCTTTCTTGATTTGGCTTAACTGCAATGGAACATTTTGACAATTATCCTGTATATGCTGTAATCCTTTATTGAAGCAAAGCCTTATAGATGAGGCTTGTTTCTTGCATGCTGACAATTTCAGTTATATAATTTCACTGTTTGATACCATGATATATCTGTGCTGTCAGAAATTATCTACTAGTATATTCAAAAGTGTGTCTTTCACCTCTTCCAAAAGCAATGTAAGAGAATGACATTCAAATGGTTAATCAAGGATGTAGCTGTTATATAATTACCCAATTAAACTTAATAGTTACTGTCTTTTTTTAAACAGGGTTTAACATTTTGACTTAATTCTGATCCTTTTCATATTAGCCATGCCAATTTTGTCTGTCTTTTGTGGTCTGTGATTAGGGAATTTCCCCTCCCTGCTGTCACTCAACTATATGAGCATAATATATATTTTAGCAAACACCAAAAAGCCACAATTTTATCAATTTTTCCAATAAGATTCTATGAAAATTAATGACGCTCCAGGTAAAACCTCCATTTTCCTAAAAAATATTATCTAATGCTCTGATCCACTATCACTCTCAGAGGCCAAAGACCTTGAATTGTTCTTAACTAACCCCAAAAATTCCTCCCACACGTCGCCAAAAACAAAATGAAGAGGATTTATAGTATTTCATCATGCAGAGAAGCGTAGCAACACTAACAGACACATAAAAAAGCTATCTGATCCAGACAATTCCACTGAGCTTACACTCTGATACAATCTCATCTTACCTTCTGTGTGATTCATTACAATTGTGTCACCAATATATACAGGGCCAACAGAGTCATTATTTAAGTTTACCTATCTCGAACAGATCTCGCGAAATGCAGCTTTTGGTACACCTGTTTTAAATTAAAACTGTGACAGTCTTTCTGCAGAGATTAATGGACAGATTTTGTGACGTGACAAAGTAGTGCAGAAGAATATAGCCTTGTTGAATGTTGAATGCAGATCTGATATATAGTATAGCTACATGTATGCCTTCTACACATACAGCAGACATGTTTAATATGACTACTTGTACATAAAATGCAGCATTGCAATTCTCAGTGTGATTTTTTACAGTTTCAAGACTTAATTTTGCAGTAGAAAGGGAACGGAGTCACTTCTTTCTAAACGATACAGCAGCACATGTCATGCGAGAATAATGCCTGTGGCTCTCACCACAAACATAAAACTAAGACAAATATTTCACGGCTGGCAGTGCTCGGAATTCTCCTTGAGCCCCAAGGGTCAGAAACATGAGGCATAAAACAGGCGGAACTGAAGCGTGAGAGTCTGCAGAGCCTGTCAATTTGTGATAAAATTAGGTCTTAATAGCAGTGATTACCCAGGTTTCAGTTATGAAACTTAACAAACAAGAAATCAGAGGTTTCACACCTCTGGGAAATATCAATTTCTTGTTTTATTCATTATAAATTGTGAATTCTAATTGTGAATTTCTCTGTTTACGTCTAGTGTGAATTTACATCCGGGGAACAGACTCCCAGCCAACTTCCTTTTGAGTGGCTTCTGGTACCTGACTTCCTGTGTCTGACCTTTAAAATTGGTGTCCCCAAAAGAGTGAATTTGGGTGGCCTTGGTCTTAAACGATATCCTAAAAACATAAATGCCCTTTTCCTTCCATGTAGTGACCTTACCAGTAAAATATCTGACTTCATTTCCAGAAAGAAAATCCTCCATTTCGATAATCTGGCTCTTCCCTCAAAGGATAATGGTTTCCAAATGGTACAACCCTGAGGGGCTAAGAGGTGTTGGATGTTTCTGTTGATAGGATGAGATTTGGGAAGGCACTCAGGATTTGTGGCGCCAGACGCAGACATCCATTTTTTTCCGTGGCATTTTACCTTGCCCTTGACTTCTCCTTTATGGCTTATAGTTAACTTCAAAAGCAAAAATTGTGACAGTGTAGAAATTTGACAGCAGACTTTTATCGACATGTATGTGTGGATGGCATTCAGCACCAAGGAAAGATCTGTTCCTATGTGTGGTGGCTAGTGTTTAGCACCAAGGAAAGACCTGCTTCTATGTATAAATATTAAATAGGGTTCAGTACCAAGGACAGACCTATTCCTATATGTGGATGGTGTTCAGCACCAATGACAGACCTGTTCCTATTTGTGGATAGTGTTTAGACCAAAAAAATACAAAAATTATGGCTCTAAAACTTCTAGAAAATTACTCCACAATCTGTACATTTTGAAGAAACAAATAACTACCTCTTACATTTTCCCTTACATCCTCCTAATATACAAAAAAAAATGTTATAATCACACCAATTCTTAATGACTAAACTACAACGGCAGAGAAACACACTGTAGATAAAGTATGGAGCCTAGATCCCATTTTCTGATATATTCCACCCTTCATAAAACAGTGACATTTCTCCATCAGACAAGTCGATCCCTCATAATGCACCTTCTCACCCTGGAGCCACGTTCCAATGTTTTACAATCAGCGGGTCAAATTGCTCCTGCTACCACCTGTTTTTTCCTGAAATTGACGCCATCAGTCACGAGAGAAAACCGGCGGGCACGTTTTACGTTTCCCCTGCTTAGCGTTGAGCCGGTCGTAATTCTGTCATACCTTGGGGAAATGCGAGAAGTGAGGCATGCATTAAAACTGCTCGTAAATTACTTGGAGGTACTATAGTTCTAATTATGTATGGGTTCAACAAGCCTACTGAACCTTACTTCACTGTGCTGAACTTTCCTTTTGAAAATTCTGTACTCTTGCATACTCTATCTATCGGTAGCTTTTTCAAAACATTTGCCTCCATATGTATATATATCCTTAACATAAAAATAAATGCTTCAAAATTTTAATCTGAGCATCTTATGTCCTGAGAGCCACAACATTTGGAGGAGGACATTTTACATTTTGCATCTAGTTGACATTTTTAGCAGAGGACCTTTCACTAGTGCACTGCTTATGAAGATCGGTGGCCTGGATGGGCAACTATGTCACTTTCCATCCATTATGCACCATTTCTGGAGGGCTGGAGCACCTCGGCGGCCACTAGAGGTCTCTGCGAGGGCTTTTAACCATGTTAGCTGCCGTCTTGTATGCAATTATGGCTAGATGCATGTGTACACTCCACTCTATAATGCCAAACATCACATGAAGGTACGTAAGTACATGTACATGTAGGCTTTTAGTGTTAGATATTTCTATAATCCATCTGGTAATGTTATCTGTCATCAATCTGCTAAAAATCCTATTAAACAAGACTGCCAGCCTGCCACATTACAAAAAAATATGAATCTGAAGAGATGTACTAATGCAGCATCAGTAATCCCTAAGGATATATATACACTTAAGATTGCCAGCTGTTCAAGACATTTTCAAGAAGGCCTAACACTCGGTTGCTTAGAAAATGGGAGTACTCCTTTCATATATTTCTATTACCATTCTGTACTATATTTACATGTACGATGTAAATCACAGTCCAGAAAATGATGTATCATACAGAATCAGGTGAGAAACATTCAGGCAGACACCACAATTTCCCTGCACAGTAATGCCGTTATTTTGGTTCGTTGCTATCCAGCAATGTTATCATTACAACACTATACATGCTAAGTTGCAAACCAATGCTATCACTTCAAAGAAAACAGGGATATCTGACAGACTGAATTTATTTCGGAAAACACTTTTATCCTAGTCTATTTCCACCCTGCTCCTAGACCCAAAAATCCTGACCAAATCCCTTCAGCATATAGAAAAAACTCTTTGAGGATCCTGAATGAAAGTTTGATGGATTCTGCCCTATCTACAATAAATGAAATTGGATTATTGAAGGGTTTGGCGGCTAATTCCTTGCCTAATTCCTTCCTTTCAGATCGCCATGTCTTGAGGAGATGGACACAAAGCTGATTATTGATCAGGGGCGTGGGGTGTACCAATCACTCCATCTCTAGTCCATTATCCAAGGTTCCCTGCTTTGCAAAGGAATCAACGGGCCGAAAGGTGGAACAATCAGGTGGGAAATTACATCGACCAGCTTTTAAGGATGGCATGTTTCTAAATCTGAGAGAAAAATTAAACTTGACTAGAATTATTGAGGAAGTAATTTTTTGGATTCAAAGGGAAAACATCTTGTCAAACTTTCCCTGATATCAGCGTCACATGTGTACCTGGTAGCTCAACATTTGGTGACATCATAATTTCCTGTGCACATCTTGTGACAGGACTTTATGAATGCTAATTTGCTGGAGAAGAGTGCAAATCTCAAAAAAAAAAAAAATCATTTTTCTCAATTTTGAATCTTTTTATTTTCAATTGTAGGCAAACTACCTCATCATACAGAAATAATCAAACAGGAGTAATATACACACTGATTGTCTGCACTGGTCCTGAAATAAAAAATGAATAAACAATGCTGGGAGCAATTACTTTCAAATCAAAACAGTTTCCAGTATCTGGTCCATTCTCTTACCCTCGCCACATGTCGTGACATCATCAGCCTGCACTGGCCGAACATTTCAAGGTGATCTTGGATAAGCGGATGGACTGATTTCCGCCCCGATCAAAATCTGGACAAAAGCCACTATCATGTAACAGGCTCCCAAGCCTGATTGCATCTTTGTGGGGTACAAATTGCAGATATATTTAGATAGGCCACGCAAAGGGTGGTCATCCTTTTAGCACATAGTCTATGGTGTTACAGTCTAAGAAAAAAAGTTTTGCAGTTTCCAGACAAACCCTACAGGAAAAACCCACCAAGCCTAGCCTTCTTTCAAAGGCAACTGCTGAATAGGCAATAAAATCTATGATAGAAAAAAAGGACCTGGGGTCCTGCCAAGTGCTACATGTGTGTCAACTGCCTTGGGCAGAAAGAACTAAACAAAAGCAAGCATGGTATAATTCCCACCACTTGCAACCAACAATTCTTGGAAAGGCACATCTGAAATTCTTGGAAAGACTTGGAGATGCATTTTGAAATTCTCTGCAATGCTCAATAACAGGCTTTGCCATAACTCTGAAGAAAGCTGTTCTACTTTTAAATTACCTACAACTGTCTCACAGTGTATGTATGTATCTTGCAGCCCCCGTCTCAAAGCACACGGCAATTTATTCTTCTAAGACCAGTAAGAGGCTTTGTACAAGGAATTTGTAATCTTTTCCAGGAAAAAGCAATGCTGCATTCTTCTTCAAGCTGCTTAATAGTCTGCATACAGCCTTTTCTGCTAGACCCATCTGGCATTTGATCCAGGATTCCTTAACAGCATTAATAGCTGTTTTAATTTCATCCGTCTTGGTCTTTTATGTCTATACAAAGAAATAAGTGTTCCTTAAAAAGTGCCTCAAGGCTACAGATAGAATCCTTCCTGAGATCATCTTTCCTTTGATCTAAGATTTCTTCCCTGGAAGAAAAGACATCAAAACCAACACATCTAAAAGCAATTTCACACAACAAAATACCTTGTAAGATATTCAAAATTGCCTTAAGGGTAAAAATTACATTGAACAAACACTGTTAATCATGAAACTGTTAATCATGTAAAATAGGTACTACAACATGAAAATACAGTAGACTTCAGAGGGTATTTCAGTAATGAGGCTTAAGCCTACATAAACCTTGTTAAGTTTGTGATAACAAGAAATATGAAATATTCACTCTTTCTTCTACTTAAAAAAAATAGCAAATAGAAAAACATGACATGTTATATATAATCTATCTATGTTATCAATATATATCTGTTATAGTTGTTTTCATGGAAAGATTACAAGGAAAAATAATGTGGAAGATGAAAGGGCCAGGAAACAACAAGAGTAATGGTTGGATGGCATTTCAGCACCTTACCTGAAATCCTCCGGGTGAAACAAACATTACATGAAAAGGAAATAAGGTCACCTGTTGCTAACATCAAAGACAACTAAGTTGCTGACTTTGACTTAATTTTTTCACTTCTACACCATTTCTTTGAAGAAACAACATGAGCAATATTTGGATGGCATTTCAGTACCTTGGTTAAGATTCTTGATGATACAAATCTTCAATGACAGAAATGAAATCACCTGTTGCTAATTAAGTCAACCAAGGAAACTAAAATGCTGCAGCTTTCTTTTCATATTTAGAGGATAAGTTTTCTCTGAAAATTTTTCTGTACAAAATCATTTTCAAAGACAAGTTACACGAAGATTGCCTATACATGTACACATACATTAATGGGTGGCACCCAATGTACATGAAGTGTTATGCTAGACATAAGGAAGACTGGTTCTCCCTACCTCACTCAATCTCCTCTGCAGCGGGTACTTGTGTCTCAACTTGACGGGCGAGTGCACATCGTCGTTTGACGTCCCCGACGTCTGGTCGCTCTCTCCGTCCGACCCCAGCCGCGCATTCTCGTGCACGATACCTAGAGAGAGCGAGGCAGACATGTTGTTTCTCATATCAGTCAGTCAGAGCGGGGAGAGAACAGCCCAATTAGCTCCTGGGTAAAATTACCCTAGCAACCCCTGCCGACGATGCAGAGTGGGAGCAACACACACATTTTCCCCCCGGAAAATTACGCACTCGCGGCAGGGTGGCAACGCTGAAAAGGCACGATCTATTTTTCCTGAGATGAAAGACTGGGGATGGCTACGATCCATCATTGGACGGGAATAATGAGATGCGTTCATTATGTTCAGGAAGTCTCTCGCTGGAGAGTGACGGCGGGGGACCGCAGCACTGGGTCAATTAGACAGACACGTGTCTAGACACGTCACCTGTAGTCATGCTGAAGCCCCACTGCCATCCTCTCCTGTTTCCAGTAATGCAACGTTATTCACTCGCTCTGTGCGAACTATTAATTTGTAGTGGATAAAAGGCAGCCTACGAGAAATGTGGGTACAGGCCATCTGCATTTTTCACTTTTGAGCAGACGTCACAGCGGTATAACAGAGGAGGTTTTTGGGGCATATTTGCAAAGCTCTTATCCAGGTTATTTTGTAACCTCTTGGAATAATAAATTGTGTGCACTAAAACCTTTATCAAGAGATACGTGTAATGTAGAATAGGATGGAGCAGTCCGTATTATTAGATTTATTGCCAAACATGACCAAATTTGGCGGGAATTTATTAGAACATCATGAAAAACTGCTGTTTCTGGAGACATTACAGTACTCTCAACTGTTGGTGAAACTAGACTGCTCTTCAGAGGTTGTAGTATTTCAATACTTACTCTGTTTGATTTTAATTACAGAATAAAATCTCATACATGTATACACTGTCAACGTGTTTCAAATGGAAAAATACAATACGCTATTATATATAATAGTAAATAGTTAGGTTGTCTAGTCAAGTATGATATAAGAAATATATTAAGGTAAACTACACAGGATAGAAATCCTGCTACTTTGAAAGATCACCATAATTTCAAAATAAAGGTAACAAACACCGTGCAAAGAATAATAAACCATCAGGGCATGCACCGAGAACAGGCTAATCTAGAACATATCTCTGTACTGTAGGGAATAGGCATTAGTTTGGATTTAGAAACCAAAGATCAAAATCTCTACTATGTAACGTTATCTTCCGAAGTATACAGACGGCTCAAACTATATGGGGAGCCGTAACCTAGCGATGATGCAAACGAACTAAATCAACCAAAAATACTGGTAAAATAGGTCATCTCATACATTTCCCATGCAGGTTATATAATTAGATAACGCATGATCATATAACGTTCTCTTGCATTTGTCCAAACAAGAGCAGTTGTGGAACATGCAGATGAACCAAACGAGATGGTAGCAGTTGTGTCGATGTGTGCAAAAGGCGAATCATGACAAAAAAGGTGAAACATGCATGGAACGAACAGGGATTAAAGAAGGAAAATGGGGTTAAAAAGCAACGAGGAATAACCACACAGCACAAAGAGAGGAGAGGACGTTACATAGTCTGGAAGAACTGTGAAATTCCGCTGTCTTCATCCGTCCCTTACTGAGCCTCCTCCACAAGGGTAGGTTGAAGTTGCTATCGATGGTGGGGATTGGGAAAAGCTTGTCTGTGAAGAGAGAAGGAAGCAGGCACGGTTGTAGAGCCCCGAAGGAGGACGCAGCGCGGAGTTATCTAGATTTCCATCCGTCGGACGTCCCCAGGCTTGACGTGTCAAGGCGTTTTAGTATCGACCAGGTCCGACTTGCGCGAAAATTCACGCCACACCTCAAAATGAACTGTTTTAACTCACAATTTCATTTAAAAAATGCTAATATGATACAACAAGGAAGTTTAAGGTAAAATTTTGTAGGTGAAACAACAAATCTACTATGGATTGAAAAAACTTAAAATTCTAAAATTTTGCAGCTTTCTCTGACTGCGTGTACTTATGCATGGGATTATGACCAAGTCAGCATTTTGGAAGAAAAGTGGCTGTTTTAAAACCATAAATCTTCCTAGACATAAAGTAAAACAAATACGATTTGGATACTTGAATATTTTGAAGCCTGAATGTTTTTTGAAACACATCCACTGACTGCGTGTTTAAATGGAAAGCAGCCTGAACCTGGGAACGTCCTAGTTTACATGATATATGTCTATCCCCTACAGACAGGAAGTGGTACCAGGGACAACTCGGCCAGCAATCCTGTCTCCCTTGACAACACATGCACAATGTAATTACTAACGAAAACCCGCAGACGCAACCAAAACGTAAGACTCCACCCTGAATACTACATGTAATAATGTATGCCAAATGATTTATGCCAAATTCTAAATTATACACATTGTGATACAGTATATAGGATGTATCTGAATGTAAATCGAGAGCCGTCAAAGAATAAAATGACACGCCATGCAATGAGACATCTGTAATATGTCTTGTTTCATGCATATTTAATGGTAAGATTACATGGCAAACTATTCCTGAATATTCCCTTTCAACTGTCTCAATAATTGCAAAAATTGGTTAACCAACAACTGCATGCACAAATTATAATCTGAACATAACACTGTAAGAATTTTAGTGCATGCCATATATGCTCGGTGATCAGTTGGAAATTGCCAAATAGTTAAGCAAACCTGAAGCCTTAGTACCTTCGTCGAAGAATGAATCGGATTCACTTTTGCGCATCCTCCGACCTTTATCTAGCGTTCTAAATGAGGCGCCTGTGGAAATACATGTATGCCACATGAGAGCAGTAGGCTTAAGATGGTCCGCAAGGTATGGACAGACGTCTTAAGTGGCTTCCAAGACAGTACCTTGTGTCCAGGGTGGCATCGTCATCTTGGCTTTCCCTGGCTGGGAGCCAGTGAAACGAAAATCAAGCAGGGCCCCTAAACCGTTGTCTGACACATGACGTGCATTTTCAAACATTCATTACAACATCTCTGCTGCTGAATCAGCCAATGGGAAACCGTCCTCCGTTTCCGTGCCTTAGTTCTCTCCGTGACGGCTCTGTTTATTGAGGGGCTGTGATGTGGTGATTGATCATCGATGTGTCCTTCTGTCAATTTTCCGAATCATTCTGCAAGGTCTGGCCGGAAAGTGATTGTGCACATTTGCAAGACAGCAGAGGTCAAAAGGACGACCTTGCATCTCATTTACCCTGGCTCTCAGTGGGTGGGGTCGATTACACCCCGGAGATGCAACAAGCTAGCTACTGTAGGGCTCATGCGACTTGAATATTGGGAACCAAACGATCACCATACGATATCTCTTGAATTGACTATTGTAAGATAGTAGTACCTGCCACCTGATAAAAATACATCTCTAATTTGTGGACTCAATAAAATGAAACATAAATTAATAAAGATGCCATGGAATGTTCTGCATAACAAGACAATGGACAAATGTCTGAGCATAAAATTTGGTTACACTCAGTTTTCAAAGAATTTTCTCTTCTTGAATGACAATTAACTTTGACTTAATTTCTAAATCTACAAAACCTGTAGCTTGTTTCTTTATGACATTAACTGAAGTCCAGTAATTATAAGTCATTGCATTACACATACATTTACCAGTATTCAGGTATAAATTTCTGCATGTAGAACTGATGCATAGCAGCAAAAGCAGGCAACTTCAATCAAATTTGCACAAACCTTGCCACCTTTACCATTACCACTAATACCAGTACCAGAAATCTAATACTTATCAATAAAAAGATGTCTTACATATGCATGATTGAGTACATACTACATTTAAACACCGAAATCACCTTCACCAAAGTGCATATGCCATGCAAATTAGCCAAGGCCATGCAGAGCATTGTGGGTAGGGAAACACATACCATCGTTAAGGAAAAAGTCGGGTTCAGTTTTGCTTTTCCTGGCGAGTGATGGCATAGTGCGGTAATGTTGCTTCCCACCTAGAGAGGGTTAGACACACAAATAAACAACACTCAGAGGGGAGAGAAACACAACATGCAGCCCATAATGTAAGTAGATCTCTTGTCCCTGCCCTCTGATTGGTTGGTGTGCAGCATGCTGATTGGTGTTTATTGCATGATTGACAGGTGAGACATACTATCTGTAGATTTGTTGAGGTTTGATACAATTCAACAATCAAACAGAAAATAGGATGGAAGTTACTATAGTAACTTACAATGAGATGCTTAGGTCTGACAACTATCGTGTGACTTTAAATTTTCATTAACCAATCAGATAACTTGTTTCAAATCACGTTTTTTTCTACAACCAATCAGAAGTCATCAGACACAATCCTGATTACATTATCAACTACTATACTGATAGTACCCCAGAGTTTTGGCATTGATAGTAGAGGCTCGAAAGGAATTAGGAAAGAAGCAGAAATCTTCAAAAGCATGGAAAGATTTTGGCAAAAAGAAAAAAAAATTGATGAAGAAGCAAAATACCGGCACATGGAATGGATTGCACAAGACAAGTGACAGTAATTTTGCATACATACATGTACATACACAGACAAACATGCCACTGGATAGCATGTGCCATATATATGCCAAATCTGGTATAACAATTCATCACAATTTGAATAGAAGTCAAGAATTTTTTTTTCTATCCAAGTGCAAAGCACTAACAGCAGTGTTGTTGTTCGTGCATCTAAATTTGAAGCAAGGATGTGAAAAATAAAAGCTGAGAGATTTGAAGCTATAAGATATTGAAAGTAAAATTTATGTTAACCAGTGTAGCATACATGTAAATGCAGCGCAGCCAATGTGGGAGTTACCTGCAAAATTTCAATGGAATACTTCTGGCCAAGCCCCAAAACAAATCGTTGTCTATTCACAGGTACGTCACCAAAATTAGACCATTTTTTGAGCTTGTGAACATGCAGTTTTTTTTTTTTCAACTCAAATTTCTTTGCCATTTTGTCAGCTTAAGCCATGTCGAGTGTATAACGGCACTGGCGACGGGAAAAAAAGAATGAGGCCGGGGGGTTGACTTACGTATGAAGTGCTTACTGATTTTTTGATCTACACACAAACAAAAGGAAAAGAGAGAAAACAGCATGTTATAATAATATAGCAGAATGTACTACATTCTACAGGACGATCTAAAATCCTACGATAATTAGAATAAATTAGCAGTTACTTGTAGGTTTGACATGCCTGCTAAACCAATTTAATAATGTCCCAATATGATAAAAGGTACTAAAGAATTTTGTCCTAACAACACATTATTGTATGATAATACAGCAAATATCGATATGAAATTATTTTCCCTACATGTGGCTGGCTGAATAATAACACATGCTCACACAAAAATCAACAATTTCTGAAAACTCAAATCATGTCTTGTCTTGCACAATCACAGCACATTTCTTCTTTTAAACGAAATCCAGAAAATAAGGGTAAAACAGAACAGGTCTTGCTCTTGCAAACCTGTAAAGAGACACTCAAAGAAAGAGAAGGCGTACCTCCTTCAAAGAAGGACACCATTCTACTTATGTTGGGTCCTAGCTGGTGCTTTTTACTGAGCGACCCTAAAAGGGGAAAGTCATAGGACAGGTGTAAGAGACAAGACAGTCAGATGAACAGGGAAGCAACTGAAATGACAAAAAAAAAATTAGCCACACATAAATCTGCCAACATCTTGCAAAACATTTACTGAAGTTACTGTTACAGTTTGTTTCTGAATAGCCTGGAATCCAGCGGTAACAAGGCTGGGCAGAAGTAGATTGGAGCATGACCTGGTATATCAGTCACGGCTGGATTCCAGGCTAGTTTCTGAAGCATTTTAGATAACTGCAATAATGGCACTGAAGAAAAGGACATGGTTTTTAAAAGTACTGAAGTTGGTTTTGCTCAAATGACTCATTTTGCATGGCAATGTCAAGCTTTTGTATGATGAGGCGGACGTTTTTGGACATTTTTATGATGTATTCATGGCACTTTTTATGGCTTCTTTTTCCAAAGCAAGGGTGGTCCCAAGTAGTACTCGTCTTTGAATTTGTTGGCAGCTTTTTCTGTGTAGAAAATGCATTTCAACTGAAAAAAATAAAAGATAGCAACAGATATGGAAAGCAATGCACGGATGCATGAATGTCATGAGTGTTGTAATGTGATCACAATAACAGTGTATATACAGCATGTTCATATATACCCATATACACAAAGCTAGCTTATCATTTGCAACTGTACAGCATACATCCATCAATTTTCATTCGACTTCCATATACAGCAAGACTAAACTTAAAACAACACATTCTTACTGCAAATATAACAATAGTAGAAAGGCTGCTTCAAATTTTAGATTTTTCTTTTTTTGGCACTTAAAAAATTTAGTTACACAATGGATACAAACAATTACTATTTTAGGCACATTGTGAATGTTATTCACAGTCAAAATGTTCCAGAAACAGTAGATTTTGATAGCTATTTTCCTAGAGCTCATTTTCATACAAAATGTACTTGAAGCTCCGTTCATATGCATTTACTTGTAGATTATTACAAATCATAAATAGGATGACAGTGTCAGTGACACTCCTGACACTGTCAAATTCTTGTCAGACATACATTGCGGCGACAGCTATTTGATGTTAATAATAGAAGATAATGACAAAACATGGGTGGTAGGAAAACGTGACTCAAGCATAACAACTCAGCGAATGATATTACACTGGAGCACACAAATAGTTGCCGTTCACTCTATCATCCAAGGTGATCGGGAAAATGACACATAATGACATGTTGATGAAAGAAGCAGAGCTTTCTGTGATTGGACGTTACAGAGTGATTGACAGTCTTTCGGTACAACATCAAATGATGATGACAAATTGTCATAACAAGTGTTTCTGATAAGAACAAGTCAAAATTTGATAAACCTTAAAAATCTGCCATACCACAAGACGAAGCAATTTAATGTACAGCACATTAAAGATAACAACAATCATCCATAAGCCTGTCATTTGTTCAGAAATAGACACACAAATTTATAATTCGGTTTTGACTTTATAACATAAAGCCTGTAGGGAGTTATAAATATTCCCATTCATCCAAAAATAGTTATGCGAGCTGTATTTTATGCCCATGTAATTTGCAATCCATCAGAAGTATTATATACATGACAGGTTTTCATTTGCACATGGATGCATTCAGCCATTCTTTTGATAAAATCATTCATACAATGCCATATTGCCTTAACTCAACATCTGTGAAAAACTGTCATACCTTGAAAAGAACTAAAAAGTCTGAATATTTTTAAGGACTGGAAGTTGCTCATTTCATATAAAATTCACAACTGAATTGCTTGGTGGAAGATCACTCGCACAACCGTCGTAGACCTCTAGTCATTTTTACTTTGATAGAATTTTTGCTATGAACTAAATTATGTTTATTGTCACTTTTTTTCGAGTTTTCCCTATCTACAGTAGAATGATTATTATGTAATTTCACACTCATGTTGATTCTAAATGTCATAAAAGCCAGTCGGCATCTGACTGAGACGACTTCAAATATTTGCCATATCAAACACAAACCATATGGAAATTGCACAAATCCATCAATTACCTACACACCCTTGTATGGTAACCCAGTCACGTCGCAACTATGAATAACGCTTGTTGGAGCAATATCAACAAGAGACAGGCTGTCTCGCTAAGTCCTATGGTGTAACGCTTGAATATCCCGTTATATTCCCCATATGGGGTGTACAAGAATGTGTCATGTTATTTGCGGTTAAACATATGCTGCACAGAAAAAAAAAACATGTTATGAAAGATGTTTTGAATTTCAAAGTAGAGTTTCTACCACTAAATGAAGTATTCAGGTACTGGACAGCCCAGCATTCTGATAAGAAAGCTTTAAAAACATGACTGTTAGCTAACTAGTGTTAGATTACAAACATGATATTAATAAAAACTGTTTACCATACATCAGACTAACAACTGCTGCTTTGTGTCACATAAGTAATCATTATACATGTAGAACAAAATCTGAAACTCAGACTGTTTATAGTGTCATTTTTTTTACTAAAATCCATGGACAACATTATTCAATTTATTGTACCATCAGCAAAATGCATTTACCTTTAGGATTTGAGGATTTACATACTGAAAATTATATTGGCACAGTATTGAAATCATGTATACAATTGGTAAATACCTTTGCTAACTGTACATCCATCTGTTTGAAGTGTACTTCTATCAAAGCAACTTGCAGGTGCATAAATATGACGTATGATGTATGTGGTTTCAGATATAGGGGCTGGTCATAATCCAGGGGGAAGAGATTGGGTTATGGGGACTTGGGAGCATGTTATGGTCTACTGTTTGTGTAAGGGGGAGGGGGGCGCTTAGTGGTAATCATATACTCACAGAACAGAGCAAAGATGAGTAAAATGGCCAGAAAACCACAGATTACATCAGTCCATCCCACAGAGAAACTACACGCCACATCCTGTAGGAACATTGCCGGCCCCTATCTGCGTCACAGCCGCTGCGGGTACCCAATCAATACCCAATAGGGATCAACTGGTTTTTCCGGGCACATCAATTTTAGCCAACGGCCACAGGCGGTGTTGCTACATGCTTGTTTTTCATTTTACTGCATGTGTCCACAACTTCTGCCAAATTGCGGAGGAAAAGCTAATTTTGCTGATTGCATCTGTTGCTTCCCTGTTTGAAAATCATCTGGCATGTAGCCAATGAGCAATCAAGTCTAAATACTGGAATTGAACTCTTGGTATAGTTTCTGTATTGTTACGGTACTGTATTATAAAATTGTACTACAAATGTACATGCACTGTATTGTATGGTATCGTTGACTTGTACATTGCATAATCTGCTACATTCTCTAATTTGGCTATCAACATTATAGGAATAACGATCAACTAGCAATATCTACAATAAATAATATTCCTTTAACACATTATCCTTCTATTTTCCTTATCGATATGTATTATATATGGAAAAGAGATAGAAAGAAAGACAGAGAGAGAGAGAGAGTAAGACAGGAAAAACAGTTGGAGTCATGTATTTTCTAAGTAAATACTCACAAGTTGTGTGGGTAATACAGTACTTAAAAGAGGCTATGCACAATTAGGGGTTTTGGGCAGGCGCAGAACATGCTGATGTGCGTTATTTGGTTGTGTGGGGTGTGGTTGCCAGAATTGAACCACAGCCAAGGACACTTGTGTAATAATCATTATACCGGTACTGCCATCCAAGGTTAAATCAATAGGCACATACATAATCTCTAATATCTGCAAACATGTGATTTTTTTTTTAAACGTTGTTCACCTACATTGCAACATTTTCTAAAACAGAAGACGACTTTTAAATGTTATCTGCTAATTGAGGATGAAAATGATTGGGATAGATAATATTTTGAATACTTTGGAAATAGTTAGTGACACAAATATTTGACAGCAGTAAAGAGTTGGACATGGAATGGACAGAAAATCTTCTGAAGTTCTGAGTGAAAAAAGGTACCTTATTTCTACAAATGTATACTACACTATTGTATGATTTATAAATTAATTCTGAGCCTGTAACCCAAATTGTGTTTTGCTATGTATATCCTTTTTCTGCAGTCTCCAAAAAATGTTAAGTGCAGTTTGGTGGTGTGCATCTTAAACCCAGGTAAACTGTGCCAGTTATGATTTCCTAAAATGGCCCCACACATAAATGTGATTTGAAGGTTAGATCCACCCAAAGTCAATACTGTCACTGAGTCTTCCTCGTTAATGAATGGACCGCATCCTGGATTCTGACAGAAAGACGTTAGCCAGACGGGTGCGTGTGGACTTAAGTTATTCCCGTATCCAATCATTTCCTAACCAAAAATTGTCCTCCAGTTGTGATTGACCGGATTTGATCCCCAAAGCTTTTTGATACCAATTTTGAAACCTTTTGTTTCAGCTTGTATTATTGAACATTATGGTAGATTGCAGTTAAAATTAAATCAGCAATTACTTGCTCTTGGCCTTAAGCTAAGGATGAAAGATTTTTCAGACTTGTAAAGTAGTTATCTTCATTTTGAGTCATTAATTCTCAAGTTACTGCAAATGGTGAAATATTTTCAGTGGAATTGTGTACTATGCCAATTGCCTTGAACTTGAAGAAAGCACGTACATTTGTATATGCACAGATCCTGTGTGAAAAGGAATAGGCAATTTCCCTGTGTTTTCTCTTGCGTGACAGAGTGTCAGACAGCCATATTGATCTGTATTGATTTTGTACATCGATACATTAAGCTTGAAAACATCACAGGGGAACCTTCCATCTTTCTGGAAATTTGACAGTGTGATAAATTCATGTGAAGATATGACCGAAAAGAAACGTTTTGGATCGTAATCAAAAGGATGGTATTTATGGCAGTCTTCTCTCCCCGGAAGAACCTCCACGATTGATGTCAGTTTTAACACAGAGTGAAGTACAGTTATTGATGAGTGTGCTCCACTGATAATATCAGTTTGACAGACTGCTTTCTGAAGGGCATGGTCTCTGCAGAAACGTGTGTGATGCGGCCACATATCATGGGCTTACGGCTGAATATAATGTTTATTTTTGTCAGCGTCAGGAAAAGGTCAGTTTCACATGGGATATATTTTTTAAAGAGTTGTGGTGTTTTGAATATTTCTGGGTGGTCACATAGTGTATTTATTACAGTAGCTAATTATATTTCTTTGAGACGATCACAAAAAGTCAGTTGTGGGCACAGTTTATTCTATTTTCTTCATTTTGTACGTAGATTTTGTTTGTATTTTCACAATGATAGTTTGTATGGATAAACTATAAAATTGGTCAGAATATTTCAGGTGTAGTTTCCTAAAAGGTCCAATTTCAAAATTACTTTATGGATATTGATTTTAAAAGGCTACAAATTTGAAGTTTTTATTGGCAAAAACAATGACTATCCTTTCTCAAGGTCCAATTTCTCACCTACAATACATGTAATCCAAGCATTGCTTTATTTCCGTAATTGGCTGACAGAAATGGGCCAGGCAAGCCCATATGACTACATTGTAATTAACCTATTTTTTTGCTTGGTCTGCTTTACGTTTACTTTACAGAAAATAATTGGCACCTACAATTACAATCATGTTTTGCAGTCTGGGTTTTTAGGTTAACTGCAAACATTTGGGGTAATTACACTCGACTTCTTTATTTTTCCACAAATTTTACTACAGTTCTAGGCTCAGCAGTTTGCAGTGTTTGTCAATGTATCAGAGAAAAATGTCTGCTTTTTCCTAATTTCGTAAGTGGCAAAACATATTGATCAGTACATGGTGATTGATAGACAGGAGCGATTATTGATCATCGATCAATACTCGGAAACACACCAGCCCTTCTCTGGGGATTCTTACCAGTTAAGTGCCTTAGAGTTAAACAAAATCCAGAAAACTACTTCGAAATTGACTTGATTAGTTTTTGGTAAGGTATTAATAACAAACCTGTCTGGTTACCACTCTGGGGACTAGAAGAAAGTGGTCACAGTACACATGTGGTCACTATAGACAGGATTCTTGATACATGGGAAAATATCTAAGGGACCACCAGAAATTTTTGACAATGGTCGCCTTATTGGTCGGTCATATATTCTTTACCATCATGATGTAGTTAACATAAGTGAATAACCATGTACATGTACATGTATGTAGTTTCTCCAGCAGCTGCAAGAGGGTGCTAGTATATAACATTTGGAATCGTTGTGAGCAGGTACATACATGTACCTGCGTTGGTTGTGACTGCTGCTACAAGATGTGAGTTGTAATGTGCTGCAAATATTTTAGAAGGTGCTAGGGGGCACTCTTGCTTACTCTAGTTCCTACAAAGTGCTGTGTGCATGCTCCTAACTTCTGTACTACATAGTGCAGTAGTGACTAGTACTATACAAACCTGTTTTCATGCATTATGAAGACTGCAGAAAAATTGAATAGTTAGTACATACTGTGTACAAAGGTGAGTTTTCATCGTATAAATGGGACATACAAAAAACTCAACATGCATGTCACTGAGGTTTAGTAAAACCTTATCCCTGAAATGTTAACACACCAACAATGGACATTAGTACATGTACATCATATAAATGCTGTGAAAAATCCATTGATTCCTCATGTATAGTCTGTTACGTAAAACCATTAAGCTAACCACAATATGTGCTAGCTAGGAGAGTGAGTACAAATATCATACACTATCTGTTTGGTGCACTACCTTTCAGTCCCGTACTAATTTTATTATCATGAGTAGAGTTAGGAAAGTTGTGCAAAGTGCCTTTCCCAAGGGCACAAGATCGGTATCATGGCTGGATTCAAACCCAATTCCTCTGGGTCTGGGCCAAACACCATTTCATTACACCACACGACCCCACTTATATTATTACAACTCAGACTAAATTATTCTTGCACCAGCTAAAATTCTGTATCTGTATAGCCGGTATAACCGCCCTTCAGTATAACACACCAGCTTTGCAGGCACGCGGTGTGGCGACAGCTGGCTATATTACACCAAACGACCAGGTACACCCAACCTTTGTTTGCACATGTTAGTTTATAGAGAGGATATTATACAACACATACCTTCTACCTCCATGAGAGGCTGTAATGTCACAATAGCAGCAGACTCTGCCTTACTCAGGCCTTTACTCGAACCTTTCTGTTTCCCTGATCTACTAGGCCAGCCTGTTGGGAAACGGGGAAGGAAAAAAAGAAAAGAAAAACACAAATGATGCACGTACATTCACGCAAAATAAGGAAAAGAAATAATAATTGAGGGTGGTGAGGGTTAGGGATGATGGTGAAGGTTACATGTAGGTTATAAGTTAGGGTGTGTTATTTTTACTAATTATGGGTTCACCACACCACGAAGTGGTGTGGTGAAACCATATTGCTTTTTCTGATGTTTCTTCTCCTTCTCCTTCTCCTCCTCCTCCTCCTCCTGCCATATCTTTAAATGGATTCAGCTTCTTCATTTTAGGGCCTAAGGTCCTGAAATTTGGTATGGAGGTACAGTGGGCAAATACCCCTAGGCGTTTTTTAAATTATTGTGATACAGGCTTTTAGAATGGTTTTATTTGAGTTTTTTGGCTGTGTTATAGCAAATGTATTACTGTGTTAGTCTGCCTTGTTTACCACGTTTGGGCATGAGTCATGACAATGGAATGCAGGGCATCAACCAATAGGCATGCAGCTTTCCTCTATACTTCTTGCTGATTGGCTGTTGGGATTTAACTTGATTAACACCTGCACAGAAGCATTTCCATACTGACAGTATGTCTGTATTCAAGTGTTTAGGTAGGTATTTCAAGCTTTCCTGCTCCAGCATTGGAATGCCGGGCATGGACGTTTTTTTTTTATTTTAGAAAATCAACAGTTTGCATTATGCAATTAAAAATCCTAACCAATAAAGTAGGGAATAGCTATCCAACTGTTGTTTTAGTTGTATTTTACTTCATATTATAGTTATATCAATGTAAATCATTGTTTTCCCTTGTGTTTCCCATTCTTTCCCTGCCATGTCGTAAAATGTGGTGAACCCATCGCTGTATTTGCTCCAAAGCAAATATTGGCCTTTCTAGTTAGTATTATTTTACATATTTAATTTGATTTGATTAGAGTTTAACTTGAGGACTCTACCATTCAATGCTCGGGGGACAGTCAGGAATTTTTTTACACTCTACTTTCTTTTGCGTTGTCATGCACAATGTTCTAAACTACCTGACACCCCCAAACTTTTGAATGGCATAGCATAATTAACTGACGATCATATAACTGTGTGGCAAATTATATTTGGATATGATAACAGCCTTAAAAAGTACATACCTTTGTCAATCTTAGATTGTAATTTGATGGTTTAAATAAGCATTAAAACAAGTTGATAGGGCATCCAAGCTTACACAACTTTTTCTGGACATCAAATGCTATCACTAATATCACCCACCCAAAAATCATCCCCAGGGCAAAAGATACAAAAAACAGAAATTCTGCTGCAATACCATACCCATCAATAAAAGTCATCATCAGTACCAAGGAAAGGCACCTGGAGGCCCAAAATCGATCTTTCAATGATCCATTTATGTTCCTTTATGTTCAAAATATCATCACAATACACCTAAGCCTATACTTAAACCAAAATCACACACAGACACACTGACTGACGAACTAAAAATATATCTTCGTTTTAAAGGTAAAAGTCTACATTCAGTCACTTAACCCAGTACATGGACCAGTGCAGGTTAGGTCCTGCACAGCTGCAATTTTACCTGCACTAACCTTTTCTCACTAGATCAGGTAGATGGATATTTACAAATGATACCAAATTTGGCCTATAACCTATGGGGACCAGATACTGACATTTCAACTTAATTCCTTTCACCTTAGCAAAGCACTCAACTGGTCATATTAACGCAAGCTGTCGCCAAGCAAACAAAATAACAGAGTCTTATATCATTAGGAAATGCAACTGCGTGGGCAGCTTCTAGAACCCTGTACAAAGATATGAATATAACATGACCTTTCAGTCCATTATATATATATATATATTACAGTGTATCTGTATCTGATTGCAAATAAAGATCACGAGTGATTGCCATAGATATTACAGTGTGAATGAAGACAAGAAAAGCACAGCAGGCAACACCTGTTCTTGATATGGTCAAATAAAAAAATACACAGACAAAATACAATTAGCATACATTTCTTATCTTATATTTAATTTATATGCCCAACTGTGAGTGTCTGCCCAGTCCTACAACTGGATGTGACAGAAATGGGTCAGATGGCATACTAGCTCCCCCTAGCTCCCACCATCATTATGGCAGTTTTCTTCCGTCTTATGCAGAACATTCTTCAACCTAAAATTCAGTTTATACATGGGACAGATGGAACAAAATTATGATCTGTTGCTTCTTGGCTCTGAGGCATTTTGTGATACTCCCAAATGCTACCATAGGAGTCACAAAGTCAACACATACAAATTGGTTTCTAATTCACATGATCAATTTTGAACCTTGTTTTTCGTATTAAAGCCCCCCAAAAATAAAAGAAACAGGCAAATCCCAGAGCCAAGAAAATGAGTTGGTATAGCCTTGGCAATTTAAATACTAGTACTACTACTAGTACCATTGTCATTGTTTTGCATTATTGATCAATCTATAAATCATGTTATTTGCAATTAGCCTCCAGACAAGGATCTGCAATAGACTTATTACAACGTTACAAATTGCAGTTACTGTAACCGACAGCCATTGATTGAAAAACAGGAAATCCTGATTGCTTTCGATCTACCTTCTAAATGAGCCTGTATTTTCACCCCATGACATCTCAGTGCATAAAAATAACATCCGTACATGTATGTCTTAAAAGCCGCTTGGGGTAAGAAGGTACATGTAAAATTGTATAATATATACAGTTGTAACACAGGGAAAACAAAAACTGTTGCTGAACAAAATTGTTTTCCATTTGCACCCACCAATCTTTGGCATGTGTACATGAAGACCACACAGAGCAGTAAATTACACACCAACTGAACATGAAACACGTACAATGTAATAGAGAAGGCTGCTTGCTCATAAAAAGAAAAGAAACTAAAGAACAATGAGCTCAAAATGCTACAGCTATTGACTTCAGAAATTAAGGATCTTTTTTTTTCCATAAAAAATGTAATGTACACTTGAAAGAAAGGTACTGATACCAATTCATCTAAGGCAACGTTACATGTAAGCAATACGAAATGGTCAATTTACAGTACATTGGTGACGCACCATTTTGAAATGATATCTACTCCTACCTATGCTATTTATACACAAAAACAAAAATTGTTGCTTTGAAGCTAATGTTTGCTACATACGCACAGTAATATCTTCTAAAAAAACGACAGACAAACCTAGTGAATGCGACGCTCTCACGGTCCGCTTCATTGCAGGTAGAGGATGGCGTGCGGTTTGGAATTGATCACAGCGTTTGTCTGTTTTTCGGCGCTATTTGAGATGAACGTGTGGGCGGAATAAATGCAGGATGGCTGTGAGCTCACGGGCCTGCGTCACACATCGCCACATGTGCCTGAGGGGCTGGTCTAATTACATTTATTTGTTCTTGTATAAAACCAGGAAAAGGGAAGTGATATTTGATAGCTACAACTACAGTAGCCAGGATGTTTACCTTCACATGGTCTTTTTATGTGCACACTTGGTTTCATATATGTTATTGAAAACATAACACCGTCCTCAACACATATTCTGGGCACCGGTGTTGTGCCTTTGGAAAAGGCACTTTACTATTTCTTCACTGGACTCGGGTGCAAATGAGTACCTAGCTTCAGTTAAGGAATTGTCCTCTCAGAGGGGACATAAAAGCTACTATATAAGAGGTCCTGCTTTTGAGAAGAGCAACACCTCAAGCATGATAAAGAACCCACCACACTTAACAAAAAGAACAGGGGTCCTTGTCGGTGTGAATGGTTCAAACCTTACAGTCTGGTCTCAGGTTTGACATCTTGAAAAGGTGATAGTTACCTGTTATGTCAATCCTTTAATAAATGAGGCAAACATCAGTGAATAAATTTGTCAGATTTTTTCTACCCTCACATGTGGTGCAAAAGATATCTTAGAAATGTTCAACGCGATGTCAGTCCAGCAGTTTGACCTAAATCATACTTAAATTGTCTACTGAGGTAACTGGAGGGCATACAGGTCATTTACCCAAACATCGGAGAATATGTCAGGTATACGTGTACTTCCGGAAAAACATTTCTGTTACATGTATTTTCCCTGTATATACATAAATGAGGATATTACTTGAGAATGGTAATTTTTTAAAGGAAAATGCACAAATCAGGCTGGGAAAAATCACCAAATGCAAAAAAAAAATGCAAGAACATGTAGCACAAAGTGATGACATAGGATAAAGTTAAAAATCAAATCCTTTTGAAATCTTGAGCTATGTAAAGTCTATAGTGGTAGGGAGTGACATACTCCTGGAGCAACCAAATTTGATGTGGTTTTATCTTAATTTTGCTTCTTCTAAGTGCACAAAATTTTACACAATTCGAAATTCACAACCCCCATGCACACCCCTGTAAATCATATGGCCAAACCTTTTACATGTACCACTGTCTTAACCATAGGTGAGAAAAGCCCCATTTAATAGCAGGGAACACAGCAGAAGAGAAGGATCTATCAACACTTCCAGCACAGCCTTCTGACACAGACAGGACATATATCATGTCTACAGGCTAGAAAAACAGACTGCAGCCTTAACACTCTGACTGATGACAGATTCCATGCTACTGTAAGTTCTCTAAGTTTGCGAAGACTAAGAGTAAATGTTTTGGAAGTTTGAGGTTACCCAGAAAACCATGAACTTCAGCGCACTGCAAAAATGGCAAAATCTACAAAACAGTATTCTAGGTTGACACTTGATCACAACTCGGATAAGACTTTCAGATCAAAATTGAAGGTTATCAGTTGCAGGTGACAAAAGGTAAAAATGTTCCACACAAAACACACACAGTTCAGATACCAGTGGTATCATGTTTTAGGAAAACCCTCCCATTAAAATGTATCACGCAATGCTTATCTGTTGGGTTCTAGATTACGTCTGATCGGAACTTTGCCAGACAATGTTTTCCTCAGGTTAATCTGGTACTGCCACCTGGGACCTAACAGGTCAACCACTGAAGTTAT